TATTGTAATTAACTTGCTCATGAGCCTCACTCCTAGAAACTGAGGTTTTTTTTTTCAAGCCCTCTTAACTTGGGATCTGCCCCAAATATTTCCGTCTTGACCATATACAACAGCGAGGGGGTTCCATCAAGAGCAGTAAAACTATAGAGATGTTATCCGCTTCTAAGGCTGCCTACAGTCTTCCAAGGCACTTACCTCAAGCTCTGACAAGGCCGGTCTCCGAATCATTACCTTTAAAACCCACAAAACAACTGTTGATTGTAATCTGCTGAGGATGAGGATCCGTCTTGAAATTACATGACAGTTCACGAGATGTTGAAAGGTCAAATCACGAGCTCATTGCACATGAGGAATTCCACATACGAGAGGTTTTACTACCGAGTTAATAAAAACAGTTCCTCGCTACGCCCTAACATCAGTATGCATATTCTTTATACTGTTCTTTGTACATGTCCTAAGATGTTGACAAGGAGAATTCGTTTAAAAATCAAGAGCTTCTCAAGTGAAAGGGAAATATTCGTTACTGTAGAAAGGTTAAAATCGAGAGTCAAAATGTTGACTTGTTACTGTCATCATGTGAAAAATTCAATAGCTACGACATATGGTATGCTTCCGGCAATTTGAAGCCTAGTGTACACCACTAATGAGAGAAGTTAAGAAAGGGAAAAAAAAGTGAAACCTTAAAGGATTGAAAACTTTTTTGTTGTAAAGTACATTGTAAACATTAATACGTCTGGCGATCGATGATGAAATTAATGTTCGTTTTGTTCTGTTCGGGTTTTAGTCTCAATGATTTACGTTCTCACTTTTCGCCCCTGCAATAAATTGACAGAAGAATGTCACCCTTGCTGTGTGATGATTCCTCAGAGAGGTTACAACAGTGCGAGTTACTAATACACAGCTGAGAGTTTGAGAGAAGTTATGAAGGAAACAAGTGTAATCTCTTAAATAAGTCATCTCATGATCTATATTGCGTAGTAATACGAAGTTAACATGTCGAGTGAACCCGTCTAATGTGATGACTGTAAAAAATGAACGGGATGCAACTGAATAGTTGCAACTGATTTTCATCAGTTGATTGTTATTTCTTACGTTTGCTGTTGGCAGTGGCTCTAGTTTTCATCTCAAATAACAAGTTCTTTTAAGTCAAGTACGCAAACTCAGGGAATTTTTCTTTTGTGGTAGCCCAAACAAACAAGATGCGTGTTCGCATAATAAATAACGTAAACAATCAAATGAAGTGTGATAAATCTGGAAGGGGCAGAGTAGAGATTAGTATAGTAATAATATCGGCTGAGAAATACTCACGACAAACCTGAAAATTGAAGGGAAGCCCAAATTTTAACAATATAGAAGACTGACCAGCGAGTTGAAAAATTATATAGTTATATTTCGCTAGGAAGGAAAGGACAAAATGACGACGAAGACAAATGGTATGAAGCTGCCATCCTACGCGCAAAAGACGTCGTTGATTTCCATCTAAATATAAATCAAACTCACACGATAACTAACATGGCCCGTTTTGGTAAGCACATCCCACGCACTCATCTTTCAAAATTCAATTGCGTGGTACGATTTTCAGGGAAGTGTTTTGCCTTTTAAGTAAGTTGGAGTTTATCGATTTACTTACAGTCCTTGTCCCTTGTATCTGCCTTGAGTATGTTTCTCAGTTTCCAAGACAAAATTGTCGAAAAATCCTCGAAAAACTAACGCTTGCGACAGTTCTTGGTAGACGAAACGAGGTTATTGTTTCACGCTGCTTCTTTGAGTACAAATTTAAACTCAAAGAACGTGCCAGGGTAAATACGGTGCCACACGAAAAGCCGGAAATCCTGGTGTACTGAGGACATGCGGTCAACACTCCAGCGGGAAGTGCACATGCGTCAGATAAGTATCAACGTGACTCCTGCACATTCCAACGTTCAATAATTGCGTTTCACTAAATTTCAGTTTCTCTTCAAAAGAGGATACGTAAAGCTACAAGGATATTATAACCGATATTCATCACCTTATCCATGCGAAAACTGGTTTCCTTATCAAGGCAGATGTTTAGGGATAATATGACGTATTCTAGCAATCAATGGTTTAAAAGCTTGCATAAACTTGCTTTTGAATTTTGTTCCGTTTGTGATAATTCATCTAACATCTTAAGAACTACGCAGTAATATCAGACCAATATCCTATAGCCAAAAATTTTAAGCGATTTTTAATACATGTTTTTTTTGGCCAGCCTTTTTTCCACCTATAGTTTAGTTATGTCTTGCCTTGTGATGCAATAGATGATCATAGATCAGGAAAGAAAATCTCTAAAAACCTTTTATTAGACGAGAAAGTACCCTTTCAGGTGGTGGCAAGTTCCATTTTTATTTCCGTATTCAGAGAAAAATCTAAAACAGTTGGAAACAAGCCCTCATTCAGTGAGTATTGTATTGACTAAGCAAACAAAGAGACGAATCCGCTAAGACGTGCTCCTGCACAGTCCTTCACACATTCTTATAATTGCTAATGGTCGCAAATGGCCACAGAAAGCGTAATCTAACAATGAAATCAGGATGAGTGGATTTAACTCAACGTCATTTCGCGAAATGTGGATCAAGGAAAATTTCAAGTATCCTCTCCAAGAGCACCTTTTGTACTCAGCAGCCAAACTTCTTGTCGTAGTTAATAAAGCAATAGGGCTCGTATCATCGCCATTTTGGCAACAAATAAAATCAGTGTCATCCAAAATCTTCACAAAAAGTAAACAAGGAGCACGTGGGGTCAACTGTTCCAGCTCATATTGCGTCAACAGACGGAAAACGCTTCAAAGACTCGGCATTGGTATGAAAACCAGTTCTGTCGAGTCTATTACGCCACAGCTACAACTTTGTACTATTCAGATCAGGGACACCCGTTAAAAACATTTTAATACAAAAGGAACAAAATGAAACAGCTGAAACAATCATGACATTGATCGTCATGATCGATCAACAGTCATGACATTGATCGTGCTCCACCGCCCACAGGCACACCTCCAAAAATTCAACCAATCTTGTTCTTCGATCAACATGGCGCCAAAATTTATGTCATTATTGAGGGTCGCGTTCCGTTTTCATTGAGCGGAAATTGAGTCATGTTAGACAAACACTTTCTTTTTTCAATAACTGATACAGCTGACAAAACTATCGTCTTCGGTGTCATAATTTCATTGAACCAACAACAGTCATAAGTAATTTGAGGTACCTGTCTGGTATCCTACATTTCCGCCCAGAGATAACAGGGATTCATGAATAAATTTCTTATTTGCAATCTTGACCAGTTTTTCCTCATTACTGACGAGGCCAACCTGCATAAAGCATAGCTCTTCCTCTCTCCTTGACAGCTTTGATTGCGGTTGTGTTCAGTTCAAGGTCTAAGGTGTATGTCTTATTTGTTTGCGATTGTATGTTAACTTGTTATCAGACTGCATTGTTAAGCTTCAATTAAAAACTTTTAATCAGAGACATGGAAAATATAAAAAGACGCAATGTTTTGAATTTATAAAGTATGGTGTACGATATTGAACGAGCTCGCTTCTGCGAACATTTTAATGCCTCTCCTTACAGAAGGCATGTGACTAAAAATTTCTGTCGATACACCGACGTAAACGTCCTCTTAAGAAGGATAACTCACTCAGCGAACAAATTGACTGCGGCACTGATTTACCTTATTAGATTCCAGCAAATTTTCTGGAATTTAATTTTGATCACGTACGAAAGGCAACACAACTTTCAGAGGTCACGATAGCCTCATCTCCAGCTGTCATCAACAACCGCGGTAAAAACTTCTGTATAGTACCAGAATATAGCAATTCCTTCCCGCATTTTAATCGGCACTTTCAAATTTCTCGCATCCAAGTTGAATGATAAGTCGAGGAAAAAACGATTTGTGGTAAGATACTATGATCAACAACAGAGCCACTTCACTCACAAGAACGGCCGGAAGTTACTAATCACAGCAGGCCTTGAACACGGACTCTGTCATGGTGACGCGTTACTCACAAGTTATCTCGCTTGAGAAGTGTCTTGTGAAGCAAATGAGAAAACTAATTTAGACTGTTCTGAGAAACTTGAGAAGAATACTTCTAATACGACGCTGAGAACTGTTAGAATACGAAAGCTGTTTACTGTTTGAACCAAGTTTGGCGCAGGCATGACTTCTGCTCAGAAGGATCACGTGATTCTTGGTAATCCGCTTTTCAAAGACATGACCATGAAGTGGGTATTTTTGATTCGTAATCAATAAGAGAGTTAGAGAGGACACGTAATATGTAACGAGCAAACAGTTTTGAAAGAAACAGTGCGTAGGTTTCTAGTAAAGCTGGATTTCCGGTGAACCTGATCATTTTACGAAAGCTTCCAGTGAGAGAGACGGTCATGAGAGACCACAGGGGGTCACACAATCTTTTGTTAGCAGTACATAATAGAAACCCACCCAAGAGAAACAAAGAACGGCTCGAGTTTGTAGGAGTTCTAGATATCGAGATTGGTATCCTGTTTAGAACTAATGAGGGATCATGCTTTTACCATTCTTGTACGATCAAAGGTCATTTTCGTACAATTGTTTTTTGAACTTTTTTTTTTAAAAAGAACGTTTAATTTGGGAAGTTGAGTTAAATGTATTACGTTTTCATATATGTTATTACGTCCATATCAACCGCAATTGAGGATTGGGACGTGTCAGTCAGCTGTGTTCAAACATTTTGACGTTTATAGGCTGTCGTTTTTACTCAAAGTTCAAGCTTATAACGGGAAAAATTTGAGACAAGGAAAAGTAAAACAGGAAGTTCGAGTTAGCTGATTGTAGATGAGTAGGAGAAGGGTCCGATCCAAGGGAAATCGGATCTTATTTCATACAGGAAGGGGTCCCAATTAACCGGGCTCGAGTTAGCGGGGTTCTACTGTATATCTCTACTTCGCCCTAAAACTGATAGCAAACTGACCAGACCACAATAGCCTCCCTGAGGACATGTAAAATAAGAAGCCAAATTGAAAAATTGAACATAAATAGAATTATTTATGCAGTTTAACACTGAAAAAAGCCACAGCAATTTTATAAACGATTCTTTCCTTTTAAAAACGTCTTTAAAAATACAACCGAAATACAATAATTCGACGTCGATGGTTTGCTTTTTTTTTAATGCCATTTTCTGGACCGTTGTTTAAAGGAGGAAATCCAGAGGTTACCGCGAAAGAGAACGACGAAATCATGAACCAGCTACATTAGAATGTAGGTCGTCTGTCTATACTTGGTCTCATTTTCTGCGATGGCCTACGCGCATCAACAGCTGATCGGCGACCACGAGCGGCGGCAGCTACCTTAATATAGTCTTCATTGTCTATGTCTTGCGTATCATCATCTGGTGATGCGTCCATCTGTATCACATTAAACGAATCGATAGCAAATTTCACGACAAACAGTGCAGGTAGAGACATTTGAGATTCGGTAATGGTGGCTTTTTTTATGACTAAATTGAGGTAGTGATCAACTGCAGTTTGGAATTGAATCTCCTCAATTTTTACTCTATCAGCGACAAAACCAAACCCATATGGATCTCCACGCTTTCACTATTCTATGATAAGATGAAATATCAGGCACATTTTATCGAATTCTTAGTTTAAAAATACTAAAATAATGATTTCCCCCAAACTGAAATGAACGCTTTTGTTGCCCTCCTCAAACTTGCATATGGAAAGCTCCACTGTAGGTTATCACTAAACAGATGTGTCACAGGACCCATACGGTATGACACCCTTAATACTGAGCTCATACCGGACAGCGAATACAAAGAACATCACAAGTGTTTAGACCCGATCCTAAAAGTCCCAAACAACAAAACGCAACTGAAAAGGCAAAAATAGACAGGAAGTCTCTATAAGAGAAGTACAGCACACCTGAGAGAAAGGGGTTTAGGAACATGTGCCAGCAAATACGTCAAATTGTGAGTTTCACAATCACAAATATGAATCAGTAGCCCCCCCTCCCACCACACCATGTTGAAAAGGAAGAAAAAATACGAATTTGGATCGAACGGGATACAACGGTGTAAATACCTCTGATACTTCATCAACAGCTGGTGAACCTTGAGACATCTGCTTCTCAGCATCTTGTATCAGTTATGAAATAAGCAAGACTACAATAAGGAAACTAGTGACCAGTGTCAGATGAATTATCTCTAAAACTCCAAGCTAGGTGAGAATTATCGAAGAAAATTGGGCAAATAGTTGAATGTTCTTGTTGCAGAAGTGTACCATGGTCCCTGTAAAATCCTTTCACTCCCTATTGTCTGCTATACAATTGTTACATACATACAAACTTTATTGAGACTCCCCTCAACAAGGATTTTCAGTCACAATGTTATGATTTTGGTTTGAAAAATTTGGTAATGGATAAACTAAAATTCCCCTAATTGTACTTTTCGTTACTCTCATCACTTGTCTGCTTGATATAATATTGACATTACAAGGAGAGAATTCTGTCTTGGTCACTCATAGGAGTCAAAGGCTTTAATCAAATTTGCTTGAAAGGTATGAACCTTTAATTGTTGAACATCTTGTACTACCACACTAATGCAATTTATGCTCAATTAAGACTTAAGCAACTAATGAGATACAGAGGAAGGATTACAAAATACCTATTTTCTACTAAACAAGTAAAATGATATCTTCAAAAGCAGACTAATGGTACAGTTAACATATCCAAAAAAATTAATTGAAAATTGATTTGATCTTTGAAAAAACTGAAGACTAACAGAAAATAGCTTACCAGGTGTTGTGGCCGAGAAGGTCAAATTTGCCATCTGAGCAAGTGCTTCTGTCAGACCAAACTGAGTTACATCACCAACATTTTCTTCAGTCAAGTCAGAGTCACTCTCTTGGTCTCCAGTTACAGCACCATGTTTATCCTAAAGACCAAGGAAATAACAAACAAACAGGAACACTACCCAAATGGTTGTTTCACAAACCTTGGTTATGTCTTCCATTTTTCTGTCAAAGTTTGATTATGGGTGTTCAAGGTTTGAAGATTTATAATCAAGAATTAAATGAAGTTTGGTGATAGGCTTGGTTAGTACTAGGGTTATCAATGTCTTCTAGTTAATCAAAGCTGTAAATGGTACTTAGTGCTTGTAACTTTTGGGTACCAGAATTTCCTAATCAGCTATCCTCCACTTATCTGTCAGCAATTAGTTCAATAAAGATTATTACAGGTAAGATAAGAATTTTTCCTCTTCTTTGCATCTTACATTTCTTGCTTTTTTATGTGTCAATTATTAGCACTGTTGAGTCTAGTCACTCTGGCTTTGTTGTGAATTCTAAAATATATTTTTTTGTCCTAAATGTAAAAATTGCCTCATGAGCCAAAGGAGATGATGTTTTGAAGTTGCTAAGAAAAACTTAAGAAAATAACTAAGAAAACATGTTTCAGTTTAGTTCTTCACACAACAAACCTTCTCCTGAAGAAGCCTTTCCAAATAGCTGATTCTCTTACTTCTTGAGGTCATTTGAGAATACTCGGAATACATCTGACTCAATCTAAAATAATATTAAAGAACTACGCTAATTCCTGTGATACAGCTAAGATAATCAGCTGTTCCTCAACTGTATAACCAACTAGAGAATGTACAAAACAAAACCAAAATTCCAAAAACTGAGAGAATCAAAGAAAGAACAAGTTCTTTACCATGTTTCACAAAGGTGCCCCCATGGAAGATCATTGAAATATGTGAATCAAAAAGCCATAGAATAATGTTGGCACAAAGTACAGTATAAACAATATTTACAATACTAGAAGGTGTTAACCCTCATGTGGGCTAACATTTCCACATTGCTCTAATAAAGCAGTTATTATACAAACATGTACTTGTACCAATATATCGTTAATAGAAAATCCTAAATCAATCCCTGGCATTTCTTAACACTTATACAGAGGTGTATTTTTATGACAGTCACTATACATCGATGTGTTTTTACCTTGTCATATTTTGCCGAAGTCGAGGTCTTGACTTGATGTCAGTTGGCATGAAGTTTGTTTTAGCTGCAAGGAAGGTCAATATTTATAAGTGTTTTAATTAGTTAAGATCCAAAGATTGTAGTTTTTTTGCCTAACTTTAGCTTTCTCTAGATGTCCCTCCACTGTTGGCTTTCAGCCCTCTTGACATTTTGAACAAAAATAACTTTTAACATAAAAGGTTCAGCTAAATTGAGGATTTTTAGAGCATGGTTTTGTTAAACAACATATAAACATTATTTAAATAATCAGACCTTATAGTGTTTTGTTGCTAAAGAACACCATGTAACCTTTCTTAACTCTTACTTCTAGATATGATTGACAAGTAACTTCTCCCTGAATAAATCACACATTATGCAGTAAACAGGTGATTAGATACTCAAACTCATTAGGTACAAGTTGTTCTTATGATGTAACACCAAATTTTCTCAGCTAAACTAAGAAAAATGTGCAGCAACGAAAAGGGAGAATTAACAAGCAGATCGTGGGAGTTAAAGGGTTAAGAGATAATAACACTCATGACTCACAGGGGTACCTACAAACTTACTATAATATGGGCTGAATTCTGGCTCCAAGTCTATGATTTTCTCTTTGAAAGTGATCATACTTGGGTGTGGCACTTTTGTAGGAGTAAAATTAATTCTGAAATAACCAAACAAGATGCTTTACCAAATGTGGTGGTTGCTTTTGGGAATGGCTCAGGTTTCATGTGGATGTGGATAACAGTTGAAATATTGAATTTCAAATGCTGTGTGTAATTAAATCAAGGCATGGGGGAGTGTTTTTGACCAAATTTCATTTGACACATTGAAAATTAGAATTTAAAACATACAAAATACTGTATAACAAGAATGAAATTATATATAAAAAAAGTTGTGCAAGTTAATTTAGAACTGTATTTGCTAAACCCAAGAGAGTACCAACAACAGCAAATGATTTAGCAATGTAACAGATGTCAGTCCAGCTGTTGAGAGTGTTTGGAAAAACAAAACATTTATTCCAGGAATGCACTGATATGTCTCAGGAGTATGGGACTGAGGAAAAATCAGAGTACAGCTCCAAAAGGATTTGAACTGCAGTTGTGATAATTTTTCTATTTTGTAGGATGTTACACTGACTTACGGCCACAGACAGTTAATTTGTTTGTCTTCTTTAGTTCTATAAACTGCTTGCCAGCTTGGTCATATACCAAGTTCATTTCTCACCAGCCTCCTTAAAAAACTGGTAACAGAAATGTCAGAGTCTATCATTTATAAGAAGGCAAATTTTGAGCTCAGCCTGTCTTTCTGGTTCACCAAAAGCACAATCTTGAACTATTCATATCTATACTGACCATACTAAAGAAACCATTGCTAGCTAATTTTGGGATCCATTCTACTCTAAACCTTCTCCAGTAATAAAGCTACACTCATTATCTACAATTATATCTTAAGTTCATCTGTACACTACCCTGAACTGTTGCCTGAGCCACGTGGGGCAAGTTCCAAGTGTGGAAATGCACTTTGTTGTAAATAATATCTGGGTGGATGATGACTTTCCAGCTATAATATAATATGTTTTTAAGGCAAATTTTATTCATTAAATAGGAAGGTTTTGTAGTCAGCTGAAGCTATGGTGCAAGTCACTGGCCTCTATTATACAATGATCCCTTTTGCATAACATAAGTATGATAAGTAGTGGAGGTTAGGGCCTTGAAAGACCAGTAATTTTAGCGTAAAGAGTCCAGCTGAACCAATTCCCAACCCCTTGGCAAACTCTTGGCTCATTACAGCGATACTTTAGTCTGGAATACAGCCTTGCTGCTCTATGAAAAGTAAGCTGAACAGGAAATAATTATTGTTTGCCACAAGTATTGTGTATAAACTGGTGTTGTTAGTTAGTTAATAAATATGTAGACTTCCTAGTCATGTTAAATAAGCATTAATGGCAATGTAAATTTTGTTAGTAATTTCAGTTGTGTTAATAAATAATGTTAGCATTCATTTGCAATTGGTATGTAAAATATATTAAATAAACAAGTAAATTAAGTAAGAAATGTTAGTATTGTAAGCAATACATAACAGTTGTTAGTATTTTTAGTGAAATAAGTAACATTATCATGGTAAGTAGTGCAGACTAAGTTATATTTCCAGTAAAAAATCAATTTTAAATGAATGTTCATTAGCAACAGCCTAATGCATGTAAGAACATCTACAAAATTGCTAGATTTTGGTACTAATTGTCATTCTATACAATTAATATTCACACTAAATTTAAAACAAGAGGCTACCTAGTACATGTACCTGATCACACAAGCCATAACCATAGAAACCATAAGCAAAGGCAAGCTCTAATTGGAGATCTCCAGCATACTGTGAAAATAGAATTCAATATTTTTCAGTTGGTATTTAACTCATGTCTGTCTGTACCAGCCTAATTGTCACCTGATGCTAGAAGCACTGAAATGCTTGGAATTCATTCTAAAGCAGGGCAAGAAACTTTCTTTTCAACTCACTTGTTCCTTCAGAAGAGTCACATGATAGTGCTTATCTAGATCACAAGTTTAAAATTTGTGAAAAAACCTGATAAGAATGACTACTGGGTAAAAAACAGGATTCACTTGGAATTTAATAGCCACACTTTGCATAACGTAATCAAACACATGTGACTACACAGAATTATGGTTCTTTTACTATCTGTAAGCAGCAATTATTTTTATGGGTAGCAAACATATAAATCATGTTGAAATACAGTATCATATCCTATAGTCCAAAGTCAGCTAACAAAAAAGAGGTTTTTCCCCTATTTTTGGAAATCCAATCAGACAAGTGAGATTACAATTTTCCTAGACCAAATAGAAAAGTTATCTGTCCTAGTCTCATTTTGACGGCTCCAGTTTCCTGCCCTGTTAACTAATCAAAGGTTAAGAAAATTGGCCAAAAATGATCTAGGAAATCTAACAGAGTATGACAGCCAAGTAGACAAACCTTAACTTAGTTTATACTTTACAATAGTCAATTTGCTTTGAGGTTAAAGTTTCCAGCAGAACTGGCACTTCATTCTCAATCCTAAATATCTTCTACTCATAAAGCCACACTATATCTATCTTTCTCAGGTCCAATCCAGTGTTTCTGGTTTACACAAGATAGCAAAGTTCATTGTTACAATTATTTTTCTCAGAAATAACCTGGCTATGAACACTACGTGAAATATTTTTGCCCAAAGTTGCATATAAAAACATGTCACACAGATAAATAATATCCAATTTTGTATAGTACAAGAGTCAACACAAAATAGCTGATTATACCTCTATCCTAATAATAACAAAGAACTTACTCTACCTTTTTTTGTCTATTCTGTAACTCAAATGTCTCCATGGACCATTGTTTCTACAAGTTAAAAATGATAAAATAATTTTACTTTTATGGCCTAAAAATCAACCTTAAATTTATAATAAATGCTGTCATTTGATCATTGCATCATAATAGATCACTGTATCTTACACAATTTGAAAAGTATGTACACTGTTCACAATGAAAAATTTCATGATATGCAAACTTCTTTTTTTAATAGATACCTTGAATCACACACCTTAGCTAGCTTGTGCATGTGAAACTCAGTTTTGCCAAGAAGTTTGTGTTTTGGAATTGGCTGCAGTTTGTCAAACCCCAGGACAGCAATGTTAACTTCATTTACCAAACTTGTTGCTTTGGGAGAGACCTCAGGTAAAAATATAAACACAATGATCATTACAAATACTTATTACGAGGCTCTTGATATATCACAGTGCTACAATTAATTGAATGAACTCTTTCACTCCTGAGATCTGAAATCGTTCGTCTTACTATCTGTCATACACTTCTTTTGATGTTGGCTTGGAAATTGGTTTTGGATCAACTTAAATAATCCCTGACTGTATATAATATGAAAATCATATATGTGCACTGTGGTTGAAGAAACAAATTTAGAAGTGATCCTCACAGTTATGAATACTACTTATCTAATCGCTAATAAAGGCCTAAAAAAAATTCAGGTCTGTTCAGGATTTGAACCCATGCATTGGTATCACAGAGGTCATGGGGTTCAAAACTCATATGGGCCTGAATGTTTTTTCAGCCTCTATTTTCACTACTAGTTAAGTAGTATTCATAACTGCGAGGATCGCTTCTATGTTTGTTTCTTCAACCACAATGCACATAATTATATGTTTTTCATATATTTACAGTCATGTATTCACCATTTGGAGGTTTTATTTGTTACCAACATAATGACCAGCTCCCAATTGGCTTGTTAGCTCAGTTAGTAGAGCAATGTACCAGTATTGCTAGGTCATGGGTTCAAATCCCATATGGGCCTGAATTTTTTCAGGCCATATTTTCACTACCAGTTAAGTAGTATTCATAATTGCAAGGATTGCTTCTACATTTGTTAAATAATCCTTTTATTGATATTTTTCTTAATTTTCATCACTTGTTTGCTTGATATGGTATTGATACTGTAATGACAGAATTTATTTTGGTTGGTTATAGGAGTTAAAGGTTTAACCAAAAGAAAGTATTCTGTTTTACAGATGATCTTATTGAGTACCGAATAACAGAAAATGAAAGTATAGATACCAGTAAAAGTACATGACTACAACAACCTGGAATTAACATGCTCACAGAATTTTGGAGAGGGAAAAATGCAGAAGAAGTACTTTAACTCATTGAAACAGATGTAGCACTTACAATAACAGAGAAATTCTTGATCTCATCCCACACCACACAGCCTTTTTTGAAAGGAAACTGTAGTGAAGTACATTTTGTAATTAAGCCAACTGTTATTTGGACATATATTCCAAAGTGTTCAGGGGGGAAGTTTGCATCAAGGTACAAATTGTGGCAGCCAAACACATGAACAGCAAAAATACCTGTCTATAACAAAAGAATAAATCAGTAATATTGTTCAAACACAAAGTTAAGTGTGCCATTGAGCAGGGCTCCAAGCTCAACTATCTTTTTTAATTTCTCCTTCTGGGGTCTTAAAATTATAAGATGATTGGCAGAAATAACTTTTTAAGTTGCCAATTAAACTCTTAGAAAATTGTTTGTCACTGTGTCTACAATAACTTTTCCCACTCTAATCAGAATCTCCCTAACTTCTCTGAGAAAACAACACAAAACAAACATGACAAAACAGGACATTTTTTACAATACTGAACATCTTCAATGCATGGTCACCAAAATTGGCAACTTTCTCTAAAAATTTATCAACCAAGAGTTTCATCTTCCCATTAGGGAAACCAGAACCAGTAAAAATTAGAACCCTGTACAAAATGTTCACAGACATGTGTAAATTATACTCATTGCTCTGCTTGTCTCATGTAGCCATCTATAAACCTTTTTAAAATTATTGGTCCAATAACCCCCTCAACTACAAATACACTCCAGGAACACCTACAGGTAGTGTTGCCTTATCCACCAAGAGAGGGTCTTTCTCTTGAGTATAGCCTTTTTTGCCACCTTCAGAACTCTTCTGCTGGCCTACAAAAAATGACAATAATGTTGTTTTTCTTCTCAATTTTTCCCATTTAATCCATACCTATCTACTAATTCTTCTATTAAATCACTGTCACATCAAATATCAGTAAAGCCCTTGGCAAAATACAAAAAAAGTGGGAGATCCAGAGGCTTATCAGTTAGAGCACTGGATTCTGGGTTCAGAGGTCTGGGTGGAAGACCTGGTCAGATTATTTTGTTATGGTCTTGGGCATGACACTTAGAGAGTCTCACAGTCTCTCTACATCCTGAGCATAATTACCAGTAGATTCCATGTTGTCATGCCTCTGTGTAATGATACATGTAGGTCACAGATGTCGTCAAAATATGATAAGAACAAAAAATTGGCACAGCTGAGTGTGTCATTGATGTTCTCACCACATTTTGATGTCTTCTGTGATCTGTTACTGTACTGAGACCCACAGCAATATCACATCTGCTTGTTTATATGACAAAAATGAAAAATATTGTGATGACATCATCCGTGCATCTGTCAACAATATTCCACAACAATTTGCCCAAAGGCGAGGTGAATATTGTTGAATAATCCCAATACTGATCCCAAAAAGCAAGGGAATTATTGAACAATATTCAATGAGCCTGAGGCAAATAATTGTTTAAGTATAATTGCTCAGGTGCTTTTGAATTATGTTGTAAAATGTTTTTTGTGGGTGAAACCATTCTGGTACAATGGTTTTGATCGTATCGAGATGAGCAGCCAGTTTCCATTAAAATTTAACAGTTAAGTAAATTTCAATCAGCTCTTGGTCCACTTGAATTGTTTAGTTGCAAGCCCATCAACAATAACATGCGTCATGATTGTACTATTGATACATCCAAGAATTTGAGTTATTTTACAATTGCTCTCCCCCTCGCATTTTTAACGATCAAGTTTTCCCTCTCGTGCCAACTCTAATAACAACTTAATGTCCCTTCTCCCCTGAACGACGAGGTTATCATGATTCAGTGAAATGTTACTTTAAGACCTTACAAACATGCTTCAGAACACGTTAACCTATGATAAATTAAAACAAAGCTGTATTTAAGTGTTCTATAACCATACTTCCAAGCTTGCCGATTCCTGAAAGAACGTTGGCTGCTTCTGAGTGCATTGTTATCATAACTTTAAGAGTCAGATCTAATTCTAACTTCTCTAAACAAACGTTAATGATCGAAAGATAGCGCGGTCGCTTAGTAAAGTCGCGCTAGAACGAGGCAGTAATTTTGGCGCGTTTTTCAGCGCTGAATATGTGAATCTTCAATGTTTCTATATGATCGTTCTATTAGAATTGTTCCTTTACTGGCGTTTTGATTATTTTTATGGGCTTTGTGTGTCTAAAAGGAATTCCCCTCAAGTAGTTCAGGTGAGTTTGCCTTGTGACGTGAATAACAGCCAATGGTCGTTTTACTAAGCTGTGTACATATTATACATGTAGGTGACTCTTTACTTCAACATCGCTTCTTAAACACTCTACAGTTAAGCTTATACTTTTTGCTCAAAAAATTAAGAACAAGTAACAACGAATTTTGTCATATTTAGTTATGTAGTCATCGTAATGGGTTCGTTCCATGTGATTTCTATGTAAAAGCCGCTGTTAGCCAGAGCTAAATGTATTGCACGAATTTTCATCTCCCCTTCGGGTTCTCACGCAATGAATTTGATGACCTGTTCCATATGTTTGTTTTTTTTTTTAATTAATTGCATTTTTATTTCTTAAAACTAAAACCGTCAGGTTCTTTTTTTATTTACAGAGATGGAAAGTCTAAACGATCTGGGAGATTACCTCAACACGGAAATCGTATGTACCCTTGCAGGTCTTGGGTATTCAGAAGGCAATGACTATTACAAAAGTCCAGATTGTCTTGGTAGGTTGGTCACTTTTTCCAGCAATTGCCAGTTTTAATATATACCACAGAGGTGGATGAAATTTTTCACCTGTGCAGATTGGCTAGTTTGAAGGTGATAAGAAAGTACTATTCACCTCTGAGCAGTCAAAGAGACAAAATCAAGGGTTTAATTTCAGATCATTTTGCGGTATACTGATATTAATAAATATTTTTTGATATCTATGTAATCTTTGTCAATGAGAGTGATGGACATTTACTTCTTTGATTCTTGGTGAATTTCCACCACTGTTCACCTCCACTGTGGTGAATAATTTTTAAGTATTGAGTATTGCATGATCAATTTGAGATCAAGATGTCAATCTTTCCAAGAATCCCTGGTTTGGAAATGTTGAAATCAATCAACCTTTGGTATGACCCTTGCAGATGATAGTCTATTTGATTTTTTCCTTAAAAAAATAAAATCAATCTCAATAACTTGAACTCTTTTTAGTTTTCATGTTCTCTCTTTAAAAGTCAGTAACACAAGAATATAAATGAAATGACAGAGCAGTTACAACTACTTTGGAAGTCCATTTGAATTTAGAATTTAACACTCATTAATAAAAAAATTATTTGACACTTTTCAGAGAGTCTTAAGGACCTTGTTAGGTTTTTACGCCGTGATGACACCACCTGTGAGATAAGACGTCAACTGGGATATTCAGAAGTATTGCAAAATGTATGTGAATATTAGATGCTAGTAAAAGAACAATGATGCCATTGATAGGGCAAATAATTAAGTGCTTGTCAACATTGAAAGAAAATTACTTAACACACTAAAATAGGCTGCTACTTGAATGATGATTAGAAACTCCTGGATATCTAGAATTGTATTAATTTTACATCATATTTTTTCAGGATCTTGTCGCCATCCTTAAGAGTTGTTCATCTAAGGAAGGAGAAATATTTGATATGGTTATAAGGTAATTTATTGAACATGAGATCAATGGGAACTCTGATCAGGTAATATATATTTACCTTCCACCTGCACCAGCAAAAGTGCAAGGTGGTGTGCCTTTATAGTCCTCTCCTTTGTAATCCAGCAATGCCCTGTTTCAGGATATATTTATAATACTTTTCAACAAAAGCATACATGGGGTAGTATGGGATATATGATGCATCATTCAATATATATCATCAAATTGAATATCTTTCACTAATTACATACTCTGTTTTTAGGTTAATGGTAAACTTAACTCAGCCAGCTGTGCTTTGCTTTGAAAATAGATTTTCCATTTTTAGGTTAATGGTAAACTTAACTCAGCCGGCTGTGCTTTGCTTTGAAAATAAGATTCCTGATGACAAAACAGGCCAACATTACTACTTGGATCTTGTTACTCAGCTGCAGGCCTATAAAGAGGTATAATTTATATCTTCAAGTTTAAGAAATTGTTGAATTGGTGAGCTGAATTTTTCTCATACATGAAATAAAGAAGTTTTTTTTTCTGGAAGAAGATAGTTAATGTTTGTTGCTCTTTCAGGCATTTACAGCAAAAGAGGTGATGTCAGTTATTGGACGAGAGCTGGGAAGGCTGCTTCAGATGGTATATATTTCTTTTGAGAAACATTAGACAAAAACATGTAAAGGTCAAATTTTTCCATGTTAAATTTCTCAATGCATTTTCATTTTCACCCATTTCAGATCATGACTGAAATGAATACAAGACAAAGAGAAACATAAAAAGCTAATTGAAATATTATACGCATAGTCTTGTCTTTTCCATAAGAAATAGTTGGGCAATTTCCCCTAAGAAGCTTGATTTTGATATTCTTGTCTTGATGTGATGTCAACTGCATATTACTCACTTACCTCTTCACTTTGAGATGCATATAAATGCTTTGCCTTCTTTTGTTGTTTGTGACGTTATGAATTGTTATTTTTTCCAGGAATGGGATGACAGGCTAGAAGAAGACTCCCTATTGATTGAGAGAATTCTGTTGTTGATAAGAAACATTCTCCACATACCAGCAAACAAGCAAGCAGAAAAGGTACATGTTAATATTGATATTTCTAACGCACTCTACTCTTTGTAACTTTTGTCGTACAATTTTTATTTTATTTTTATTTTATTATGAAATAGAAGTTGCCATGCAATGACTGGGATAAAAAATATCATAGCTAGTTGAACCTCTTACATGTCACCTGTGCCAGTGAGACCAAAGAACAATTAGGCTGTGTGTCCTAGCTTGTTGAATCCAGAACTTTTGGACTTTGGGTCATAGCCTGTTGACGACAGAACTTCCAAACTTTGGGTCCTAGCCTGTTAAACCCAGACCTTTCAGACTTAAGGTCATAGCCTGTTGACCACAGGACTTCCAACTTTGGGTCCTAGCCTGTTAAACCCAGATCTTTCAGACTTAGGGTCATAGCCTGTTGACCACAGGACTTCCAAACTTTGGGTCCTAGCCTGTTAAACCCAGACCTTTCAGACTTAGGGTCATAGCCTGTTGACCACAGGACTTCCAACTTTGGGTCCTAGCCTGTTAAACCCAGATCTTTCTGACTTAGGGTCATAGCCTGTTGACCACAGGACTTCCAAACTTTGGTTCCTAGCTTGTTAAACCCAGACCTTTCAGACTTAGGGTCATAGCGTTGACTACAGGACTTCCAAACTTTGGGTCCTAGCTTGTTAAACCCACATCTTTCAGACTTAGGGTCATAGCCTGTTGACCACAGGACTTCCAAACTTTGGGTCCTAGCTTGTTAACCCAGACCTTTCAGACTTAGGGTCATAGCCTGTTGACCACAGGACTTCCAAACTTTGGGTTCTAGCTTGTTAACCCAGACCTTTCAGACTTAGGGTCATAGCCTGTTGACCACAGGACTTCCAAACTTTGGGTCCTAGCTTGTTAACCCAGACCTTTCAGACTTAGGGTCATAGCCTGTTGACCACAGGACTTCCAAACTTTGGGTCCTAGCTTGTTAAACCCAGACCTTTCAGACTTAGGGTCATAGCCTGTTGACCACAGGACTTCCAAACTTTGGGTTCTAACCTGTTGTGGCATTTTCCTTCAAACTCAATTGCATCACTTTACAAACGCACAGAATGTCACAATCATGCAGCAAGTACCTATAATTACTTAGAACATGCTGACTTTATTGTGACATGGAAGTTATAATGATCAGACTTGTATTCCTTTTGATTCCTTCAAGGATGGAAACTTCAATAGATAGAAACAATCCCAGTCAAAAAACTCTAAATGGGGTTGAAGTTTCCTAACTCTAACCTCCAAATGGGTTTGAAGAAATGTTCTCTTATGAGAGGTTCAAACTGTAGTGTGTGATTTCAAAGGAATACATTTTGTATTTGTACAAAATGGTCACTTGCAGGTCAGGTGGTCAGTCACAAAAGTTGCTGCAGAGTAGGGTTTCACTGCAAGTTGACCATATTTTCCCCTTCTGACTGCAATTTTCTTTTTTTATTTTAAATTTCATCATTCCTGACAAGCAGAAAATTTCCTGGCATTTTGTTGCATCTTTTTCAGTACTCTGCAAACCAAACAATCCTATAAATCTCAGAGAAATTTAATTTGCAAGCAAAAAGTATGTTAACAGATATAAAACGATAGTTCTGGCTCAATACAAAACCGAGGATAGACATTGTTTTGAGCTTTGGCCAAAACAATCCTATAAATCTCAGAGAAATTTAATTTGCGAGCAAAAAGTTTGGTGACAGATATAGAATGGTAGTTCTGGCTCAATTCAAAACCAAGGATAGATATTGTTTTGAGCTTTGGCCAAAAAGGTGTTTATCCTTGGTTTTGCACCATCCCAGAACATATCATTATATATCTACTATCACTGAGACAAACACAGAAATCTTATTTCATAATTTTTTCAAAAAAATTATGACATATTAACTTATCAATCTTTAGTATCACGACAAATTATCATACAACAGGATCAGCAGTAATGTTTTATACTCTTATGAAGAAGTCATGGTGTGCCACTCTGCACCCAGCTCCTTTGGGGCTTGCCTTGATTTGTTCTCCAGTCAAAAAAGTGTCTTTTTAAATGAGAAATTATCTCAGTTATAAGTCACACTTTCAAGCTCTCTGTTGATGATGTTGAGCTGAGCATCTGAGAGGATGAAGATGTTATATTTCACATTCTCTGAGCCTGACACTTTCCTGTTAATTGCAAGCTGAACTCCTTCTTTCGTATTCCCAAGTCTCAATCCACTTGCATAAAGGTCATTGTTTCTCATACTCCTGAGATTGATGAAAGACTGAATCTGTACCCAGCATAAAAGTCTGTCACATTCATTGTGCTGTTTTCCTTTCCAAATCTCCTGAGGACCTCTTCCCAAATATTTCTTGTTCCCATTCCTTGACTGTAAACCCTGTTCAGAATTCTATCCACTACTACCTTCACTTCAGTGATGTCAGGATTGAATGTCTTCTCACTGTCTTCAGCACCAGCAACATATGGCTTGTAAAAAAGAAGTCCTGTCATTGACCTCCTTGGGACATTGATGCTCTCATTGATCATTGTGTCTGATCCCTTATCTACTGAGATTGTCTTGAGCTGAGTGATGTGCTTGTACATGAATCTCTTCCATTTGTGTGGTTATACAAGGCCTTATCAGCAAGTTCTTGACTGTGAATGATTTCATACTCAAGCCTGATGGTAGTCAATTCATAGGCAAGTTGTGTCTTATCAGATCCTATCAGCATAGGATATAGCATTTGTGAAGAAACTGAATATATTCTTTTCAAGTACTTGGATAAGAACTTGAATAAGGACTTAAAATTATTTATTAACAAATAAAATGAGGGATAAAGAACCCGAGACTGAAGAAGCACCAGCTCAAGCTCTTTGAGCTGGGCTGCGTAGCGCTAAACTTGAAGGGCCAAGCCTTTGAATGGACCTCGTAGAAGTCCACTAAAAGCCCCAAGTAAGCTGGCAAAAAGCTTGCTGAATACAACAGAAGGGTGAGGGAGGAAAAGAAGAAGAAAGGTGGTTCAAAGCAATCGGAAGGATTAGAACCAGAACTAGGAAACATCATCGTCATTCTCACTCACTCAAATTCTTTCAGTAGCAAGTGTAGTTCTCACTGGCTTGACTTTACTATAAAAGAAAAGAGTTGATGGCTCTCATTAATAAACCAAAACCACAGGCTCAAGCACAGCAAAGTGAGCTCAAGCCCTTCAGGGCTTACCCCTGTGAGGCTTCCTGTAAGAGTAAAGCCAATGTTTTTTTTTTTTTTTTTTTTGTCAGAATAAAATGTCTGATAATAAGCCTGTGAAAACATTGACTGCCTCAGCTACATTGACTGGATTGGCTGCCACAATCGGATGGGTTGCAAAGAAAGTCATTAAGAAACCAATGACTTCTGATCCAAGTTCAAATCTCATGAACTATGTGAAGTTCATTGTTGTGATCACTGCATCTATAGTGGCAAAACAGTGTCTTGGAGATCAAAAGATTTACAATTAAGTTAGCAGAAGTCTGCACAATCATTTAGACTGTCCTAATATTCTATATCAGTGATATAGAGGCAGATCCAAGCCTTGAAGAGGAAGAACTTTGTCAAAAGTTTCATGATGAATATATGTTGTCAATTTTCAACAATGAGTGTGCAGATAAATAAAATGGCAAGCATAACAATGATGATTCGAGGAGCGCTCATCAATGTGACTGCCTTAGTTGGTGGACGCTATCTCACAAAGTATTTGAGTGGAGACCAGCATAGTGCTGTAGAAGAGAAGAAAAGGTGTGATCTCACTGTGGAGAAGTAGCGGCACACCATGATCTCTTCATAAGAAGATACAACATTGCTGCTGATCCTGCATGATTAAATTTGTTCTGATACTTAACATTTACAAGTTAATGTGTCATAATTTTTTGAAAAAATTATGATTTGAGATTTCCATGTTTGTCTAAGTGATAGTAGATATATAAGACACTTTCTAGGATGGTGCAAAACCAGGGATAAACATTGTTTTGGGTGAAGCTCAAAACATTGTTTATCCTAGGTTTTGTATTGAGCCAGAACTGTCATTTTATATCTACTGTGATAGGCATGTTTAATAGAGAAAATAGTAGAATTGGATTTCCTGTGGCCACTTTAGTTTCCGAAACAAAGACTGAAGACCAAAGAGCTGATGTTTGGGAACTGATTTGGAATTGAGAAAATATTTGTTTCAATTTGATAACTACTATCAGATATAATTATACTGTGTATCATATGTTGGCGAGAACTGTTGGTTGTCTTCATTTTAGAGAACAGATGATGATGCCAGCATCCATGATCAAGTTATATGGTTAGTTAGGAACCATGTGAAAACATGAGTGTACTCATTGTTTGATATGAAATTAATTACACAACATAAAGAGCACAATTCTTGATATTTGTCAGACTGTGTTTCTGAATACATCCCTACATATGATACTTTCTTCTGTTCTAATTGTACTCTTCCTGATGTACTTGCTTTCATGTTTAGGACAAACATCAGGTTTCTTTCTGTATGTCTCATGCAAGGAAGTGCTTTTTTAAAAGCCAGCTACAAAGCTGAAATTATGATTTGCTTTTTGCCTTACTTACACAGGAATCTCCACACTAATGGAATTGATGATCTTCTACTCTTTGTGGCATGTTCTCCAGACGAGGTAGATAATAACCATGTTTATTTTTGTAATGTGCAGAACATATATATGAGATTGACCATCGTGAGCTTAAATGATTTAAGGGGTGTTGGTTTGAATAAGAATAGAACCAGTGGCCTTGTCTTGTGTAGAGTGTTATAGCATGTTCTCCACTTCCTTTAAACCCACAAAAGATAATTTATATAGCCCATATGCTCTGTGGATAAATGGTTGTTTACAATGGGATGATGATAATTGCTATCTGGAGTGCCTTTTTTATTACTTAAGGGCCACTCTTAACTGGTCGCATCTTAGCAAATATATTAATTTTGTCTTTCATTTTTGTTATCTTATAAAAAAATCTTTGTGATGATGCATGTCATAGTGAGGTAATAATTGTAATATTGATATTCTTTACCAAATAAGTGTTCATCATCTTTCTTGTAGAGGCGATGGAGTATGCATATATTAGAAATTGTTTCACTGATGCTCAGAGAACAGGTTAGTTTTCAAATCTTGCAGAACGATTGAGTGTGAGGGAGCCTGGGCTATCTGAGATGAGACTACAAAATGGCATGTGCTTGAGATAGAGTGTGAATTCCTTGAATATTATTGGAGATTGGGCTTTTACATGCCTACAACCTGTATAAACATATCTTTAATCTGAAATGACAACAAAACACAATAGGAAAAGTGTTTAAAAGTGCAAAAGTTACACTGTAATTCCCAATTTGTTCAGCCTGTTGTCAGCGCAGATTTTGCTCTGCTTTTTGTGTTTGTGGTAGAACCCAGAGAGTTTGGCAAAAGCTGGTGAGGGAAGATCAAGAAGTGAAAAGAAGGATGATGAAAAGTAAGGAAGATACAAAAATAGTTCTTGTTCTAGGTTGTCTAAATTTGTGTGAACCAAGAATAGAATTAATTTTTTCATTTTGAGTGTAGTAAATTATAGAATTTATGTTTCTCCATTTCATTGTTCCATTGTATTTACAAAAATAATCAATCCTGTTTTTGTGGTTGTTCAGATGGGAGTAGTTGTGAAAAGGGTCATTATTGGTGATACTTACTGTCACTGACATGTCACCTGTATGATGACACAGTGATTGTGATTGTTCAGGTGAGAGCTGTGGTGGCATAGGGTTAGATGAAAAAAATTATTGATGGTGATACTTACTGTTACTGACATCTCACCTGTGTGATCATACTACAGTTCTTTCCATTACCTATGGCTTCAAATCAACTACTGAATACTCATTTTACAATAGAATAATCATACAGTGTGATTCCCAATACTTCTAAGTGAAGTACTCAAAGAGAGTGATTTTAGGCTTATACTATTTTGCGAAACGAAACGAAACGAAATCGGGTCAGATGAAATAAAACAAAAGGAATAATGCAGATATATTTTCTAATAAGGTAAAGATAACTTTCACAAGGATTTTGAAGTAATCGTTCATTAACAAGAAGGATTTTTATTCATTTCGCAAAATAGTAATTTTAGGAGAGTTACTATTTTGCGAAATGGACTATTTTCACCCTGCGGTGACAACATGACCTCTTTCATGTCGCGAAAATACATTTAAACATTACAAATTAGTATATCAACGAAGATTTTGGCCTCTTATTTCTTAAACCGTATTAAAATGTATTTCGCAAAATAGTAATTTTAGGAGAGTTGCTATTTTGCGAAATGGACTATTTTCACCCTGCGGTGACAATGTGACCTCTTTCATGTCACAAAAATAAAAAAAAATAGATAGTCCATAGTCCATAAAAATAGTCCATTTCGCAAAATAGTAACTCTCCTAAAATTACTATTTTGCGAAATAATTAAACTTTGATACGGTTTAAGAAATAAGAAGAGGCCAAAATCTTCGTTGATATACTAATTTTTAATGTTTAAATGTATTTTTATGACATAAAAGGGGTTACGTTAGTCACCGCTGGGTAAAAATTGTCTATTTCGCAAAATAGTAACTCTCCTAAAATTACTATTTTGCGAAATGCATTTTAATACAAAAATAAAAAAAAAAAAATAGTCCATAGTCCATAAAAATAGTCCATTTCGCAAAATAGTAACTCTCCTAAAATTACTATTTTGCGAAATGCATTTTAATACAAAAATAAAAAAAAATAAATAGTCCATAGTCCATAAAAATAGTCCATTTCGCAAAATAGTAACTCTCCTAAAATTACTATTTTGCGAAATAAATTTTGAAAGGGTTTAAGAAATAAGAGGAGGCCAAGATGTTCGGTGATATACTAATTTGTAATGTTTAAATGTATTTTTGTGACATGAAAGAGGTCACGTTGTCACCGCAGGGGTGAAAATAGTCCATTTCGCAAAATAGCAACTCTCCTAAAATTACTATTGTGCGAAATATATTTTAATACGGTTTAAGAAATGAGAGGAGGCCAAAAATCTTCGCCTAAAATGTTTAAATGTATTTTCGTGAAAGAGGTATACTAATTTTTGTAAACTTTTAAATATATTTTTGTGACGGTTTAAAAATGAGAGGAGGCCAAAATGTTGTGATATACTAATTTGTAATTTTTAAATGTATTTTTGTGGACGTGAAAATTGTCACCGTTGAAAATAGTCCATTTAAGAAAAATAGTAACTCTCCTAAAATTACTATTTTGTGAAATACATTTTAATACAGTTTAAGAAATAAGAAGAGGCCAAAATCTTCGTTGATATACTAATTTGTAATGTTTAAATGTATTTTTGTGACATGGAAGAGGTCACGTTGTCACCGCAGAGTGAAAAATTCCATTTCGCAAAATAGTAACGCTCCTAAAATTACTATTTTGCGAAATGAATAGAAATCCTTCTTGTTAATGAACGATTACTCCAAATTCCTTGTGAAAGTTTTCTTTACCTTGTTAGAAAATATATCTGCATTATTCCTTTAGTTTTGTTCTATCTCACCTGATTTCGTTTCGTTTCATTTCGCTTCGCAAAATAGTATAAGCCGTGATTTTACATTGAATTTGACTACTCTCATTATTATCACAGGCAGCTTGAGATCATTCGGCAGCAAGAACTTGCAGAAAAGTTAAACAATGCAAGGAAATTTTCAGGAAGGTTAGTTACTGTAACAAAAATATTTGTTTTTACAGCTATATGTAAAGAATCTGCCTTTCAAAGTTTGTTTAATTCAAGTGGTCATGATAGGCCTAACCTTCAGTGCAGTTTGTTTTTAATATTACAAATGAATAGAAACTTAGAAACATGACTGACCTGAATTCAGATGATTTAGCTGCAGCTGTTTGTGATACACTTTACTTTCCACTTTAGACATTCCAGATTTGGTGGAACATTCTATGTCCAGAATATGAAATCCATAAATGATAAAAATCAGCTTGTATATCACAGACCACTTGCTGGTGAGTGTTAATGCTTTACTTTCAGACAGAATGAAGTTAAGAAACAATGGTTTGTATCAGTCACCATAGAAATGGCATTTGGCCTGTGCAGAGTGGGTGCTGAAAGGTTCCTGGCACATTAAAAATCCAACCAGTTTTTATTCTTGAGCTGCACTATTGCGGGAGGCTCAAACTGATTCCACCTCTTTCTGTTACAATGTTATTTCATGGATCAGATACATTTGATAACCTTTAAAGTATGTCCAGAGCCACTGCAATCTTTTAATAATTTTAGGTGACTCTGAACAAAATCTAAAAGATTTCTTTTATGAAAAATTTAAAGAATTATGACTGATGTTATCAATAACAAAAATTGAGGTCACTGGATTCATGGAGGGGTAAGGGTAAGGGTAACTTGGTGGCAGCATGTGCTGAAACAATGATCACAATTTTTTCATTAATAATTAGGAATTTGATTGATACATATTGTCAAGAAAGCATATTTAAACTTGTGGTACAATTAATACAAAAAAGTGGTGACTGAAAGCCTCAAAACTGTATCAGGCCATCTTAAGACATGTTGCTAGGGTCTGCATCTCCTAGTTAGAGTTCGTTTTACTGTCATAATTTCCATAGCACATATGATTGACCTTGAAGCTTAGTATAATTAAAATGTATGGGTCAGTTTTGTTGTATTCTATTGATGAAAGATCTAATGAAACAATGCTTTCTTGCAAAACTAGAGGTGAAAAACATGAGTTTTGACCATAACAAAACAGCACCTAAGAAGAGGAAAAAGCAACTGCTTGCTAAAGAAATGGGAGAAGAAAGGAGATCTACTTTGAGCATAAGGTACTTGACTTTGCAGTAGGTTTCTTAATTAGATTGATGAACATTGCAATTTCCAAACATGTGATAGTCTCCCAACCATCAGAATGTATTACTTTGGTTTTTTTTAGGCTGTTTTTAAAGAATTTTTGTAAGGAGTTTCTGCAAAATTGCTACAATCCACTCATGAACATTGTAAAGGTAAGCTGCTTAAACTTCTTCAGTCCACAATTAACACTGTAAAGGATATTAATTAAATGTATAAATCCAAGCACTTTCACATTGATCACAATTTGCTTTATTTTCATGACTAGATAAAATGTAATCAACCTTAAAAGCACTGTTTTTAATGAATGAGCTCTTTGACAAAAGTGAATTCATCTTCAATACTCTTAGGATAATATCAAACATGGGAGATCTCAAGAAAATGATGAATCTTACTTCTTATGGGCAATGAGGTATGAATCTCTCTCTAAAATTTTTCACTTCCATCAATTAAGTAGTAAAATATGCAATTGAATACTTAAATCTTATTTCCAATTAAGTCTGTTGTTTTCAATCTGTACTGTGCAACATAGACACAATTGTTTGATAACTCACTAACATTTTGGTAGTGCTATTAATAAATTATGCCATGTCTATTCTTTATGCTGCAAATCGCTGTTCCAGTATTTAAGATGCTTGCTCTGGTCCTATGTTGATGTAAAAAGCATTACAGTTAATAGCTATATTTCTTGCAGGTTTTTCATGGAATTCAGCAGACATTATGACTTTCGAGTGGATTATATCAGGTACAGATGAAAAACTTTCCACTATTGTTATCAATTGAAACATTTTCCTTTTTGTATAATTCTGTTTTATTTCGTGTGATACATGTAGCTCATTATACAGTGGTGGGAGGGGTAAGAATTAGTGAATGAAGTGGGTGGGGTTAAGTGCCACACAACCCTAACCCTTTGTTGATTTTTTTCTGTCTTTTTATCACTCCTCTGTTTGAAAATGTATCAATGTTGTAGAGAAAAGCCCTCTGTGGTCACTTTTGGGATTGAAGGGGGGGGGGGGGAACTACCCCTCGCTCTTCACCTCAAACTTAGACCTGTATATTTTTATTTATTAGCACCAGTTGCAACCTTTTGATTTTGTCACTTTTTTCAGTGAAACGCTCAGTGTGGTTACCTTTACTGACCTTTTAAATGTCATAGTCAAGTTTTATGATGGCTTGGAATCAAACAAGAGTGAAGCCTCCATATGGGGGCGTAGGTAAGAATAAGGAATGAAACTTGGAGCTTTTTGTCACAGAAATCCTGATCTGTACCAAGGAGGAAGTTCCTGGATCCAAATCCATCTATTATTGACTGGCACCTTTGGTTTTTTCATGTATTAAAAGACAATAACATTTTTTCCAAGATTTTCTGTGATTAGTTAGATTGTGGCATATTTTAAACTCATTTATCTGCATGCTACTATAGGATTGCTAAACAATAATAACTTCCATTTGATAATTGTTAACTTATATGCTAAAATTAGATGTAAGCAGTGTAAAACTATAAATAGTAAAAGCAATTTGTGATTTAGTATTGTAGAACTAAATCCAATTTGAAAGAAATCATAACAGCCAATTAGAAGGAATGAAAATTCCCTTTAAGAGCCAATGAAATCCCAGTGTAAAAACAGGCGAACTTCTAAAAGTGTGAAAAGGCCCAGGAGTGACTAAGTTGTGATTGTTTTAAGTTTTGCATGTGATTTGTTGAGAGAGCAAGGAAAGTTTTGTGGACAAATCACAGAGTGACATAAGGCAAAACCAATGCAATCCCAAATTACTTTCAACATTCAATTGAAAATTGCTCTAAACACAGATTAGCTACTTTGGTTACCATACTTAATGTGTATAGAGACAGAAAATTTTTGAGCTTATAGTAGTTGGATGAGTCAATAGCTGAAAAAGGAAAGCTTCTAAGTCCCTGGCATGAATTTGAACCTCAGATCAGGGGTCACTGCAGTCTTATCCTTTACCACTGACCTACAATGAACTTATTGGTTCATGGAAAGTGGAGGAGTATCCAAAGTTAAGAATCAACAATCTTTTTTTTTAATTATATGTTTCCTCAGGCTTCACCTTGCAATTCAAGCTTATAAAGAATTGTTGATCAACCTAACATTCATGGATAAGTCTGAGGATGGAAGTCTGCAAGAAAATACCAAGATTATTAAAGGTTGAAAGTCACTTTTGTCTCAGTGGTTGTCACCTCAAAAGTGCAAAAGGAATCTTATTTACTTTAACTAACAACTGTAACTTTGTGACTAAAGTTCATAAACTTTCTCAACTGGGTAGTTATTTTTGAGATGTAGTTGATGTTTCTAAAACAGAAACTTGTGTTGTCTGTATAGCTTGCCAGTCCATGATAACCTTACATTTGGGAAGGCTGTATAATCCTTCCACTGCCCATGCCCTATAAATTGGGTTTATCGTTGCGCATCATACTAATGTGGTTCTTTTTATTTGTCAGCTTTGAGTGCGTCATGTATGTTATTATGTAGTGCACATATGAATAAACAGTTGAAAAAATATACTGTTAAGGGAAAGAAAAGGTATACAGTGTCTTTCTGCTATTCAAGTTTTTATTTCTGAATTTTTTACTGATTCTATTTTAGGAAATATTTTCTACACACCAGAATACAGAGATACCTTTCTGAGTCTTATAAGGAAGTTTAACATGACAATACAGACAAAGTGAGGGGAATACTTTTGTTGTTGTTGTTGTTGTTGTTGTTTTTATTGTTATTTTTATTGTTATTGTTGTTGAAAGCTCTTTCACTTTAAGTCTAAGTATAATGTATTTAGATATGATCTATTTTTACATAGGATAATACTTGTTATGCTAATGGATTGTGATTATATGGTGTATGCTTTTCTTTAGGAGCTACCTGCAAGACTTGATTGAAGCTTTCCATATCTTCTTGAAGATGTTAGAAAAGTACTGCTCTGGAAAAACTCACATTGTAGTCAAGGTAACTTCTTAACAACAGACATCATGAAAACTCTGTAATTCAGTTCATTATAATTAACTAAATTCATTAAATTCATCTTAAAAGATGACTAATGGAATTGTGATGTTGATCTATTTTTGTTTTCCCTTTAGAAAAAGAAGAAAATTTCAAAAAAGAAGAAAAGAAATCTGTCATCAGGTGAGTTCATTTTGTTGTTTTGTTCCTCAATTCCCTATATTCATTACTCAATAACAAAAAGGTTTAATTTTTTTGTTTTTGAGTCAAGAAATGAATCCCCCATTCCCTTGTTGCAGTTCCAGTAAACTTGACACCAGAGGAAAGTGAAGAGAAGTGGCAGGAACTGGCTTCTGATCTCTCAGCCACACTTCAAGGACATGCAGGGGACATTCCTAATTCAGTTGTTCCCTTTGATGCTGCCTCGGAAATCCCTGTTGATGAACAAAAGTGAGTTAACATACAAACAGGATAGGCTGCATATACTGCTGACCCCTTGTTCTTAATGTCCCTTAGGGAGGGTGGCTAAGAGGTAATGCATGATGTGGGAATAAGGCCAAAATGAGCATGAAGCTTAAGTATTCATGAACCATGAATTTTTCAAAAAAACCACAAGATATCCCTGAAAAATTGTGCTAATGAAGAGAAATTTGAATGTTTCCATTTAAATTTGTGACACCCAAAGTACTGTTTAGAATAAAAGCAACACACATGAAAACTTTTGTGGGAAATGGGATTAGAACACTCCTTTGCTATTCTCCTGAAGAAACTTTAATCTAGGAGTGTGATGGAAACTACACAAAGACATATTGCCAGGACTGTATGCAGTTTTAAGAGGATGGCTCCTGAGGTAACAAAAGATTAGAAAAGTGTTACAGTATTCCTCCTTTTGGCTTATGATTTGTGTCCCTTGCTTTGACTCTGACTCTGACACCCTCACACTCTGACATCAAGGCATCTTGGTTACACAGGTTATTCAATAACCATGTATTTGTTTCCAGGACAAATGCTTTATCCCAAATTCAACAGTTTCTTAGAGGTCATCTTTGCAGAGAGGCTGTGGCAATGCTCAGGGCGGCCAGGTATGATCAACACTTACAGCAATTATACATTGGGAGTGGATAATCAGAAGTGTGCCACTTACATTGACACAGAACAATTAAGGTAGTATATAATCAAATCTTTTCATCCATCATTGTTTCCTATTGAATCTGGTTCTTTCATTATTCCAATTCAGAGATGTTTGGCCAGAGGATGATCATTTTGGTTCAGTTGGAATCAGTGCAGAGGATGAGTTCATGTGTTTGTCTGATATCTTCAAAATGGATCTTCCCTCCGGTAAGGGAGAAAACAGGCATAATTTTGACTCACAATCAGACAGCATGCCTAAGGCTCTTGATAAATGAAATGGTCAGTCAATCAGCCAATTTTTCACTCTTTCACTGAGTGAGGGAGTCAGTCTTCAGTTACTTAGGTGTGATTTCCACAGTTCTGGTCTTCAATCATCCCTGTCAGTAATGTTTCAACCAATTTGAGGCTTTGACATTCCCTCTGCCCTCCCCCCCCCCTGTGCAACTCCCTGGGCCTTTGGACTTTTGAAGATTATTTTTTACAAATTCCCCCTCTTCAAATGTCTCACCCACTTTTTTGTCAAAGGCTTTGATCTTGTAGACCTTTCCTTCTGAGCCATTCACTAGCTGCAAATTGATCAGTGCATAATCAAGCCTCTTAGCCAGTCAGCCTGTCAATCAGCGTGCAGCCAGTTGGTCAGTTAGTCTGTCAGATAATCAGTCAGTTGGTCAGGCTAGGCAGTTGATCAGTCAGTCAGTTATTGTTTCAGCCAGCTAGCAGTCAGTCTGTTATTCAGTCATATAGTTAAATTTAGTTTTCATCCTGTAATGAGGAATAATTTAAAATCGATGTGGTTTACCATTTTGCTTTTCCAGTGCTTGTAAGGACTGAGAATGAAGTGGAAGAAGAAGATGAAGAGGAAACCAAGCCAGGTTAGTTGGACTTAATTAAAGCAATACAACTCAATTTTGTTTCAAATGGAAATAAATCAGTTTTGAAGAAGGCTTGTGCTTCACATGACAGAAGATGAAGAGATGGCAGCAGTGCAGACACATGAAGTGGAGTTCAGCATCCAGGACTTTTTGAACAAGTATGTTTTATATTAAATGACACATTTAAAAGAGAATGTGGTCTACAAACACCATTTGTTGTTGTTTTTGTGATTTTTCCCTTTTAAATGAGTATACGAAAAGACTGGGGTGGTTGTTTTTTAGACTTGCCACTCCAGCTCTTCTCCAACCATACTGCTGGCTTTTGAAATATTACAAAGAGAACAAGGACACAACAAATCATGCCATTATCAAGATGCTTCACCGAGTTGCTGTTGACCTCAAGACACCTGCCATGCTGTTTCAGTTGTCTCTGTTTTGCACCTTCCAAAAGATTCTCTTTGATCCAGCAGCAAATCAATACAAAGTGAGTTCCATTTTCCCTCCCATTTGATAATTTAAAATTTTTATCAGTTTGTTGTCAGTGTTTAACAAAGCAAGGAATGAGTCATGAATTACTCAGAAGCCATCATAAAACACATGCACAGAAGGAAAGTGAACAACTTTATCATACTTAGTAGCTCAACAGAGTTGCAAATCTTTGGTAGCTCATCAACGAAAACAAATGGTGTTAGCATAGGTGGAAACTATGTTGTGACTACACGGTAGAAGCAGGTGGAAACTATATTGTGATGACACAGTAGAAGCAGGTAGAAACTATATTGTGACTACACGGTAGAAGCTGGTGGAAACTATATTGTGACTACACGGTAGAAGCAGGTGGAAACTATATTGTGACTGCATGATAGAAGCTTTTATTTGAAATGTCTTTCAGTTCTGAGGACAAATCAATAAGAAAATAAAAATACTTATTCCTATTCTATTCCTACTCGCAGGAAATGGTTAAGTTTTCTCGGTACATTGTTTCCAAGTTTTTTGAGTTGTTACCCAAGAATCCTGCGCTAGTAGCTGAGCTTGTGTTGTGGAAGAGTTCCGGAGACTGTTACGAGATAGTGGAGGGTTACGGTAGTTTAGCTCTGAGGTAAAAAAATTTATAAAGTATTTTTATAAGATTGGTACGTGGAAAATCATGTTTTTAAGTATTACAAAATAGAATACAACACAAGAACTTTTCCCTGGAATACTAAAGCGCTTTCCCCATTTGGGACACATTGATGTTTTAAATCAGGTTCCGTCAAATGAGATGGAACTTCTGTTTTTCTTTTTTTTATAGTACGCTCAGAATTTGAATTGAAATGTATGCCGTCATTTTAAGGGCTTTCCTTTGGTAATGTTAAAGCAAAATAATGCTACATTCTTGAAAGGTATGACCAACCCTATCTGTATAAAGCCATTCCAACTAAAAAATTCAATCATTTGCTAGAAATGCCAGTCAAAGTTCCTCAGTGTGGACATTTGAGGAGGAGGAAGAGTTACATGAACTTTATAAGGAACATAAAGACTCGGATGGTATGTAATTTAATCCGCCTCTTAAAGTATAATGAGCTGAAATATGTAGGCATTTTGATTGGAGGATAGACGCATAGATGACGTCACCCTAAACAATGTTTTGCTTTAAAGGTGGACTTGTTCTGTAAAAGATTCTGAGGACGTAAAAATATGGAAAGAGCATTATTGACGCACTAAACTGCGCCAACAACTTTTGTGTTCCTACCTCATTATGACGTGGACTGAACAGACGCATGACAACCAGGAACCTATGAGTTAACCCTTTACTCCTTATCATCGTTATGCATTAATTTTCTCTATACTGTTCTCTATACATTTCCTAAGGTGCTAACAAGGAGAATTTGTTTAACAATCAGGAACTTCTTTAGTTGATAATCATTTCCTTTATGATGATCATGATCATGAGTGATATTTCAAGGAGAAATTAGACGCTCGTCACTCGTAGGGGTTAAAGGGTGTAGGTCACCTAGAACTTTATTATTGGTGTTGGGTAATTATTGTGTGATTTAAACAGATATTGTAGATACCATCATGGAGAAGATGTCAAGTGATACCAAGAGCAGGCGACAGGTGATCTACTAATCTCTGCTTGTTCAATATTTTAACTTGATACCAGCATCTGATATTAGGAGGTCTGTCTTAAAAGTGATATTCACAAAAAGCGACAGAAACCCGAGGAAACTTTATGTTGCAGAATTCATCTCTGAAAATTACATGTTTGCATCAACCTATCGACATTCCTCAAGTTTAATTTACAATTTGTTCAAGCAGTTCCTCGGGTATTTCTGAGTTTTATTTGATTTACAGTAACATGAACGTCTTTTTGATCAACTTAGTAACAGTAGTTTTCAATAACGTGCTACATCCTTGTAATAGATGAATAGGTTGATTTCCAAAACAAATTACTTAACAGTAAATGTCAAGAACCCTTAAAGATATATATTTTCATGGGTTCATAACACTGCTGACTATTACTTGTTTCAAATTGCAGATCATGAACAAGCTTGTTGCAATGAAGCTGGTTTTAAGCAGAAAGGAATTGACCAAGTATGTTGGAGCTCGATCTGTTAGTTTACAGTTCTAGCTGGGGATGTCAATGATTGCTTGTGTATGTTCATGGTTGTAGAAGTTTCAATTTTACATTTAAATTTCAACTGGTCTGAGGACATGTGTGTCATACGTTATTTCCTCAGAAGGCCAGTTAAGAAAGGAGTGTGGTCTGAGGAAGAAGTTGAACAGCTACGAGCTTTGTATGAGGAATATAAGAATTCATTAGAACAACAAGGTAATCCGTCAGTTTTGTCCAAGGAAGCAGTAATGTCTATTGGAACACAGAATCGTGACTACAAAAATATGTTAGGGGTTTTTGGATAACAACACGTTCTCTTTTTCCCTCTTCCAAATGTGGCTCTTTTACCTTTCATGGATGCCCACTTGGATGGACTGCATCCAACTTTTATGTTTTATTACCAGGAAGGATCGGTTTTGTTTATCTTCACGGCGCTTTTTTAAATATCAGTAGAGTTGCATTCGAGTCCAATCCCACGGGCAACTTTGCTCTTTATTTTGGTTTTGTTCCATTCGTCGCCAGTTTGCACTGGTGGCAGTGAGACGGATTCCCTGAGAACCCTCCGAAAGTTTTTGTGATCTGGAACTTAAACTAAATTATTGGTCTGCTATAAAAGAGACTAACAGAATATCGATCGAGTGGCTTTGATTTTTTTTGTCAGATATTGTGGAGAAGATAATGGAGCATATGCTGAATGGCTCACGGACGAGACGTCAGGTATATAAACACACCTCCGTCTACTTTGTCAAGTGTTGTTTGAAAGAGCGAGTAGCGTTGGAATTGATGTATCGCAAATTCACCCAAACTCATTCTGTGTTTGTGTTTGTGATAGAAAATAGGTCACTTGTAGCATGTCTCGTGTAAATGTGATGAGAACAAGAAAGTTGGCCCACAATCCTGTAGGCGAGTGTGTCACTGATGTGCACACCACATGTTCAAGTATTTTTTTAAAAAAACTCTCTCTAATTTAGCGATATTTGCTGACCCTTAGATCAAATATTTTTCTCCAGATGGGAGAAAAACATCTGATTCAAGTCAGATTTTTAGCGTGAGCCTTACAAATTTGACTTGAACTTATTTAAATGTTGTTTATAATGATGGCAGTGAAAGTCCCACATGATCTAAGAACTGTTTGATTAAATTACTTAACAAGTTCCTTGATAAATTTTTCTTGGTCTTCATTTATCTGCAAGGTCTTAAATTGTATTATTATGATAATCTTTAGTATTACAAATGTTCCCTTAAAGAAACAGACGGATCATCAGTGACCGCAAATTCATCATTTGTAGGTTATAAATCAACTGGTGAACTTGGGACTCGTCGAAGACCGAAAGATGCTTCATAAGAAAAGGACGAAAGGAAATAAAAGGAAGAAGCAAAAGAATAATGGATTTATCGTGGTAATTTAGTCATGTTTGGAAGTACTCTGTGTCTGAGATATTGTTCCATGCACTCGACTTTATGGGGTTAGAATCGTCGATAAACTACATCTTTTGATCTTTGAACAGGGATGGACTGCTATCGTTACTTATTGTTAGAAATTCGCACCGTTGTCAATTTTTCAGGAGACAGCATCGATCTTCTCATGCTTGTTACTGACCTAACGCAATGTTGTGTTGTCATAGCTACAAAACCTCGATCAGTCCCGATTTTAAATCTGTTACTACTTAATTTCTTCTAACCGTTTCAGCTTTCATTTGGGACTAGAACTGATCTTATAATGAATTACAAAACAACGCATTTCCAAATTTTTGTTGCTACAATTTTAGTATAACATGTTGGATTACTTCTGTGAAGTATTTTTTGTCATGGCTTTGCTCTTTAGATCATGGAAAACTTTTCACACCTACTTACTTAACGAGAAGATGAAAATTGTGCTCAAAAGCATCACTTTTACCACCTCCTTTTACACTTTTTTGAGGAACATAACAGCTCATCAGTTATTTTTTTAGGATGACGAGGATGAAGGCAGTGATAGTGAAGGTAACTTAAATAGCGGATGAAGTTTTGTAAACTACTGGTTGTTGCGTCTAACAGTTACATACGTATAATGGCCCTGAGCTCAAAGAAAAAAATTTGAAGAGTATTTAGGCCTCAATTTTTCCGTTTTCAAAAAAGTTTTCTCTTCTTTTTTGACGTGATGTTTTCACTGGGGATAAGATATGTGCTATTTCGGTGCATTCTCAGAAAAAAAAATTAGTATGGTTCTGTGCTCGTTAGTGTGAATGTGATATGTCTGGTTGCATTGTTAACCATAAATGATGTTTCTTTTTTTGTTGTTCAGGTGGCGATGCCGTCGAGGAAGGCTTTGATCATCCGTTTTCAGATGAAGAAGAGTCAACATCTGATGATGATGATGATGAAGAAGAGGCTGATATCAGTGAAGGATCCCTGAATAACATCATTACCAAACTGACAAGCACAGGTATGGAAGCTCTTAAGATGCACAGAATTCCACAGATTTAGAAGAAACCATTGCTGGAACGAATTCCAATTTTCTCTTGTGTTCTTCTCTTTGCGAAAGATTCCAAAATTGATATTTTTAAGGGTTGAAGGAGCAGTTACTGTGGATTCAATCCAAACTTCTCAGGACAGCTGATGATAGAGAAAGCACAGGTAAATATTTCTGACCTTCTCTGAGCATTTTACTATGTAAAGATTTACCGATCAGTTATGTTGAAGATTAAGTACACTCCTGTGTTTGCTTACATAAAGCAGTTAATTTCATTCGCTCAGTTGTGTGTTTGCTTGAAAAAATTGTTTGCATTTTATTAGAAAACAGCCATTCTATTTGTCCAGCCCCTTAGAATTCACCAACTGGGAAAGCTATTAACGGCTTCTTTCATATCCTCATCTCCAAACCGCTGTTTTCTCTGAAGAGCCCAACTAAATTTGAAAAGAACACAGTCAAACCTCCACTAACAGCCGCCTCTCAACAACGCCCGAATAGCTTGCGTTGTTTTGTTTTGGTAACACAATTCACAACTTTTTATCCATTTGTACATTTCGCTGTTTTTCAAAGATAAGGAGAAATGGCAGCCACTTCCCTTGGTGACGATCACAGAGGAAAACGAGGAGGCCCTGGGTAACAAGCTCTTCAGGCAAGCACTTAAGAAAATTGGACTGAAGCCCCCAGCTAATGAACAGGTCAGCTAAATGTCTCAGAGTTGTGATATCATATAACGGATGACTGATTTGTCAGAGGGTACCTTGGCTTCGTAGCACAAACATTTTCTCGCACCACAAAACCAACAGTTTAGTACACCAGCGCACATTTGTCAATCATTTGTTTTCTTGTTTCATTCGTCAGGAAACATTCTGGAGAATTCCAACAAGGCTCAACCCAGAAAGGCTACGAATGGCTGCTAAGGACCTTGAAGGGACTGGTACTGGTGATAACGAAGAAGGTAGAAATGTTCATCTCTTGATTCTCCCTTTCTTGGAAAATTTTCGCCCGTAAGATTCTTGTCTGGTTGTAATCAAATCAGAGCGAGCCTTTGACTAGATCGGAAGTCATTAGGTCATGCATTGAATCATACTCTTAGTGGATGGTGGTTCAGTAAAAGTTTGGTTCAGCTATCTTTCCTTATGATCGTTCCTCCAATAGAGCAGTTTTCAACTGAGTTTCGAAAGTAATCCGGGATTGCTCTTGGTTTACTAAACTTTGCTCTATGATTGGTCCAGAAAACTTGTGCCATCCTCTCAACCAATCAGAGGAAGGAAAAACTAAAAACATTCGCGACTTAATCATTAGTCTTTGGATGATGATAATGTAAACCTTGTTCTTAGTGGTTGCTGCTATAACCTCAATACTCTATTGAAAACTGCTCTGATATGCAATCCTGTAGAGAAAATAGACAAATGTTCTTCGTCCAATATTTATTATTGTGTTGGGGTGTGCCGACAGTAAATCGTTTACTTGATCAAACTCTCTTTTTGGTCAGATGTTGCTCTACATTCAAAACAAATTAGTTCAAACAATCCATAGAGAAAGCTGTTTTTCGTTTTGTAAGTTTTCCACAAGAAATTGAACCTCAGACCTTCTCTAGAGAGAGATACTGTAGTCCGATGCTCTACCAGGCCCATAACTGAAGGCCCATAACCAGGTTTATTTTTTCGTCCTTTAATTCAAATCACTTTATTATTTATCATTTTTATTTGCTGAATGAGTTCTTTTTTTGTATTTTAAACAACATTAAGCCGACAATACAGATCCTGTGACACCGTCAGCCGGTAGTAAGAGTAAGTCACGTAAAAAGGCTTTAGCTGCCCTTGCCGCCGCTGCACGGGAAAACAACGGATCGGCGTCAAGGCGGAAGCGAAAAGAACGCAAACGGACTGGACTGGAAAACGGTAGACGAGGCGGAAAAGATTGGAGAAAAACAGTGAGTGGTGTGGCACCAGACGATAACCCCGGCCATGACAGTGACAGGTATGTGTTAGTCTTGAGTAATATCAGCTAAATTTAAGTCGGCACCGTAATCACCTTTGGGGTATCCCATGTTTTGGTGTGTGAATGCAAGCCGTGAAAAAAAAGGTTCTTCACTGAGTGACTTACATTTGACCAATTTGATGCAATCAACCAGACATGTCATAAGTGGCATAAGAAGCAGTTTCGTTTCCAGTTGACGTTTTCGTCCTGGACTGTCTCTCATGGAAAAAGGACACAGGAGACAAGATTGCACCAGCCTAGGAAAGAGCGTGGCCTAAAACTTTGTTGTGTGTAGTAATTAGCCAGATTTCGGTGTTTTATCATTCACAGAGAGAATTAACACAAAAGTATGAAAGCTTATTTCACCTGGTAAATAAGTGTTCTGTTTTTGTTCTTTACAATAGTGAAGGTGCAGGTGAATTAAAGAGCACGGCTGAAAAAGAACCTCGATCTCCCTCATCCCCAGGGGCACAAAATAGCGCCGACAAGAAAGAATCTTCAAAACGAGGTAAACGCCGAGTTAGAGCGCTGGATGATAGTGATGAAGATGATACTGAATCAGAAAGAGGCCTTCACAATGGACATGGCGAGTTTAACGCGAGTCTAGATGATAAGGAAAATAAGGCTACTAGCGGGAATGCTGCTGCGTCGAATAGTGATTTAGAATACAGCAGAAATATTTCTGATTCAGAGGATGTTAATTACAACCCCAGTGGGGTCAGACACACTGAAGCTGGCAAGAAAAGAGCAAGAGATGATGACAGTGATGAACCTAGTGATGATGATGATGATGACGACGAGAAATTTAACTTGCCATTGAATTCTCACAAAAAAGCCAGGCGTATTGTTGTTGACGATGATGACGATGAAGAGTGAAGACACATTGAACAACTGAAATAATTACTTATTATTAAGATTTTTTAAGGGATGCAGCTATTAAAATTGCTGGCATTAAATAATTTGTCATACTGCTACCACTTGCGTTTTCTTTTGTTCAGATCTTTTTCTCTCATATCGCCCTTTCCTTCCCCCTTCCCTGGTTAGCTTGATAGTTAGAATCTCGCGCGTTACTTCAAACAAGCACGTCCTACGCCCATGTAGAGCACAAAATTCAACTAACAACCAAGACACATCAGTAAGACATTATATGGTGCATGATGACACCAGGTTTGCTTTATTTTGTGGCGGAAGCCGCACAAAGCTCTAAGAAATAGCTACTGAAAAACGTCATGTGTTCTTTCCTTTGGCAAAAATCTGTTCAAAGTGACTGGTCACTTAAAATATTTTTTTAATTGTTTACTAATAGTTACAATAAGATATTGCGAACCAGACAGGTAAGTTTTTAAACTTTAAGAAATAAAGTAAAACACGTAAGCCGTTGATTAAATTGCTTTGGTTTACAATAATTCTACTTTAAGACAACAGCATTCAAAGAAAGACATGGTTAATTGGGATTTCTGCCTAAGGAGTACTCCTCTAAATTTAAAATTTAACATTTTGATACAAGTTGCCGTATTATTCACTACCATTTACTGATAACTTGAAAAATTCCTTTAACAGATCTTCCACAGCATTTCTTGTTTTTAATGTATTTGCCTTTCCTTGGAATCTTCCTTTTTTCCCACCACCTTTTCCTTCCAGAAGAGTAGCAATTCTGAAAATGAGACCACACTTTATTTACCAAAACATCCTCCCAAACTACTTGACAAGGAATCTTGTGTTTTATGCAATATCAAATGGAATTATCTGGTGTCAAGTCCACGAGACACAATGAATGTAATTGGTTAGACTGGTTTTCATCCCATATCCACCAGGGAATACATATGGTATTCTGGGGTTTAACATTATTCAAGATGTTTAACATTAGTCAAATTCCATAGTAGAAGATTAGGGAATGGAAAATATGCCACAAATTTTTAGGTTGAGAATTAAATCTAAAATTACAATTCCAAGTAATGGTGGATTAACTTCACCATGAATTAATTGACCATGCTTAGAGTGCCAAAGATCTGTGCAGATTTAAACACAGTGATCCCAAAGTTTAGTAAGGTGTGGACATATTTTACATTGATAAGGTGTCTAAAAAACAATAGTTGTACTTCAACACAAAGTCAGACTTAACAATAAATGAATGAAACTTACTTTGGTCCTATTTGGGCCACTTGTTTTTCATTGCCATACAAAAGGAACTGTCCTGGCCCTTTATCAGGGCCAACTGTCACCAGCACTGGAAGAGGCTACAAACAGAGACAAACTATATTTGTTGGCATGAATTTGCCAAAGAAAATTTGCTTAGCAATACCCAAGCATTAGACAATTCTAAATCTAAGCTTGGCCAGGGTCACTTTTGCAAAGGATCTTAGAATGTCTGAGAATCATGCTAACAGCTAGGCTCTTTTCAACAGAAACAATTTTAAGACTGTTACACTTCATTTACCTGGTCTGATAGTTCATTCACCAATGCATTCATGTAGTCCATGTCTCCATTTTCTCTGCAATAAAAGTGAATTTAAATTCACAGGGGACCTGATACAGAGGTTAGACAACACAGCTGCTCTTTCTAATTCAGGGCTATATTAGATACTCCTACATTGCTTAGGTAAATCCTTATGGTTGTCAAGATTTGTTTTGTTGTTGTCAATGTTCTTTTCATTTTTAATTCATGCCCACTTACACTTCTTCCTGCATCCTGAATTCATTTATATCAATAATCACTTTGCTAATCTTGTGTTAAAATAACTGCATAAGAAAAATAGTGTCCTTGACTATTATGAAAAACCAAAACCACACTTGCATCAGAGTCTTGCACACAACAAGCTCAGAAAATACAAACTTAACCCTATTTCTTTAGCATGAAAAAATTAGGATTTTGATTGCTTGCTAGTCCAACACACACTAGCCCAAACACCAATTTTGTCTGGTTTCCCTGCCAATTTATGTGGAATTGGAAACACAAGGGTGGAGAGATGCACTGTGAGAGGAAGGGTAACCGTGTCTACAATGCTGAACTGAAAAGCCATGTTACTTAATATATAGCTTATATAGTGCTGATATCAATATTGTAGTTATTTTCCTTGATAACACAATAGACAGCACTTTTTGTCTGTTTAATAACATCATAGCCAACATAGGATACTGAGGTAACACAAGAAATCATGAGCAGAAACAAAATCCCTCAAAAACTTTGAGAAATCTCCCAGCATCGCAAGCACACAATAATGCCAGTGAACAAATAAAGAGTGCAGTCTATAACTTTTAATTCATTGTGTAGCCATGGGAATACTGGTAAAATAAAAAAAATGATGGACCAGTTACAGTATGGCTGCATACTACTCAGTTCATAAACATTTATAACCACCTGTGTATAAAGAGGTATGTTTTTGTTTCACTTGTTGCTTTAAGCTGGTAAGCTTCCAACTGTGCAATCTCTTTTAGCTGTGACTTTGTAACCTGTATATCAATGAGTGGACAAAGTGGGTGAATACCAGCAACATTGACAAAAAAGCAACAAGTACACCTGTACAAAGCAGTTACTTTATTTCAGAAACGATGTGCTGCAATTGCAGGAGTAAAAACTTGGTAGCTATCAGCAGAGAGATAAGAAGTACAGTTACCCTGGTGGTATTAAACAAATACCTCTGAAAGCATGTAAAAGACACTACCTTATTTACAGCCTTAAGTGATGTTTGAATCCGATCCACAGCTGTGGAGTGATCATCAGGTCCAACACTACACAAAATTATACAAACACTTCATGATTTGCTTTTAATGACTATCTACTTTTCTAGGCATCAACAAGTGCATTTAATTAATCAACATGAATTTTAACTAAGCCACTTAAAACCTATGGTCCAGCTCACTGCTGCACCTTAAATGTGGCCATGTGAGCTTAACAAAGGTTAAACTGAAAAACAACTGATTGAGAACTGACAAGAATCTGTTTGTGTTTTACCTCAACATTTTTGTCAATGCTCTTTCGTTATCTAGAGCCTTTCCCAGATACTTTAAAACTCTGTTTCCTGCCAAAAAGAATAGTCTGGTACCTCCTCGCATTGACTCTGTCTCAGGGTACAACTTAATAACCTGCCAAATAAAATAAACAAACAAAAAAGCAAATGCATTCTTCATTATTTAACACATCTTCTTGACTTCGACCAAAATGAAAAGACATCTATGTGTGTGCACAATGAATTGATTTAGTACAACAATATGATCCTTGGCACAGTCATACTGCTATATGGAAGCCTCCATGGGAGGAGAGATGAAGTAAATTTGGTTAAATCTTATTGACAGATGACCTTGTGGGCCTGACTTGCATAGTTCAGAAAACATCCTCATTAGGGACCCATTTTGTTGTTTTTTCCCTTGTGCAGAGAAGTCAAGATTAATTCTGAAAGTGCCACCATGACCAAATTTTCACCACTGATATTCTAGGGGATTTCACAGAGAATTCTACTGAAGTTCATAAATGGCATTTTCCATTGTGAAATATCATGGTTAAGTCCAGGAGATATTTTTTAAAAGTTTGAATAATTGCTAAAAATATTCAGAAGGGTGATGCCATCATATCCTGAACCTAAAATTTTGGGAATATTGTTTGCTTCATTTAGTTGAAATTTGATTGAGGGTATGGCATCATCACTTTGCTAAATGACATCACTCTTCATTTAGAATCTACTTGTCACTGTTTTGAAATGGCTGATATGAGACAGGTATGAAATTTCACATGGCAGCATTTTTTCCCACATCAAAGAACCTCACTATAAGAGAACTTCAAGGTAATGCCTTATAGGGTGTCAAATGCTGGTTATTGAAAGAATCAAAGGATCTTAAGGTTCCCACATTGATTAATATAAACCACACAGAGAGAGATTTATTTCAAAATGAAGAAACAAAAACGATAAAGTCACATGATTACAAACATCAAGTTTCTCATGACCTGATGTCACACTGTACAAGTCTGTAACACTCACTAAATAGACAAAGGAATAGGCTTCCAAAACTAAAGTGCCAACATTTTGTGACAAACAAAACTTCACAATCTTGTTCCCAGCTCTTTTTTGTTTCCCTCCTTGTTGAGGAACACAAAGAAGTCTTCACAGCCTTACATACAACAAAATAACTAGGGCATCCATTTACCTGAACTTGACTAAGATTGGTAACATGAGTTCCACAACACATGTTTCTGTCTATACCTAGTGATTAAATGATGACATTAATTAAAAACAAGTCTTAAAATTTGCCATTTGTGTTAAATGACAACTGTACAACAACAGAAACTATTTTAAGGAATTTAAGTAAAAATCATCAATATATAACTGGAAATCAACGCAGTTTGATGACTTGCACATTGTATATTACCTCTCCTTACAAAGGAGATATAGTATAATTTGATTAACTCTTTTCACCCTTTTCTTCTAACATCAGTATGCATATCCTCCATAGTTTTCTCTCTGCATTTCCTTAGGTTCTGACAAGGAGAAATTGTTGATGATCATTTCTTTTACTCTTGAGACCTTAAAGTGTGATTCAAGGGTGACATTGCAAGAAGGAATCAAATGCTAGTCACTCTTAAATGGCAAAGGGTTAAAACATATGGCAAGGGACATCTAATAGAAGGCTTGTGTCCCCTCCCAGGGAAACTTTTGTTTCCCTTGCACATCACTGACCTGGTATTTCAATCACTCTGACAGGACCTTCATGGTCATCAGGAAGACCTCTTGTGCTTGCCTGGGGAGAGAAAGAACTATCACGTTAACAGTGTATTGAAAACACAGCATCCATAGTCAAACAATTGCATTTACATGTGTACCACACCTTTTGGGGAGACATTCACCTAACACATGATAGCATAAGAAGAAGAGGCTGCTTTGGTTTTTTTTTTTGGTTTTTTTTTTCTCTGATTGCTTTGGCATTGGCAAAAATGGATGAATTGATGATTAGAAGACCCTCTGGTTTAAAAAATCCTTTGTCTTAATGCATGAATATAGGCTTATGCATGTACTTGTTTTTTTTTTCATAAACCAGCCTTCAGAGGAATGTACTAAAACCCCAAACAGTAAAACCAAACATCTGAAACAACCAAAACAACCATAATAACCAAAATTAAACAATTATAATGACCAAAATAAAACCACTACAATAATATAGATGAAATGCTGTGGAAAATGTGGATTTTACTTCAGACATTCTCTTGCTTTCAAGGCTCTCTTACAAAACTGATTATTTATTTTCCACCCCACAAGCAGTTGAAACTTTAATTTGACATTAGTGTGTAGTTTCCAGGAGAGAACACCAGCCATATTAAGATAGATCAGGAGTAGACCATAATCTAATCTAGAGGAATATGATGGCTGACCCCTGACAGCCCTGAGTGTTAATTTTATTATTATTGACTGTTTTTGGTTTATTTTTTTTGGGAGTTTCCGTCGTTTTGTTTTAGTTGCTTCAGTGGTTTCTCTTGTTTCACTTGTTTTGTTTCTGTCGTTTCATTTTGCTGTTTCAGATTTTAGTACATGCCCCATTAGAAAGAGCAGATTGTTAATTAAAGCTATTTATTGTAAATGACATACTTGCTGCTTAGATGTTCAGGGTCCAAAGAGGACAGTCTTTCATAAAATTTGCAAACTTACATTCTCTTGTTTAGCAGAAGTTGCATCAGGATAAATATGAACATTGACTGGTGTATTTCTCCTTATGATTTCATTGGCTGTTGTCTCTATCCATTCCATTTCTTCTGCAGTGAGCTTTTTGCAGTTTAGTTCTATGTGTGAACGTAATTTTCCTAACTCCCTAACAACAACAAAAATTAAAATATCTGTATTAACAATTCTTTGTTTCTCTGGGTCTGCATTCCACCTTGTGATGATCTTATCAATTGATTGTTGTGTAAAGAATCTAACTGAACATGTAATTCTGTATATTAACAATAACTTGCTTACCATGAAGTTGTTTCATAACCAAACTTGTTTTCAATGATGGCAGACACTAAGTGCTGTCCTGAAGTTTGAAACAGTGCAGGTGAAGTTACCATCACTTAGGAAATATTTTGAGAAAGAAGTTTGTCTTGCCACTCAAAATCAATTACATCAAGAATATGTTGAGTGTGAAGCTTAAGTGTTAGACACAAAATAATGACAGTAATAAGTATTGAAAATTTATGTTGTGTTGTTTCCTGATTGGTTGACCCATATTCAAAATAAACATGTGAAACATTTTCCTGGATCATTCAAACTCAGTTTTCAACCCTAGATATAAACATTCCTCGGGCTACATGCCATAGATAAGTTTGCAATCTAGGATAGAAATTGATTATGTTTAAAAATTATCCACAATACCAGTAAACAGCTAACGAGCAAAAGATTACACAAACAAAACTGTCTCATAATAGTCCTAAAAGCACCTGAGTGTTGTTGCATGTGGTCAAATCTCCTTGACCAATCAATGACAAGATTAACTTCAGTTGCTTCAGGAACTGCCTCAGGAATGTAATGGATAGCACGTCCCCCTTGTCTAACCACTCTCATGACTTCAATGCCATTAATCTGTTGGGGAGACAACATATATCTCCTTCCTTAATGAGAAGCATATAAGAAAATATATTGTATTCAGTGAATACATTTAAACTTAAGTTTTTTGTGAATAAAACTGAGAAAAAAGATGACTGCAACCATGGTTTCGATAGAAGAGGTCCCATACTATAATAGTTTCGCATAGTGCCATGTAGCCTATTGTTATTTCTCACAATTCATTCTCCCTATCTGAGTGTATTGTAGGTGAAGCACACTTCCCTTCACTAATCAGGCATCTTACAAAGAAGACAGCCCTAGATGGTATTAAAAGTTGTTGACAATCAATGGCTTTATCTTGATCCCATTCAGAGGTACTAATTCCTCAAGATATCACTGAATTTTACCAGTTGCTGGCCAAGAATGGGACCATACATTTGGCAAAAAAATCAACTCCATGCAGGTAGCTCTTTTGACCAAAAACTTACAAACACAAACAGTTGTACTGACTGTGATCACATCCCCTATATTTTAAAGTTATCTACAATGATTTAAAATTGCAGTAGTCACAATCAAGGTCAATCAATGAAAAAAAGAATTCTTAATTCCATAGCAGTAGTGGAGAGGAGTTATTCAAAGCTAATACATACTGTTCCTCTATCATCAGGCTGTTCATGTCAGCAGATTAATCACAAATGGACCATTCAGCATGAGGAAGAAAAGAAGTATCATTGTGTTATATAGAAACTCAAATATATATGTATGTAACAGTCCTAATAGACTGAATCTCACCAGCTACAAACATTTGGTTTTAGTATAAAGCTAGCAGCACCTATGGGAACAATGAAGCAAATCCTGTATCTTGATGTTCTGATTGCCTGCCAGAGTACTCAAGATGGGCCCTGGACTTGCCCACTCTAATCCTACTTTGAGCAGGGGATATTCAAAGTCAACTTTCAAGAAAGATTAGTGAATGTGTGTCAACTCAACCCCCTCTCCCCCCTCCCCCAACAGAACAAAATGACCTTCATCTCAGATAACTGTGTGGCAGAACATCAGGCAATTACCCAACAACTAAGTGTATGGATGCTGTTTAGTAATCTGTAAGAACAGGTGTGATGTGGGAGTCATAAAGAGACTGGGAAGATCATAACAGTCATTATTTCCATCATCTGACACTACGAAAAACCAATCTTTGCATCACACATCAAACCAGAGATCTTACATGTATATCCTTATTTCATACTTCCATTTATGTACTTATTTGGAAAGATTTCCGGTACATATCTATTTTTTTCGCCATTGTTTTCTCTCTCCAAGAACTTCATACGCATAATGAAGTAAGAAACTGTGCATAAATCTAACCAAATCGCGAAATAATCCCTGCCTACCTGACCCCCTCCTTCGGGAAACAAGACAGTGTCTTCCAGAACAACTTCGTACACAGCCTTGTCGGCAAGTTTGCTTGATTTACAGGACAACACCTGTGTCCTCAGCTCTCTGAGGAAAGAATCTTGTTGACATGCAAAAACCATGCTAGTTATTCGACGCGTTGACCAAATGTTTTCAAATACCTTACGGCTAAATCGTAAAGAACGTTGCATACGCTCGATTGAACGAAAGAAGGACGGAAGCAAGTCAACGAGCTTGACGAGCCAGTTATCTATCAGCGGTATAAGCTCCAAAAATTTAGCTTAAAAAAATTCTATACATAAACTTCCCACTTCTTTATATCTGCGGGTCCCATGGTGTAATGGTTAGCACTCTGGACTTTGAATCCAGCGATCCGAGTTCAAATCTCGGTGGGACCTTCCTTTTTCCGTTCCCTTCCTCTTTTTTTAACTTTATTTTCCTTATCATACCATGTAAAAGGTCGAACAGGCAAATTTTTCGAGTCGCAAAAGCAATGTATTGTCTATTCTACTCTTATCTAGACCGTATATGAGATTTAAAAATTCATCCCCCAGCAAATTCTGTTTTCCAGAGGGCGTAAAATTTCAGAAATGAGAATCTTCAAGGTGAAAGCTCCAATACCAGCCAGGGGAAATATTCAGGATTTAAGAATAAGATATATCCTATTAGAAACGTTTGGATGTGTGACAACAGGTTTCTCATCTGTGTGTTTGTTGACAATTCCAAGAGTTTTCCTCCTCTGACATCTAACACTAACTATAAAACCAACAGTTGTTAAAAGACAATAGTAAGAGAGGACACTTTAACCTGTCCACAATTCCAAGGAAACCACAGAGTAGTTAATCAACACTTTATTTAATTTTATTTCAAACACATTCAGGCCCGGGGAGGCCTCTGCCTGCTTAGACCAAAATTAGTTCAATGTACATGTTTCGTTGCTTTGTATCTATCCACTACTGTTAAATTTCAAAAGATTTCTTTAGTTGCCATTTGTCAAAAAACTTTTGATGGTACCACTGTTGCAAAAAAAAGTGGGAAAAATTCTGTAAAAATTGAGTTAAAACCTTTACTCAGACAGAAGAACGAACTAAGATAGCATGTTTGTTCCTGGATGTTATACTTATCTAAGTAATGTACTTTGGAACTTGAATGATTATTGGTCAGAGAACCCTAAAGTTTGTTTAAGAGCTCAGATGTTCACGTAAAAGGGATAAAATGAGAATAACTTTAAATAGGTAAAATAAAATTTAAAATGTTGAATCAAGACTAAAAAAAGTTGTTAACAACAATCCCTTTGGCCATAAGCTTGGAGATCATTCCTTCTGAAACCTGTAAGATATAGTTCATCAAACTAAATGATGCTATTTCTGGTTCCTAACCCCTGCATCTTGTAAACATAACCCATTCATAATTTCCCAAAGTAAAAGAATGAAATTAAGATTCATATTATCAACAAAACAATCTGTTTACAGGGTAAAAGGAAAAGAAGCTGTTCTAAATCCTACTAAAGGAAGACTGAGGAGGCAGAATTTAGGACTTAAAATCCTCAGCTGCAAGCAATGTCACAGCTTTCAATAGACTGAATGAAATGGAGGAATCCAGTTGATGCCCTGTAAATGCCTCTTAGTGTTTTAAGGTTTGATGATGATTAGAAATGTTCACCCCCAAACTGTTTACCTCTACACCACAGATGTGACCAACACCTGTTAATATCCTCATTAACCTTTCTACTTGACATAAGAAAAAGGATATTATTGGTAAGCACTATTATTTGCAACAGACAATACTAATTTCTTCAGCATTACCAAAACCATCTTGATGATCAAACTTGATGGCCAGGCCACTGAGCCCTGTTATCATGTCCAGGATTCTAGTGTCATAGATATTGCATTTATAGAACCAGGTCTGTACCATGAAGTGTTTAAATGAATGGCTTATGCAGCATACCTCAATCCTACAATTTTTGGCGTGAAGACTAAAATTTATCAGTATAAATTTATTGAACTTGATTCTACAAGACAAATGGGTACTTACAGTGCAACCCTTAATTCTCAGAAGCTCCAGCTTGCAACTTGGTGACAGAAATTCTTTAATGCTCTGATCAGTGACATAGAAGCACCAACTTACATCTAACTCTGTTAAGCCACAAGACTGCTTGGCTACAACACCTATACTCTTATCAGTCACACCATAACAGCTGCTGACATGAAGTTCTCGAAGAGCAGAACATCTTTCACTCAAAGCGATGACACCAGCATCTGAGATCTAAAAAATTACAGTATGAAGAAACTAGAGATTTCCTTTAGCCACAAAACATTGCCCTGAAGATGCCTCCCCATAACTATAATAGAATTTCTTACAGTTGCTAATTTTACTGCTAAAACTAATCCTTTAACTCCCACGAGTGACCAAGACAGAATTTCTCCCCACAAAATCAGTAGACAAGTGATGATAATGAAGAAAGGGATAATTAGTTGATCCAATACCAAATTTCCAAACATCATGGGAATTTTAAGGAACACAGGAAGGAGAATTACTAATGAAGAATTACTACTGGGAGTGAATGGGTTAAATTATGCTGAATCCAAATGATAGTTAACTAAAGGCTTCGTGACCAGGTGACATTCCAATATTGATAATTATAGGAATGACAAGCAGAAGGGGACCTATGATGATATTGCAGTTCTTTGTTTGCGATGAAACATGTTAAAATTGCTTCTTGAGTATTAAGACAGGAAAGTTAAGTGTATTATTGTTATGTGTTGTAACATATAATTCAACAGCTGAAGACAACTGGCAAACAGCTTACTAACACAATTAGTATTAAGTCACTCATCTACCGTAAAACAGCTACTGAGATCCAGCTCTGTTAATTCCTTACAGTGCCTTGCTAATGCTTCGAGTCCAGCATCAGTGACTCCTTTACACTTGCTTGTTGTAAGAACAGACAGCTTCTTACAATTCTTGGCAATCAAAAACAAGTTCTCTTCTGTCACACACGGCCAGCACGAATCAAGATGAAGAACTCGGAGATTGCTGGTATACATGAGCAAATGCTTCAATCCATGTTCGGTCAGAATTGATTCATAAGGTACAAAATCCAGGCGAAGTACGCTTCTAAGGTACTCATTCACTTGATCCTTCCATTTTCGAGAAAGTTTTCTACAATGACAGAGGGTTACCACATCTAACAGTCCAAGAATCTTGAAGGTAATCTCAGTAGGGAAAATCTGAGGTGGATCTAGCCCTGATAAGCTTCTTTCCTTTGCATCCATTACTTACATGACATTAAAGAAAAATAATATAATCCTGACAGGCTCGATGGTATTTTTAATTGTCTCCTAAAGAAATAAGCTGCTTTTATTTGAGGATGCATTTGACTTGAAAACTTCAGAGGCCATGTGGAAAAGAACCACTTGTGATGTTATATTTTCTGTTCCACTCTTAGCTCACATCTCCGAAATTGTCGTCCTTGCTGTACAGCAAACAAAACAACACTGAAAGGACGAAATTCGTTTTGCAAACGTTAGAGTCAGGCTCTTCACAGAAACGGTGAGGACACTGGGTCCCACCACAGCCCAACCACACTATGTGTTCGTGGTTAATTATTGTTGACATGAGACGAACAAAATGTACGAGGGCTATGAAAAAAGCTCTGAAAATTGTGTATCTATATTAAATCTTGGCATGAATATCTCATTAAGTTAAATGAAATGTCTCAGAGGCTTGGCGTTTTACAGAGAATAAAACATCTTCTGCCAAGAAATACAAGGAAACTCTTTGTAAAAGCCATGGTGCTGCCAATCCTTGATTATGCAGATGTGACTTGGGGGGATAAATCCAACACCACTCTGATGAACAAGATCCAATTACTCCAGAATAAAGCAGCTAAATTAATTTTAGATATGCCAAAGCATTCATCAGCAACAGAAGCTCTTGATCTACTTGGTTGGGATACATTGGAAAAAGGCCTGAAGATCACATCGTCTATTTTTTTGTTTTTAAGTCCTTGAATGGACTAATTGATTGGAATTTTAATTTTAATCATTTTAAAGATATACATGATTATAACACTCGTTTTAATAACAACATTTGTAAACCACAATCAAAGCGTACATGGGGTCAGCATCGGTTTGTTTGTCATGCAGTAGATGACTGGAACGCTCTCCCAGACGGCATTAGGAACATTTCCGATTTTTCAGTTTTTAGACGTCTTGTTAAGAATATGTAGTCTCTTCTATTGATTATACCCTTTTATCCTATTCTTGATAACCATATTTATATTTTCTGTTATCCTTACGTTAGATTTATGCAGGGCCTCACTGAAAACCACACTTTGTGACGTGGGCTCCCTGTCAAAAGATCTTATTATTATTATTATTATAATGTTAGTCGACTCATTTGTGGTATTTTCGAGTGTATTTTTGAGTGTGGTTTGCCTGTGGAAAAGGCCTGGAACTTTTGTCCTCTTCTTCTCTTAACGGCCCCCGGCCAAAAGTAATTTCGTAAAAAGACGCTTCAAACGGCCCATGAAGGCGAAAAAAGACGACAAGTGAGTCGACTAACATTCCATTTAACTTCATAGAGATATTCATACCAAGATTTTATTTAGATATGCTATTTTCATAGCTTTATTCATAACCTTCGTAGATTTTTTTCGCCTCACGTCAACAATAATTAACCACGATCACAAAGTGTGGTCAGCCTGTGATTACACCTTCCCTGTTCCAAGGGGCGAAATGTGGGTCGTAGTTTCCCAGTTGTAAGAGATAGTCTTATGTTTATTTTCCCTTTTTTCTGAAATTGTTAGGCCAAGTCTCACAGAATCCCATGATGTTAAAGATTTGTCCAATCTCTGACAATGATGAGGAGGTAAAAACCCTTGACTAAAGCAGACCGACTACTTCATCGACTATTCAGCTTATCAGACAGCTTGACACCCACCCACCCCCCTCCTTACACTTTTGTCGTTAGAATCATCAGGTAAAGAAATTATCTAGTCTAAAACCATCGACTGACGAGGCCACTGGTCCTGAGTTTCATGTCTTTAATGGTTGGTGATACTGTCATGTATAGACCATAACTGATTAAGCGATGTTCAAGAATGGTTTTCCTATTGCTACAAATAAGTATAGACTAACATTCCTCCATATCTCAGGAAAGACCAAGGAGGTTGTTGTCAGTAACTCGTAAAACAATTTCATAGAGTCCCAAGGCCCGTTAGTCGAAACGTCGCGATCAACATCAAAATTGACTTCATCGTGAGACAAACGAATAAAGTTCATCCATTGTACACCACGATGAACGATAAACACATACTTCATTACAACCTAAAGGTTGTTGCGACATCAGGTAACCTAGCGACCAATCAGTGAGCTTGCTGACGATATTCACCGGCAAACAGTTAGGTCTGGTCAATTACAAGGAAACAGATTCGAGCCCATAACCTTTTTTTTCTTTTTTTTTTGAAGGACCCCATAGTTCAGTTTTAAGCCTAAACTACGTTTAATTTTTGTAAATGATCTTCCTGAGTCGCTTACTTGGGGTGATCCGGTCATAATTGCTGATTATCATAGATAAAATCTTCGCTGATGGCGCGAACACTAACAATATCATTTTGAAATCAGAATCTATGTTGGTGAATACGTGGTGCATGAGTGACAGGTTGATAGTCTACGTGCCTGAATCAGAAACTTAAGTGATATCACATCAAAACTTCGTTGACCTTTTCCACCTCCTGTAAACCTGTTACCCTAACTGAAATGAGGTTCACGTTAAACAATAATTAACGATGATTCCATCGCCGCCAGGCAATTTATGTTCATGGAGGTTGAGGTGAAGTGCTTTTTTGGCCATAATAATGCGCTTTGACCTTTGATCTACTCGTTAGCCGGATCAGTCTTATTTCTAGGTACCATGTAATGGTTCAGGATGAATAACGTACTGGCCAAGTTGTCAAAAAGTCAAAATGTTACTTGTCACTATGCATGCTTTGCTACTGATACTATCATTGGCGATGCTTATTTTCCGCTCGGAGAATTTACCGTTGGTTGCTTGATTCTAATTTGTAACCACTTTAGTTTTTTGTAAATACGTACACTGATAACCAGTTGCACCCAAATAATCCGTTGCATACTCGGAAATAAAGATCAGTATTTGATAAACTAGGAAAAGACCCTTACACCGACACAAACAGGCTAAGATTAAACTTTTGCTGAAAAGCTACAACCCTTTATCCACTAACATTAGCAGGAATATTCTCCATACTGAAGAATTTTTCAAACCGTCAATAGCTTTTAGGGTTGGCGATCATTTCCTCTAGTCATGATCTTAGTAAAATATTAAGTGGTGTCACTATGAGAAGGACGAAGACGCTGGTCACTCTTAATAAGGATTTAAAAGGTTCAGCAATACTTATCGGCATCGAAGAAAGAACTTTTTCTCGTTTTATTTTTTGGATCTTTTGAAAAATTCGGTAACCAGCAAACGAGATCAGAGGCTTTTCTGTTCACGTTCGTATTAGTGAAAGTGGTTCAAAATCTGCATGTTAATTATTGGTACTGAGAAAAGTAAAGTCAGTTAGAGAGACACAAAAGGAAGACAGAAATCGTTGGCGAATTGACTCACAATTTCGAGTGTTGATATAGTTGTAGATCTTTCTCATGTGGCGGGGAGTTACAAAGATTAAAAATTGATGGCATGATAGATTTCAATGTTTTTACGCAAATTTCACCTGGTGCAAGAGGGGAAGAGAAGGGTGCGCAAGTAAGTCTGTTTTAAAACACTCCTTGTGTACTGGCCATCTTTCGACACAGTTTTACCACATTTCCACGTTGAGTGTTTCAGAGTAAATGAGTTGATTCTTATTTCAGCGTGAGCTGGTTTGTCGCATAAAGAATTGTAAAGGTTGATGAGTATCTGCACTTCATTAAGTAATAAACGCAACACTCCAATTAAACTTTGGCAATGTTCTTTAATCAAGCATTCTGCTCTGCTCATTTGAAAGAGATTTGGCATTGTGTAGTATATATATACCACGATCTAAAGTTTCATGACATATAGTGAATCAGATAATTTACTAAATAGTATTCCTTTGGATAATAAATAACTCGTACACTTTTTCAACATTATCATGACCGCTTGGTCGGCAAAAAAAAATTACGTTTCTTTAGTATTTTCTCTCAAAAACTGAACGGAAGTTCTCAACAAATTACGATAAGCTTAAATATTCTATAATACAAGTCTTCCGAAAATATCAACTCCGTGTAAAAATATTTCGTACAAAATTAACGACACAAGTAGTATACAAAGCGTAACTTTGCAATAGAGCCTAGTGTAAGTGAGTCATTGAGGGCCATCCACATTGGACATGCAATCATGACTCCCCCCCTCCCCTCAAGTTAATTTTGACGTCCTATAATACAACAGTATAGTCGCAATATGGCTACTAAATGCTTTGCTTTGAAATATTTCTTTTTCTAGTTTTTTTCATTTGGAGGCTAACAATACTGTACAAAATAAGTTCGACTTGAAATAATAAATAATTCACTTAAATCTACAGAAAGAAACCTTCATCAATCTTGGACCTAAATACACAATTGATTATGAAACAGGAAAAAACAAACGTTTTGAATTTATGCAGAATTCTGGTAGAAGAATTTGACTAATAATAAGAACTAAAGTTAATCAAAGAGTCTCGATTCCACGTACAAACTTTGCAAGAGCACAATTCGAATATGTCTATAGCTATACATATATATAGTTTTTTTCTGCAATGAAAGGGTAACAAGGAATTGGGTAATCGAATCAAAAAATCAAACCGCATAAGGGAATTGCACAGAAGCATAGGAACACCACACAAAGGTCACCTTGAAATAAAGCGCGAATAGATTCTAGCTCACTGACACTGAATCAAGGTACTCAATGAAACTTTATATAGTTAATCTAAGGTGACTACTTCTATTCTCCGCCGGCCATATTCTGAAAACGGATCTCTACCAAAAAAGTTCATCAGGTTTCTTTCTTCGTAGTCGCTTACATAAACACAATCGTCCTTCATGACGTCTTGCTGAATTGAGTCTCGCAGCTGACGAGATTTTCGCACAAGATTCTGAAGTTGAAGTGTAGCCATTTCGGACAATTTCATTCGGATTTTGTTGAAGTCTGAACGGTAACCAGTCTCCAAAAACCTGAGAGAAGCAAACGTATAAGCCATTAGGAACAAGAACGAAAATTGCACAAAGAGGATAAGCTAAAAAGGCCAAGTTGTAACAGTGCCAGGCGGTAAGAAGCACAAGGTAACCCAGCCTAGCGGTGTGGGGCGGCAGTCTGAGAGGGAAACCACAAGTAAAGTGGCATTGTAGGCACAGATCTACTGAAAAGGGTAGAACTTATTTGCTTAGTTAGCGCCAATCAATGATTGTGAACCGGCATAGGTGAACTAGTCACCTGTGTCACCTGTGCCACAGATCACCCATCAATACTTTTGAAGTTTTGGTACTTGTGACCAATATCCCACGCATTCCGAATGTTTTCATAAAGAACGAATCAGCCGTGGTACAAATTCCTAAAACGGCCTAAGTAACCAAAAGAATGTGCGCATGTTATCAGCGGAAGGTTTGGGGTTAACGACCGGACTCCAGAGCATTTTCGTATCGTTCACTCAAGATTCGCACGATCAAGAATTCTTAATTGATCGCCCATTCCAAAAACTAGAACAACTGTTAAGAATTTGTTACCTCTGAACCAGTCCAGACACGCAATCGGACGAGAAGTGTGAAGACGATAGGTCTGATGATAAACACGCCGGCCTCAAAGGTCTCATGACAAAATCTCCGAGAAGAGTGTGTAACCAGCTGTTGTCCTTAAACCACGCTACAACGATCTCTTTTCTTTCAAAGTACATCTTGAGACGGTTGAAATCCTCCATATTTCCTTTCTCCAGAAATTCCCTTAGGGAAAAGAATAGGTGTGAACATTTTGTAAACATCGAAATGTTTGAAAGGAAATAATTAAGGCGGAGTTGAGAAATTTGAAAAAAAAGCAAGTCTGATAAGCATTGCACCAAATTTACAAGGGATTGTTAAAACTTCTCTTGCTCTCTAACAATAAACGAAGCAAAATATTTTAATTGAGTTAAATAAGAGACACACTAGTCTGATTTCTGTAATAAAGAAGACAACAGGTAATTTTCCATCCGCCACCAATCTTTCCTATTTGTTATAGGAAAATAAAAAACTATAGTAGATGATACACAGACACTTCAAATACAAGTAACACGTTTTAATTCACAAGAATTTGAAACACGATGGTGAGCACTACGTGGACGTGATCAGGAAAACACTTCAAATCCCGCTCTTAGTAATATCGAACTATCTGGATAAGAGCTTAATGCATTTTTACCTTTTGATATTAAAGAATCGGAATTGAAAAAAAGACGTTCTACTTGAATGGCAAAACTAAATAACGATTATGCAGGTGAGTATATTTAATCTGCGGGGAATGCGGCGCTTGTTCACCACACCATTCAGGTCAATAAATCCTTTCACATTCACATTTGACGCCGGGAGCGAACCTTGGGTATTAATTCCATAATTTGAATGCAAGGTATGTACGTCCGCTTGCGATGTTGGTCTTGTGGCTTTGTCATGCAGGTCTAATATCACTAATTATCGCTCGATTGTGGTCAGAAGTTAAAATATCAGGGATCATCAAAATACTCAAGTGATAGGCACTCGAGACGACGTTCGGTTGGGTTTGGTGATACTTGTTGTTTAGCACACGACTGAAAGCAAATACGTTCAAGTGACGAACTTATGAACTGCTCGTGCAATATGTGTGTTTGTTGAAACCAAAGAACTTCCGCAAAGACCACTGCTTGTATAACGTAACGATACTCTGTCATTGAATGGAATTAGTAACATAAAAAGCTACAATTAACATGTTAACATGGTTGCTTCTAAAAAACGACAACAAGTACTCCAGTAACATTTTCATCAAGCTATGCGGTCTCTTCACGTGTGAAGAGGTAAACAGCTGGGCTCTGTTGTCCAACTCTACCTAATTAACTGACCCACCGCCACGAAACAAAGAGCAGCGCTATAAGCGAAAAGCTATTGAGATGAAGTACTTACGTGCCTTGTGAATAAACATAAAAGAACACCTTCACTATATTTCAAGTGGCTCATTAATTAAAACAAAAACGACACAATCTCAATACTCTCCTCATCAGAACTATTTTAGAAACACCAACAATGTTTGTAGTGTTAATTACAGATTGCGGTAAAAATCACCAAAGGCATGCAGCCCCTAGTGAACGGACGAAGCTTTCATCGGCCGCCTCGAGGTTTTGCAATATAAGTGGACAGACAAACTACGCGAATGTATTTGGTGTCTGGATCATAATTGTTCAATTCATAATCCATGAGGGATGTCGTTACCGGGCAGAATGAACTACCTAATCTCTTTAAAAAATCTCAAGATTGCTCTCCAGCTGTACCAACAATACCATCAAATTATTTTTGATAATGGCAAATAACTAACGATTACTTGAAGTAAGCTGTGAGCACGGCATCCTTCAACGACCAATACCGCTCTTAGCCGAGGGCAATGTTTTGATGTATTTCACAAAACTAAAACGATTACACAGTAACAGAAGCTCAAAGAGGAAAATAGACTCACTAAAAACAAGTGAACTCATGTCATATGAAATTTCCACAACGATTCTATCCATGTTTTTTTGACCACAAAGAATTAAAGAGACTACAATATTGGTATGAAACAGGCCAGACAAATATTTTCAATTTGTAACCGATGGGAGGTGTTTGGAATTGCAAAGATTATCACTGTTACTTATGAACATAATATCATTATTGATTAAGTTCGCTGTAGGACCTAGAGCTGTTATCTGGGTAACAAAGGGGACATTCTACTACTGTCTATCAGTGAAAGTGATGTACATGGACAGCCAGCTGTATTCATATACTAGTGGTCTGATTTTCACAAAACATCAAATATGCTTCATAGTGTTTGCAATAGATCTCTAAAATGTCAAATGAGAGCACTTCACTTGTTTTTGGTAGTCCTAGGAAGCTACAGAAATCCATGAAAAACCAACTAATAAGAAACTGCTGTGGGAGAATTCTATTTCACTGAAGCATAACAGCAGTAGAAAATGACCACAACATAGCAGAACTTCTCATCAAAGCAAAGAAACATTTAATGAAATTCCTTAATTGGGCTAACCTCTATAGTCCAATTTAAATTGGTAAAAAATAATAGTGCCACTTAAATAACAAAGCAAGAAAAGGACCTGCCACAAAACTTTGCTGTTTGTGCCAACTGACTTTGCTTGTGGTAAACAAATACCCAAGAAAGCCACACTGACTTTAATTAAGAAACTATGCCATTAGGAGTAATTTGTTTTAGCAAACAGCTAACACCGTCTATTTACAGTGGCCAATTTCCATTTTCTACTCATTTGATAAAACCAGATTATCTTATGGTTCCCCCCCTTGATGCAGTACCACAGTTTTTATAGAACATACCCCCCCTTACTACAAGTTATGTTTTGTGTGTTAGTTTGCACCTTACCTGTAACACTTGTGGCGCCTCACCACAGAGGAGGGTCTGTGTTCCTTCCTGTAACCTGTGTCATTCTGGTTTTGCCACATCCATACTTCATGAAGTCTCTCCACATATGGCTTGGCTTTACTCATAAAATCATTCACAGTCAACTCTATTTCTTCTGCATGTTTTGCAAGCTGTGAAATATAGGTGAATTCAGTAAACATCCTCTTTTGTATGCACCAACTTTGCTAATGCACATACATGCATGCACAGATTCAAAAATGCAAGTTAAAAACCTCGAAGAAAATTAATTGACCAGAACTTGTCTAAATTGTGAATTATAATATCTCAGTTTAGCACAAATGTTGCTTGGTTTGGACAATGAGAGAATATGGATAGAACTTGTTTTTATTGATAATTGCATTTATCAGAGAGACCACTTCCCCGAGGAATACATTATGGCACTTTTTTCCTTTCACATCCAGAACAAAACAAAATCTCCACCTAAAGTAAAAATCCTTCAAATGAGCAATCTGATCTGTAAAATACTGACACAAGATTTGTATGTTCAAAACATCAGTTACCTCACTGTTGACGTACTCCAGACAAGCTCTGTAATCTTCAGCCACCAATTCCCCTTGGCGCGGCACGCTTAGCTTGATGCTTTTGGTATCCAGCCAGTTCTTGAAGTAGCCACAGAATCCAGCATATGCCTCTACAGTCTGAAAACCACCTTTGAGGTGTCCATCTATGTACATTGCTGTGATCTGAAGTACACAAAAAAAGACAGATGCAGCATAAGCAATACCAGCAAGTGCCACCATTCAAGGCACAAGAAACAATATCCAGTTTTTTTCAGGGCAAGTAGATACACCATCTGAGCAAGTGTCTCTTCTTGCTCACTCACCCTTTGGTATTGAGTTTGTTTGTCCAACAATCAAATACATGTAGAAATAAATCAATAAAATGAAAGAAAATGTAACAAGTACATTTGTATTGTTGCTGAATTTATAATAATAGTGCAGGCAAAAGTAAAAGTTCAAATCTAAGATTTGTATACACCACCAATTGTAAAAAAATTGAAGGCTATGATTCCCTAATGTAACAAAAGAGGACTCCACTACCACTAAAAGTGAAGATTTCAAATATTATGCCTATGCCAACTTTTCCAACAGCACTGATTTTCTCTGTATCACCCCTTCTAATGGTAATACCTGATGTAACATGTAGCTGTGAGTTACCCTTGGCATGTGCTCTGTTAAGGCTTTAAGTGCCTTTCTATTTCCAGCATCCCTGTCCTCTAAAAATTGATACCATTTCTGTTGTCGTGAAGAATGCAAAGAAAGTTGAAAGTGTTCCTCAAGGGCTTGCCGATTTCTCAGACATCGCTTAAGAACATAAGTCTGCATTTGTCTGATTCCATCATGTTTACGAACAAAAAGTTTGTATAAGCTAGTCCATTCATAGTAATTAGAAGGAAAATCTTCTTGCATTGCTCTTTCTGCAAAAGAAAATAACAGAAATATACTAAAATTAACAAATGAACATACTAATATCAAAACTGATTTGGTTAACGGCTATCACTGAGCAAAAACACTCTATAAAAACAAATTATAGCATGTGTGCTTGTCTGCGAAAAAACCAGAAAACATGTTTTGCATTGTATGATTAAAGGAGTATTTAAGCTGTGGATACCAGTCAACACATACTTAAACATCCTAGGATGTTATTGAGAGAGTCCACTTTTTTAACACAAGCTTTATTATAATTAGAAGTCTAGGAAGTAAGCAAAATTTACCTCTGTCTGTGTCATGGTAATTTGATTCAAGTTCCTCATCTGTTAATCCCCATATTGACTTGGCCTGGCTTGCAGTTAAATGGCTCACGCTTTGTGAAGGAGGAACAGGATTCAACAGATACCAAACAATAACAGATGTTTTAAGTTGACTTACTGGTCTGAAAAAATTATGATCATTTTTAAGTACTTCAGCTTTGTAGAACATTTCGTAGAGGTAAATGAAAGTGTACTCTGGCCATCTTGTTCTGAGACCAAAATCCACCTGTAAAAGAAAATACCAAAGTTTGAATGACATGAATGTTTGAGACAAATAAATTCTACTTTGGTACTTATGACATATTTATGTCTTCCAAGTGCATGTAATAAGAACAACCTACCAATAGTAGATTCTTAGGTGTGACAAAACCACCACTTGACAGATGTGATTTACTTTATAGAAGATAAAGGGGTTATTTAAACTTTATCAAAATTAAATATATTTAAGGGTTCTTCCATGGTTCTAGACAAAATCTACCTTAAATGGTTGACCACATCCTCCAGGCACAATTAACAAATAATTGAAAAGATTGCAATGAAGGCTCCACCAATATGAGTTGTCTACCATTGAAGTTAGCGCAAAATTTATTTCTTAAATATAAACAACATTTGCCCAAACATGAACAAATCAACTAGACTGACTGCACTTCAACTAACATAAGATAAGAAAATTGCACAGTTACCAATGTACCATTAGAATTCCAAAGAGCAACAACAGCAAAACAGCTTGATTGAAACAATCCATGCCTATTGTGATATACACAGATTTACACCCTTAAGCATATGTAATACCACATCTAAGCTCAGTTCCCTGGTGAAAACAATATCTTTCAAGTTTTACAAGTTTCATTTGTTTCATAAATTTGACTCTCAATTATTTTGATTGACAGCACAAGGAAAAGTCTGCAATATCAAAGAAGAGCAGATCTTTTATGAGAAAAACAACAGTAGTTTATTTAGAACAAAGAACATGAAAACCCAAAACTATTTGAAATATCAGTGTAGTTATGCCCCAGATCCTGATACTGCTGGTAAGTTCCTTTAATTCATAATTCACATTTTTCCTCATAAATTCAACAACTCTCTTTGCACTATAATGCAAATTTGACTTTTGATAATATTTCAAATTCTCCTTTCATAAAATCCTAAACATCCATGAAGAGTTCTTTACTTGCCATGTTTATGTTTCCATAATAAATATGAGAGTATGGAATTTTTTATAATTCAGCTAGTATTATATTTTACTGTGATGAGCAGTGAGGTAAAACTACTTTCATTGTAGCAAAATTTTGTTGTGCTACTCAGTTCAAAGTTACCTTTGCTTTCCCAAGATTATTCTTACAAAAATTGGCAAGTTTCATTATGAGAAGTTTTATTATTAAAGTTCTTTGTATTTGGGATTTTTAAATCAATCATTTAAACCTGGAAATTCTATATCTTGAACAGCCGCAGAAAATTTAGCGCAGAGAGCTTTCCGTGCGAAAGTGGAGGTTGGGAAAAACCCTTAAAGGTAGAAAACGGTTCCACGAGGACCCTTTCTTTTCATTGCTCTTAAAAGACAGCTTACGAAGAGAGATTGCCTTTAAGATAAACATGAAAATTGCCTCCTTCCTTTTGAGGACAAAAAAATTATGTGTAATTAACAACAAGCAGGGAATTTGAAGAGAGAAAACATAGGTTCTATTTCGATGGCTAAACACGGTGCAGCTGCTATAGACCTGGCCAAAGAAACACAAAACAATTGATTCCGGTCGCGATAATATCGCGAAAATTTCCTTTCAAAAAGCCTCAATTTATTTATTCATGTCTTCTGTTGAAAAAAAGCTGTGCATATTTCAGCACTTGGATAAGCTCTTGTACCAAACAAAATCAACACCGTGTTTACGGAGGATGGTGAAAATCACCAAGCCCATGTCTCGGTAGCGAAGGCATATAGAGTTGAAAGGGGAAATGGGGGCACATTGTCACGTCCGTAAAATATGCCAAACGCGCCATAAACTATCACAAGAACAAAACTCTTCTCTCGCAGAATTCAACACAAGTCGTCTATTGAACACCAACCACTTGTATTCACTGAAATCGATCTCTTCATTACCATTTCAATAACCCACCATCATTACATGAAACGAGGCACGCCGACGAATAGAAATGCGAAACACCCTCTTTCCTCCCAACCCGGATACAGCAGGCGGTGAATAGGCTCGGCTGTTTTAGCCGTTTCATGAGTCTTCCTCGCGCCCTAATCAACAGATTCTATCGTACTTTCATCCCTTAGTCTTAAAAGAAAAATATCCAAAAGAAATAAAGCTCGAATTTCTTGGCAGCTTTCATATCTTGAATAATATATTAGATCTTCGTGAAGGCACTTGCCCTCTTCGTTACTCGAATGTTTATAACGCACGAATTCTACGAAACCATCATTAACCTAGCGACAGATTGACAAAAACAGGATTATTCTGTATATAGCAATAACTACGTCGATAAGTTCAAAACACTCCGAGAGAAGAAAGAGCAAATTTCTGTCAGATACTCTGCCCGAACGGGTAAAACTACCGCATGGTATATGGATCGGAAATGGAAATGTAAAACATTTCGCTGCCTCCTCCGAGGCGGACAAAACAAAGGAGAGTAAGGAGAGCAAACCCAGCACCCTTATTTCATTCTTTCCCGCTGTATTTTACGCCGAAACTCTGTCAAAGAGTCCTAAAAATTTAGCGGGCTAACAAACATCATTAGTAAGATAACCGGGCGAAGAGAGCAACTCGTGGAACGAGAATTTCTAAAACTTCACGAGTTAGGGGTGGCGATCGGAAGAGTAAAGGAAATAAGCAGAACTACAGAGAAAATCGTAACCAAACGATGTAAGTATTAAAACAATGACTCGCTTCTTCGAAACTAACAAAGAAACTCAAAATACCACTAACTTACCCTACATCGATGACGCCATATGAGATCTGAGAGGCAGAGTCGATGAAAAAGTCGGCAAGTTTTGCCCAACATTACAAGACTCCTAAAGTCCAAATACTCCAAAATAAGCACAAGAACCTCTTCGCTTAAATGAGTCAACAACGATGGCGGTAAAATAATCCTAGACTCCATTTCCTCGGGTTGAAAAATCCTTGTGTTGGTTGATAATTTATGTTGAGGCGGTACGCAGTATGTAAGCCTCCCTGAGCTGGCGTTTCGGCAACTATGGGCGAATTTTTTCGCCTTTGGTGGACAAAGATTTGAGTCCAACATGCTTGATGGCATTCTATTCTCAACGGACCACACTTACGAAGGGACCCAAATGACTGCGGCCGACATAAAAGCTCTAGATAAATAGAAAAACATAAAGGATACCTCCCTGCTAATGACACAATATCTCTAAGACTAAGAAGGAAGCTTTGTTGTTTTTATATATTCTTTTGACACGTGCATTTCCCGTCGAATTACGCATGCTCACATAGGACATGACATCTTCCGAGCCAATCAGCGTGGCCGGCGCGTGTTTAGAATTCTTGGTAGCTGGGCTGGTGTTCGTAATAAAACATAATTATCACAGCTATCTCTTCGAAAGAGAAAATAGAACGCAAAAGCTAGCGGAACAACAGACTACAGCAAGCGGAACAGGGCACTACAGCGTGAAGAACCATTGACCTTTGAGGCGTGCTGATTCGCGTCACAATCTGCTTGTCGAATCGAGAAAGAACTCGACTTGAGAAGATTACTAGCCAGGACCACATATCTGTGACATTCGCCCCGAAACATAATCCCTTTATAATTTATTTAATTTCCTTCGTTTCGAAACAGTCAATCACTGGTCATAGTTCGACGCAAGAATAGCTTACAGAAGGAGATCAATTATTATTTGCTTTTTTTTCTGTCGACTGAAACGGGTAGCTTTGGTGCCTCGGTTACATCGATGCAATGCTGTTACTGGTTGCGACGCAACCAAGTTCATACCCTGAGCCTCACTAACTAGTCATGTGCCTCATGGGCCAAATTTCTGTTTATTTGGTTAGTTACTCAACTGGATGAAAAGCAACGTGCATTTAACCTTACTTTTCTCTTTTCGATATTTTGACGACCAAATGTCCTATAAATCAGAGGAGCAAAAAAGTACAGGGCTAAAGAACAAGGACACGGACTCCTGGCAAAAACTATCGATGACGTCAAACTACATATATCCGACTCCACGCAAATCTTTATTATAGGAAACATCGCTAACTGTCATGAGTGAGTCAGCCCACAAAACAAGAGAACACCACCAAGAAAAGGAAAGCTTGAACATATATTGAGTCAACTACAGAAAGCGAATGTAAATTACAATATCACCACCTTTCGCCTCAAGGCTCTTTTGAATTGAAAAATTCTTCCAATATTCTTGACAAAAGTTCTAACCGCACTTGAAATGTTGCTCATTCAGCTAAAAGCTTGACAATACGCGCGCGCTAAGGCGAGTCGGATCGTGATCAGCGCGAACATTCAGCTTTAGCAAGGAAAAAATTTTCTTAGCAAACAGAAAATTGAATTCGTCTTTCATGATTCGCTCAAAAACACCTGAACCAATCAGGCAGCTGACGGGCCTTCCATTGTGGTTTTAGTCTTTGTTCAGCTAATAAATGAAAAGTGAAATTTTAATTACTTCCCTCGACGTTGTCACTCGTTATATTGGAACAGTGTTCGTGGAAATTTGCCTCGAGTTAGCTGACCGGCCAATGACAGATTGCATCAATTAGCTAAACCGGCCTGTTCGCCACCAAAACCGCCGAAATATACCACTGTCGAAGCACAGCCAATGAACCCCTCACGTGGTTTCCCTTTCCATCACGGTAGCAGCTGCGCCTACAGCCTTTCGCTTGAGCTTTTGTCACGAAAACGGGTACATAGCCGCCATTGAAAAGAGAAACATAGGGGAAATAATTTGCAAAATTAAATATGGTATTCTGTCGTGGGCTTGGCAGGGAACAAAGGCTTGATTATCATTGAAATGGGAGGCTTGGACCTTCAAACACAAACCCTCTTTCAGGGTGGCTAAGCCAAACATGCAAATGACGTTTCCAACTTGTCGCACGGCTCATAAACGAAAATACAAAAATTGCTTACAGCCGATACCTGTTCAAAACAACGCTAACTGCTGTGCAATTTTAGCAGATAAAGTGGCCGAGAATTTGCATCTCCAAAGGTCGTTAGTATTGTAAACACGGCTGTAATTGTGTTATACATCACTCAGCCCGGTAAGAGAAGTACAAGAGCAAACGCGGCACGTTCCATTAATATTTAACGCATTCACGTGACGTCAAGCCATTTGATAAATGCGTAATGATGGCAGCTATTGAGATGACTAATGGCCGACCTTAGGGAGTCGACATTGGCAATGCGAGCACCAACTTATTGAGGCTTTCGTTGATACTGGTGTGCGCAGCTGCCAAACGGCTTCGCTAAAAACTTTTAGTATCGGCTGTCAAGCATGAAATTAAAAGGACCTTGTTTGGAGCTTGCTTCCCACTAAAGAAGGAAACCGGACTTCCAATGTTCAAAGTGGATTGTGTACTTCCATAAAAAAAATATTACAATTGGCTGCTACCAATTTTAAAACTGAAAAGGATAAAAAGCTTAGGAAGGCATATTCGTTAAGTTTCGCAACGTCGTTTTTAATATGAATAACCATATTTTTTTGAACAGAAAGAGAGAACCGCAAAGATAGCTTTTATTCTTACCCAACGCTTCAAGCCGAACAAAGCTTCAGCGTAAAGAAAAGATCTGAAAGGTTCTAAACTTCTGAGCAAATACGGTTCACTGTAAAATAAAACTATTTTATCATGATTACCTTATTATAAACCGGCGAAGTGGTGAAGCCGGCAGCCGTTATGAAAACTGATGAAACTCAATTATTTTTTTCTTAGCTTGGTCAACATTTCATTTTTTCGTCAGGTGAAAAGTGAAACAAAAAGATGGCCTGATTGCAGTCTTTGGCTTTTCTAATCACTGAACCAGTGCCATGGAAACCCCAATCACCTGAGAAAGAACGACGAAAATGAAGTGCCTGAGGGGATTGTACAACCCTTCCCCACAAAACAGTCATCATTTGTGGTAAGTTGACACAAATATATTCATTGAAAACGCTCTTCTTTACAGCTTTATCTCAGTCAACAATTGCCGTAGCGTCAGCTACAGGATTCGGCTGCTACCACGTTCCCGCGCGCGACTTCCGTTGACGGATTTAGTCGAGCGGTTAATCTCAAGAGAGTACCGCTAAAACGGAAACCTAATGACCACACCCCAACACAACAATTTCTTTACTATCGTCCTACCTAAATAAAACAAAAAATTTGCGCAAATGTTCAAAGTTGATACTTTGGAAACGGAGATTGAAATTCATGGCAACAGCTGACAAAAATTGTTCTTAATCCTCTGAGTTTGACGAACGCACGTGATTAAATAACATCTTCAAATCTATAGTTTAGGGAATGCTTTGCAATGAATATTGAGATCATATCCGATCTCATTAAACGTATGCCTTTAAGGTGGTTTTCTTATGAATCAAAATAAAATAATGTTCATAAGTCGCTGATTTCTAAAGATAACCATGAGTTCGACAGTCAGTGTGACAACCACAAACTGTCCAAAAGCGCGGTTCAATTTCCTGATCTCGGTGTAAAAAATTCAATGATCAACTTCGCTGTCGGTTGCGGACAAAAGCAGAAGACTAGAGACGCTCTCGTCGTTTACCATCCAGCTTTGTTTCTCTGTAAATTCTACCATTTCTAACAAATGCCTTACTCCCACACATAGGCTAAAACGGAAAATATTAACTTTTCTTTTCTTCTGCACTGGAGGTTTACCGTCAATTCGGAAGGAGAACACAATAAAAAAAACTGAAGATGTCTACATGATTTTTTTAACCGCAAAACCTCAAAACGATAAAAATAACAGCAAAACGAAAACAAAGCGAAATTTTTCAACAACTTAAACAGCCGTCTTATCGAGCTAACTCACCGAAAATAAACGCAACATTGAATCACGTTCATAGTACACCATGACTAAGTAAATTTGTATATGCTTGCCCTCGTCTCAAACCAAACTGTACCTTTGGGAAGAAAAAAAAAGGGTTTTCGCTCTCTTTGATGTCTTATTTAGGGTCGGGAGTTTCTAGTGAAATGATTTCTCTTTCATTTTGCGCAAATTTTTCTCTAATGTAGCAACGGGTTAACACGTGTCTAAAAGTAGTAAAACATCCGTTACGAAAACGGTGAGAGTAAACGATCGAAAACTTGGCTTGAAAGTGGTTCGATCAGGCACAAATGCCAAGTGAAGTCATCAGTCAGGTAATGGCAAGACCTTAAAAGAGGAAAAACGTCAGTCACAAAGAACCTTAACTTTATTTGGGTATATAGCCAACTTTGCCTTATGATCAGCGTCTGAGAAATGACTGAGCTGTTTTCCGGTTCTGAGAGTTTAATCTTATAATCGATACCGAAAGAAAATTACTCGTACAGGCATGGAAAAATGTTAATAGCCCATTTTTTTCTCGCCCGTTTTCAGTAAACAAGACCCTGCCATGCGAAATTGTCCTGCAACCGAAATATAGGAGTTTTCGGCCGACTGCGAACAAGTTTAGTAACATAGTACAAGTAATTAAGAAGCGTCATGCTACGGCCGAAGAAAACCGAAACCTAAGAATTTTTTCACCAAACGATTTTAAGCGGATTGATATGATCAAGAGTGCTACAGCTCTTGATCCCTCGACCTTTCCGCACCAAAACGGAAAACTAGGTGCGAATAGAAAAGAACTGATAAGTGCTAAAAACAGAACTGACAGACGACTTTAAAAGCTGAAACAGTATTCTACTGATCCATGTGATCTTTGCTATAGCTTCTCGTAACAACATAGTGATCAAATTTGTTATATTTATGTCTGTATATTAAAATATAACATATTAGATCTCTCCGTGAGCCGCGTGTTTCGCATTCTTTTGGTTTTGATAGCATGTCGCACCATTGATAATGACGTCGTGTTTTTCAGTTCCTCTTCAGCTGAGTGTAACATCGCCGTTTGTTCAAATTGTTGACATTTTACCGCCAATACATGGAGAGTGGGAACTGATATTTTCATCCATGATACCATGCTTGTATTTAAAGTCTTTGTCCTTTAGTGGATAACGCAAACATAACTGCACGTAGCTTAGTAGTAAATTCCATATCACAATATGATCACATGCCGGGAATCTTATTAAAAAGAAAGAAAACAAACAGCACGGAAAGATAATAAACCAAAAGCCATCATAGAAATAATACTAAGAAATCTTGGAGTGGAATCTGTCGAGGAATTTTGCGTTTCTGACGGAATAAAACAACTCCTTTGATCGTGACATGTAGTTCAACGATGGTTTTCTTGTTTGAAACTGTACGTGCGTGACGCTATGTAACTACGCCCCCAATATGCCCCCGCATACGCGTCATAACAACTTCCGGTATTTTTGTTATCTGTGGTTATTATTGTACAGCGGAATATCCTTGCTGCGACGTCATATAACATGGCGGACGAGAGAGGTTTGAAAATAAACAAAACTCACCACCGCAAAGTGCAAAGCTTATCGCTTAGTTCCTGCCCTGAAAAGCTTCGCATCCATCTACTAGAACGTAACGATCCGGCAGTTTTTGATGGCGCAGCAAGGCAGTGGGTATGTTGTAACTGGACACCAGAATTTCTGGCTCAGGAACTTCGCGATCTTCGAACAAGTTTTCGATTTTGTGCGAGACAGAACCCGTCTGTCAATGGAAATTCGTGTAAGAAAACCATTATGGAAACAGACTGTGAATTTGAGAAAGCAAGCTTTGACGAGTTTTGTCAATGGTTGAATGGCTGCACAGAAAGATCGGGATGTTTGTCTCGTTTTCAAAGGTAATAAAGACCAATTATGATAGATAATAACTTGTATCCTACTGCTAATATGGAAAAAGCGGGTGTGTCGCGCCATATTGTACACAGGTCCAATCTCAATCATGGCTGGCCATGGTCTTGACCTTGCCAATACAAACATAAACAAACAAATTATAATCCGGCACTCAAGAGAACAATAAACGTGCCACCAAAAATACAGCTTTAGGTTTGTGTATTGAGTCCTCTCTTGTTAATCATTTTAATGATCGGTGAAATATTGACTGAGTGGGAGAGATCAACAACACCGCCAGCGAAAAGGAAATGGTTTTTAACCGCAGATGCAAATTAGCAACAAGAACCAAAGATATTGGTTGAAACGTTACAAGAGTGGACAGGTAGACGATAAGACGCCATGGAAGGGTCGAGTAAAAGTGTGTTTTGACCGTAGTCCTAATTCTATTGTTCCATTCACGTGAATCAAAGCCGGCAAGAATGAATTCTGCTCCGAACGTGATCGGTTTGGTTGTTATTTATATTTAATTCAGGACATGAACTTTAAGCATTCAAGTCAAAGCTTACCATGCTTACGACCGAAGCCGGTAAAATTTCCGTACAGCCCCATACTACATTATGCATTCAGTTCTTGAATAGAGAAAACAATTACAAAAACAATACATTGCCATTGGGAAAACAGATTTGTTTTACAATAGTATGGGGCTGTGCGGAAATTTTACCCCAAAGCCTAATGTTGCCAGATGGTTTTCATTGTTTTGTAATGCCTTAAATTTGCAAGAAAATATTTTCTTATTTCCACAATTCTGCTGGTTTAAGCCACCAGTGAGCTTATAGGTTACAGACAGGATATTGCATCATGCTATTGCGATATCAATGACAAGTAAACAGAACAGAAAAAAAAACAAAAAACAACTGTAACAGCATAAAACCTTACAAGGATACCAGACACGATACATCAAGATACTTTCATTTTCAAATTACTCATTCAGTGAAGTTGTCCCTGCATTATTTTTCCTACTTTGTTCTCAAATTGCCACATTTATATTTCTTTCTTACAGCCTATGATGTCTTGAACAACAGATTAAAATCAGCATGAGCCCTCCCCTTTTCCTAATCTATGTTTTAGAATCATTTGACTAGCTCAAATATTTGCATTAAACAAACACATGTTGTGAGGTGGATACTGACTCAGTCAAACATTCTTTTTACCTTTTATTAGAACAATAAATGACGCTATTTTTGTAACTGAAAATTAAATATGTTAACAGCATTTCTTGTTGATGAAATTTGACAACTTCTATATCCTAACTGATACCTAAGGAGCTAAGTAGAATAACTTATTCCAGGGTTTGGTTGTTAATTGCATCAAATCAGGGGAGTTCTTTGACAAGAGCAGTTGCTATCAGCACAGTAAATGCATCTAGTTTACTATGGTGGCTGTTCTTTGTCTTGTCCTTGTCTCTGGATGAATATTTAATTAATTTGGACCTATACATAGGAGTTATTGTCTGAGAGGTCCTACTCAAGTCACTCACTCTTAATTATGAAGTCTTAAGGCACTTGCCCTCCATGTTAGGCTTCAAAACAATGTGGCATAAAGCTGTGGTGTTTGGTGGAAATTCATACATGTTATTTTTTCCTTTTTCAACAAGTTTACTTTTATCATTTAACCACTGGGATGATCTTGTTATCCTTGACTTTGCCTGCTCAGTTGATACATGAAAGGAAATTATAGCAAAAGATAGGCAGGCATATACCATTTAGAATTTATATTCTTCTCTCAGTCAAGTGGCAAACCCTGTATGGGAATCAAGTGTCACTTCATATTATTCATTTTTTTAAGTAACTTTTAATATCCGTACATGAAAAACTATTTTGTAAAATAATAAAGGTGAAGTCTGTACCTGAGCCAAGCGGCCCATCCAACTGTAATTTATGATGGTTTGTGTAATAAATGAGAACTAGGAGTATTGCTATTCCTTGAATAGGATGCATGAATAATGCATGAATTGTAAAACCCTAAAGTAGTACCTAGTGGAAATTTATGTCAGTTTTGGTCACAAGAATGTGATCCCCCATTGGGTGCCACAAAATATATATGTACAAAATATATGGCATGATATACCCAGATATATATATATATGAATTACGGTCAACTCGCCGACGGACCAACTCGCCGACGCCAACTCGCCGACGTATAAAATCGAGTAGAGACGCGAGTTGGTCATCAATCCAATACAACTTATTAGAAGTTAAACATACAGAAAAGTAAACGATATTTAGTAAAAAAACACTGGTGAACATTGGTGAACATCTAACAGAAGCTTAAACATTGGTGAACATTGGTGAACATCATCAATGACTATAACAGCTTAAGACGCGAACGAGTTATTGTGCGACAACAACACCGTAAAGACTTATCATGTCAATCGCTCAGATTTTTTAAAGAAAACTTGGCTTTCTAGACGAGATCTTTGGTAAAAAGTATTTCTTTTTATTTGCAACAAAGTTTATAAGGATCTCAAGGCGAATAAAGTGAAGTAAACATATATATACACCCTTTTTCAAAATTTAAAAAGTTTAAAATATATTTTGAATATATATATATATATTTACTGTTCTATTCAAAAACTGTTTCTTTTTGATGAGAAAAGAAAAGGTACATATAAATTAAGTTTATTTTAACTTGACAACATTTTTGAAAATGTATATATTTGTTTTAGTTGTTTTTACAAATACATGATCAAGTCAGTACCTTTATTAGAAAACAAATTTGAATCAAATACAATGAATCATTAGGTGTGACAAGATACTGATGTAAAAGAGGCTTTAATTTTTTTTTTGTTTACTTTTTAGACAAAACTATTGGTGCTATGCAGATTACAAATATATGGCTGAATTATTCAAAGATTTTCCTCATTTACGTAAGTCTGTTGACTGGAGCTGCTTTGGTTTTCCTGAGAGAAGTGGTGATGAATCAACAATATGGATTGGAAGTGCTGAAGCATCAACTCCATGTCATGTTGATACATATGGTTGTAATTTAGTTGCACAGATCTATGGGACAAAGAGATGGATTCTCTTTCCACCAAGTGAAACCTCCAACTTGTATCCAACCAGAATTCCTTATGAGGAATCCAGTGTGTTTAGTCAAGTTAACATCACCAATCCAGATTTAACAAGGTTTCCAGCCTTTGAAAATGTTCTTCAATATGAGGTGTTTGCCTTTTTTACAGTAAATGTTCTTAAAGCCTCCCTAAAAAGTGCCCCCCCCCTCCTCCCCTCCTTTATCTAGAACTAGCACTCCTTCAAACAAAAACTTTCATTTGTAGTTTGTTGTTCTTCTGTCTGGGCTAATTACCGTTGAACCTGTATTAACTCTTAAACTCCTAGAAGTGATTAACATGAAACTTCTTCCCATGATATTCATACATTATCCAGCAAACAGATAACAAGAGCACTCAAATGTATCAGGTAGAAATTTTTATCCTGATCTGACACAAAATTCTCATCACTAATTTACAAGGAAATGTGTAGAAGCTAGATGGGAGAATTTGCAATCAAAACTTGGGAGTTAAAGGGTTAAGTGGCACTGTATTAAACAGTTACCCAGTATAATGGGGTCGGTTGTCTAAGTCCTGAATTTGAACAATTGAGCCCCCCTCAAATCTCCCACTTAGCTCTGATTTGGCTTATGTTACATTCAACAACACCGTATTGTTGTAAGTGGAGAAAAATGCTGTGGCTTATAATGTAAGAGGAGGGGGAGGGTGGTGACAACTCACATATCTAAGAGATGGGAGAGCTTGTTTTCACAGAGTCATTGTCAGCCTCTTTGTTTTATATACATCCCATTTGAGTCCAATGTCTGTACAATACAAAGTGCTAAGTAAAAGTAGAGGCTGCTGGTGTCAGAGTTAATAAAGTTATTTTCCCTTGTAGATAATTCTTAAACCTGGTGATGTTCTGTTTGTGCCTAAGAAGTGGTGGCATTATGTGGAATCATTAGAAACATCAATAAGCATCAACACATGGATTGAACTGGTGTGTATGAACAACACAGGTTATTTTACTCTGATCCATTCATGTACATTTATACTACTCCCTAGTCTCTTTATCTAAATGCCATCATAATAGTGATGGTTCATAAGTGGAAATGTTTATACCATTTGAAGCTTTCTCAAACTGTGCAATATTATGGGAAAAGTTGTATTAGCCTTCAGTTGGGTAATTAACTTTGAGTGATGCTAGATATGATTGATTTTCAACATATAATATTTGAATGCCATTATGATATGTTATTTAATGTCAATTTTTTTCATATGTTGCTGTGAATGATAGATGAAGTTTTACCTTTTTGAATTTTGACTAAATGACTGTAAACTGTCATCACTTTATAACTTAAAGATACATACATTTTTAGTGATCCAACTGTAATCAAATGTTTATTTTCAAACAAATTTGCAAATGAAAATCAGGCATCCAACATACATGAGTTCTCTTCTCAGAAAGTCTGAATTTTCTTATTTACCAAAGTTATATAAGATATGTGATCACAAAGTTGTAAATAATAACAATATTGTTAATCACCTCTTTTTCAATGTTTTTTTATTTTTTTACGTAACAAGGAAAGTGATCACTTGGAGAGAGTCAAAGAGGCACTTATCAGAACTCTGGTGGGTGGAGAATTGTTTGTATAAATGTATTCTGCCATAATGCATATCTAGAAGTTCAAGTGTCTTATATTCTAGACTTATTTTGTTGCTCTCTAAGTATTGTTGCTAAGAATTGCATGTTTAAAACTAAGCAACCCTTGATAATGGCAACACCTTGGGTGCCTAACCAAGGAGAGGGGCTTATTTAGTTTTGTCATTGTGGTCAGGTGCTTAATTGAGGGGAGGGGCTATTTCAAGGGTTTGCAGTGTAAGGATACTGGAACAAATCTGAATTGCAAATTGTTAAATCACCAACTACATGAAAATGATAGTCCTCCCCCCCTGAACTGTAATAGTAGAATGAATTTAGTGGAAAAAAGAGAAAATATACTCCTTACAGTCCGATTTTGTTTTTTGTTTTTTAAGAAACATGTTTATGGATTTACCTTAAACCCTTGATTTGTTCAACAATATTGTGATTTGAAGAAATGACTATCAAAAAGAATTATTGTTGTACAGGGTTATGTTTGATAATCCAGGAGTAAAGTGCCTTTTAAACTTAAAATAGCCTCTTTTATTCATTGTTTCAAGGTGTCTGCCTTAAAGAAGGAGGAGGGAGCAGCTGAAGTAACATGGCTGAACCCATCAGAGGTGACTATGACTTCTGTGTTATCTCAAAATTCAAATAATTTCTATGCATTTATCTTGATGTCTTATGGGAAATTGTGCACATTATGTGATCAAATTGTGTACTCAATATAGGCAGCAAAATTAACATATGGTTTTGTGTGAGCTCTGACTAATTATTAAACATCAGTGCAAGCAACAGTGGCCATTGGATTAGACTTGAAATTTATGTTGCTGTTCTTGTCTAAACATGAAATGAACTACACTCACTGCATGCAAACATAATCATTATTACAAAAAAGTGAAAATCAGACCTTTCTGTGCACTTGTCTAGAAGTGAGATTTGCATTCATGCATTGAGTTCTTTGCTTTCCAGGAAATTGGAACACATGCACAAAACATGAGTTACTTGTATCAAGCATTGTGTGCAATGAAACAGAGGACAAGCTGTGATGTCGACACATCTTATTCGGATGGAACACAACCTAGATACACTGATCAAAATAAAAGTGATATACTTTCTACGGATGATCTCATAAACTGCATGACATCCCCTGAGGTTATCAATGCAATGATGTCTCAAGCTCTCAAAAAATTTGGAATTTGCCAAACAATTAACTTGCCCTTGAAGTCTCCAAGTGTAGAACAGCAGAAATTGAAGACCACACAGACAGTCAAAATGGAGAGAAACTCGAATTGCAATTCTAGTTCTCGCAGTTATGTACTAGATGAAACAGTGAGATCTGAAAATATTGGTTCAGGGTTTTCTCAGCCATCCACTGAACAGGAAATTTCAGAGCATCCCCCACTGAAAAGAAACTGTACTGAAAAGGAAAGAAATTAGACAAGTACTTAATGTCACACAAAGGATGATACCCAGCATGAACACGCCCCCCAAATGGGGGTGAAAATGTTGTCATTGGGAGAAAGTACTTCCATCCACGGGGCGAATTCATGGGATGATAACAAACCCTGAAAAGTTATAGCATGAGAGGTAGAATTTAATCCAAGCTGACAACCAATTTCTGTTTGCAGTTAAATTAAAAGAAGTGATGAATTCATTCTTTCCATGAACTTCTTTGCACAAAACAGAGCAGTTACAGAGTTTTAAAATTTAAAAAAATTTAATATTTAGTTAGTATACAGGCTCTCGTTGATTAATAGATGTTTAAATAACGGTACATAGGCATAGCAGTGAAGATTTCCTCTTTTTGATAAATGTTTTTGTTGTAAGTAGTAGGAGAAGTTTTCAAGATGTAAAGAGCCTAATCTTGATGCGCAAAGTGGTGGACGAATTGTTGAGAGTTATGCAAACCCTCGCCTGTATGGGGGGTTTTCGTATTTTTCATTTTCAGACGAGGCCTTACGAAGGTTAGAATTCTACTGGTGCGCGAGATACTAACGTGACAATCCATCAAAAGAGAATCCTGACAGTGCACGAGATACCAACGTAACATACCATCAAAAGATAAGGCCAACAGTGCGCGAAATACATACATCTTATTATGCCTAGACGTTCTGGTGTGTAGTATCGCTGAGTATTGTTGTCGGTTTAACAAGCCGACTGGTTAAACATGTGTTATTCAGTACAAAATAACCAACTGTCCAAATAACCGTGCAATATCGCAGGATATTTGTACTCTACCTAGTGCAGCTGAATAATAATGACGAAGCATTCCATCAAAATAAAATCCTGTCGGTGCTCAAGATACAAGCGTAACAATCCCTCAAACGAGAAGGCTGACAGTGCTCAAGATACCAACATAACGTTGAATCCATTAAACAATATGGATAACAGTGAGCGAGATACAAACATAACAACACATCGAAAAAGAATGCTAGCAGTGCGCGAAATACTAACGAAACATTCCATTACAAGAAAATCCCAACGGTTTGCGAAATACCTACGTAACAATCCCTCAAAAGAGAATGCTAACAGTGCTCAAGATACTAGCGTATCACCGAACGCATCAAAGGTTAAATAAGGGTGTGCGAGATACTCACGTAAAAGTCACTCAAAAGAGAATCCTAGAACAGTGCACGAGATACTAACGTAACAATCCATCAAAAGAGAATCCTAAAACAGTGCGCGAGATACTAGCGTAACAATCCATCAAAAGAGAATCCTAAAACAGTGCGAGATACTAACGTAACAATCCATCAAAAGAGAATCCTAAAACAGTGCGCAAGGCACTAACGAAACAATCCATAAAAAGAGAATCCTAAAACAGTGCGAGATACTAACGTAACAATCCTTCAAAAGAGAATCCTAAAACAGTGCGAAATACTAACGTAACAATCCATCAAAAGAGAATCCAAGAACAGTGCACGAGATACTAACGTAACAATCCATCAAAAGAGAATCCTAAAACAGTGCGCGAGACACTAACGAAACAATCCATCAAAAAAAAATCCTAAAACAGTGCGCGAGATACTAACGTAACAATCCATCAAAAGAGAATCCTAGAACAGTGCGAGATACCAACGTAACAATCCATCAAAAGAGAATCCTAGAACAGTGCGAGATATCAACGTAACAATCCATCAAAAGAGAATCCTAAAACAGTGCGCGAGACACTAACGTAACGATCCATCAGAAGAGAATCGTAAAATAGTGCGCAAGATACTAGCGTAACAATCCATGAGAAAAGAATCCTAAAACAGTGCGAGATACTAACCTAACAATCCATCCAAAGAGAATCCTAAAAGAGTGCCCGAGATACTAACGTAACAATCCATCAAAAGAGAATCCAAGAACAGTGCGTGAGATACTAACGTAACAATCCATCAAAAGAGAATCCATAAACAGTGCGCGAGATACTAATGTAACAATCCTTCAAAAGGGAATCCATAAACAGTGCGCGAGATACTAACGTAACAATCCATCAAAAGAGAATCCATAAACAATGCGCGAGATACTAACGTAACAATCCATCAAAAGAAAATCCTAGAACAGTGCGTGAGATACTAATGTAACAATCCATCAAAAGAAAATCCTAGAACAGTGCGTGAGATACTAATGTAACAATCCATCAAAAGAGAATCCTAAAACAGTGCACAAGATACTAACGTAACAATCCTTCAAAAGAAAATCCTAGAACAGTGCGCGAGATACTAACGTAACAATCCATCAAAAGAGAACCCTAAAACAGTGCGAGATACTAACGTAACAATCCATCAAAAGAGAATCCTAAAAACAGTGCGAGATACTAACGTATCAATCCATCGAAAGAAAATCCTAGAACAGTGCGCGAGATACTAACGTAACAATCCATCAAAAGAGAATCCTAAAACAGTGCGAGATACTAACGTAACAATCCATCAAAAGAGAATCCTAAAACAGTGCGAGATACTAACGTACCAATCCATCAAAAGAAAATCCTAGAACAGTGCGCGAGATACTCACGTAACAATCCTTCAAAAGAGAATCCTAAAACAGTGCGAGATACTAACGTAACAATCCATCAGAAGAGAATCCTAAAACAGTGCACGAGACACCAACGTAACAATCCATCAGAAGAGAATCCTAAAACAGTGCACGAGATACTAACGTAACAATCCTTAAAAACAGAATCCTAAAACAGTGCGCAAGATAATAACGTAACAATCCATTAAAAGAGAATCCTAAAACAGTGCGAGATACTAGCGTAACAATCCTTCAAAAGAGAATCCTAAATCAGTGTGCGAGATACTAACGTAACAATCCATCAAAAGAGAATCCATAAACAGTGCGCAAGATACTAACGTAACAATCCACCAAAAGAGAATCCTAAAACAGTGCACAAGATACTAACGTAACAATCCTTCAAAAGAAAATCCTAGAACAGTGCGTGAGATACTAATGTAACAATCCATCAAAAGAGAATCCTAAAACAGTGCACAAGATACTAACGTAACAATCCTTCAAAAGAAAATCCTAGAACAGTGCGCGAGATACTAACGTAACAATCCATCAAAAGAGAATCCTAAAACAGTGCGAGATACTAACGTAACAATCCATCAAAAGAGAATCCTAAAACAGTGCAAGATACTAACGTAACAATCCATCAAAAGAAAATCCTAGAACAGTGCGCGAGATACTAACGTAACAATCCATCAAAAGAGAATCCTAAAACAGTGAGAGATACTAACGTAACAATCCATCAAAAGAGAATCCTAAAACAGTGCGAGATACTAACGTAACAATCCATCAAAAGAAAATCCTAGAACAGTGCGCGAGATACTCACGTAACAATCCTTCAAAAGAGAATCCTAAAACAGTGCGAGATACTAGCGTAACAATCCATCAAAAGAGAATCCTAAAACAGTGCGAGATACTAACGTAACAATCCATCAGAAGAGAATCCTAAAACAGTGCACGAGACACTAACGTGACAATCCATCAGAAGAGAATCCTAAAACAGTGCACGAGATACTAACGTAACAATCCTTAAAAACAGAATCCTAAAACAGTGCGCAAGATAATAACGTAACAATCCATTAAAAGAGAATCCTAAAACAGTGCGAGATACTAGCGTAACAATCCTTCAAAAGAGAATCCTAAAACAGTGTGCGAGATACTCACGTAACAATCCTTCAAAAGAGAATCCTAAAACAGTGCGAGATACTAACGTAACAATCCATCAGAAGAGAATCCTAAAACAGTGCACGAGACACTAACGTAACAATCCATCAGAAGAGAATCCTAAAACAGTGCGCGAGATACTAACGTAACAATCCTTAAAAACAGAATCCTAAAACAGTGCGCAAGATAATAACGTAACAATCCATTAAAAGAGAATCCTAAAACAGTACGAGATACTAGTATAACAATCCTTCAAAAGAGAATCCTAAAACAGTGCGAGATACTAAGGTAACAATCCATCAAAAGAGAATCCTAAAACAGTGCGAGATACTAACGTAACAATCCATCAGAAGAGAATCCTAAAACAGTGCACGAGACACTAACGTAACAATCCATCAGAAGAGAATCCTAAAACAGTGCGCGAGATACTAACGTAACAATCCATCAAAACAGAATCCTAAAACAGCGCGCAAGATACTAACGTAACAATCCATCAAAAGAGAGTCCTAAAACAGTGCGAGATACTAGCGTAACAATCCTTCAAAAGAGAATCCTAAAACAGTGTGCGAGATACTCACGTAACAATCCTTCAAAAGAGAATCCTAAAACAGTGCGAGATACTAACGTAACAATCCTTCAAAAGAGAATCCTAAAACAGTGCGAGATACTAACGTAACAATCCATCAAAAGAGAATCTTAAAACAGTGCGAGATACTAGCGTAACAATCCTTCAAAAGAGAATCCTAAAACAGTGTGCGAGATACTCACGTAACAATCCTTCAAAAGAGAATCCTAAAACAGTGCGAGATACTAACGTAACGATCCATCAAAAGAGAATCCTAAAACAGTGCGAGATACTAACGTAACAATCCATCAAAAGAGAATCCATAAACAGTGCGCGAGATACTAACGTAACAATCCTTCAAAAGAGAATCCTAAAACAGTGCGAGATACTAGCGTAACAATCCTTCAAAAGAGAATCCTAAAACAGTGTGCGAGATACTCACGTAACAATCCTTCAAAAGAGAATCCTAAAACAGTGCGAGATACTAACGTTACAATCCATCAAAAGAGAATCCATAAACAGTGCGCGAGATACTAACGTAACAATCCTTCAAAAGAGAATCCTAAAACAGTGCGTGAGATACTAACGTAACAATCCTTCAAAAGAGAATCCTAGAACAGTGCGAGATACTAACGTAACAATCCTTCAAAAGAGAATCCTAAAACAGTGCGAGACACTAACGTAACAATCCATCAAAAGAGAATCCTAGAACAGTGTGCAAGATACTAACGTAAACTTCCATCAAAAGAGAATCCTAGAACAGTGCCCGAGATACTAACGTAACAATCCATCAAAAGAGAATCCAAGAACAATGCCCGAGATACTAACATAACAATCCATCAATAGAGAATCCATAAACAGTGCGCGAGATACTAACGTAACAATCCTTCAAAAGAGAATCCAAGAACAGTGCGCAAGATACTAACGTAACAATCTATCAAAAGAGAATCCATAAACAGTGCGCGAGATACTAACGTAACATTCCATCAAAAGAGAATCCTAGAACAGTGCGTGAGATACTAACGTAACAATCCATCAAAAGAGAATCCTAAAACAGTGCGCGAGACACTAACGTAACGATCCATTAGAAGAGAATCGTAAAAAAGTGCGCAAGATACTAGCATAACAATCCATCAGAAGAGAATCCTAAAACAGTGCGAGATACCAACGTAACAATCCATCAAAAGAGAATCCTAAAACAGTGCGAGATACTAACGTAACAAAACAGTACGAGATACTAACGTAACAATCCATCAAAAGAGAATCCTAAAAGAGTGCGAGATACTAACGTAACAATCCATCAAAAGAGAATCCTAAAACAGCGCGAGATACTAATGTGACAAACCCTCAAGAGAGGGTCCTAACATTGCGCGAGATATATATCTTATTAGACGTTTTAGTGTGTAGTATCGCTACGTGTTTTTACGGTTTGTGCCGTATTTCCACGAACCCGTAGTGCGAGGCAAATTAGAAACAACGAGAACCCTACAACAAAACAAAACAGAATCCTTACAGAGCACGAGATACTAATGTAGTAATCCATCAAAAGAGAATTCTAATAGTGTTTGCAATACTAACGTGAGTTACTACTAACGTCAGTGACAATCTAGGAAAAGAGAATCCTAACAGCATACACAAGGAGACTAACCTGAAATCCGTCAAAAGAGAATGCTAAAGGATCGCGAGGTACTAACGTAACAATCCATCAAATGAGATTCTTAACAGTGTGCAAGATACTAATGCAACAATCCACCGAAAGAGAACGCCAACAGTACGTGAAACTAGCCTAGGAACCCATCCTTAGAAAATAATGACAGTGCGCGAGATTTTAATGTAACAACCACAAAATATAATCGTAACACTGGGCGAAATATTTACGTAACAACCCCTCCTAATAAGAGCGCGAAGAATATCCTATCAGTACACGAGATAACGTTGCAATCCATCAAAAGAGAACCCTAACAGTGTACGAGATACTAACATAACACCTGTATGGAGGGGGGGTTCATATTTGTATTGAGTTTTCCCTAACCCCTTTGTTTTTATACGAGGCCTTATAAAGGTTAGAATTCTACTTTACAAGTGTTGTAGCAATGCAAAACATGTTAAGATGCATCTTCTATTGAAACACCCCGAATAGAACGTGTTTCCAAATAAAAATTTGAGGAAGTCCCTCGGAGACTTGTGTACAATTTGTTATCTCATACGATTGTTTCAAAATTACAAGAAACCCTTTAAGAAAATTTTTGTTTTATGCTCTTCTCCTCTAATTCCTGTCCGAGGCCAAGGCGAGAATAAGGCGATAAGTACTAATCCAATCTTGTTGGCAACGCAAATAAATAAAGGAGATAAGTTTCTAGAGAAAATGTGGAGCTGCGTCGGTGAGAGTACAACAAAATAATTCGGTTTTGTCAACCGAGAGGTTTACGTAAATTGACCACCGTAAAGAGTTTCTAGGCCGACGTTAGCCTTTCGTCAGAGTCACTCTGATGAGGGGCTAACACTCGAAACGCCATGACAATGTGTTTTCTCCTAAGGCAACCCAGGGTTAGCGTCACTCAATTTGTAAACAGCCCAAACCCGGTTTTCCGACTTCTATCCAAACCTTTTCTTATTTTTGTAAGGGTCTATCAAATTTTTTCTGCTTCTTAGTTTATAGGAGCTTCAAACAAATTTTGGGAAGTTTAGTTGTGTGCTTGTTGGAGCGCATCATTGACCAAACCAGCATTTCATTTATAATAACTTTTCAAAGCCTGTCATAAATCGTATAACACTATTCCACTTCATTTAAGTGAAGATGATGGCAAAGCTAATTAATTCTTTAGAAATGCATTTATTGGCTTCAAAGTACCACCACATGGGTTACAGACAATAGCTCATCGGGAAAATCAGGGAAAATCGTCATCATCTTCAGCCATTTCCTTGGCAAGTTCAAGATCTTGCTTTTCTCTTTCCCGTTGCTCCTAACGAAGGAATAGAGACGCTAAGTTGAAAACAATGTATTTTAAGTTCTCAGAGAACAAGTATCTCCCTTTCCATGACAGTCTTTCCGTTATTTACTCAGATATTAACTATCATTCTTACAAGAAGAAATTAAAAAATGCAAGCAATACCTCGAGTGATTCCAAATTCTTGCTATAAGACTTTGGTGGAAATCGCATGGCCTACATTGATGGTAGAAGTAAAGAAATATCTCTTGACAAAGTAACAAATACAACAATGTTAACTATCAGAGGCAATATTAATTTATACCAGTAAAATGTGGAGGTGATTACTGTTCTGTAGAAGCATTCTTACAAATTTACAGAGCAATAAGCTAAAAATCTCCAGGGTTTTATTATGGTGAGCACGGGGACGATCTTGAATGTTTCAGAAAATTGATTGAGGTGGGCTCAAAAATGCAATGATTTTTTTTATGTCGCTATATGTCAAAATTGTGGGCCTTGGCTAGAAACAGAGAACGTGATTGAAGTTACACGTTCAATATCAATCCTCATGTAAGGAATACAATCATTAACAGGCACGTGGGAATGTCCAAATCCTATCAAAAAGCTCTCGTATCACCAACGGGCTGATTATATTATTGGTTAAGTATACATTGACTGCTTACCTTGACAGACTGATTGTAAAGATCCAAACAGAAACTAACTCTCTGATGAAAAGCTCCTTGTGGTTCATTAGTAGAGTAGATGTCCACATTTTCCTGTAAAGACAATTTACATATATCATGAAATACCCTAATACCATAGTTACAGTACGTTGATTAAAAATGAACCCCACTTGTTGTAGCTCTTCTTGGAAGTAACTTGTATATCACGAAATAAGAACGTTGAAAGATACAAAGATACAATGGTGAGGAGTTAAAAGTTACTCATTTTATTCTCAGCAAATGAATACACCTTACCTTAGACTGAACATGGCCTTTCTCGTGATCTATTGTGGCATCAATTACGCCATCACGAATTGCCTGCCAAGAGAACATTGTGTATTCATTTTTTAACTTCTTGTGCCTTATTTTTAAATGATGACAGCTTTAACTAAGAGTCAGCAATTCCAAAGATAAGTACTAAAGCAATTTCATCCTTTTTTTCCCATGGTTACATATATGTTGATGTCATGCTGATATCTTTACACCTTTCTTTGTGGGAACTCTGAGCAGTCACATTAGCTCTAACATGCTGACATGTCCTAACAAAGCCAACATACCGGTAGCTGTTTCTGGCTGCCAATTTATGTGAGTACTTATTTCAAAGTAAACAAGGATACAGAAGGTCACTAACATGAACAGAACAAGAACAGCTTTATGACAAAGTGTTACAAACACTTTTAAGAAGAAAATCAAACAAATTACAATTACCTTGGCAACAATAAATTCAGCATCTTCAGGGCTATCCAACTGCAGTTTCTGTGCAATGTCAGTCAGGGAAATGCGTGAATATGATAGGTTTATCATTCGCACCCCTGCCTTGATCACATTGTGCCGCAACCTATTGATAAAACCATTCATGAAAAAAATTAAGTTGTGATTGATAGTTTCCATAGCAACAAATGCTTGTAGTTACCACAGATAAAAACCTGAGATACAATGTAACAAAAAACAGACCTTATGATTAGGGTGTAAGTTTTCTCTGACAGAAACTTTTCTTTAAACTTGTCCACAACTTGATTAAAGAGCTTCAAATCTCCATTCAGTACAGCTGTTAACAAAATAAAAATAATAATCATACTAAGGAGTTGGAGAGCAGCAGGAGGTACTTGGGTTAATGTTTTCTTATAGTTTGGTGAGAGAAATTTTACACTCAGGATGAAAGATATGACAACACTTTCAGCTACCATAACATGCTACATTTATGCTGCAGTTGTAGCAGCACCCTGGAATGAAGCCCAGAGTTACTATTGATAAACTTCTCAATTACCCTTGCAAGTCTTGGGCAAACTACAGCATTTGCTTATAAATTAGAGAGACAATCTTACACTTGTTGCTCCTAACACCTTTCATTTATTGAATTAACTGAGATAAATGTATTGTTATCCATCAAAAAGGCAATCACAGAAACAATCTCCTGCCTGCTCATCATGGAAAGCAATAATCATTTTTTCTCCCCACCCAAAGTGTACCTCATGAGCTAGTCACTTCATACACTCTGACAAGGGGAGACAACTAATTTAACATAATGCAGTCAGGATCCTGGCTTGTCTAAGATGTTTTAGTATTATTGCTACAGTGATTATAGAAATGTGTGCACTCTGATTGGCCAAGGATTGTATCATATCTTGTTATAATCACCTCTCCTGGGGTGATTATAGCAAGGGTGCTAAATTACAAAATGACTGTGCTGGAAGTTATTAACACAATAGGGAAAAAACAAAATTCTGAAGAGCACAAAAGGTGCTATTCAGTTTGATGTTACCCTTTTCAAAAGAAAGATATAAAGTTTTTGCCTGCTGAATTAAATAAACCTGTTAAATTTTAGTTAAAACCAGCTGCTCATCTTGATATGTGGAATCAAAATAATTATGACAGAATGGTTTCAACAACAAAATGGATTTCCAACAGAAATTAAAGTACCAGAGCAATTATACTAGAATTACTTGCCTCAGGTTCTGTGAATATTGATGAATAATTCCCTACTCTTGGGGATTATTTAACAATATTCACAGAGCCTGAGGCAGATAATTGTTTAATTCTACAAAGAGAAACTTATATAAACTTGCTTAAGTTTCTAGAGCCTCATGAGGTATGATAAATTCAGGCAAGTTTGCTCTCAAGAATGTTTACAGAGCACCTAAGGAACCAACTCTGACCCCAAAAAGAAAACCAAAGAAGCATTTTAAGGGCTCGAATTCTAAATATCAATCCAAACCTTGTGGCGTGTGACCCTCTGACATAGAGGGAAAGAGTGAAGTAAAGAGAGAAGTAAAGGATGAAAGAACGGAAAGAGAACTTCTGTTATCACACCAAAGGTACTAGTTGTGAACACAACTATATCTTGACTATTATGCTTGAGTACAACAAAAGCTTCAATACCTGCCCTCAATGATCCCAAGACTTAAAATCACTACTTCACATACATGCTCAGTGCTTTATTATCAATACCATATCACATCATATTATATCATATCGACAGGGCATACTCACCTTGTGTAAGTTGAAAGTAAGGAACAAGAGTTTTTCTCAGAAATGGTTCTCTAAAAGTGGCTCTATCAGGTATTTCACCAAGAAGCAGTTGAACAACAATAGCAAATTTGTGTGCCTACATGAAAAAATTCATTGTTACATGAGGACTACCAGGTACCAGCAAACTAAGACCTCTTGCACAGACAGGAAATGAGGCAGGTCTCACACAACAATTAGATTTTGGAAAAATAATTTAAAGTTCAATATTTATTTTAAAAAAGTAACATTGGTATTTTTTTGCTCAAAACACAAAATTGACACAAAGTTGGCAACCAAGGACTTTAACAGATATAGGATTACAACACTTGGCAACTGAAGACATCAGTGTGCTGTCCTCAGTGTCTCTATTGTTTTGTCACTCAGTAACTGCAGGTCCCAATATAGCATCTGCCTTCATTTTCATACCATAAAATAAGTTTCTATAAGTAACTCTATTGCAATGATAATAACCATATTAAAAAATAAAAAAAAATTTGTTTGCCATTGGTTCAATCTACTCACAGTTTGCTTGAATCCAATAGCAGCTTGCTGTGGAGCTTTCCTTATGGCCTGCAGAAGATTTTTGTGAGCCTCTGAGTAGTCAAGTTGAATAGCTTTGATAATGCCTAGGGTTCAAGGAAAAAGGAAAGTGTCAGAGAACCAACATAAAACAGGGTGTGAAATTGTGCCTAATACAGGCACTAATGCGACTAAATTTTTCACTTTTGCGACCAAATCCTGGAATGTTTCATCATAACCTAACCAAGAGATATAGTGTGTTAAAAGATTTGTAAAGATAAATCCGCGGCAAACTTCCTTGTCAAGTTTGTTTCCAAAACGCAACACCTGCATCTCGATCGATAACTAGAAGCCATTGGGTTAGCTTGATCATTGTATATCATCCATCCTAGTGTCCACTTTGTAGAACGTGAAAGATGTTTTCCCTAGCTTAATTTTGGAGGGTCTATCTAGAACGCTGACAGTGTAAAAAAAAGCTTTTGTTTGTCTTTGAAAATGGTGACCAACTTTTTTTTAATTGGCTAACACTTTGAAGAATTTAGGAGCCAAGTGGCTATCAGAAAAAAAAATTTAATTTCATGCCCTGTTAAAGTTATCTAATCATCATTGTTACCTTTCACACTAGCTTACAAGGAAAAATGTATTTACAAAATTAATAAATTTGCACATGTGTACACTTCACCAACCAGTGTAGTACAGAAATCTTGCCCATTCATTTGTGCTGGCTGTCTCTGGAAATGATGACTTGGACACTAACTTCTCAGCCTAAACAATTGAAAAGTTGACTCTTTTACATGTGGATGGGAATGGAATGTTAGAGGGTCCCCTATACCCCTTTGAAAAACTCTGTTGCATTGAAAAAATATTGGACCTTTTCATGCGTCACGAAAAAATACCAAAAACTTGTTTCTCTTCACACAAAATTAAAGACAATAACATTGAATTAATAATTCACTTTTTCTAGTCTTGACCAGTCTTATGCTACAAAAGATGACATGATGTCTTATCTCATTTTTTCAAGAATCATTACTGGTCTGTTTTTGACTTTTGTTGATCCATCTGGAGTCCATCTCTTGTCAAAACCCTGGTCAAGACCTAACCACAGAGATGATTCACACAAAGAAAAAAAAAAAAAGCCTGATCATGCTTCATACAAAAAGTAAAGGGGATCCTCATGTTAATCTGAAGAGAGAGATGTTTATTGTATCTGCTTCAATTGGTATCTTCCCCACTAGCTTGGAGGACCATTTAATAAACTTGTTGTGGTTACTTAGCACAATTTGATGAAGCTCTGACAAAGGAGGACAAAAGCTGACAAATTTAGCAGACAAAAAACCAATTGGATTGCAATGCTGCAGTGTTCTTTCTAGTATCATGAATGTTTAATGGAGTTTTTTATCAGGTTGCTCTACTTCTTACCTGATCATACAAGTTCAGCTGAAGATAGTTTCTTAAGAGGAGATTCAAAAGAATGGCCTGGAAAGATAATGAATTATAAGCTCCAGAAAAAGGTCAACATTTTTCTGTATAGTAAACAAACTTTCTGATTACCTCCCAGCTGACCCAATGCAAAGATCTGATTGTTAATTCTCCCCTCTATCTTATGACTAATGAGTTTGGGTATTCTCATTACCTGTTTGCTGGATAATGCTTGGATATTATAGGGAGAAGTTAAATATCCATCACTTCTTGGAGTTAACAAGTTTAAAACCCACAGTAAACCTACTATCAGCATTTTTGTGGTAAAGGCTCTCTGAAATAGTGCACACTGCTGAGACAGTTCCACATCTGTTGTTTATATAATGAAGAGTACTCACTTGTCCTTCATCATCATGCCTTAAAGTAGCTGTCCTCAATCTTGCTAGTAGAAAGCTGGGACAGGAAAAAAAGAAAAAAAAGAACAGGTTAACTCTGGACCAACACATATGTTGTTACCCAAAGTAAATTTGTACATAAATTTGAATTTTACTGTATTTGTAAGATTCTTCTGTTCAAAAGGTAAAGCTGTAAATATGCGTACAGGCAGTGCATATGCTCTGAGTAAATGTGCTTCCCTGGAGGCCTGAGTCCAAATACAAAGAACACCAATTAACACTTGATTCACAAGCAAAGTTTTCATTTGACTGATCACCATTAATTTTTTGTGGCATTTCAATTTATGGAATTTTTTTTTGGTGGGACTTATTTTTGCAGCATGACTACAGAAAAATTTGTAAAAATTAAACCCTGCACATTTTTTAAGCTGCAACTTCTGCATATGTACCTTCTGATTTCTTGTAGTCTGTCAACCAGTTCATAAGCACGAGAATGATAGAAATAACACTTGGCAAGAAGGGGGTCCAATGTCCTTCTGTTGTGTCCTAAAGATCGCTGCATCAGCAGTTCTGAACATTTAACAGCCTGAAACAGTCATGCAAAAAAAATTTTTTGAGTGGTTAACAAGATATCTAGCTCTCTCCTATGGAAGGTTTTTCTACTGTGACATCCTTCACAATGCTTTATATTTACAGAAAAAAGCCTTGATATTTAACTCAATCTTCCACCTGGTCCTTCAATTGTTGTCACATGTTTGAGTGAAATAACTCAAATTATCCTTAATCATCTCACAGATAACGCATTCATTTTTAGGCATCCCTTTTCCCCCTATTCAGAATTTCTGTAACCTTCTGAGGGGTGGTTATGTGTGTTTTCTGACCCTCTCATAAGTATTAATCATGATGCAAAGTCAGCTGACAAGGAAAGCCCTTGAAAAAAGCTCCCAGAACATCAAGCCATCATTATGACAACAATAAAACTCAGCATATCTAAATATGAGAATAATAATAAAAAGACTAAGGTTAAAACTAGTAATATTTGTGAGAAGTACCAAAGTAACATACAATTTTTAATACTTATCTGCAGCCAATAAATATTACATTTGAAGAGAGAAACTTCTATCAGGTGTGAAGTAATATAAAAGTACATTTCTTAGCCCATTAAATTGACATAAACCTAGGGAGCTTTTAGCACTGTGAAAAATTAAACAGGAAAAAGGTCCTTTGTTTCACAGCCTTGATCCTCATAGTTCTGGAGAAACATCAATTGAGTCTCAAAAGACTGTGAAAATACTTTTTAACGGTACTCTCTTAGCATAGGAAAATGTTTAAATTAATTTAAATTGAATCAAGATTTGTAATTACTTGAGGAGTCTTACCTCCTTGTAACACTCTGTATCAATAAGATGAATCAAAACCAACAGGTGAAAATAAAATTCAACTTCAGGTAATGCTGCAGCGGCTATCAACCGAGCACTACGTGGTCTGAATGGTACTCCAGGTTCTGATTCCATTGGCTAAAAACACAAAAGCAAGATCTATAACTTAACACACTAAAATGATTCTGTAGTACCACTGCTGGTACTCTAACACATAGAAATTATTGTGATATATCTCTCAGTTAGTATGTTTGCCATGATTGCTCAATTTAGTGGGACATATTTCATTTTATAGTACACCAAATTCCAAAGCTTGTTTAAGTGTTCAACTTTGCTAATACTGTGCCTAAATGAATGCTGGGATTTAACAACCTTCACCAGATCCCCCATGGGGCATGTTTCACACAGTCTCAATCTTTGCTGTTGTTGTGCAAGATGCAGAGCCAAAAAAGCCTTGCAAATTCTTTGAAAACTGTATGTTGCCAAACCTATTCTCTCTCCCTGATGGGCCAAGGAGATCATTGATCTGTGTGGGAATGTGAAAATGAGCATAGGCATTCCCAAACGTACAAAATATTAACAAAAATCTATTGTTTCAAATATTTGTGGGCTTGTGTATAAGACTGTAGTAAGTTGTAACAGTTTCCATTCCATCCCATTTTCCAAAGCCTTGATCTGTTATGCTGTAGAGTCTTGTATAGTCCTTGTTGCTTTTAAGAGTCGCATTTGTCATTACTCCAAAGCTAATTCTGTCACTTTTAGGTCTTAAATTTCCATTATTTTCATAATTGATTATTCTTTGCATTACACAGTTTTTATTAGAGCTCCATAAGGTCTAACTTGATCAGGATGGAATGGAATTATGGTACAACAACTTATTACAGACTTCTGGGCCACAAACCCAAAAATTGGAAGCAGAAGGTCTTTTTTTAAATTTTGTGCCCTGTACTGATGTCTATGGTCATTTTCACATTCCCACACAGATCAGTGATCTCCTCAGCCCATCAAGGAAAGAAAAATGGTTCGCAAACAAACAAACAAACAAACAAACAAACAAATTTGAAACAAACAACTCTGAAAGAATTTGTGAAGCTTTTTTGACCCTGCATCTCAAATAACAAGAACAAAGATCAGAGCAGAAAAACTTGGTCTGTAATTTACAATACAGACCACAAACTCAGTTAGTAAAGGGATGTTTCATAAACTTGAAATTATACAAATAAAGGTTTGATAATCAACATAAGCTAATAAAGAAATCTGAAATCTAACTTCAAAGATGATAGCATTCTTAGATTTAGCTGGCACCTGTTAATAATACTGCCACTGTTATCAAGTTGTTACAGTCAACAAAAACAATAAAGACCCTCTGGGCCAGTTACACACATGAGGTCAAACCTTAATCATTGATTTATGCAAGGAGTGGAGCTAACGTATTCTCTATAAGATAGTTGCTTTCATTAAATGAATGTCCCTCCACTGCTAGCTCTCTGCACCCTTTGATACTGTTCACAAAAATTAATGTTCCTTAATGATTCAGCTAAATTCAAGAATATGGTTTTATTGAACAGTGGCTAAACTTTGTTTTAATAACTTGCCTTATGAGTCTCATACATTAATTTCAAAATCTAAAACCAAGATTCACAGTCATTTATAAATGCATCATAAAAACTTTTGGGAAAAAACAACTAACCTCATCAAGAAAAGCCAACAAGCCATCTCTTGCAACTGATGCTGTAAAAAAGATAATCTTTAGAGAATTCCAAGAAAAATAAATCAATGTTACTAAATAAGCTCTGTCTGGATCTCTGTATTTAGGTACAGGTCCTAAATTTTAGTTTGTGATATAAATCAACTGTTTTTCTCTAATCACAATCGGTAAAAGAAAGCCTCAAGTAGGCTGCAGCTGTTCTTCTTTACTTACAATTGGGAAAAAAGCCACAAATAAGCTTTCTGAGAATTGGGTGAGTAAGCTTCTTCCTTGTTGCTGGAATGGCTCTTAGAACACGGGTTAGAAACCGTGGTTCCTTGGATGACACTGACTTTTCTATGTACTTAACCTGATCTTTGAGATCTATAAAAAGAAATACATGAAGACAATTGCACATCAAATCAAACGACTAAATGTAAATTTTATCGCTGTTGACTACACGTCGACTCTCTCTCTTTTACAACTACGAAAATTTAATTTCTCATCTGCAAAATTATCTTAAAAGTTTATAATCCTTAACTAACCCTTATAAAATCCTCAAGTCCTACCCTAACATTAAAGAATAACGGTTATTCAACAGGCTGTCGTACGTTTTCCACTGATTTGAAATGGCCGCAGAAATGCCCATACGAGAGGGTCCTTTTCGGTATTTTAAAATTACTTCTGTACTGTTATAAATTCGACCAGCGGGCACGGCGTCATTTCAAAAACCTGTCCGGCTGCTGAACACGGAGTAACTTCAAAAACCTGTCCGGCTGCCGGACATCTGGACACAGCGTTAAAACTTACCTTCCAAAACGAGTCTCTCTTTTTCTTCCTTCGAGACCTCCGCTTTCGGTTCTTCTGATTCTGCTGAATCGTTCTGTTTAGGTTCTTCTTTCATTTCTACGTCTGCCTTTGCCATTTTGAATCTTTTTAAAACAAACCTTTTTTAATTTTTTCCACTGAAACAAGCTTTATTCATTAACCTCTACAAGTTATCCGCCATGACACTGCAAACGAAAGTGCGCATGATCTCAACAGAAGGCCGCTGGCGGCCCACCACTAGTACCTAGTCTCCCAACCATCAGGTGGCGAACAACCATCTACTTATTTATCCACTATTTACACCTCGTCAGAAAAAAAGGCAGCTAATTAGTGATCATTTAAAAGGACCTCTTGTTGCAGCGTTTAGATCCCCCCTGATGAAGGCACTATACTGGGGTGTCGAAACGTTGGGTCTATGAATTGTAACTTTTTCGGTTACATTCATTAAATCTGTAAACCAGAGTAGCATCAAACCATGTCTGGTTGTCCACCTGGCTGCCGTTAATATAAACTATCCACTTGTTTGAGGATATTGACAGGATAACGACAGGTTAATCACAGGTCTAGGAGAAGTATGTTCTAAAAACATAATGATTTTCATCTCTACCATTAGAAATTTTATAACGGAATTTAGTATTCAACGTGTTGTTAGATTTCAAAGAATAAACTGTGTGTGTGAAAATTGTCTAACTACTAAAATTCGAAGCAAAAATAATTTACAAGAAACTGACCGCACACAGACGATATCCTGGAAAAAGCTCGCAAAAAAAATTTCTGGCCACCGTTGGAAGTTTTGTTTTTTGCTTATTTAAAACTGCTTTTTGTGTGCCCCTTAATGGTTCAAACAATTCGCTAAGACATGGATAACAATGAGAGGAATTAGACAACTTTTTACAGCACAGAAAAGGGGCCGGTCATATTTTAGTTTTACAGAAGTATGCTCCAAAAGCCATTTAATATTTATTTCTTCCATTGAATATTTTATCTGAAATGAGGTTCCTGGCACCTTTCATTCAGAATGATGAAAGAGATTAAAGTGTTTAGCGATTTTCGATCAATTTGTTGGGCGCGGTGGTGGCCCGCTTAAACGACAGACACAGGATTGCCGCGTTTATCGAAAAGCTGTCACATTGCCTCTGATTTTTCGTAAAAATCAGGGTCGTCACTACATAAACGACGAAGTCTGAGAAATTGGGAAAAGGGTATGGAATTCTTGACGTATGATGGATGCGAAGATGGATACAACAAGTAACTATGTGATTATGTAGGTTTGTATTAAACACTAAAACATAAACCGCTGACTTCAACTGAAATTTTGATGTCTAGAAAAGCTAAAGAAGTGTCGAAAATTTCCCTGGTATATTTCAGAGCCGAGTGAAAGGAATTGACAGCGGTTATAAACTAAGTGAAAACCTTCTCTGGTAGGGGAGGTAACGCCGATGCAGTCGTCAATGTGGCGACCGTAGAGTTCAGGTTTGGGGGCGTTCTATTGACTGAAAAATTTTTTTCGACCATATTCCCACCAATAGCGTAGCTCCATTCTCTCCATATAAACCCACACGCAACCCAGAATTCTTTCAATCGCTCTAACGAGGGGCTAACGTTCGAAAGCTGGTTTCGAAAGACCAGCTTTTCAACTATTTACAGTGGTCAATTTACGTTATCAACTCAGCTGATAATACTAAACTTCCCTGTTAAACCTTCAAACCTTCCGTCATAGCAAAGGTGAAAAAAGAATCATATCTGTTACAAGACGGTTTATATTTTTACTATAAGTCACAGGCTAAAATGAAACATTTAAATGAGCAACAAGTCTGTCGGTGTTTATTTTTAAACCGACGATGATGATAAACGGAAATCAATCATTGAATGATAATATCACAGAAAATGAATGATAATCGGCTATTGACTGATACCTTTTGCTACAGCTAGTTAACAGTCAGTCTTATCAATGATACGAGATATCATGATATATTATACAACATTGGTTTCTATCTAGTTTTATGGATTAAAGTTGTTGCACACGCATCAACAGCTCTACATACGTTCCTAAGAAAGAAGGAAATGTCAATATTCTACCTCTTTACAGGATAACACTATCTTTTCTTTGAAGTAACTCATGGTCATGGTTTCCTTTTGGGTGGATAACCACAGCAACAGCTGCTTGGACGCCGTGCGTCTTGGTTTTACGTGCGTAGACAGAGTTTATTGGATTGTTTTTAAAATGGTTAATTTTTTTCTACATTTCAAGACAATTCTCAGACGTTTATATTGCTCTGTGGAATCTCAAATGCGGCTAGCAGTAAAAGTTTTTCAATAATTTTTGATGGCGAAGCCCTCGCTACAATGGATTCTATATGGTTCAGCACTCATCGATGTAAACAAAGGCACAAGCGTCCGCGATATTACAAAACGCCGGTTGCTTAGTATAGCAACTCCATTGCAATACAAAGGCTAGTACAAACAGCGACATCAAGCACCCAAAAGTCAAAACAAAAAACAAATGCCAAGCGAAACATAACGAAATTTGATTGCTGTGAGAAAACGATAAGAAGAAATCAAGCAAGCATAACTTGCTGTGGTTGTATTGGCTCTTTCCACCTGAAATGCTCCGGCCTGACAGCCTCCTCTTCTACCTAGTTATGCAGTAACTGTCTGGGATTTGCCCTGCCTTTTTACAAGTGCTCTGAAGCGGAAATGTTGGATGATACACTCGATTTGTCCGCATCTCTTGATCCTGGCCTTGATATTCATCCGCTCTGCTCTAACTCAGGCCAATTAAAAATAATGCATCTTAATACTCAGTCCATGGTTTCGACATTTAATGAGCTTTTACTCACTGTCAATTCATATCCACTGGTCATTGTAACATGGAGCGAAACCTGGCTCAGAGATCAACCCCAGTTATTGGACTGTTTCTATCGCTGGCTTTGTGGCGGAATTCCGGAACAGGGAAGGTATAAGGGAAGGTGGCGTTGGTGTTTATATTAAGGAAAATATCAATTATAGGCGCCGTCGTGACATTGAAATGCCCACCCAGAACTTGAACACCTATGGATAGAGGTGCCTGGCCGCGATAAGTATAGTAGGGCTTTGGTAGGTGTGATCTATAATTCCGAGCGCATGCTCAGTCCTTCTGATTGGCTAAATAGTTTAGATAACTTACTTAGATACCTAACTGTGTACTGGGATGGCATGTTAATGCTTACAGGAGACATCAATATCGATATGCTTCGTCCTTCTGACCATCTAACAAAAAGGTATCAAGGTATACTGGATTTGTTTGAGCTTACACAGATTGTGGAACGGCCCACACGTGCTACGAGGAGCTCCAAAACCCTAATTGATCACTTTATTACCAACCATCCGCAAAGGTGACCAACACTGGTATAATTCCATGCTCTATTGTAAGTGACCACGATGCCATCTACGCATGCGTCAATGTACGGCTCCCTCGGTTCCAGCCTCATTATAAATTTATCAGGGACATTAAGAACTTTAACGAGGACGTGTTTAAAGAGGACTTTTCTACTCTTCCTCTGTCTGTTATATACTACTCAGATGATCCAGACGAACAACTAGAGACACCGAATACACTAATTTCCGAGTGTCTTGAGAGACACGTCCCCTTGCGGAAGGTTCGTGTCACGCGACCACCCGCCCTATGGATGAAGGACCCACTGATAGAAGAACTCCAGAAGAAACGGGATTCTGCTAGATTTACCGCACACCAGACCAGCACTGATGCCGCTTGGCATGAGTTTTGTTCGGTCAGGAATAAATTAAAGTCGGCATTAGAACTGCTCGGAAGGCATTTATTGAAAAAGCTCCCTATTCAAATAAGTCGCGCGAGGTTTGGAAAGTCATCCACAGAGTGCTAAAGCCAAGTGCAAGGCCCCCTGCGGTTTGATCGGGACGAACTTCAACGATTTCTTCGCGACGACTGCTCAGAGAACACTAGAGACTCGGGCGACCCCAATAGAGGATCTCACGTGCCTGATAGGTAACCTGCCTGACGTCCCTTCTGGGGGTATGCGTTTTCAGCCGTCACCCGTCACCAGTGAGAACGTTCTCCAGGTCATCAAGAATCTACGATCGGATTGTTCTACGGGCGCGGATCAGATACCTACACGCTTCATCAAGATGGTTGCTGAGTGCTTGGCAGTCCCCCTAACATCTATCATCAACAGTTGCATTGCGGAAGCTTATATTCCAAAGCAGTGGAAGATTGCTCGGGCGTCTCCAGTTCCAAAGATTGACAACCCAGTTTCTAACGATCAACTCCGGCCCATCTCAGTTCTACCTGTTCTATCCAAGGTCTTCGAGAAGCTTGTGGTTATTCAAATGACGAATTATGCGGACCACGCCCATCTTCTTCACGATCGCATCTCTGCTTTCCGTAAAGGGCATTCCACCACTACAGCCTTGTTGAGAGTTAGAGACGATATTCGCTATGCCATGAAAAGGAAAGAGGTCACGCTTATGGTGTTAGCCGATTTCTCGAAGGCTTTTGACACCATATCCTTTAGCACGACCATCGTGAAGTTCTACAAGCTCGGTTTCTCAAAACCCTTTCTCAAGTGGCTCTTGAGCTATCTATCTGGCCGCTCCCAGTTCGTGCAGATCGACGATAGGAAGTCCTCGTACCAGTCATCTAAGTATGGCGTTCCACCGGGGTCCATCCTGGGACCGATGATTTTTAACTTATATGTATCAGATCTACACGAGGTCATTCCATCATCGATGGAATGCGTCCAGTATGCGGACGACGCCTCACTGTACAGCCATTTTAATGTCAAGGAGTTAGACTCAAGAGCTGTGGACATGAATGAGACTCTTGTAAGTATCACAAGCTGGTCCCAGGACTCCAACTTGGCGCTGAACCCTGCAAAGACTTAGTGTATGTTGTTCTCAACTCCTCAGATGTCGTCTTACCGTTCTCTAGCTGAACGTCCTATACGTTTATCTGCAGGAGATAAACCCCTCGAGCGTGTTCACTCTATTAAATTACTTGGGGTTCACATGACTAACACCTTGAAATGGGATGATCATGTTAAGCATCTCGCCTCATCTCGTTATGGTGTCCTACCTGCGCTGAGGAAAATCAAGAACTTTACAAACTACCATCTTAGAAAACATTTAGTTGAATGTCTGGTACTATCTCGCCTAGACTTTAGTGATATAATATTCCATCCACTTACTGATTGCCTTCTAAAGGGTTAAAGCGTATCCAGTTTGCGGCCGCCAGTTTTGTTTTTGGACGTTATGTGAACAATTTTGACTCTATTTTTAAGTTAGGCTGGTTGCCTATGAAAGAACGTAGAGAATGGCACGTTCTAAAGGTCGCACACAAAGCTATATACTCTTATGATTGGCCTAGAAACCTTCAGCTTGAGCAAGTAAAACATGCTAGAAATTTACGGTCATCAAGTACCATAAATCTAGTTATTCCCTATGCCTCAGACACTTTTCAGTATAGCGCGGCAGCCTTCTTCAATTCTCTGCCATCCAATGTTAAATGCTGTGATAATTTTAAATCCTTCAGTAAGAAAAAATTATGTATTTTAAGGGAGCGCTGCCGGAATAGGGCGGAATAATTTCTTGCCTAGTTTTAAATAATGTATATATTGTATGGTTACATTTTACTGTTTATTACCTAGCTTTTTACAAATTCATAATTCAGATTTATGTATTTTTATTTATTATTCATTTATTTTTCTTTTTATCTTATATCAGGCGAAGAGCCATACCATGGATGTACTGATGTTAAACCGTTATTATTATTATTATTATTATTATTACTATATGGTTTCCGAGGGAAATTCTCCTATAAAGTCGTTGAAAAGCGCTGTCAATTACCCGTAATCAATATATCGTTATTTCTGATAACAGAAGGTTTTTGTTGATCTGGATCTTTCACTGTTGTTGACCTTCTTAACTTAAGTGTCAGTTGATGAACAACTGTTGAATATGGGGTGCTAGATTGACTTAGAAAGAAAAAGAAAATAAGATGCACATGTGAAAGATCAGTCAGTATGAAAATCTTAACTGCATGAACCATTAGTTTCGATCGACTTTGAAATTTGAAATTGCGGTCCTCTCTGTCCTACGTCAAGCGCGCGCTCATATACAAGCAACAGTGGTTGCGTAGAAACCACGCGAGCTTTAAAAAAAAAAAAACAGTTCCGCAAACATAGGAAACAATAGCGAGTTACTTTGAGTACTAATATTTCCCTTGTTAACGCCCCGAGACAATGAAGCGAAATTTAGATTGAGGTCTCATGAACAGTTAAGGATTATGGTTCAACAGCGAAGAAAAATACCGATTTAATATGGAAAATGAAAAAACTAATGAAGCGAAGCGACGTGAGCAGCGAGGCAAAAGTGTTGATGATGCTTTTATGTTTGATCGTCGTTCAAGTTTTGAGATGCCGAATGAAACAACTCCTCGAGACTCGGCCGATGATCTTTTAAAACTTAGGAAAAGGACACGAAATAAATCGTGGGCAAGTAGTGCATTACGACAAAATTTCTTGCCAGTCGAGAAAAGATCTCAGTCATCTAAAGCTACGTTTGATAAGCACAGGCCATCACATCGTGTGAAATATAACGGACATCCGTTTGACAGGAATAAAACTGGGCGATGGCAAGGGGATTACATCAAGATGAACTTACCCAAGAAATGGCTAAGAGACTATGAGAAAAAGCAGGTGAGATTTTTCAGTTTATTTTTTTAATGCTAAGCTTTCAAGAATCTTGCAAGACCCTTAGCCCGTAAGCCGCATCTCTAAGCAACAATTCGCACTCGTAAACTCAAATACCTGGTAGATCACGTCTACGTTTTATTCAGTCAGTTCCTTAATATGCATCTCTATACAGTGCTCGAAGATTATTTGATTGTTTCATTTTTATTCCAGGCTATTTCTGTGTTCAATTTTAATATACGCGGATTTTTTATACTCGGATTTTTGTGGGGCTATTAAGTTTTGTAGACTTAGCTCGCGTGAGCAACCTAGGTAATCGCGTGACAAATATTCGTTAATTATTTAAAAAATTTGGTACCACAATCCAATATTCTCTCATTACCTTAAAAAAAATAGATCTGCTGATTTGCGAATGTATACATTCGTTGAGATTGGTGGCTATATGAATTTTATCCCGTCCTTTATTGCCGGTCGATGGCGCACTTGTTTCTGGTTTTTAGAAGAATGCGCAAGGTCATGACAAAGCATTTAATAAAAGTCATAATAAGGATGGATGAGCACATACTTCAAATAGTTGCTTTATACAGCTCATTGCAGATGAAACGACTTAACAAAAGTCTGGATATTCCGCTACAAAGAACCTTTGAATACATGTTGCTGTTCTCTCTTCCTTTGAATTTGTGATACTGATCACTGATTTCTTTCAACAACTGCAAAACGTTTATCAGATAAAGAGTCCAAACCCCCAGAGAAGTCTGCCAACCCAAACTGTGAAAATCCCGCTGAGAATTTAATTAAAGAAATAAGCTCCCTTGCTTGCAAAAAGCCGGAAACTGCATAAAAGTTTCTAAGGTTAATTGTATGGCAAATGCCACAAAGCTGTGGCCCGACGTGATGAAGTTTTAAAAGAAAATACTGCCTTGATCACTGGCAAAGCTTTTTACGGTTTTAACGATGTAATTGTTGATAAAAATGCTTTTCCTTATCTGCCCACTTATTCCGCATTAGCATTGTTGTGTTTATGGGTAATCTGTTTTATCTTACTTAGTTATGTCTGAACTAGTACTTACCACAGATCAGGGTAGATAAAATTTGTTTCCTGTGTTAATTAAAGACGCCATCCAAGAGATTTACCAAGGTCAACACTGGCAAATTCCTCAAATACTACCTTCCATTTTGAATAATACAATATTTGATTCTAGCTCACAAAATGCTATAGAATCGTAGGCTTAAGAAAATTCTGCCTTTCTTAACAAACATGAGTACATGTTTTCTCACACAAATATTATCCAATCGTTGTCCATCTTAAATCACTCTTCAGTTCAGCTGGCGAGTTTTCATTTAAAGTCGAGTCCTGTTTAACCGACTCAATCGTTATCTCTGGGTGACCTGTGGTACAGGTTTGATCTCAGTGGTTCAGTTTGAATAACACGCCATCAGTGTCATTTTTGCTCCACAGGCAGATCTTCAGAAGCAAACTAAAGGAAAGCTTGAGGTAGGTCAAATTGAGTTTTCCTGTTTTGAAACAATTGCAGTCAAATGCCATGTAGAACTTAAAGTACCGTTTACTTGATATCGGTTGGAAATTGCACCAACCAAAACATTTTAAACCAAACTGATAAGCAATAAAACCATATCGGCGAATATGAACGCTTGATCAAAACAAATTGCAAAAAATGTGCATGTGTTTAAAAAAACTAACATCATTCTAAGAGGGACTACACGAAACGGTGCTTTTGAAAATTTTGTGAAGAACTCTTAATCAAATTAAGACAACGAACCAACAATAATAGCTATTATAGCAATCATAAAGCAGTTTTCAATTGAGTGTTGAAAGTAATTCGCGAGTGCTTTGGTTTTACTTTAGTTTGCTCTTTGATTGGTCCAGAAAGCTCCTGCCACTTTCTCAAACAATCAGATTCAAAACTAAAACAACCGGCGACTTGGTCACTCGCATTTTCCCGCGCTTCAGACAGTTGACTTTCTTTTACTTTTAGTTCTTATTGGCTCGTTGTGGATATTTTACTTTGGGTTTGGTTTTACAAATCGAAATCGAAAAGCGCTCTAATAGTGATAATAATAATAATTGTCATTTTTGTTGCGCATTGCAAAAAAAAGAAAAAACCTTCCTCATATGGTAGTTCATCAATTGATAAATTGATTTATTCGAGTACCATTATGATTCCTTCTGCAACATTTCGCTTGAGCCCAGTTCAATAAAAAAAATTACTAAGAAAAAAGATACTGTGGGACTGAAAGGATGAATATTGGACATGTGCCACTTTCTTTCCTTGCCCGGCTGCTTTTCAGGAAAAACAACAATGGGCAACTTGCGGACAAATTCCACAGCAAACCCAAATTGGCAGCGAGGAGAGGAAAGATAGAAAATAGGACGCATGTCATGAGGTTAATCCATTTTAAAAAGATCCTCGCTTGGCCTGTTTGATGGTTGAAATAATTGTTACAAGTAAAAATGTTTTTCCTTGCTTCTTGTTAATAAGAGAAACAAGCAAAACATTTTACCTGTCACAAACTTAAAAGTTTGCTGCGGTTTTTTGTTGTTTATGTTGTTTATGGCTCGCTTATGACGTTCACGCCACGAGCAAGCACGAGATGACCTTCATCAGCAGTACTCGGACTCAGCATTAAGAAGTAAAGTACTGTAGACAAGCTGAGAGTGTTCTAAAATTTGCCTCCGTGATCTAAGGGAAAAACTTGATGAGGAACGTTGATGACCAACATAGCTTGCAGTATACGCTTACCTTAAAAATCACTTCGCTATTGAATTGGGGTTTTATCGCGTTTGACTTCCCTAAGGCCATAGTGACCCACTGTGTTCTTCGTATGTTATTTTTCAGCCTCTGGATCGATTTCGACGTGCTGTTAGAATGGTAAGTATGATATGATCGCTGATGATCCTTGCCTATAGCGCAGCTATTGCTGTTATTTTTGTTGTTGCTGTTATCCACGTCACATTTGAGTGAAAGCTTCTGTTGAAAATGCCTCTAAGCCACTTTCTGCAGATATACCTGTGTTGTTCCATGCTAACGATGGTTAAGTTTGGCGTGCTCGATCCGCCCTACACGATCCTTTCCCTTAACAAATAAAGAATATGAAATTCAAATTTTTAACGCACTGCAACTGAGCCAATTTTTTTGTGTTCACGTTGGGATCACTTGCAGTCGATGTGCACGTTCAAATCGTTTGGTTCATCGGGCTAAGTGATTCTTATCCCCACCACTGAAAATTATGTATAAAACTGTGACACTGCTCGAGTTATCACAACCGAAAAGTAACTTAAAATCTCGAAAAATGTCCTCAAATGTGAAAGCCAGCATTTTGAATCCTGCTCAACAACCCGGCCGCTTACCAGTGATCAAGGGATGATGCACTGACTTATTTAATTTGCATTCCCATGTGTCCATACTGGTCATCAGTATGATTCAGGAGCTACACAAGGAGGACTTCTTGACCCAAATGATACATTTTGTGCGATAACCAGCTATTTTTGAACTGCACGTCGTGGTTTTGCTCGTGCGGCCAGATTACAGAATTGTTCTCAAAATAGCGACGCCATAGTACGATTAGCAGCACATTCGAAGAGAATCTTTGAATAATTAGATTAATCTCAGAAGTCTCAAATCGGTGTAAGAAGTGAGTCATTACTTATAGTATTTAATGGCTGGGATGAAAATGTAATGGATTATATAGCTTACTTATACTTATACTTATTACATGTATATCTTTCAGTTAGTACGTGCGTTTGAGAATGTATTAGGCCGTATTTCATCAAACGGCCGCTAAATTCGAGAATTTCTTTGAATTGAAATCTTACCCTTCTATTTGAACCCAGATGTATGATAAATATCTTCCTGACCTCGTTAACTCGGTCTGTACTGCAACTTACGAAACCTTGAGCAGAAAAATTCGGTCCGTAACTCACAGTTCAGACCTCGAACTGGGTTAGTTAGAGTTGTTTATTGTTTATTATACCGACCTTAGAGAGGTAAGGGTCTGCACTTCTTTTCGGTTTACCGCGGTCATAACACGTTTGATTTGTCAGTATAACTGTCTTAAAGTTTAAAGAACTTTTCTTTTATTCTTTTGACATCCCGTATGGGTTATTACGCTGGTAAACCGATAAAAAAGTGCGATTCATTGCTTTAAAATCGAACCATAATCGGGTTTTTATCTATAATGCAATTTACGTTCGGAATAGCCCCATCTCCACCGAGAAGACTACTGATTGGAATCATGTGATTCAAACTCGCACGTCGTATTGCCCCTCTCGTGTTTTTGTTGTAGGTTCAAACTCTCAACTCTTCAATTCGGAGCATCGTATATCACGCTGTAAAGAAAGGCCAATATGAAGAAGTTACTTCTGACGCCACACTTAGCTTGAAAAGTGCCGCCGCCCAGGGAACTGTGGAGGATCTAATGTTTGATCCAGAAAATTACAAATGCCACCACGAGGTGACTTGTGAAATCTTTTTCCGTAATTTGTTATGCCAAAACTGGTAGCTAAAGTTCATGCAAAGACATAAACTAGGAGCTAAATGGTTGCTCTCTGAGGATCTACTAGAATTTCATCGTGCAACAATATTTACACATAATCACATCGCTAGTTACTCGAAATAAGAGAGAGAATTCTAACAACTATTGTAACAAGCCAAGCCTGAAAACAAAATTAATAAGCACCGGGGAAGTAAAAATAAAGAAAGGAAAAAGATCTTGACGAGAGCGAGAGTTATTGTTGAAAAATAAAGTTTTGAGAAAACTGCTGTAAATCATAAAAAATGATATTGTAATTTTCGTAGGGCGTAGATACCCCAGCGAAACGGCAATTTATCGATGATCCAACTATTTTATCCGTTCATAGAGGAAAGGTCTTGAATGTTGTTGGACTTTTTTTTTTATCTGTTATTAGAATACAATTACGTTTGTGCTTTCAGTTTCTAATACCAAGATGGGCCAAGGAAATTACCCTCAAGGAACCGCAGCAAAGGACTAAGCAAGAAATTCATTCCATCGTTCAACTTATGAAGCAACTCAAAGGTTTCCGTAGATACAGCTTTAAGATACAAGAAGCGATTTGTGCGGCACTCAAATACGATTGGTACGATAAGAAACAGCCATTAAAATTTAGAGTTCTGTTCGTTCGTCGCAAGAAGATTTGAATACTCACATTACAAAATTACTGTTGGGTATACTCCAGCTTAGATGCTTCCCATGGGATTATGTTCTTGCCCATTGTGTGAGTTCTTCATCGTACAAACAGCTTGTACCATGAATGTCTTTTATTTGAATTATTCGTTCACAACCCTACGAGGGAATCAAATCTGTTTTCTGAAGCACTAACACAAGCGTTTCCCTTAATCTTGTACCTCTTGTTTTCTTGAAAGCAAATGAAGTCAGCCAAAGTTTCATTGGTGTTCAAGTTAATGCGACATCGCTCAAATTAAAATGAGAGGTTGATAGAAAATTAAAGGACGCAAGTAGTCCTGAGGTAATTTCATTTTGCTGTGAACAACAATGCACATGAATGTAATGCTATTCAAATGGCATGTCTGTTTCGCAGCTTTGGACGACGTCGTGTGGTAATTCGGAAAGGTCACGTTGCTCAACGGTTCTACTTTGTATTTAGTGGCTCAGCATGTGTGACAATCGATGATGACGAACACAGCGCATTTGTTAAACCAACTACCTTGCTCAGAAGAGGGGATCACTTTGGGGTATGCCACTTAGAGTTAAATGGGCCGAATAAAATTCTAAAATTTGTAAAAGATAGGCCCTTTTGGCGTGATAATGCATTGTGAGAGTCTTTCTTGGTTTTTTTAATCTTCAGTTAACACTAGATAGTGTAAAACAGTGTGGGTAAATAGCTATTCACCACGTGTGATTGTAATTTAGGGTCTATCTTCCTTCATGCCATCGTTACTCTGTTTTATGTCATCCTTATTAAGCTCAAAAACTATTGTTATTATCAAAATTCGTTATTTAACGCTTCTTTTCAACAGGAACTCGCTTTTATTCGTGGACTGAGAAGGGCAGCCACAGTAGTTTGTCTAGAAAGAACTGAGTTACTGTCCGTGGAGAGAGGAGATTTCTTTTCCGCTAAGATTGATGTGTCCTTCAACGCGGATATGCAAAGGAGAGTGGCACTCCTAAAGTAAGGAAAATGAATCGTCAAATAATGGATATGACACGTTAGGCATCAAAATGCTAGTTGTGTTCGAGACATCGCGCAGATAATCTGTTTATAAGACAATAAGCATCAGTATACGCTTGCATGTAATATAATCTAGAAGAATTGCAAGAGCTGCGTCTTTATCCCATGGGTCATTTTTCCAAGTCACAACGAACTTCATTTTAATGGAAAGAGAGCCTGAAATGATCGTATTTCAATGTAGAAAAACATCAGGGCCGTCTAAATATGCCAAATGGCTCGAGGTTGAATGGTGAAAATTAACAATTATTCCAGATGACGACTCGGAACTGGCAAAGCTTTTTTTAAGATGGACAACTTTGACAATGCTCTTCTCAGTGTATTTCTAGGTCTCAATAGGAGTAGTGTTTCAGTTTATATTACGCCACAGTTAAGATTAAGAGTATAAACGCAAATGACCCACAAAAGCATTTCAATAAAACGTTTTAACAAGTCTTGAAGAAATAGAAATACTTCCTGCAAAACATCCTTACCCAATTGATTATAAGACACAAAAAATTTGTGATCGAGTATTTTCATCTACACGAGTAACTTAAAGAAATCCTATTTGACCCTTGGATGAAAAAATAACGGAAGAACCTATCCCTAGTGGTGAACTCGATCAGATTCCGTAACGGGGAAAGAGTCAGTTGTTCACCTGTGTTCATTCTTCATTTTTTTCTTTCATCTCTGTCGCCACCGATCAAATGCTTATCATCTGTTCACATTCCAACTGTGTTTTATTTAAATGATGTTTTTTTCTCTTAGGGAGCATCACGTGTTCAGCACGTGGCCTGCAGATGTGGTGAAACAGGTTGCAGAGGAGAGCATACTTCAGGACTACAATAGTGATGAAGTGATTATTCGTGATTCGTCTAAGATGCATTGTATAGTATTCGTCACAAAGGTAAGAACTTAGGGACATGGAATGGAGGCTGGCGCGGTAACCTGAAGTAGTTTAAGGTCATCAGTAAGTAGTTTAAGGTCATCGTCTTTGATCTTTTCTGCTAGTTCATAAGTCAAATCGTTACAACTGACGATAAATGAAACTTATTGCTTCTATCTAGTGGAGTTTACAGCGCGCATAGTGCGCGCAGCGTAGCTCTATATCTAAGAAAAATGGTGAGCAATCAACACATCATGATTGGCGATCTCTCTGTGTACGCTTTTGATGACTGTGTCTTATCATATATGTACCAAAGGTACACTTTTTACGTTCCTTCGTGAAGGGAATAAATGTCTTGTAGCTCTCTATGAAAACTGAGTACGTGAAAGAATACTTTGGCCTCTAAAGAGTGCATATCAAGCGAAAATGAGCTTTACGGTTCTATTTCCTTCTTATTTAACAAGGAATAACAGTAAATCGAATAGTCCGATCTTCTAGCCGATAGTAGTCCAGTTAAGTACAAAAGGGTTTTTAAAAGGACTTTTATCGGTGACTGTGACTGTCTTTTCATCAACGTATGCTAAATCCATCATCATGTTAAGGGTCTTTTGCTCGAGTAATAAGTCATCTTAGTGGTTCTACACTTCCTTAGGGGCACCTTTAGCTTCAGCTCTACCTGTTTTTAAGTTCGGTGACCTTCTTTTTTAATCGAACTGCGCTCTTGACCCTAAAATTTATCGTTCCACATCTAAATCCGGATTATTTAAGGTGGCTCCGCCGAATCAAGGGTGCAGTTCTTTGTTAACGCATTCCGTGCTCACTCTTTCTCCTTAACAGAACTGTTGAAAAGCATATAAGTAAAAAATACGCATTATTCACTTGCTATACGAAAATTTATTTCCGGGAACCGCAAAGTTTATCAGTTCTTAATTTATAGTGGATTTAAAACTTTTCTAAATAGAGACATAAAAAAAAATTCATTAGGCAAACAACTATAGAGGTTTCAAAGTCTGTTTTTTTATTGTTTTATCAAGGGTCAGTGCAATGTATTAAGACTGTTAGACCTCAGTGACTGTAAGGAATACATCGACCACGCCTTGAAATATAGGATGGGGAAAATAAAAGAGGATGGGTCAACAATTTACAACCCTTTTGTGGACGACATCTCTGTAAGCTCAGTAGTTTTACGAGGATTGCCTCCGAGATCTGAGAGCCCCGAGGAAAACTCCACTGCAACGAGCTCGGTAAAAAGGGTGCGAGAAAAAGCGAAATCGGCTCCTCCCAACACAAACCCAGGCTCGCATCAGTCAGAAATGATAGCGTCTCGGCCTGTTACAAAAGGAATCCTACACTTGGGAAGCTCAAAAAGAAAATCGCCAAGGGGTCTAGTGAGTTTCCAGGATAAACATAGAGAATTACCCGGTTTAGAAGTAGAAGTTTTGCAACCTTCCGAAAATCCACCAAGATCTCTTAAACCCTCGGGCTCGCTGTACCAAATTAACGAGAAGGAGGAGAGATTCCATGAGAAACACGCAGTGGATGAGAATGTTGGTGTTGGAGTTTATATGATGGTGGATCGATTGAGACCAGGTCAATGTTTTGTAAGTATAACTCCTTACCCAACATTGTCAGTTCATTTCCTCGTCTATTCAAGTGAATAATACATTTAGTGTAAACTAGCTAGAATTGAAGTACCGTGGTTAGCGTAAACATGGAGTTGTGGCAGCCCCAATTCATTTTCAAAGTTTCATCATGGGTACGCGTATACTGGTAGCAAAATGTGACTTGAGTAATGTTCAGATTACCCCTGTTTTCGGAGATCCCAGAAGGTTGTGGAAATAACCACTTCCGCCGGCCATATACATTTCATGTGGCATCACCACCAGTCAAGCTACAAGTCTCATTATTCCTTACAGACCAGATGCCCCAAGTTTAAAAATAAATTGACACTAGCTATTTTTCGAATGAGTGTTAGACACGCTGGCCTGTTTCCTTGTGCGTTGCACTCTGGAACAAAAGAATCGGTCTTGAGCTCTGGTTGTGTCCCTGTGTTGTGCCCTTTAGCAAAACGCTTTCAATGGGTATTGAAAACAGTCAGCAAAGCTTGAAGAATTGTAGGGGGTATTCCAGCGCTGGACTGACATCAAATCCTTAGGGTGTCATGTTTCTGAGCCTGGGCATGCTCTAGTAAAATTGTCTTATGGCTAAAAACCTGACCTTGTCCTATGGTATCCTCTCGTGTCTGTGTCTGCAAAACCTGCTGTTGCTGTACAGCTTGAATATGGATCTGTTTGAGTTGCTGAATTTTTTTTTCCTTTATTTCAAATTCGTCACAATCGTATTGTTATTCACCATCTCAGGGTGCGTGGTCTTTGTTGGAGCTAGAGGACCAATGCTTGCCCGCGGCTGAGAAGGCTAACTCTCCTTCACAACAAAATGAACGAGACCTGACCAGCCATAACAAGAAAAGTATTAAAAGGCAGACTAAGGAGGATAAACTAAGGGACAGACGCTTTACTTTGGTCAGTGCCGGCTGTGAAGTTGTCAAAGTAGCCAAAGAAGTTTTCTTCAAATATTCAGACGCTGAAACTCTTGATAAACTTAAACAATTAACAACCACTTATCCTAAAGATAGCTTCTTGTGTCAGAAATATCTTCAGCAGAGCGACTGGAGGACATACAGAGAGAATGTTGTAGATAATGTTGTGGTAAGGCATATTGCTCGCCTAGAGACAGCTAAAGGATCTGCTCGCTCACATAAGGTCAGATCATCCCCAGTCCCGTCGCCGCTGGGCTCGGTAAAAATGTGGCCATCTATAAATTCCAAGTGGGAGTACTTCCCAGACGCAGGATGGGAGTCTGCACAAGTCAACACACCAGCTGTTGACGGTTAGTAGTGCTAAGCTTTGTATTTTCGTTGGAGCGTATTTCAAGTATCGTATAACTAGAATAAAGGTAATAACGACTGCCTATCAGGGGAACGGAAAAGATAATGAGTAGACAATGAGAACTCAAAGATCAAACTCGCAACATACCCGAAGCGCAAGAAACTCGAGTGACCAAGTCGTGATTAGATAAAGTTTTGAATCTCAATGGTCGAGAAAGTTTCGCTAGTGCTCTAGACCGATCATATGAAGAAGTAGAGCAAAACTAAAGCCATGCCATATTTCTTGCGCTACTCAATTAAAAATTACGCAGTCTATGGACAGCGCTAATTGCCTCGTCGTTATTGACGACAGATATGAAGATGTATGGATCACCTCTAATATTTCTATTCTTTGAAGGAGGAGTGAGTTTGCAATTAGTTTGATGATTGGTGATTTAGTAAACATCATTTAATTTATTTTAGCCGGGACTTCAAGACCACACAGCTCCGATTGTTCTGCTATAAATCCATCAAGTCGGGGTCGGAGTCCATCATCGAGAAAACAATCACCGTACGCCACGCCCCGTGGTTCACCCATACCTCTTCCTTCACCTGCCTCAAAATCGTCCGAAAAGCTTTTACCGCTGGTCAAAAATGACCTGGTGCTAGCTCAGGGTAGTCAGAGGGCACTGGTACTGACTCATGGCGGTAGTAGGAGTAATAATTATCAACTACAGATCGAGAGACGAATAATTGACAAAAACGACTCCAGGAAAAATAATCCACTTTTAAATAGAGTGAAATAGCATTTAGGATCCATCAAGGGGTCGTTTCAAGGAATCAATCGACTCTTCTCCCAAACTACCGCCTAATTTAAGTATATGAAATTATTTATCACGAATTGAAAGTTGTATTGAATGTTTTATCCGATGACATTAAAAAATCTTGAGATAGGTGATCAGGTCAACAAGTTGGACAAATTGATGATTGATCCTTGTGTCAATTTCACTTTCAATTTTACTTTTCAAAATTTTCTTCATGTTTGTAATTACCGAGGTTTCTGTTGCCGGAACACGTTATGATGGCACAGAATCGAATGAGAAATCAGCAATCCTCTCTTGTCTGTCAGCCTGAAGGTATTAATCAGAGTCAACAATGATGCAAAGCCCAGGGCCGGGTTATTCAAAGCTGGGTTAAGATAACCTAGCTTTCGAGTGAAGTCTGATTTCAGATCTGAGGGCTTTAAAAGAAAATACTGTCGAATTCTTTTTGTCTAGAATATGATTATTTGATGGTTTCAAAAAACTAACGCACGCAGGGAGCAAAAGGAAGTAAGACGAGTTCGTTGTTCCTTCGTGCTCAAGTTCTAACTGCATTTGGAGAAAACAAAATATTTAACCATCTTTTTTCTTTTCAAAGCAAGGAATAATTTGCGATAGATGACGAGATTTTAAACAACTTTAAATTTTAGCAAGACCCTCTAATCTCAGAGACAAATCACACTGGGATCAATATAAAAACTGTTACGACAGTTGCTAGGTCCCTAACTGAAAAAGGCAAATGCGTTCGTCCTCTTTCTTAGTCTCGACTTTTTTCAGCTGTAAATTTGTAAGACAACCATTTTAAGCCTCTAAGCACATCCCTCTTTGTTTCTCAACCCTGAAGAGTATGTCAAACAGTTTAGAAATTTAATCTTTACGGCGTTCAAGGATGAACTGTCATTCTTACAAGCTTTCATTTCCCTTTACCATGTCGCATTAGAGTTGATCGGCTGGTAAAGATTTGAATGAGGCTTATGTACGAGTTTCAATCGTTTCTCCCAATCTTTTTCGTTTATTTCTTTCATTGAGTATGACAAGCAGAAGGAAGTTTGCCTTACCAAACGCAATCACCAACTTCCACTATACTTTTGTTCACCAATACATTAAACAGCTGGTCCTGGTTTTTCAAAGGATGCATAACGCTATCCACAAGCTGGATAAATCGCTATCCGGTGGATAACGCAGTACGTTTTGTGAATGCTTATCCGCTGGATAGTGATTTATCCTTTGGATAGCATTATCCGCCCTTTGAACAACTGGGCTCTATTTTTCTTGACCCCTCTTTGTGTCGGTGAGACTATCAAAATCAATAATAACCTAGGAAAAAAACAGTCTTTGTCCTTGATTTTAATCAACGCACAAAATCCCTTAATAGAAATTTGCGATGTCAACCAAACGATCCTTTAGTACAATACGCCAGTTAAATTAATTTTCGATGCCAACAGTGTCATTTGTGTTCCTTACAGAAGTTGACATTTGATTAACCATATTACTACAATGACGGACACGCCCTTAAAAGTCTTAAATGGAGTTATTTCCTACTGAAAAGGACAATCCTTGATATTCCCTTAAGTAGATAAGGCTTGGTTAATTGGATTCAATCGATTGAGCACAAGGAGCAAAACCTACACATCAAGGTGTTTTCATATGGGATAACTTTCGGAAGGGAAAGTTTTTATATTTAAGTTCTAAATTGGTAGAGATGGCTTTTTTTCAATGTGCGTCCTCTCTATGCGTATCATCTTATTTTGCAATATTGAATTTAATGTTTGCTGTCTCAGGATCGCCACTTTTGGCAGATCACTACCGAGGTGAGTTTATTAAAATGATATTGAACGACTTTTGGAATTAGGTCTCTCTCACAGAAATCAGTTTTCCGCGCGGTTCTCGAATCAAGGTACTGTCCTTTCTGTTGATATGTTTGAATACGAGTTTAGTATGTGACAGATTTTTCGAACTTCTTAATTTTTCCTGAATTCTCTGGATCTGGTGAGTGTCAGAATTTGTAAACCGGTAGGATTTTAGGCAAGTTTATAGGTTACTCTCATCAGTGCCTCTTAGTTCAGTGCTTCTGCGCGATTCGTAAAATCTTCGACACAAAGGGGAAGCGTCAATAAACACGACTTTGAGGTTGCCATGAACTATGTACCACCCATTTACTCAGTCAGCAAAAACTTAAATAATGAAGAAGAGGTCCCCCTTATCGATTGGCGTTTTTCCAAACGCGAAGCTACTATGAAAAGTTGGAAGCATAGCTTAGTAGTTCTCAAATGAAAGATGGCAAAAGATCATAGGCAAGTATTACATCCAAAACGAGCAAGACTTGGTGTAATCATAACATCGGGCAGAGCTGCTCCTTGTGTCTAGCAAATTTTGTGCGTTTCCTTTTTACAGTACTTGTGTATTATTTGTTTTTTTTTGTTTTGAGTTTTAAACAGAGATTTAGGAATAATTGTACCGCGCCCAGTTTCATAGGCAGGTGAAATCTCTATCGATCCTTATTGTGAAAACATATCAAAGAAGGGATGTTTTCATCAGCGTGATTCGAATTTGTAATTCAAATTGAAGCCTTAATCTAGTTAGAAATTCGTTGTTTTTATTCAAACCACTGTTTTTGTTCAAGACACTGCTGTTTGTCCTTGACCGTGTTGCATAACTAACTGTTTATTCCAACGTATATACACCACTTAGAGGTGCTTCGTGAGTACTGTATAAACGTTCGGGGCAGGGTTCAGAGAGCCCATTTTTGTTTCCGAGAGGAGTTTGTTTAAAGTAGCGTTGGCAGATGTTGTTCAGTTGAAAATTTGAAGTTCAGATACATTCATAAACAATAGAGTTAATTTCAGAAGAGAAACAAAGGAGCTGTGCCGCAAAACTGCGTGACTCAGTGTTCAGAAAAATCAATCTAGGATATCTAGTTACCCGTGCGTGTTTTTGTCAAAACATCCATCGGATTGGCTCTCAAAAAGATTTGCTTGCAACCTATTACTCGCAGTAATTAACCATATACGTAACTTTTAATTTAACTGACATTATTTTGAAAAACGGGCGAGCAAATTTAGCAGCATTAGAGATACCCACGCATTTGAAACAGGCCATGTAATAGATGCAGACACCAGAACCATAAAACGCACATATTTTTCTGCAAATAAAAAAGGTAATGCAAGTTTTACGAAACAACTTAATTATAAAACTCATTTCAAAGATAACGGGTTTTCTAAAATGGAGAAGATAAATGTTTGATTGAATACTAACTAAATTCAATTTGTTCCATGAGATACGAAGTTTTTCAGAATGGTTACTGGGGATGGACTACTTAGATTAGCAGAAGTTAGAGTTAATATTTTCAAAGCTTAGCTTTAACTCAGTTAGAGCCATTTACTCCCTGTACAGATATTTTGACGTTTGATGAATAATACTTGCAACTTATCGGCAAGTGGTCTTGTTTTAAAAATGAACGAGGGCTTGTCTTTGTGCTAAACAATTGCACGCGCACGAAAAAAAACTGAAATCTTCTAACATAACTTCTCTCGAACGTTTATGGGATAATCATGGCGGAAGCTGGCCAGAAGATGGCGGGGAAACTTTCGAATTTCTGAACTTTTAACGGAGAGTGAGAACAGCTGTTGCAGTAAAAGCGAATGAAAATGCATCATAACTGCTTACGATCAATTTTGGTCGCGTATTTAGTTTTTGTGTTGAGCAAATTCATAACGTTAACAGGTGGGACAGATTCTGACTTGTTTTTATGTCCTGTTATCTCCTAACTTGACTCTAAGTAACACCTACAAAGTTTTTCACCGCTTTTCTCACTTGATGTTCTTTAGTTTCCATCCGCGTGAGAACAATGATAATGAAATATTCCTACAACCGTGTTCACGCGTGAATGAACGTTCGAGTTCTTATCATGAAATACAGAACTGAGATAAGAAAGTGAAATAACGGGCGTTCTTGCACGTTCTATGAGGAATTCCTCCTCGGCAGAATAACTTAAAGTTTTGTTGTGATAATGTTAATGGAAGCAAATGATTTAATTAATAGGCAGAAGGTTAGATAAAAAAATTAACAAGACATTGTGATAGCTCCTCCAGTTAAAAATATCTGATGTTTATCTCTCGTATATATGTTTCGCACCATACCTCGTTGGTAATTTGTTATTTCATCAACCACAGAAGTTTGTTGATATGAAAACCATTACTTTGCTAATAAGTAAACTATTACTGGATAACATGTACCATCAGATGATAACAAGAGTTTTAAAAACACAGCTTTGCGTTGATAAGAATCAATTTTCATGATTTTCATTCCAGGTGAGCTCCGGTAGAAAGGATATTGTATTTCTCATCTTTATTGTTTGTGAAGCTAGCGTTGTCGAAATAGTCAGATCGAGATGTTTGTGCTCAGTCTTGTTGTATGAAGATTCTTCAATAAAGAATGAGCACTGGTTACTTTTCCTTCTCGACGGACGGCAATTTTTTCCTTAGATATATTGCGTGTGCGAGGCTACTAAATCTATAGGTGCCTTTGCAGTCAGCTGTTTAAAGCGAAAAAGACTGAAAATTGGGCTTGTTTGAATGGCGTAGTCAAACAACACTCGCCTTATGTCTGTGAATTTAGAGTACTCACGAACATGAAGTGTCACCGAATGCATCATTTAAGTGACATTACCCAGGGTCTACATAGTGCATTCAATTAAACGAAATGTCCCTACAATGCCGCCGTTAAATTGTTTCATTTTATTCTGTAGTTTTTTTTTATTTACTCGTCTGTTTTTATTGAGTTTTATCTTTTCCTGTTTACGGAATTTTCGCCAGGCGATACATCTCAAGTGAACCAGAAGTTGGTTTGAAATATCAGTTAAATTAACTGCCGCAACGTTTCTTAGGAAAATCAATTCACCATACGTTAAGTTTTTTCTTAGTCATCCATCTATTACGGAACCAACTGGAATGTACTCGCATTCACAATAGATATCCTAGGTTTATCTGTTAGCTCTTAAGCTCATAGCTAAAAATTGCGTGCTATATTTCACATTCAAAATTTATAATCTGGAAAGGCTATTCCACATTACAACTAATTCTTCCTCTGCAGCATTTCCCGAGATTGGAATCAGTCTTGTTCTACGAGCACGAATGCCTCAGTCAACAAGTGGGTGGTCAGAGGTCAGTGGGTGGACACATATTCAGTCATCGGACACAGGGCACTTCCTGTTTGGGGCACCTTTGGTAAACAAGGAATCAAGATTTGAGCTGCCAAAGTCGGGAATCTACTTTGCCTCATTGAGTGTGCATTTATCTCAAGCGGACATAGGAGTGTTCCACGCAGCTTTCATCCTAAATGGACAGATAGACAAACGAAACAAAGCAATGACTTCTGTCAAACAAGGTCATCCAGGAGCAGACTTCAGTTTAACTGTCAGTGGATTCATGGACCTGAGATCAGGAGATCAAATCTCAGTTTTCATTCTTTCAGAAGAGGACAAAGATTGGTTCATTGAAAATGACAGCCAGTTTTCCTTACGTTATTCTGGTTCTGTTGGATCGTTCCCGGCATTTTCCGCCATAAAAGACGGTGTAACCCCGTTTAGTCCATCTTCCTTTTCACAAATTATTCGCAACTGGGAGACAAGTGGTTCCCAAGGATTGTTTGCAAGCCTCACTGGATTTTCGACATCCACTGGAGAATTTGTGCCAATTTGCGACGGTATATATTTTGTAGCCTCGAATGTCCGGGTGCAAGCTGGACCGGGCTTGTACAAACTGTATTTGTCGGTCAGCGGCAACGTTCTTGATCCGTTTCTTGTAGAAAGTGTTATTGGTGCTGATGCAGTTTTCACCATGAACTTACAAGGGGCGTTTTACTTCAAAAAAGGAGACAAAATTTCACTTAATATCAACTCTTCTAATCAAAGTACAGAGCTCTCGATTCATCCGAACAGCGGTTTTTCACTAAGTTACATTGACGCCTTCAATCAGAGCTCACTTCAGGGCGTGTCGACTGTTACTCAAATTGCTAATGAAATTCCAGGTACTGGTTGGATGGAAATATCTACCTGGGCCATTCCTCTGAATGCACATGTTCAGTTTTACAACCCAAAAGTGTTTCAAAGAGGGAGATTCAGCTGTACCCAGGGAGGAGTATATTACGTATCTGTAAGTATTCGTCTCTTGGTTCTATTCTTTCTTTATTATTCAATTTTCTAATCATCACTTATGGCGTAACCTGAGTTATACTTGTAAAAAAAATTCAATTGGGTACCAAATGGTTATATACCCCCCTTCTCTGAAGAGAACTAACGTACCAGCAAACTGTAACTCTTCCACAGCTAAATTCAGCAGGATGGGACTTCGTAAACTGATTTCGTCATTTCGTCGTATGTATTTAATTCAAATCAAATCAGTTTGAAACACACGTTATATGGTTCGTAATACGAACAACATCAATAGTAGGAGTGTAAAATAAACATGGGAGCTGATTCGCCTCATAGTTTTGTAAGTTTTTAGCGGGAATATCGATTGTCTGATAGGCATATGAATAGTTTAGAATTTTTATTGAAACAACAAAGGTAAAAGCTGAATCGTTTTAAAACATGGCATAAACTACAATAAAAAAAGTGTTATATTTCTATCTCAGGTGTCTCTGCTTGTTCACGGAGGTAGAGGAAACTTTGAATTGCTGGTCAAATCAAGTGGCACTTCCAAACTGGACGGACATGCCGGCCTGTACACAACTAGTTACAAATCTGAAACATCCACATACATTTCGTTGTCCCTTTCAGGTCTGTTAGAACTCAGCAAAGGTCAACATGTTTTGGTTTTCGTTCATTCAAGTTTTCCTGAGAGCTGGTTCATTGAACAAGGGAGTGGAGTGTCTGTCATGAAAACCCGCCATTATTGGCCGGCGGCAAATAGCTTTCTTCATAGAAGATATGTGACTGAGGGAGGTGCCTGGAATAAGATAAGAGACTGGAAACAAACTGGCGAAGGAGCTTTCTCCTTTAGTTCAAATTTTCGAAAAAAAAGCTCTTGGTTCCTGACCACATCTCCTGGGGTTTATTTTGTTTCCACAAATCTGATCATGCGCACTGCAGGTTGTCAGGTTTCGGCTGCAATCGCTATTGATGAACAACCTGGTGAAGATAACGGATTGTATGCAACTCACGCCTATCCACCAACCCAGCTGACACTTAATATAGCTGGCTCGCTTAACCTAGAAAATGGACAAAAGATATCGGTTTACGTCCGCGTGGAAAACAATGGCACCCTTGAAGTCTTAGAAAGGAGCGGGTTCTCTGTAGTTTTTATCGGTAAATCTTTCGCAATTCCAAGTTTTCATGCAATTAAAGGCAGTCAGTCAACAATAGGAACAACGAATTGGGTAGAAATCGACGAGTGGTCAAAACCCGGAAATGAGGAAAAAGCTGCTTTTGAAAATGGCGAAGGATTTAACAGCGTCCGCGGAGTTTATGTAGCCCCTATCAGCGGTATCTACTTTATATCATGTGTGCTCGTCATAAAGGATCTTGATGTTGTCAATTTCAGTTCTTATTTTGAAGTTTATGTTGGAGTGAATAGCCATAGCCAAACATCATTTACCAATGGTCTACAAAATACTCATTACTTACAGGGGAAAGTACCGCCGATGGGTAATGACGTCATAACCGTTACAGTCTCTGGAATGGTGCAACTAAAGCGTGGAGACTATACTGTGATTCGCGCACGCGCCAATATGGATTCTGACTGGAAAGTTGAAGGTACCAGCAGTTTGTCAATGTTTCTTGTGAGTCCATCTGAAATTTCATATGGAAACGTTGGATTTTTGTCCAGAAAAAGTGACACAAGGATTAAGAGTGTAGGTCTAAGAAGGTGGTCTAAAATTGGTGGCTGGGCAACACAGTCTGACCTCACAAACGGTCTCTTTCTTAAAAACGATGGTAGTTTTACTTATGAGGCACTTAGTGGAGACTTGAACATAAATCATGCTGGGATTTACTTCTTATCAGTAAACATCATCGTATCGAATACTCCGGAATCATGTGAAGTGGCTGTTAGGGTCTCTGACAGCAGAGGAAGGGATTTACAAGATCTCATAACTGGCTTCACAGCAGCAGCTGAACGCAAACTTAAGTCACAAGGCAAGTACACTTTGTTGATCACTGGGGCTGCTTTCCTCAAAAAAGGCAGGAGAATTCATTTAGCTGTAAGATCAGGTAGTGTTGCACCATTTACTGTGTGGGAGGGCAGCGGATTCTCAGTTGCACGGCTCATCTACCCAATTGAAGAACCAGGATTTTACGCCCGCATAAGAAATTTCCGAACAACTGGTCAATCCGGCTGGGAAGAAATAACTGGCTGGGAAACATCTGGTGTCAGTGGTCTTCATAGCGATGGGCGTGGCTTCAGTTCTCTTGCAAGCAACTTTAAGGTTCCATTATCAGGAATTTATCTTGCCTCAGCAAGTTTGGTGATAAAATACGCCCAGATGTCTGAAATGGTTTTTCTTCAGATTACAGTGAACGGTAAAACTTCCCCAGATGGTGGACTGGTGTCGAGTTGTTTTATCAAACGCGGTGCTCATGCAGTTGTTGCGGTCAGTGGTAGTATGAAACTGTTACAAGGTATGACTATCAATGTAATGATGAGGTCGAAAAATTCCTCTTTCCAAATAAGTGAAGGTAGTTATTTCACCATGCGCTTTATGTCAAAGGGCGATAAAACAGAAGGAAACATGGCTGATCGTTACAGTGATGTCTCCTTTATCTCGAATGGATGGAAAGAACTCGTCAGCTGGAGAACTACAGGTGTGAATGGCCAGTTTCAAGTTGGATCCATTCATCAGACCACGGACAGGTTTTGGGTTTCTAAAAGTGGTATTTATTTTGCCACAGGAAATATTCAGCTTTTAGAAACTGATGGTTTGGTCATCATTGCTATTGTTATCAACAATGGAAATGACACAGCGGTTGTATCCAAGAAGACATGCGTTACTGGCGAGGTTTGCTCATTAAACCTCGCTGTTCCTTTAGTACTCACCAAGGGCACAGTTGTGTCAGTACAGGTTTATTCAAATGATGAAGACCGCTGGATAGTTTCAAGGCAATCCAGCAAGTCTAATTTATATTTGAAACCAGTTCCCCCATCAGCTTTCGTGCAAGGATTTCTTGCTCGCGTCGTGTCGAACATTTCCGTTCCTGACAGAAGACTTGCCAAATGGGTGCGAGTTGGAAACTGGAACATAACCGAGCGTCCTGGCTTCTTCACAACGATAAGCGGCTTCTCCGGAAACGGAGCCTTTGTTGTCTTCAACCCAGGTGTTTATATTGTAACAATAAATTTGATTTCACGATGCACTGGAATAAAGGAATGGTAAGTGAATGTCTTGATATATCTGCAGCAACCATACCTCATAAATGTTAAGGAACAAAGAATTCATGAAAGCAGTTCTGAATCACTCGGACCTAATTACTGAGCTACGCGAAGAAAAATTCAAATGACTGAAGACCGGCAAGAACTTTTCACGTCTTCTGGAATAGTACATCATCACGCTTTCTGTCTGTGACCGTGGTCTGTCATTTTCTCGTATGCTTTATCCCATTTCAACGCTTAATGGCGACCCAGAGGGAGGTCGGAACTTTGATTCGGAAAACACATAACGGTTTCTTTTACACCAGAACCTAGATAAGTGAACTATAAACACTTATGCTTTTACAAGTTTACTGATCCCGTCATTAGTATAATTTTGGTTGCGGAAAAGTAGTGAAATAGAAGGGGGGTGGGGAAGTCTAGATCCCTCGGACCCTCTCTTGAATTCGCCTCTGCAACTTTACATCACGTTCCATTCTGGTTTTGTTTCGTAGTGACTTGGAAATGCTTGTGGCTCTAAACGGAAGGCTTTCGTTCAGCTCTGGTCTGTATGCCCGGCAGACTGTGTCCTCTTTAGGCGTTGACACACTGAACATAATCGCTGTGCTTCATTTGTTTAACTGGGATTCACTTACAGTAGTTGTCCGCTCAGATTCATCATTTGAAGTCCTCGAGGAAAGCACATTCTCAGTTGTAATGCATGGTATGTTTATGATGGGAACTCTTAAATCTTTCTTTGGAAGTGCAAGTAACTGATTGAAAATTACAGGTTATTGACTGAAGCCGCGTTATGAAAGAAGTGAATTACACAATTTCCTAGAAGTTCTGGTTTTAAGCTTTTAGCTTATACCCAGGTACTCCTTGAACAGGAAAACGAGTTTTTATTGTTTTCATTGTGTTCATATCTTTCACTGTAGCCTCTGCAGGCGGTCCTCTGCTATGCCCTGACAATGGACCCACCCTCATCCGACAGCTGACTCCTGCTTACCTCCGAACAAAGGTTGGCAGTTCAGTCACGTGGTCATGTGAAGCTGTCGGAGAGATTTCACCACTTTACCGTTGGCTTAAAGATTACCAGGTAGCTAAGACACGACATTACGTTTATGGTTATTCGAGAAACTTATCATGTAAGAGAAAACTTTTGAAAAAGATGACAGCTATCGATTGCAGAAAGGAAACTTAGTTAAAATGAACTTTGTTGTACCACTCTGCTGGTTTAAAAATTCAAAGCAAGTCAAGACATCTAGTCGAAAATTGCTTCACCTTTGGGATTAGGTTCTCTAGATTGCGTTAAAAATAAGTTTGGAAAACCGTCCCAGTTCGCCTCAAACCTCGTAAAAGGTAAGTTGCCCTTTAGTGTTTCCTAAAAACAACATTTGATCCACTCACCCTGAGTTGATTTAATCACATTGGCTTTTTACTAAAATGCCGCTGACTAGGTATCTCAATCTGACTCGTTAGGTGCTACCGAATGCCACTTCTAACTCGTTAGCAATCATTAATGGAGCTGTACAGGACAGCGGAGAATACACCTGCGTTGCCGAGATATCTCCCCTAACGGTGAGCTCAAACATCGCTCACTTGATCGTTTATGGTAAGTGGTACAATCACTGACACTGTACAATAGTACCCATTCGGTAGCCCAGCACGTATTTACAGCTTCTTCCAAACATACTTTAGGTGTAATCAAAATTCTCCGCAAGGATCAGTCAGTAGCATAGGAAAATCACGGCGCATGATATAAGGAAATTTTTAATGCTGACTTTGCTGATTCGGTGGAGAATTGCCACGGAACCTTCATACAATTGATTAATGTATACAGCCTTTGGAAAACATCCTTAAATATAATTTAAACAACCTCCCACGGCAATAATTTTCGACCCCAAAGAGTTACTAAAGAAACTTTACTTGAACATTAAATTTCAGATCCTCAACCAGCATTTGAGTCACTCAACTTCACGGTATCTGTAAATGAAAACGGACCTGCGTCACAACTGATTCTGAACATTTCAGTGAGAGCAGAGAGCAAACATAGCACTTATGCAAAAGTTTTTCTCAGGATCATTTCAGGTTTGTTGTAAGTAGTGTCACTTATTTGTAAATACATAATTTTGCTTTAAATTTCGAGAGAATTACTCTTACCAATAATGGTAATTGGACCGCGTGGAGTCCAACTCATTCTCCAATCATACGAGCAATTGATAAAATCAAATCAAATCAAATTGTCAATTACGAGTATGATTACAGACCGAATTGAACGACACGAAGTCACGTTACCAATCACATTCGCTGAAATTGTATAGTTATAATGAGAAAAATTTCATTTGAGGGCTATTAATAACCCAATGCCTCCAGTTTTGATTCAGGGATTTGTTTGGAAAACTCGCCTCACCCTCTCAACCAGTTCGATGCGACACCAGAACATGTAACATTTCCTTTCCTATTTTTCTTTTCTTTGATGGGTTGTAGTCTTAATTTGGTTTTGATTTTACAACACTTAGTTGAACTGAATGCTTATCGTTTACGAAAGTGTGTTATTTCGTTTCAATTCAGGAAACGTAAACAACTCCTTTGTATTGCGGCCAAACAGCACATCAAGTTATTTTGGAATCTACACTACTCGTCCATTAGACCGGGAAGATATATCAACATATCAGCTACATCTTGGGTCTATGAATGCAAATGAGTATGCGCCTCAATCTGTTGCCGCTGTAAACATTGCTGTAAGTGATCTCAACGACAACGCACCTATCTTCGGCCAAAAGGTATACGAAGTTAGCCTTCTCGAGAACGCTTCCATCGGTCATGTGTTGCTGCAATTGCATGCCCGAGATGAGGATGTCGGTGTTAATGCACACGTGACCTATACAATTCTGGCAGGGTCTGGAGCAAAGACATTCAGCCTAAACAAGTTGTCGGGTAGGTGATGATAATTTCTTAGAGAGAAAATGTTAGGCTGGCGAAGCAAGTGTTTACGTGTTAGAAAAAAATGCATGAATACCATTATTTTCAATTGAGATTCGAATATTACATTTGCTTTGATCGAGAGTAATTAAATTGAGTATCGAAAGTAATTGCTTCGGTTTTCGTTTACTTTTTCTTGGAATCAGTCACGTGATTGTCTTATTGTGACATCTTTCTTTTTTCCGATTGGCTGCTGTAGTTACTCTGGTTTTAGTTTTACGGCACTCGGTCCAGAGCAATCCTTACGGTCTTTGATTTGTATTTGAAAATCTCAGGCAACAAAATTTCAAAAAGAAACCCAATCGTGACTTGATTAAACGTGCGTTTTTGTAAATTTTTTCGGAAGTAAGCAAATAACGAACGAGGCGAAAGCTCGTCGCGCGCATAAGGCACGAGTTACATCTCCCAGAAAGTTTTCTTTCAAGGGGCCGGCAAATAAATTTTCCATTCTTACTCTGAATGCCAGGTGAAGTAACCCTCATTGAACTACTGGATCGTGAAACGCGACCAGCGTACTCACTTTTTGTATCAGCCCACGATCCTGACTACCCAGCTTTCTCTGAAGTTCTAATAACAGTGATTGATGTTAACGAGTACAAACCAGTTTTCCAACCACTGAGGTACCACGTGTCAATCTCTGAAGGGACAGTGATAGGAACCTCAATTCTTCAACTGACTGCCACTGATAAGGACGCTGGAACTAACAGTCAGCTTGTGTACTCAATTGTGGCTGGAGATCCTCATAGATTGTTCTGCGTTGGCGACGATGGTATCTTAAAAGTTGTAAAAGATTTGGACCACGAAATGAACTCCTCGCATCATCTGACAGTAGCTGTTCGCGATAAAGGAGAAATGCGACTATTCGCGGAGAAACCAGCTCAAGTTTACATTTCCGTTCGAGATATGAACGACAATTCACCAATATTCGAGGTCTCGTCATACGAAGAAACTATTTCAGAATCCACGCCCCGCGGCACGGCTGTTTTGCGTGTACATGCTGTAGATGCTGATCTATCGAATTCCAACGGTGAGATAGCTTTCTCCATGATAAATGAAGACCAGGACTTTGAATTCGTAGTGAACTCAACCTCAGGTATTGTCTTCGTACGAAAATCCCTGGACTTTGAAACGATGCAGGTTTACCGATTTCAGTTGGCTGTGCGGGACGTCAGCATAGCTGACTCGCGCATGGATTTCACTACTATTGTCATTAAGGTCTCCGATGAAAATGACAACTTTCCAGTCTTTGATCCTTCTCTTTACAACGTATCAATTTCTGAGGCAACATCTGTTGGAAGGGAGCTGCTTAGAGTTCAAGCCACGGATGAAGACAGCACGTCAAATGGAGCTCTGAACTACTTTATAACGGCGGAAACTGAAAATCCCATTTTCCTATTGGACGAAACCTCGGGAATTCTTTTCTTGGCAAGAAACCTTGACTATGAGAATGTGTCACGTTATCACTTGACCATCAGTGTTACTGATCAGGGAATACCCCCTCTCATAGCTAAACAGCCTGCTGTTGTCACTATCGCTATTTATGACGAAAATGACAATCTACCGCAGTTTGATTCCGAGACCTATACTGTAGCAGTCTGTGAGAACATTACATCCGGGACTCCTATTTTGACAGTTCATGCTAATGACAGGGATTCCTCTTTCAACCAGAGGATAACATATACCATAGCTTCGTATAGCGATCCAGAGGCTAGGAACAGATTTGAGGTTAACAGAAATACTGGAACAATCTTTACAACAAGGGCACTTGACCGAGAAGAACAAGAGGTATGTTTAACTAAAATATCTGAAAACAAATAAAAAAAATTAATGATAAATTGTTGGACTAATTGTAAACCTTGAAGTATTCATCCCATTCCATGGCTCAAATTCTGTTTTAACCAGCCGAAGACGCTAATCTATAGGTTTAGCTGAGTTTGTGTTTAGAACTTCACTTTATTCAAATTCCCAAAGGTTTATAATGATTAGAAAATTCCATCATGCATTTCCCACGCAAGTGTCAGCCAATTCTATTCGGTGTGACGACTTCCTTCATTTTCTCAGCATAGGGCTCCGCTGGCGTGCTTAGTACACGCTAAGGGGGACACTGTTCGCCTTTACTCGTCGGTTTCTGGTGAAAAAAGAAGTATACAGAATCTGAAAAAATTTCGTTTCATCGTGCAACTTTATGCAATATTCCAGCTTGAGAGCATGAAGTATGAAGGGTATAAGTCAGCTGCTGCCGAATATTCTTTTTTTCTTGGCAAACATGAACATGCAATATTTTCTCTGCAAGGTGTACGAGTTCACCGTGATTGCAAGGGATGGTGGAAAGGTGCCTCATGAAGGTTTTGCAAAGGTGATCGTGACCCTGATCGATGTCAACGATAACAATCCTGTGTTTGAACCCACGGCATATCAGGTAAAAGTCAGTAAACGTACATTGATAAAGACAGGACTCGAACCTGTTCTTCCCAAATACGAGTTGGGTGCTAAAACGATCTGAGCTTAGAAGCCACATTTTAGGAGTGAGAAAAATTTTAGTGAGTTTCTTGTTCTTGTATTTCTTCAAATCATTTCTTCACTTGTGCATCATCTGCAGGTTGAAATTTGATTTATTTCATTTGAAAGTAAATACCAATTACGTTAGTTTTTGGCCGCGTATGCACACGTATGTATGATATGTGTAATCAACAGCAAAATGTTTTCTTGTCTGCAGTCTCCAATCCACATTTCAGAGGACATGTCTATAGCCTCAGAGCTAATAACGTTAACCGCTGCTGACCCAGACACCAGGCTAAGAGGAAAAGTAACTTACACGATCCTCGATATCGCGGGCGCAAGCGTTTCAAATGACGAAGAGGCTTTTCACTGTATCAACGAGTCGTACGGGACATTTAAAATTAATTCATATACGGGAACCTTGAGAGTGGCTAGAAAGCTAGCTGCTCGGTGTGTCTATAATGTTACAGTGCGTGCAATGGATCACGGGAGTCCGCCACTGTTTAGTACAATTTCGTTGCTCATTGAGACTGGGAATGGAAATGCAACTGCTTTAGGAATTCCAACAATCACTGCGATAGTGTCACAAGAAGGTATGCACGCATTTGCTCTGTCGTATTTGCGACGCAACAATTTACAAGTTAAGCAGCAAATTGTTGCCTTAATCTTGAGCCCTTGGAACTTGCCGGGAATATCATAAAACTTCGGATTATTTTTGGAAACGTAATCAGATATTATGAGAATTTATGAGAAATCAGCACAAAACCATAATCTCCTACGGTAAGGACAAATGGTTAAGCAGGGTCCGAGTAACTTCAATATTGTAGAAAGTTTCATTTGGATCCCCGTCACCACTATCGCTTACAAAACTAAATGAATAAAGCGATGACAGATTCTGCTAGAGAAGCTGGCTATGGCGAAGGTTCTCTTTCACCTTCTGACAAATGCAGTTCAATCTTTTCATCTCCACCTTTACTCTTTTTCTCATCTCTTTTTTTTTCCTATCCTTCTTCTTTTTCTTATTTTTTCCCTCGATCTCTCTCTCTCTCTCTCTTTTTTTTATCTTTTTCTCTCTTTTTTCTTATTTTTTTCTCTCCATCTTTCTTCCTTTTTTCTTATCTTTTTCTCTCCATCTCACGCCCTTTATTCTTATTACTCTCCATCTCTCTCTCTCTCTCTCTCTCTCTCTCTCTCTCTCTCTCTCTCATGTCGCCTCGCGCGCTTCGCACGTGCCCCTGCCCACCTTCAAAACGCTTAACTCGTCGTCTTTCCGGCAGACTAATTTTTCTGTTAATTTTTTCAGATCACAAAAAAATAATCATCATAATCTGTGTATTTGTACTCATCATTGCCATCATCCTTACTCTGGTCATATGGAGAGAGGGAAGGTAAGTTAAGGAAATCGCGTAAACCAGAAAGGCGCTTATGTGACGTAGATTATTGATACAACGGCCATGTTTGACATGTTTTAAGAGAGAGCAGGGAAATAGTTTTTCTCAGATTTCCCCTCTGAGCATTAACTCCTCTTTTTTAAGTTAAAGTTAAAAGACCATCCCATATTTTCATTTAACATCTTAAAATTCCAACGCTAAATAAAGTATGCCAAAAATTAACACACAGAATCATTCTCGTTCTTAAAAAGTAGATAAGCGTGCGTTTAAGACGCCTAAAATATAATTAAAATTTCTATAACATTTGCTAACACTTTCGAAATTAAGAGAATACCGATCGTATTTTGAGATTCTAGAGAGCAGCCTGACTGTTCCAAAATTTTTTAAAAATCATCCTTAAAAAAGGTGACCACGGAAGACGCCATTTTGGAAATTGCTCGGCAACCTGCCGCTGACGTGTTGCGTAAGATCATCACTCCCCTTTTATCCATCTTGGTAAACATCTAATTTTAAAATGGATTTTTGTGAACAGAAACAAGAAAGCTCGTAACTATCTCTGGAAGACATATTTACCTCAATCATCCCTTTTTATGAGGAACTTTCAGGGTCTATCCATTGTCTAAAACTGAGGGCTAAATTTTGATGTTCGCTTTGTCTACCTCTCTACTTAAACTGGTTCGATGTCCGTCGCCATGTTTCCTTTTGTAATTGTAGCTGCTTAAAAATGGCGTTCTTGTGGGAAAAATCCAAAGATTTAATGAGCGAAAAAACGAAAAATAAACAATAATGAAATGAGCACTGTAAAACTGAAATCAGGGGACATGTTGCAGAGTCAGAATTATTCATATAAAACGCTTTTATTCTGCTACATAACAACAACACAAACATCTCATACTGAGAGGAAAGGGAACCTGTGCTAAAGTACCGTTCTCTCCTTAAGATATTGAAGTCTGTATTCCACGAGAGAGGGAAATTTAGGACGCAAAATGGCATTTGTTATATATTTACTCATACAGCTTGAATTGAGAGGTGTTTCATTGTTATACGAAAAACAACTCCTTGCACATCCCAAAGACCCCTGATTTCGTTATTTTCTCATATTTGAGAAATTTTGCGAGCATTGCCGCCAAAAAAAGGAACTCAATAAAGTGCATTTCAGTTTAAAGATTAAATGTGGATTTTATTTTCTTATAGGCGTCACATACGTAAGAGAAGGATGATGTTAGCTCGGTAAGTTCAGAAAAACGTGTCGAAGAAGATGTGATAGGTTCATACCACTCTTCTAGAGTTTCATATGAAGTGGTTTGTGAGTTCCCCGCTGACCAAAACAGGTTTAGAGCCTGAGTCTTCCATTAGTTCAGAACCAAAGTGATTTCAGCGACGAAGGAAGAGGTCTCATACAGAGCTAATGAGAACTTAAAGAAGAGAGTTTTTATCTCCGATCCAGTGCTACAAGATAGTTCTGGGAATAGATAGTCTTCCTTTTTCGGACTTTTTTGAACTTACTAAATGTAATCGAACGAGAGCCAATCATGATTATAAGCTCTATGTAAAAATAGCTATCGTAAATTGCTATAAATTTTATTTTTTTGTACGGATCGTTAATATGTGGAATAATTTGCCTAAAGATATTGTACACGCAGGATCATTGACTTTATTTCGTAACAGACTAAAGATTTACATGAATATTGATTGAGATGATGGTGGACAGTTTTCAATTATCTGTATATAATGTTTTTGGTCTTTTTATTCGGGGAATCTTTTGTATAGGGTTAACCTCTAGAATATCCCCTTTCGAGAGATGCTTTTGCAATTTTTCATTTTCCTTCTCTTGAATAAAGTATTGTCATTGTTAATAGAAACAGGCAAACTGCTTGAGGTGAGGGAAAACAGGCAAACTGCTTGAGGTGTGGGAAAACAGGAGTGACTAAACCCCGATTGGTATAATTAAATATCAGACCGGTTTGAAGGGTAGTAGGACTTTTCTTGATAAGTTTTAATTGTTTCGAGCCAAATTCTTCTTTCAGTGCTGTTAGAAATGATAACGACAGCTGTTTCTCAGATGATAACGTGAGATCACGCTGCAAAATGTATTCCATGGATCATACGGCGACATATCTTGACCACTGCTCAACCACAACTGAGATGCCAAGCTCGCTCCAGACCCCACGCTCTTCTGAAATGGACACAGACATTCTAGAAACTTTTACATTGCCTTATGATGGGAAAGAAGGCTATACTATATTAAATGGAGATACTGAAAGTTTTTGCGTGAGTATCGACTTTGGAATGGAGTCTGAGGAGCCGTTTGTATTTCCCGTCACTATGGAAGCAGTAAATGCCATCGACAGAAGAGTGGCTAAGAGGAAAAAATCGCGCGCGCGGAAACATTTCCGTTCCACTCGTTCTTCTACAGAATCTAAACGATCTCAGGTATCCCTTCCCGCTAAATTTGGATCTCGTAAACACTCGAAAGGCAACGGTGTTCGTGAAGTTATATCAGATACTCGGCTGTAAATTTCGTGCTCGGGAAACTTAGTTCATCTGAAACCGCTAACTTGCGCTGATGTGACAAGAGATATGTGAGCACATTTCTTTTACATATTCAAATCTAGGAGGACTATTGTGTTATAATAAAAAATTATTTAATAGAAAATTTGCAATTTGAAGTTCTACTGTCTGATTTTTAAATTAAAGATCTTCTTCCTTTTTCTATTTTTTCGCACATTCCGTTCACATAATCGTTGCAGTGAGCAGCGTAACCGGTCGATGTGCGGATGAACGCTAAATGAATCTTTACCTAGATACAGGTGTTCACTCTCATTCGGTCGGCGTGCAAACTCGATAGCATGAACGTCAGCTTACACGAGAAGAAAAAAAAGAAACAGGGACATAATGTAAAGATCGGAGGCCAAATAAAAATCGGAAGAGAACACCGAAAAATACTCGTCTTCTGAGGGTTTGGATGCCAAAGAGCGCCTTTGTCGTTTTAAAAGTGATTTTGGCCTTTTTTAATGAAGGATCGATGATGGCACGAATAGGGAGACTTCTAACTGTTTGGTAACAAATAAAAAAAATAGCAGTGGGTTAACGTATTCCCTTGTTTCTATTATTGAGACCCTGTTACAAAAACTAAGCGCATTTGACTAGAAACATGTCACATTGTGATTCGATCATATGAAGACCGAGACAGCGATTACAATATTGATTTTGGACATTTATTACACAATTCCACTTCTTTATAGCAGTAAAGCATACAGCTTGTTATGCCACTAAAAATCTATATCACCTTTATCGGCCATGCCTTTACTTACTTTTTTTTTTCTTAATGGATTACCATTTGCAAATTATGATAACATTCACGCTACAGTTCAAATAATACTAACTTTATTCAACCTAACAAGTAAAGTTGAGCATTTTTTGTTATTAATGTCCCATAGAATGAAAGTTACAATAACCATCGACTGATTCACATTCTCACGGACCGTCTTCGTTTTTTTCGGAAAGATCTAACTAGTTCTCAGTTTTTCCCGACTGAGTGCTTGTCAATGCCTCTCGTGCTGTCTCCATGATGACGTCAACGCTTCTCTCGCCTGGCAACAAGGCAGGGTCGCGTGATGCTTCAATAGTCAGCTGGCCCTCTTTTGACAAGCATGAAGTCACGGAGCCGACAACTATGTCGTCGGGAAGCAGGAGAGTGCGACTGTAATCACGTGACCGGTAATTTCCGCTATCTTCTGATGCGTGTTTCCCGCTGATACTCAACTCATTACCATGGAGTTGAATACTGATCTCTTCTGGCTTGAAGCCACTGAAATCAAACTTTGCCTCAAATTTTCCTTCTTCTGTTTTCTCCTCCACTCGTTTTGTGCCCTCGATTATAAGGGCGTCGCCATTTTGGGTAGCGCGTGACGTAATAGCAGTTGGATCGACTTCTTGTGGTAGTTTGAAGACTCTCTTGAACTCGCTTGTATCGAATCCATCTTCTCTTTCTGATCGATGCTTTCCATGAAGGATCACATTGTCATTATCAACTTCAAGAGTGATTTCTTCAGGTTTGTAGTGATAAAGTGGAACAAAAGCAATCTTCACGGCTCCCTTAGGGGACAGTTCCCGTCTCCTACGACGGTATGACTTGCCGACTTCTTGCCGCTGAGCCAAGGCCATCTCTGCTCATAGATTGTGGAAACATCGTAGCCTCTAGGTACTCGGTTTAAGTAACTGAAACGCAAATAAAATTATTTATTTCCGAATGAGTGAAAGAGCAGAGTCGTCTATGAAGTACAGAAATAACTTAAAAGTATTCCACTCTTGTCCAATCTGGTCCAAAACAGGCCTTGTTCTTTCCAGGGAATTATCACGATGACTTTTCACACAGGGAACTGCTTCAAATCATCAAAGAGTGAGGGCTTTTACCTTGATACCACCTAGCCTATCGATTAGGCTGAAGTTGAAAATTTCTCGCTGTACTTAACCCCAAAGGGCAGCATTTAGCTTAAAGAAATAAATTTGTGAAATTTTTTCGTCAAAACTTCCTCTGAAATTCATGTGCAAAACTTACCTGCACGGACGATAGGTTGGAAACCCGAAAACTACAGCCATACCACTTTTTTTAGGTTGAAATTCTTCTTTGGCTTCCTTCCGTGTTGAGGAAACTCTTTCTTCCTGAACCTCAGAATCTTTCTGTTCGAACTGTTGATTGCTCTGCGAAAACCACCTTTATGTACCCGTTGTCTTGCTTCTAGAATGATCTACTGTTACTAAAATGAAGGATCTCGTAAGTGTCTTTGCATTCTGGCGAAAGGCAAATTTTTGCTTACTGATTATGACTGAACGAAAATGATTGTATTCTGAGCAGTTCTGGGTCAAGCCAGAAATTTCTGGACAATGCGCTACAGTTTGACATCAGGAAGGAAAGGGACGCCGGGAGAAATCTGACGTCACTTTACAAATGGCGGATAAGATGCAGAGACCATTTCGTCCACTTGGCCGTCCAGTTTGGTGATTTGACACATTTTATTTCTCCTAAAGGGATCTTTGTCGAAATACGTAGAGCTCGGTTTGTGAATACATGTCCTAAACAACGAGGAAGGTATTTAGTCGAGTGGCTTCACAACCATAAAAATTATATGCTGATCGTTTCAAGTCAATTTAGACGACAGTACAGAATTTATCGGCCGTTTCGATGGATTGTTGTAAAAGAAGTATAACTGACTATAATCAAGAGTGTCTTATAATTCCATCTTCCTGGTGAAGGTAGTCCTCTTCTTAACGACCGAGTGTTGGCCGACATATTGGCCCACACTTGATCAATACTGCTTTTAGGAATCTTTCACCATACCACTTTGTGATGTCGTTCAAGTAAAAGCTATGCAATAAGTTGAAGTATGACTACCTTCTTTATCTAAATAAAGCAAAATGAAATAAGATATGGTGAATAAATTGTCTCAAGTATAGTCAGCGCAAGGAACTTAAACTCCTTGCAAGGGAGACTGCATTAATGGCATATTACTCATTTCCTAAAGATTAGAAGTCTTTTGTGCTCTTCCTGAAATTAAAAATACTTGATGCACGACAAACTAAGTAACATGTCCCACATGGCAACAATCCTACTTAAAACATTTAATCTCATAGCATCATTCTCTTCTATGAGGCTGCAATTGATGTCAATGTGTCTTAGTAACTATGTTTCAGATAAGCTACAGTAAACTTTGATGTTTTGAGCGTTAGCCCTTCGTCAGAGCGATCGCTCTGACGAAGGGCTAACGCTCGAAACGTCAGCTTTTTACCCTTTACGGTGGCTAATTTACGTTTTCAACCCAGTTGTTAACACTAAATTACCTGCTATACTCTCCCACCGACGCAGCACCACAGTTTCTTTAGAAACTTACCCCTTTATACAGTAAACTTTACTGTCAATCTTTGGGGTGTTTGAAAGATTCTCCTTGCAACATACACAAACTTTGCACATGGTTTATTCTCCTGAACAAGCATTTTAAACAAGATACAATGCACCTTCAATATGGAATAGGGCCCTAATATTACTACTAACAATAAAATACCTTTCTGCAGTATATCATATACAGCTGTTTATAACAATTTTTCAATTTTCTACAGACATCTTAAGGCACTTTAATGAAGACCAGTATACATTAAACATTAAACCTGGGATATTTAATGATGAACTACATATTCTGTATTGTAAAAGAAAGTTTTTGAGAAATAGTCAGACAACCAAATCACTACTTCAAATATTGATCAATAAATTATAGAAGTTTACTTTCAGTTGAGAATGGGCACATTATTTGCACTACATTCCTTCCATTGCACTGTGTACAAGTTCAGCTTGGCATAAATTGAATCATTATGCTTGCTCCTCATTGGAGTCTGGCTTCTACCAGAGAAACAAAAAGTTTTCAAATGCTTGAGAAATTAATACATAAAGAAAGTCTTTTTTTCAGAATTACCCTACCTAAGTATCATGCTAGAGTATAGAACCTTAGGAAACCTATTGAAAACAGTGTGAAGAATATGCATACTGATGTTTGGGTGCAAAAGGTTAAAGCTTCAACAAGCCTTTCAACAATAATCAAATAAGAGGCAGCTTTCTGAAGTATTTCAGAGCATCAGCTGCATGTTGGACTCCAATGTTATACACTGGGTGTACAGGAGCTAGTTTATTATCCTGGCCTCCCACTAATGTTAGTTTAGTTTGATACTCATTGACAAAGTGCTGTGCCACAGATAACCCACTCAAACAATAACAGGTGTGATAAAAGTCCCGTGATTTCCCAGGTTTGTCAACAAGTCCTCCATGATGAAGCTGACAATTCATTAACAAGTAATCTTGAAGGGCTACCTGATCAAACATCCATTTCTCATTACTAAGTAAATGCCCATTGCCACTAGCATCAATGACTGTATGAAGAAGAGGAAACACCCCTCCCTGCCAAAATGAGTAGCAACCGTCAACTAATTTGTTTGTTCTTCCTTGAAAGCCTCCTTCCAACCGCATCTGACGCCGAGTGACCCATGTGAGCAGACGCTTGTTATCAATCAAGTGGTGCTTGCCTAGCAACACCAATGCAGCATAGCCACAGAATGTGTAGCCTCCATGAGCTTCCAGTCCAGGTTCACCTGAAAATCCACCCTCATAGGTCTGGCACTTAGCAATCCATTCTGCTGTCCCTTCAAACAACTCTGGAGTCATAATATTAGTTAAGTGTGCTGCAACTACTGCACAATATGCACCACGAATGTCCACCTCACCATCTTGATGCATCGTAAAGGAACCTTCTGCAGTGCGACAACTTTCCAAAAATGTTTTCAACTTGGGCCTGTTGATGACTTCATATGCTTGTCTTGTTCCCACGATGCATAGCGCGCACACAGCGGCATAAGTGGGGGCCAGATGAGGTATTTGCTGGGGACCCCCACAAAAGCCACCATACGGATCTTGACAACGCTTGAGGAAATCAGCCGTTTGAGCGTATTCTTCTCCACCTAGTTGTACGTTTAACATTTCAAGACCATGTAATATCCAGTAGCAGAGCCAAGGTCGACTGGCGTCCAAACATTCGTAACTTTGAGAGAGATCGTGAAGGCCTCTCTTGAGGTACTGAACATGCTTCTGGCGATACAGTGATAGGTCGGGATCAAGATTGGAGACTCGCATGTAGGCTAAATAATTTCTTGCTACCGAGTTTTCCACCTTTTCTTGTTCTTCGGAGGTTATAGTCGTAAGACCGTCATCTTTAAAGCGCAGATCTTCCACTGATTTAGCCGAGTGGTAGGCCATTGTAACTTGTGTTGCGATACTAGATACCAGTTTTCTCGCTGTAGTGAAAATAGGCACGAGAGCCAGTCTTTGTGACGTAAGGAGATAGCCATATATGGCGAGACAGAAAAAACATACACTGGGGTGGCGCGCAGTTTGCATCAGCTGTTGGTGTTTCATGCCTTTAATGTACACCGGGTTAAAATTTACGAGATGTCAGCTCTGAGAGGAATACATAAGCAAAGGAGCCTTGAGTCGATGAGCTCTTCTTTTACTGCCGTTTTCACTTCGGTTCGTGCGCAACAAAACGAAAAAGCTGTGAAACTTGCGTTCTATAACACGGCTGCTCTGGTTTTCGTGTCCCTTAGTGGATGTGCTGCAGTTGCAGTTTATTATGTTTTAGAACCTTTCTTACGTCCTCTGCTATGGGCTGGGCTGTGTGGCGCTTTTTTATATCCTTTTAAGTGGAAATTGACGCAGATAGTTCGAGGATTTCTTCGTTCTTTGCGAGAATCTCACACTCCATTAGTGCTTGGTGCAATGGTGATACCTTTTCAGTTGGCCAACAAATCGTCAGACGTAGTTGGGTCTTTTGTCGTACGAAGGAGCCGTATTTTTGCCATATTTTGCCTAACTGCAGTTATTGCCTATGTTTTGTACATTATTAAGCCATTTTATGAGATTGTGTGGATTTTAAAGGGATCTGGAACAGCTGTTCATGGCCTTTTGGACTTCTTTTATAATCCATATCTGGTGAGCAATTTTACTCATGCTGTGATTCGTTTTTGTTCTTGGTTTATGTTTTTCCTCCTTTATTTCTTACAAGGTGTTTTAGTCGAGGTTTGTATAGAAAATAACCCACTGAACCGAGACAAAATCTAACAGAAAATTTTTATTATTTCCAGATTATATTTTACGCCTGTACCATTTGCTGGAAATATTTGTGAAATTAAAGGATAGGTCTACTCCAGAAACCACATAATCTTTATCCTTATTATTAAATAATACACATGATATTATGACAAAGGTCTTCAATTGTGCTGAGCACAGATGAGGCCAGTCAAAATCTCGCCAAGCAACCTGGCATTGACAAGTGCCTTACCAATTGTTCACTCTTCTCTTACCCAAATACTGGAATAACAAATGTAAATATTTAATTCTGGACAATTCATCTTACTTCTTTATTCTAGTGCTTTTGTCTTATGGACACCAACCATGTCATTAACAAAATTATCAATCTTGTATTTTAGGTCTGGACTGTTATAATTGGTTACATTTTAAGTCTGATATTCCTCTGGACACCAAGCTCTTCTGGGGTCATCTCAATGTTTTCTCTTCCTGTGTGGATTATGTTTCTGCTTCATCTTGTATCACTCACTGGATCTTACAGGATTCTATTTTTTATGCTTCTTGTAATCTGTTCAGTTGTTGGATGTATTACAGGAGTCTCAGAGGGGCAAGATCAAGGTAAGATAATTTTTTTTTCAACTATCTCATGGTAATTGTTGTTAATCCTCTTGACTAACAGCCTCTTCTTCTAAGGGAAATGTGTACTTGGGTATCCAGAACTTTTACTGTGTCTGATAGAAAACCTCATTTTGACTGGCAAATCTTCGCAACCATTAATAACCTCCAATATCAGGAACTGGTCAATTATAAGTAATTAGAATAATAAAAGGGTGGGGCTGGATGGTTGAGAGCAAAAAACCTACAAAACCACTTACAACTGCTGAAAAACGACCTCTGTTATATTTGCAATGTTTAGGAAGAGGCAATCTTAATTACTTTTAGGCAGACAAGCACTAAGAGAGTGAACAAGGATTGTATTATTACTATCTGTATGAAATCAAAATTACTAGTAGGTGTAATACAACTGCTTGAATGAAAAACATTGCATAGGCAGGCTTCTAGATTGGAAACAATACTGGTGCCTATGAGACTGAAAGTTTCCTCCTGGTGACTAAAAGTTCTGGTCAAGTTGCCACTTTGGTGACTAGATGGTGAATTGGTGAATTAAAACATAAACCTCGTACAGTCAAGTTTTTCTTCTGTCTTGAGAGAAAAAGGCAGCTGGTACAAACAAATCCTTGGACTATTTTGTCTGGTCTCAACAAGTCCAGATAATCAAGGTTCAATTGTACTTAGCATAAATGACTGATAATTTCAGTAGACTGCTAGGACAATTTATGAACTCAACATACCTAAATTGCTCAGATGCACCTGGATGATAGACCACAATGGAAATTTCACATAATGGTGAACTAAGCATGCAATGGCTGGTAGTTGACTAGGATCCTTTAAGGCTGACCCAGAATTTCAAGTAGCTACTTACTTTATTACTTACAGGTACTTACAGATGTAGATTTTAGATTGGTGATGAAAATGTTAATTATTTCAACCATTTTTTCCTATGTAGACACCAAAAGGTGATTAAAAAATATATTTAATTCTGGACCCTGATAGGTGACCAGATTTGAGAGGGTGATTTTTCACAATATAGCCTTGTTCAAACTGTTATAACAGCTTGATGATAGTTGATGACAGTTTCAACTATCATCAATTATCATCTACTATCAGTGACATTGACTAATTATATTTTTATTCAAGCTGTTCATGATATTTGTTGAAATTATGTAGTTTCAGTAAATTTAATGCAGGATGACTAAATTCAGGGTATCATATAATGTGCAATGATTAGATATTTTAAACAGTCAAAGACTGGATGGAACTACCTCATGTAGTGGAAAGAGTTAAGTCAAACAGGAAGGGTGTGATTAATGGTTTGACTTCATTAAAGGTCTTTTATTTTTGTTGTTTTCCAGTTGATAGTAAGAAATTTGGGGAAAGTAAAAGACTTTCTCTTATGAGACGCCTGTCAGTGGCAGCTGCTGCTCTGGTTACCTCTTTGCCAACCTCAGATTCTAATGAATCCTATAATAAGGATAGCAGAGGGTCATCTACAAGCCTTACTACACCTCCGTCAGCCACATCCCCCAATAATGATGAAAATGGTCAGGATTCTGTAGACGGAAAAGTCTCTTCAAAGCTTCGAAGGGCTAAGATTTGGAGACCAAAGCAGTCAATTAAGATTAAAGAAGAAGCAAATTGCGAGGGAAAAAGTCATGTTTATTTTGTGGCTCTTTTCTGGGGAATTTTTCTCTCAAGACTGTGGCTTCATTGGGACTTTATTATGATTTTCATAATACCAGTCACACTGTATGGTTTAAAGCAGCTTCTGGCTTACTGGAGTTCCTCAATCTGTTCAAGTTCTCCAGCACTCTATCTTCATTCTCTATGGAAAAATTTCAAAAGTTGGACTGATGAGAGGAGACCAGCATTGGTTCCAACCCCACTTAATGGATTGTTCAAAGGAGGAATGAAAGTAGATCGTGCTGTAAGTTTACAACTTTTACCAACATCCTAGACATGTACTTCTACTTAATATGAGTAATAAAAAGGTATATAATTGTGTTTCTGTAGATTACACCCCATGTGTTAAACTTAAGCTTGAATTTAGGTCTCAATTTGATCTGTATTTTTCTCTGTTCTGAATTCATTGTCTTACTGTTAATCCTTACACTGAAAAATGCCTATTTTGAATCCTTCTAATTTAAATTCCATTTTAACCTGCAGCATGTGCAATGGCTATTGAAAGAAATAGCAGGTGGTGTTCATTGGCTGTAGGCCACGATATAAAATCCATATATTTAAGTACATATAAGAGAATGCTTTTTTATCAACTTTTGGAAAGCACCACTTTATCCACTGTCAGACCACCTATAATGTCTCTTTTGGTGACTAATGAAACTGCTTTGTATACTGTACATTACATTTTCATTAAAATGTGAAGTTTTCCCATCTTTTATTTGTCTTTTATTTTTATCACAAATTGTACATTTTATTTGCATGTTAATTGGCAAATAAATTTAAATATTACTTCATCAAAAAATGCAAAACAAAAACAATTGATAGGAAGCACCAAAGGCTACATTTTTTCAAGAACATTTTTAAGAGTAAGAATGATTGCTCAATCTGTCTCCTCTTGTTCACAAATGTGATTTATATTTGAAATCAATTATGTTGCATTTTAGATCAACAACATAATGGACAAATCAATGGAAAACATAATAAGTATCTTTATGGTGCTGTTCCTTTTTGTGGCATTCTCTGTCATCACAGCCTTTTTTGCAGTGAAGGTAAGTTCATGTACTGTCCATCATTCACAATGCACCAGAGCATTGCATGAACACATACTCAAATCCCCAACAATTTTTTGTTCATTTTTGAGTTATTTTTTTTCCAAACCCAAAAAACCCTTTATGTTAGCAATTAGATGGTGGTATGTTGCTCGCACTCATCAGATCGCAGCATAAGGGTATTATCTCACACCAATCAGATTGTTGCTTTAGGGCATGTATCTTGCACCAATCAGATTTATATTGCTGCATCATATCATTGCATTTGAATATCCTGCACCAATCACAGTGTTTAGGTATCATTTTCTTGTAAATGATGTCATGGATCACAGGGCTGTGCACTAAGAATGACATTGACCAGAAATTCTGAACTCATTTGATAAGTGTAATAATTGTCTGTGGCCTTTGTGAGGGCCTCGCCGATTAAAGTAGAGATTTATTGGTATATGAAAGGTACACATAAATTTTTAAGTTAATAATGTTTTTTCCACTCCTTTACTCACAACACACATGCCAAACAACTTACATTCCATTGCGTACCATGAAAACAATGTCCAAAGTCTGATCAGAACAGACGTAATCATTGCACTACATGAACATCAGGCAATTTTCCATGTGCTTGAATTGACTATCACCAATCAAATTTCATTTTGCCACATTGGACTTTGCTCTGTCACATGTCATTCTCTTGTAAACAACCTGCATTTTATTATGTGTTCTAACTGCATTGTCCAACCCTATTGAAAAAAATTCACATGGAATTAAATGCTACTGATATTGAGTTTTCCTCGCAATTCTCCCGCGTTTGACTTTTTCTACAAATTAAAGTCGCTTTAGGCTACCTCGGACTTAACCAAATTGTGTATTAATTTCATTTTAAAACAACCTACATTTTATTACCCATTTCACATATAGGGCAAAGTCCAGATAGGCAACAACCAATTAGGAGCCTTCTTTGAAATATTATCCTTTTCTCTTGATCAATGTATCTTCACTTATTGGAGATTGTAATATAGCTCTGGTTAGGGTCTATTAGAGGAACAACAGAGTTTCAGTTTGCCTTTCGTAGTAAAATTATGCAGAATCATATTTTTAAGGTAACTAACTGTAGACAAATAATTTTGATTTTCTCTCTGCTGGAGTAATGGCAGTAAGCATAGTCTCTTTTACAACTGTTATGTGGTCTTGTCACACAACACACTCTCTCCCAGATGGGAAATAGAGGGCATTGTGTGACAAGACCAAACAACATCTGCAAAGGAGACAACAGTAAGTATGATAGTGATGCATTCCATTTTAACGCTGAAGTATTAAGACAATAGAGATAGTATATCACACAATATCTGTGTGAGTTCAGATAAATTAGGATTTTTTTTCCTGTCTTTCTGCAATCCTTTCGTTTTTTTAAAGTTATGCTATTTTGAGTGACAAAGATGAAAACATAAAGGGCACAAACTGTTCTATCTCAACCCACCAAGCCAAAAAATAACTCTTGCATGCTACGCATGCCTGTTTTTAAAAAGGAGTCAGTAACTGGTAAAAATCATCCATACTGTATTTTTGGCCTGTATACATCTATGGTCAATTTTTTATTTTAGTTTGTAAAGTGTTATCATGTGAACAATTGACCACTGCTAAAATTCCATGACAAGCCTTAAGTTTCTGGTGGAGTTGGGTCAAACAAAATATGCTACAAACTGACAAGTAATATTTCATGTCTTTCATCAGGTTCACAATGAGAGTGCACAACTGGTGTCTGTAAGTGCCAACTTAGTGAACAAAGTGATGGCTGACAATCCTCAGCTTGTCAAGTAGGTGCAATGATTCCTTTGGTTAAGTAGAAATAATAAAGTATTTGTGTTGTTCACACATTTGTTCATTATTAATGTTATTGAGATTAAATTTGGTTACCTGTCAAACAGCTGGATTCAGGAAAATGAGGAACTGAAGAAAACATTGGGATCAGCTGTGGAGAGATCATACATGCATGGAAGAAAGTACATTGCTGCCAAGGTGCATACAAATATGTTATACTTTATAGGAATGAGCAGGCTTGTGGAAAGTATTAGAGGTACATGTGAGTTACAGTCAAATCTAATGGCAAGCACGCTGGATTCTGTGTTTAGACATTCAGTTTCCTGGTTATTGTGCTGTTTTCTTGGGTAAGAGTCTTTATTTTTGCAGTACATGCCTCTCTCCACCCAGGAGTTTAAATATCTCAGAATCCTGAGGAATTGCTGAGGACAAATGATCACAAAAATGACAACAGTCACCAAATCCATAAAATTCCCTTTCAATCCAAGATTTAAATAATAGTAGGTCCAAAATGCTGGTTGTTCATTAGAGAGATCAGAAGGACAAGAGGATTCACATTGTACCTTCAACGCAAAGTGAGGATGTAGTTGTGATTCTGCTCTCTGATTTTGTTCACATCTTCCTAATATAGTAGTTGTAGAATACCTTATTGTTGCCACTGTTTAGGTTCAGTCCATGTTTGGTGACAGCAATTCCAGTGCACTCCAAGAGGAAGTGCTAGACTTTACTGATCACATTTATCACTCATGGATTAATTGGGTAAGTCTACTTTGACTGCGAGTTATGAATGTTAAGTTAATGTCACCAAGGTTAAAAAGAGAGATGAAGAGATGAAGCATATTACAGACCATATAGTATTTCTTGGAAATGAAATCATGTAGATTGATTTTTAATTCATTGGAAGGATACAATATGAAAAGTTAACACAAAAACTAATTTAAAAACCTGTATCATATAGATCGGTAGTTAAAATGGAATGAATCAGAAAAACAAGTGACCTCCCCCTCCCTCAACTAAAAAAAAATAAAAAGGATTACCTTGCATCCCTCGAAAATACCCCACACAATGTTTTTGTATAAATTATGTGTACAATGAAAAAATAATCAGTATATACAAAAGTACACACATGTTATTTGACCTTCTAGGGTAATACTTCTACAACAAAGGAATTATCAAAGAATGGAACACTTACAACAGACATACCAAGCCACAATAACATGAGTGCAGCTATCTCCTGGAAAAATGTCATGCACATTTTTAATGTGTTTGATTTTCGAGAATCTTTCTCCTTGATCAGAGAAAATCTTGGCACTCTCATTTCTGTGAGTAAATTTTGTTACTAGCATTATTTTTGTCAAAAGTTGATAGCATTTAAAATCCATTTTTGGCTTTCTCTTTTGACAAGGTATATTTTACTGAGTTGTTTTAAACAAGTTGCTCCTTTTAAGTTGTCTTACATGTGCATAAATATCTTTTGAAATCTCGCTGATTTTTTCATCATCAACCTTAATAGGCCAAAACAGGCAATTTTCTACAATGGCACAAGATATATAGTGATTTATGTTATTTAACAATAATTAGTAAAGCACACCTGCAGCAGTTTGAAGAGTTTGTAAATAGTATTTTAATATAAAGCTAAGTGAGTGTGCACTACTGTGACATCTTTTTCAGCTACTGGAGTCTGTTTGGATGTTTTTCAAGGGGAACATCAGTTTTGCCTTTAACCTTGTTACTACAATGTTGTCCATTGTGTTCTTCAGCGGTGCTTACCTTCTGAACACTGGCATATCAATGGTAAACGAAATCGCTAATGCTGTCATAATTTTGACTATATGTAGTAGTTAAATCAATGTTAATATTGAGAGTAATATAATATCGTAAAGTTGATCTTACAGACAATTATCTTTAATGTACAACTACTGATATTATCACTAAGATCATGGGTTTAATGGTTCAATTACTTAATTTGATGACACATCCAGGGAAGAACTACTTCCTTTAAATTTTCAGTTTCATATCCTCTCATATGATTACTTGTTCTGTATAATTTGGATACTCCAGAAAAGAGTTCAACATTTTGTTACATATTATGGTACTTAGTTTATACTTATTGTGTCCAATAATTATGATATAGCTATCACACCCCACTTACTCTCTTATATATAACTGCTTGACAACTTAACCGCTTTTCAGCAACAGAATTATAATAATCTCATCCTGTTCCAGATTATTTTTGTCACTGCATTGTTTTACCTGTTGAGTACCTCTGGTGAACAGTACAAGCCTGTTGAGTGGTTTGGCAAACTTACAGCAACTGGTACATCTGGGTTTGGAGATTCTGCTTATGGAGCCATCAGGTTAGTCTGACTTTACAAATGGATATGTAAGTGATGACTGGCAGTTAACACAAGCCTTGCAATTGTGCAATCTATGACAATCCTAATGTATCTCAAGTTTAGAACATAATAAGGTGAGAAAGACTTTTAACAAGATAACCTTAATCAGTATGGTCAAGTATTATCAAATTTTTCAAGGTGGTGTTGTTTCTTGAAGCATGAGATTAGAAACAAAGAAAGTGAGCTAAATTACTGTTTTTAACATTTTTTATTTCTCCTTCCCAAGCTATCAAATATGCTAAGGCCAAAGCAAAGAAAAAGGTTGGAAAATGAGGACAATGTGAGCCGCAGTGCTGAATTTTCAAAATTTTTTATTTTACTCTGTCAGGTCAACTTGCTTGCAATTATTTATTTTTTTGGTTTGAGTATAGTTACAAACTTTAGGCAACAGGTAAAATTTCTCACTAAAATCACAATTAACTGACATGAGAGTGATCTTTATTACTTTGTTTTTCCAGGGATGTATTTGGAGCAGCCATTAAAATGGCAGCCTTTTATGGTGTATACACCTGGTTGACCCACACCACATTTGGTGTTAACATTATATACATCCCATCAGGTAGGAAAGCCAGACAAAAGAGCAATGAAAACAATCTAATTTATAACATAAATGTCCCAAGAAGATGCACTTCTATGAAGTAAAAGTAGCACAATGTTTTTTTAAAATGCCCACAACATTTTCAACCCTTAAAATGTTTCCAAAACATTTTTTGTAGCTTTGTTCCTTTAGTGTGTCAACCAATTTCCCACCCAAGCCTCTATCAGTAAAACTTTAGAATTAACATATGGCTGATATCTTTTTGAAGCAATTGCAGCCATTACAGCCGTTGTTCCGTTTATTGGCACTTATTGGGCAGCAGTACCAGCTGTACTTGAATTGTGGTTAATCCAGGGACAAGGAATAATGGCAGCTGTGTTAGCAGTCTGTCATTTCTTACCTACGTACTTTGTAGATGTTGCCATCTACAGTGAGATCAGTGGGTATGTGCTATGTATCTTTTAGAAGCTTTAATTTGAAGATTACATGCTCTTTTTGTGTAAAGTGATGTATCTTGTCAGCATAAGGAGGGAGGGAAGACTTCTAGTGGGCAGGGATTTTTGACAAACAATACTATCAAACAACAGATTTTTGAATAAAACTTTAAACTGATTTGCACCTCCTGTATTCATCATTTCTCTCCTGATGCAAAATGGTCTGTGAATGCAATTCCAACATGTTCATCCCAATACATATATAAGATCTGATTACCCTACGCTGCTTTTAACTAATGGTAGCATATTTACCACCTTAAATTTGATATTTGAAACTCTTTGAATAATCACTCCCTGCTCCTATCCAATTTCTTGAATGTTTTACTTTTTTAACAGTATTGTAAGACTCCTAGTTTGTGGTTTATCTATCCTGAGTAGTAAATCTAAACATGGTCTAAGACCTTCAACATTATTTGTATTTACATCACTATATATTTCTTATGGCCCATGTGTATGATATGACACAGTTTATGACCTGTGAAAACATTTCTAAAACATAAGCTCAAGAGGGCTTTATTTGATGGCATAAGCTGGGCTAGAAAAGGCTATTCAGCCATGCAAAATCAGGGGTAAAAGAAAAGAGGAGTTACTTTAGTCATATGAAAAATAATTTTTGTCTCATTTAGGTGGGGTCAAATGGGAAAATATTTGGCTCCTTGTCATGACTTACTGACCTCTGGGCTTGGTTCTGACATCATTACTGAGAACCAAACATTATCCCATTCTGTCCTTACACTCAATCACAAACACAAGCCATGTTTTTTTTTCTGTTTTATGTTTGTTTGATGCAATTCATGACTGCTTTGCATTAACAGTGGAGGTCACCCTTACTTGACTGGTTTAGCTGTGGTTGGAGGTATCTATTGTGTTGGGCTGGAGGGAGCCATCATGGGACCAATAATACTTTGTTGTTTGATAGTCGCATTCAATGTGTACAGCCGTATGCTTGGTCACAGCAGTCCTGTACCTGATCCAGAAGTTCCATCAGCCACAAGTGACATGCAACAAAGTACACAACACTCACAGCATAAAGATGATCAAGAGGGAAGTGGCAAGGCTCTGACAGTCTCTTAGATCATAGCAGGAAGTTATCAATTTTAATTAATAAAGAATGTTAACATGATATGATGTTAAAGTACTTTAAATTTTGAGAATTAACATTGAATAAAATCATAACTATGATATATGCCAGAAAATATTGCAGATCTACAATAACGGATCAATAAATCAGCTATGAATGCTTAAACTCCTATGAGTGACCAAGACAGAATGTCTGTACAATATCAGGCAAACATGATGAAAGTGATGAAAATGAAGAAAAGTATCAATTAAGGGATTAGTAGTTGATCCTAAACCAAATTCCCAAAACTGACCACATCAGTATTGTATGGCAGGCAGTAAGGAGAATTGCTATTAAGGTCTTTGGAGTAAATGGGTTAAATCAATCAATCTTTAATTGATGGTTAAGAGTGAACACAAAATCATTGTGTGAAAGGGAAGAGTCCTGATATAATGTTCGTTTTCATTCTGACCAAGATTCTAGCTTTCAAACAGCACACTTGGATACATCCAATCAAATTTGGTGTCAGCTTTTATAATTGATTTTCTTGTGGAGGTACCTTCAGGGAAATCAAAGGAAGAACTAATGTAATGCAGTTGAATATAACCAAGTGGAAAAAAGTTATTTGAACAGAGGTTGTTTTTTATGCGTGTATTTAAACCTTTTCTGTGATTTTCTTTGCAAGATAAAATTATACATTAAATTACTAATCATTCACATTGGATAAATTTTGGAATGGGATGGTGTACGTACCACTCACTGAAAAATGAACTACTTAATAAATCTTTTAAAATCTTTTCCAGACTTTTATAAACCACTGATTTCATAATCCAAACTCAAGTAAGGTTTGATTCAAGAAATAAGGTATTTTCAGGGGAATTTTTTTCGAGGGTTTACCCACAAATAAGATATTCTTCATTCATACAGAACAGATTTTGGCAAAGATAAATGCCTTAAAAGAAAGATATAGATGGTTTCAAAATAATAATCATAATTTAAGTTGGGAAATGAGTAGAGTGATAACAGTTCTTACAACTGAAACAACATTTTAGTTTTGCAAACTAAAAAAGTTTTCATTTATGAGAAAACCAAAGAATACATATATAAGTTCACTCACACATAATTAATATGGTGCTCACAGGCAATATAAGTTAACACTTATTACCATTTTTATTGTTCTTGTTCTTATTATTATTGTTATCATCATCATTATCATTATCTTAATCATTGTTATTAAAATTATGGCCTGACTGTGAGGCCTAGGGGAATTTAACAGCTATTTATTTCTAACAGGTTGAGAGTTTACTCCATTCTGAACTTTTCAAAGTGGAATTAAAATAAGTTATTGCAACTTCACCATGTGATATATGTTTAAAGCCCAAGTGAAAGTTTTAGTAAATATATTAAATTCTGATTTATTTACATTTTGGGGAATTACAAAAAAAGGTTATTTAATAACATTACTTTCTTTAAAAAAAGACAAAAATTTATGTTAAGGTTGTGATTTATTAATATTTACTTAGCAATTTACACATTGTTTGAACTTAAGAAGTACATGTGTAATCACTGTTCCTGTGTGCACTAAAAATTTGAAAGCAGTCAAAATGAGAGATATGTTCCTATACCAAACTGAACGGGAAGTGAGACTACTGCTTATAGCAGAAACACAAGCAGGGTTCAATCCATCAAAAATAATCTTTCATTTCAACATGATTACATGCCTGAAGCAAATCTTGGCCTTATATTGCAGTCTTACACCTTGAGACAGTAAATGACGTTAACACTTTTGTGACATTTTTTACAAAATATGTATGTGAGACAGAGGCAAATACTGTAAATTGAGAGTGAAGTTCTTAACTGATACTTGCTCAACGATCTTCTCAAATAACTTTACAATAAACATTAGAAAAATAATGGTTAGGATATTAACTTACAAAAAATTGTGAGTTTCTTAGCAAAAAGTAAAAATTTACAAAAGTGAATTTAGTGTCTTGCTGATACACTGTATGTACCTAAAATAATGTAAACTCCTTATTTGTAAGTGTCATCTCATCAACAAACCTGAAAACAAGAAATCAATGTTCAGTGGTTTGCTTGTTGAAGTGACTACAAACTTATTACAGCCTGTACAATGTGTACACATTTGTTCAACTATGGTTATTAGAGATGATAAAGATCAGGGCTCTCACGGGTAACTTGTGATTATCTCAAATCAGCTCAGTTTTCACCTTTGTGTAGTCTGACTGTATAGGTAAGGGTAGTCCTTAGAAGGACTGTTGTTGGTAGTTGCAACTGAAATTTTGATAACTTTGAAGGAAGTCATCATCAGAGTGGCAACAAAATGACAAAATGTCGCTCTCTAATTACAACAGTAGTCCTTCGGACTACATGATGAACTGTATGAATGATCAGAATTCACAGTGAATTGTTCCCCCAAGGTTCGAGCCATTTATTGGATTATGTTTCCTGCTTTTAAAATATAAACAAAAAATACTTCACTAATTATTTTGCTCTACTTATAGTGACTTTTTGCACATCTTTAGTTCATGATACTTTAAAACCCTTTGGGTGGCACCACTGCCTTTTGTGGGAGTAAATTATGTGCTCCATTTTTTTCTATCTGTCGGTTTTTTTGTTTTTATTTCCAGCTTTGTTGCATTTGTTAGTTCTACCTTTTACCACAGTTGCTATCTGTACACCAAATAGATGCCATAGTTAATAAGTTTGTCTGAACCTTACCATCATTAACATATTAGTGGGGAAAAATTATGATGTACAAGTCAATTAGCCCACTTTGGCTTATCTGTATTACAGTTGGGTGTACTTTCAATGGCATTGTGTAACTATGAATGTAATATGCTTACCTTGTCATTTCACTATTCACTCTGGGGTGATGTCCATTTTGTGTCCATGTTTCATGTTGTACCCCATCCTTCATCCAGTAACTGTAGTTTATATTTGTGGTTACTTGAGTGTGGTAAATTTCATTTGGTCCTGAAATTTAGATCAATTGAAGATAGCTGATCACTTGTGCTTCTGTCAGCTTTTAATAAGGAGTTAACATATTTATACATCATTTTGTCACACCTTTTACTTACTTACTTTACACTACTATCATGCCCTTTCAACTAACTAATCACCTGGTAAAGATGCCCACTACACCTATTCAGAAGAACCTCGTCAAGAGTGGAAGCTTTATCAGACCATACAAGTAAAGGGCTCTTTTCCTCAAATGACAAAATTTAAAGACAACTATTATATTTAAGTGCATGATCCTGGAATTCTCCCTCTCTCACACCCTATTCAACTGGTCATATGAAAGCATCACCAATCAAAGCTTATGTCACAAACCATCAGTAGTTCAGCTCTCAGGCATTAGCTATGGAAATATCATTTGAATCAGTTGGCATATCCAACGGTTTCTGTGAGGCTTCTGGTGGAATTTGGTGTTTTTTCAGACTGCTTTTCCAGACCAGGTGTGGAATTTTAAAGGGGATTTGATGAATTTCAATAATATTAGGTTAGGCAATCAAAGAGCTCCAATTCCTACATGATAAAACGAAAATCATTGCCAGAGATATTGAAATGTATGATCCCCCTCTTCCTCCTAACCTCGCTCTCGGTTTGCATGCAAACACCTTAAGATTCCCCCGCCAATCAAAGCTAGATTCACAGACCATATCAAAGTCAAAATCCAAACAGCTCCAAGGAATCTTTATCAATAATACTTACTGACAAACACATTCCTCTATGAAATTTCATGGCTCATAAAATGAGCCAGCAGATTTGTTTGGCCGTTACGATCACTAAAGATGAGTTTTACGCTTATACCATTAAAAAAATCAAGAAAACAATGTGACAAAACATTCGGTAAACGATACAGGTAGCTTGAAAGGCGTTTAGCATGAAAAAAAATATCGGAAGAATGACTACAATGAAACAAAACTCAAATGGATTCAATTGTAAAAAAGGGTCTCACCGAGTCTTGGTCGGATGTGTTTGTTTAGGCGTTTAGTGTACTTCACGTAGGACCCGTTTGCTTCCGAGTTCGGGTAAACCGGCTCGCTAAGCGTGGTTCTTTGCACCCCACTGGTAGAAGCCGCGGTTCCTGGCTGCCCACCAGGTGCTGGTACTGTTCCTGGTCTAGTAACAGCAGTCTTTATTGGATCTTGGGCACCCAAATGCGTCAAATTGAAGAACGACATCGTCAACTTGGTGCAACAAAGGTACTCAGCCTTGTCCACAGCTGATATTTTACTCCTGTTGTCGTTGCCGTGGTAATAAACCTCGTTTCAAGGGACAACCTCATTTTCGTGTTAGAGGACTGGGCATTAGCTCGGGTAACATGGCTGACCAACATGAGATTCTACAGAAGATTTTGTCAAAATTCCCGTCTGGAGTTTCTTTGGCTTTTGCTTACGGTTCTGGAGTATTCACTCAGAAAGGGAATACCTCTCCAAGTAATATGTTAGACTTTGTATTTGTTGTTGAAAATGTGCGTAAATGGCACGAAGACAACATGTACATGAGATATCATCCACATCACTATTCATTCGTTCGGTCGTTTGGTTCACGTGCCATAGTTTCGTTACAAGATAAGTTCGGCGCAGGTCTGTACTATAATACTCTGGTACCAATGGAGGGAAGAATGATAAAGTATGGAACAATAAGCCGCGACAACTTTTTTCTGGACCTAAACGAGTGGCAGTGGTTGTATTTGGCAGGACGCTTGCATAAACCAGTTCGTTTTGTATTTCGACCTCATGACGAAGATATTTCATCAGCTTTGAAAGCAAATTTAAATAGTGCTGTCACCGCAGCGCTCCTTTGTCTTCCAGAGCACTTTACAGAGGAAGAATTATTCCTAAGTATTGCAGGTTTGTCTTTCAGTGGGGACTTCAGAATGGTTGTTGGAGAAGACAGGAGTAAAATACAGAACATTGTTGGTTCAAATTTTGAACATTTTCAAGAACTTTATCGACCAATCTTATCTAACTGTAGTCAACTTCATTTCAATTCTACATCCTGCAAATATCACCAGAATCAAGATTGCGATGTAGTACTTTCTCGACTTATGTCTTTACCCAAAAATTTACAGAAACACATAGCGCAAGCTGTCGAAGGGAAAAGTTTCAAACAGTCATCAATTGAAAATGTGTTAATCAAGGTCTCACAAGACAGACTCAACTGCCCACGGACGGTCAAAAAAGGGTTGACTTCCATTGTCAAAAGATCAAGCGTTACACAAAGTCTAAAAGGAATCCTAACTGCTGGGGGTCGGAAGACATTGATTTACAGCGCACAAAAGCTTACGAAGATGCTTAAAGGATTTTGGCTCAAATGAAATCTGATATTTTCACAAACCACTGCTGATTCTTTCTTAAAAGCTACCGGTAGTTTAAGAAAAAAGTTTTCATTTTTAGTCTTCGTCTCGTGCAGAACAAGAGTTAATCTTCTTTGACTTACAGGGACAACAACCTCTCCCGGAGATTCAGTCTCCAAGGTCTTTACATGGCATAGGTCACGGTATCTCGATAATTTTGTGTAATTTTGGTACTTTTTTACACTAAATGAGGGGAAATTTAAAGAGGAACAACTGTTTTCCAGAAACATGGTATACTTGAGTTCTGAGCATTAAGAATGACCGTTTTACTCATATTATGAGGACAAACTTGAAATATCACAATCTTTAATACGACGACTTTTTCCAACAATCTGCATAACCCTTTCCAATTCTCCCCAACCCTCATTTCCTCTGGGCTACCAAGTTTCCGTGTTTGTTTTCAACGGTTTTAATGATGTAACCGTAAAGCCCTTAACTTCCAACGGTACCTTCTATTTGTCAGGTTTCACTTCAGTAGTTGCTGCCAAAATAGGAATTACTTAAGTGAGAAATAAAAAAACTTGCATTAATAGATTGTGATCTATTTCGTCGTTACGCTAAGTTCGAAAACAACGATCCAAACTTCGAGAAATCCCTCCTGCCTTGACCCCTTGATACTACAAGTGGTGATATTACATCGCTTAATTACTTTAGAGTTGTTTTCAAAGTTTACTGAAGAACGTAACCTTAACCTTGCGAAATTTCCCCTTTGTACGTTTTATGCATGTTTGCTTCTAATGTATGATAATACATGATGTGTTTACGTCGTGTACTTTCCAGGCCTGGGTTGTTCAAAGCTGAGTTTAGATAACACAGGGTTAGTCTGAAATTTGATTTCAGGTCTGAAAGCTTTAAAGAAAATGCAGTTCAAATCTTTTTTCATGCAATTTGATCAAATTGTCTCCAAAAGGCTTTTGAACAAAGGAATAAAGAAACCTGGATTAAAATCTACCCCTGCGTCTGCGCTAATCGGCCTTCGAACAATGACAACAAAATAAGTTGGTTGTTATTTATCTTTTAGTTTTATTTACAATATTTTTTATTTATTTTTTTGAGGGGGGGAGGGCATAAAAAGAAAGAAATAGAGGGTGTGATATTTTGTATATTCCATCCGTCGAAGAAACAAAGAAAATCACCGTTGATAAAAAGCCAGAAGGATATCGCTTCCGTGAGCCAAAACTAGTTTGTAATGCTTGTCTTGAACAGTAATTAGAGCGGATTAATAATCGTGCTTTCATGTTTCTTACAATAGGACGTAAAGCAATTCTAAAGAACCAATCTTAAAGTACAAGTAAACTGGATACATCTTAATACATGAATAAGTAACTGATCAGCGACAAATCAGGTTTTTTCAAGTCCTACTACGGAACTGATTGGTTCTTCTCAAAACCGATCACGCCGAGCATAGTAGACAGAATAGCTTTAGTGGTCGCTTTTAACATGATGTCACCTTTGATATTAATCGTTTAGAATTTGGAAATTTGATAAATTTCGTAACTTGCTGTTTTGAAAGACTTCGGAAAGGATAGGCGTCGAAATGCAGAGGACACAGAAGTAAGACATATGCTGCGCGCTAGTTTTCATTAAAATTCTTTCTTAAAATGCAGGGGCACTCTGCAGATACTGAATTCTTTGATGCCAAAATATTCAAAGTTCACAATTTAACGGTCTCTTCCGCCGGACTAAAATTAACCAGCAATAGAGGGCAAGGGCAAGGGCAAGGGCAAGGGCAAGGGCAAGGGCAAGGGCAAGGGCAAGGGCAAGGGCAAGGGCAAGGGCAAGGGCAAGGGCAAGGGCAAGGGCAAGGGCAAGGGCAAGGGCAAGGGCAAGGGCAAGGGCAAGGGCAAGGGCAAGGGCAAGGGCAAGGGCAAGGGCAAGGGCAAGGGCAAGGGCAAGGGCAAGGGCAAGGGCAAGGGCAAGGGCAAGGGCAAGGGCAAGGGCAAGGGAAAATCCCAAGGAATGTTGCTTTTTGTTCTTCCGACGAACACAGGGGAGCAAACATAAGGGGCCACAGAAGTCTTGGACGTGCTCTCGTTGCACTGATCTGGTTATCTGTACTGAAGTAATTCAGTAAACCATAGACTACAACGGCACTAAGGTTATGGTCAGAGTTAGGGTTCTGAAGTATTTGGATGTGTATGGCCTACAAGACAAGTGGAAGGATTCCCTTAAAGAACCAATCTTCAAGTACAAGTAATCTAGATACGTGGCCATACATGGATTAGCAAATGATCAGCGAAAGTTAGGTTTTTTTAGTTTTACTGCGGAGAGTGATTATTTTCTCTCTTAACGATCACAGAAAGCATTGAAAGTGGATAGTTGCAGTTGGGTTACAGAATTTAATTAGTCAATGGTTGTTATTTAATCGTGCATCTGAAATGTAAGTTAAACTGAGCTATTGGAAAATAGTTTAACAAAACTTACCCTGGATTTTTTATTAATAATTAAGGTGACCCAAAGTCGTGTTACCACTAACAGGGGTTTTAAACATAAAACTGAAGCCGAACGAAGGGATCCCAATCAATAAGAACAAAAGGTCCATTTCAGTATCAATGGGTCAGCATGGCCAGTGGAACCATTGACTTATGAAGCAAAATGTACATGAAAACGGCTTCAACCGAGGAAAAAATTAGCAACTGAGATGCGATTGGATGTAAGTTATGCATCTTACTAGTTCCTTGTCGAGGTTTCAAGACTGATTACACGGATAGTAAAGCAAAACCAAAGCAATCCTGGAATACTTTCCGCACTCGGTTGCACTTAAAATTACCCCACATCATTTAGGTCTTGGAATTAAATCTCTTTTGACTTCTTTAGGAGATGCTGCAGACACATACAGAGCTACGATTTTGGTTTTGTCCAGTGGACATCTGAACATAAAGACATTGTCCATGTCTCCACGCGCTTTCCCTCCAAATATGGTTAGCTTGTTCCACTTCTGTGAGAGTACACCGCTGATTCCATCTTCTTTGCCTACTTGCTTGCCGTCCACCCAGAGTGACGCAGTCCTTGACATGGAGTCGAAGCTGCCCACAATGTTATGCCATTTTTCAGCAGTTACATCTGGAGTGCTGGACTGGATACGAAACAACTCCCTACCCGAGTCCCCTCTATGCACCCATTCTCCTCTGCCATTGCGCAGTTGTAGGCCATAACGAACAAAGTTTCTTTCATCGGTGGCTGTGATAAGAGGAATAACTCCCTGAACGTTTTTTAGCTTGACCCACAGTGAGATCGCGATGGACTTCTTTGGTTTTCCCTTGAAACCAGGTTTAAGAACAATTTTTCCATTGTTCCCAAAATCAACAGACCGTCCCTGGTCGGCATGGTCTTTTAAAACTTGAGCCTCGCCTTGTAGCCGACCATTGTTCTTCTGTAGTGAGTCGTCGAACACCAAGTCACCGTTTGACTTTTCGAACGTCAGTTTAAGTACCATGCATTTCTGATCAAATTCTGTGGGATTTCCGAGGCCTGGGGGAAGAAATAGTCCGACCTCTAAGGACAAAATTACACTTAAATTTGTTTCTTTTGTTGTTGAGTCAATTATTCATTTAAATTTGTGTACCCATCTTATCTTCAATATACAAATTTAATTCTCAAATGACGGCAAGGTGAATTACGAGATGGTTCCTCAAAATAATCAGATGGTAATCTAGGATTCATTTCATGTTTTATTTTTGTGGGGGAATATGATTCAAGAGTACTTGTTTGCATTGTTTTCTTTTACGTGAACCGACTGGTTAGATTTCTTACAATGTTGTGAGAAGTCTTTGAACTTTGAGTAAGGAAAACACTGCAATATTAGTGGTATCGAGACATATCACGCTTTTATGGAAAAGCGAGATGACATTTAATTGTTTCTCTCTCTCCTATTAGAGAAATTCAAACTGAGTGTCGAAAGAAATCCTAGATTGTGTTGTTTTTGCTTCACTTCGCTCTCTGACTGCCTCAGAAACGTTTCAATGCTTTAACCGACTAAGTTGAAAGCTATAACCCAACCCGATCAGTCACTCGCTTTTTCCCGCGCTTCAAGCACTTTTTCTTTTCACTTTGTGTTCTAATTGGTTTCTTGTGATATTTCCTTTCTTCTGATTCGCCTCTATGATAACTTTGATTTTGGCTTCCCAACACTCGGTCAAAAAGTGCTCCATGACCCACTTAAATACATAACGATGTTTGACCTGTGATATTTGTCAGTTCCTTTCATGAGTTTCAACATCAAAGAGCGGATCAAGCTTCGAAATTGTGTCCTTCATATTGCATAGATAATACCTGCCAAGCACTTTTACACTCAAATGCAGTTACACAGATTAGATTTCACGTACGGGTAGCTCGTATGTTCTTTAAACACTTAAGCGGGAAAGGAATGGTCTCCGCGCGTGAGACCCACGTGAGCAAACTTCGCGATATATAATTGGTTACACTAGATTTCCTAGGTTCTAAAAAAGCGGGAATAGTTAAAATATTACCTGGGATGGTTATCCCATTCTCAGAGTCAATGGAATGGGAACATGAGAAACCTTGTCCTTGGTAACGAGGCTGGTAAATATAGATGTTTAGTCTCTCAGCACAATCCTCTCTTGTAAAATAAAAAAATTGCATCCCAAAGAGCAATTTTCAATTGAGCACCGATAGAAAAGCCGGAATGCATTGGTTTTGCTTTAGCTCGCATTGTGATTGGTCCAGAAACTCGCGCCACACTCGCGACAAATCAGATACGAAACTAGTCCAATCGCATCTCAGTCATTTACGTTTTTCCGTGCATCAGATAGTTTGCTTATTTTCAGAGTGATTTCTAATTGGCTCCTTAACTTGTAATATTTAATCTTTGGTTTTAAGACACTCAATCGAAAATCGCTCAAACCGAAGCAGCCTTACTTACTATTTATCTCATCGGAGGGGTCTGGTGTAGACTGGGTCCCAGTTGGCGTGAATGTTCGAGGAACCTGTGTATTACCGACATTTTGCGGTACTTGCAGAATTCTAGCTAACCTGCTCTGACTTGGTGTCCGTGAGGCCTGGGCTCTACGAAAAGGAGGTACTTGATTTGCCCGGCCTTCAAGCATGCGGCTTCCCTCGACACCTGCTCCTGATGGACCTGGGAACCAGACTCCACCTTGAGCACCAATAGCAGCGGACAAAGGGTTCGTAGGTCTTGGATTGAAGAATGGGAAGTTCATATCGTTGGTATCGAAGGTTCTGCGATAGAGCTGATTCTGAACATAGTGCTCAATCTCCGAGTCAATATCCTTTGCTATCTTTATCGCTTGTTTCTTTGCCGCATACAGTCGGGCTAATTCGGGGCTCATTATTGTTGATCGTGGGATAGGCCTGGGGACAGGTCTCGGGACTTCTGAGCGGAGAACGTAAGGCAGATAGTACTGAGGAATGACCTGACCCCCAAGATACTGTATGGACAGACATGGTACAAGGCAACAGAACAGAGCAAGGATTTGTAAGTCGGTCATGGATATATTCGACGGGACTGTAAAGTGTAAAGAAATAAAATAAGGGTGGGATGCAAACGAACACTGCATACGCCTAGATTAAGCGCCCTTTATAAATATGACGAAGTTCTTTAATAGAAATGAAGACAAATTTGAGGCAACCTGTTATAGTAAATTAACTGAAAATGTCGCAAAAAAGGGAATAAGGTTAAGATTCATCATGTATTAAACTCCTAAAAGTTATAGAGGTAACACGATTTGCCTAAGTAGGTTTTAGGTCAAGTCCAAATGTAAAATTATTTTTTACAATGTAGGATTACTAGGGAAGTAATAAATATAAGACGATAGAAAGTATCGGTTCTGTTTACTTATTGTGGAAATAACGAGGAAAAAAATTGACGGAATGAACTCCAAATGTTTTGACTATCAGAAAAAACAGTCAATTAGCTAATTAAGTAATGAAAATACAACAACTGGTACTTTAGGAGCATCTCACGGATGTGGAGACAAGTAATTACAACCTAAAACTGGTTTCTTTATACATTCACAGCTTGAGCGCGCATAATTCAAATCTTTTTATCACGTCTTGCGTTTCCTAGGTTCACTAAAGTGTCCCTTACCTTACGAAAGATGACTTGTTGAATATCGCTGAATAAATACGCTCCAGATAATTTCTGCAGTCCTTTTGCTAGGGTTCTCTTAAATGCCGTTGACTAAACGATTAAAAACGCAAAAAAATATTAACTTACTGGTGATTTAAACATTTAGCCTTAAACTTTAGGCTAACCCTTTACTGTGCGATCATATCTTAACCATAACAGGTAAGTTTTCAGGGTTGGATGATCCTCTAAATTATTCAAACGGTTTAAAGTCTGTTGAACCGAAATAGCGATATTCCTAAGAAAAAAATAAGGTCACGGATACAATCAAACCCCAAAATTATCGCAAAGCCAGACTTGTCATCGTTATTCTGGTGCATGAAAGAAGACACTTGAACTCCAGCTTCTCAAAGAACATTACTTAAGAGGAAACGATCACCTCTCGTCGGTTGTTCATGTGGGTTAGAGGGGCTTCTTGGAGAATTGTGCGAGGAAATGACTTTTACAACTTACCTGCTGCTTACGCTGAATGTTGTAGTTCATCTCTAATCTACGTTCGGCGATTTTTTTTTAATCGCTCTCCATCTGTCAAATAAGGCATGCAAATGAAATTCGTCGGCAAATGATCGCAATTCGTTCATTCCGACTCCACAGCTACTTCTGATCATTTTGAACGGAAGGAAAAATCAGAGGTTCTTTTCCTTTTATTTTCCGGGCCTGATAGTCCGATGAATGGCAGTCGAAGAAATCACCCAAAGACCAATTTTCCTTTTGTTTTTACTTGTGAAGAGTTTCAACTTCCGCGGTTCCTTCGAGATTGGCTTCTTCGGTCCGTACCACTGCGAGAAAAGAAATCGAAGAACAGCAGTGGTAACATTACATTACAGAAGGCCAAAAACTACAGTCGGTTCAAGTCCCTATTTGCACGGCCGAAGAACAGGCATAATGAAGTAATCAAACCCGCTCAGTTATCTTTCAATGCAACACAATTGCAGGCTGTAATGATTGTTCTCCTTGCTAAGCGAACACTTTCCATTCCTTTTTTTTCATTCATCGTTACTACAGTTGTCGTTTTGATTTTCCCTTGGATTTATTTTTCTCCAAATTGACTTAAAGCACAAGGCATCATACGTCAGTAGACTTTCTGCCTAACAGGGTGATGGGTCCATGTTTCTGTGGGAGATCAACAGACAAGTAGGCAATCGTGACAACGTTTGTTTGGATATCTTATGAATAATTTCTTTGAAACATTTCTCGCCTTGAAAATAAGAAATTATCCAAATTTATTTCCTTCATAATGAGTGTCATGTACATTAACAGATGGCTTTAATTCTGAAGTTTAGTCTATATACAACACGCGAGGCAGTTTTACAATGGACATTCTGGACGTCAGTCTGCTTGTCTCACAACTAACGTCCATTTTGAACACCAAGCGATGATGGCTTGACCAGGGAATTGTATTTCTGTTCTTTTTAGAGAAGCGTTTCCTTGTACAAGACAAGCGTCCATTGCTCTAGGGTGAACACAGCTGATAATCTTCACTCTGCTTCATAGTTCTGTTCTGAGGCTGCTGCATTGACTGCTGCAGCTAAATCTTCTCCTTGCTGTAACCGATCTCCTAATGGACCAAAACCATTCAACGACTTCTATCAAAAGTCTTTCCATCTTAGAAGCAGTGGCTTCAATACTTAAAGAACTTGCTTTAGCACACAGCTCCAATACGTTTCCCCATAAGTCCGAAAAATTGAAAAAAGCCCCCTCTAATGCACAAAGCATCCAGCCCTTCCCCTAAAAAGATTGCCCTATGGAAACAACACAAACAGTACCACAGAGAGGCTAAAGGGTTTTAAATGAAATGTACAAGTTCTATCGTAATTTCCAAGGGGCAAAAACCTTTTTAAACAATATACAAGGGTTCTATCCCTTACCTGAGTGAGTTAAACTGAAGCACAGGTAGATTCACAGATAAAATTGTGATGGGGGAACACAGGAATTTGAGAGAAAAAGAAAGAACCATGGGCACAGATGGGGTCTGCCCACAGAAAAGGACCTTCATATTCTTGTGGCAGTTTATTGTTCCACAATATCTTTCCTTAAGCTCTCCAATGGTAAAAATAAAATACACCATTGTTTGCAAGTTACCGGTATGCATAAATGTCATTCATTGACTAGAGGTTGTTAATTTACATCCCTTAATCCAAATGTGGAGACTCCAATACAGACTCACTTATAAGTTCAACTATTGCTCTCTGTGTCCTTTTCTCTAACTTTTCAAGTTTCTTTGCAACATCTCGTTTTAAATCCCTAAAAAAAATTGCTGTAGTTAGAACTATGGTAATCCAACTTTTGAAAGAGTCGTAAACAAGTACATCACTTGAGAACACCTAAATAGGTATATATAACTTTCTAAATCAATAAATGTTATTGCTAGTTGCAGGACTTAGATGACAATTTTTTTAAACACTGTACATTGTGCAAAAAATGCTGTCAAAACATTGCAATCCAAATATGTTCAGGAGCAACTGTTTCTTAAGGAAAACTTTGCCATGATGAATTTCAAAAATCTTTCAAATATAGATCACATCTTAATATAAAGCAAAAGATACAGTCTTGAAGTTCCCCTACATAGCAGACCAGGGATCAATGATTATTGACAATTGTTATTATCTGAATTCCAAAACACAAAAGTTCATCAAGATCACTCAAAGTAATACAACAAAATGTTTTCCCTTGTTTTCTTTAACAAGTATCCATCACCTAGTTGGCTGATTTTGGTTTTTTGCCAGGAGTTTCAAATTCATTTTGGGTGAGTTGTGAAAATACTACAGAGGAAACGCATCAAAGAGCCATATTCAGGTCTTAAAACTAAACAAAAAGGAAAAAACAAAACAAAAAAATCAGAGCTAACCAGTCAGGCTTTCTTGGTGCCAAGTTGGCCAGGTCCTGTAAAATAAGCAAAAAAAAGATAGTTGTTGAATATTTTTACAAGGAAATGCTTGCCATTTTACATTTTATATAGAGATGCTTTCTTTAAGTAAACATTCAAATCAGCATTCTCCTTATCATTTGTAGGGCTAGTGTTGCAAATTGTATTTAGTAAATTTTCCTTCTCCTTGTTTTTGAAACTTACCTGTTGGGTGAAGTTTGATTCAAATTTTCTCTATCCTCCATCCCAAAAATAAGCCATAAACAACTGATAAATTAACTTCCCATACTTCTTGATCTCAGGGTGACCGATAGTAAAGGATCAATATTACAAATGTACATGTTGAAGGAACATAACAAGTACACTGCCCTTTAAATCTCAAGACATGTGTTCAGTCTACGTTAAGCTGTGGTTTTCCTTACCACTTCTTCTATAACTTTGTCAGCCTTTGCTTTCTCAAGGTGCTCTTGCACTTCATCTTCAACTGTGAGATAAAATAAGAGCCCAAGACACAAATATCAAATGAGTTCTAAAAAGGAGCTGTATCAGTATTGCCACAATAAAAAAATACAAATGACTTGAAGAAAGCGAAAGAATTCTGATATCAAGCAGTTGAAAGAAGAAAATACAAAGGCTTATACTTTGCTTTGAGTCTGACAAGTCGGTTTTGCATTGACCAATCACAATAATGTTCAGGACACATAAGAAAATCACTAAACCACAAACCTATTACCATTTTTATTTGTGGCTTAGTTTTCTGATGCCCAATTGGGTTTTTCCTTTGAGCACAAAAGCATTCATTATTATTTCTGATGTTTACAGTTTCTGAATTTTGCCATTTTGAACCCAGAAAAAATAAAAATAGAATAGTACCAATGAAGAAGATTATCACAGATTGTAGTCACAATCTTGTAAATTTTAGGCTAAATTATTCTCAATGAACAAACAGTCATACAGTTTTTTAACGCACAACCCCTTAAAAATACATGCAACAATAATTTTTCAGGTCAACTGGCTGACAAATCAAGACCAATTAGATAAAGCATCACCAGGAAACAATTGCCACATGTCAATATTCATTTATCCATTTAATACTTGGAAAATATCTGACACAGAAATTTCTGATCAAGGAGGAAAGAGACCAGAAACACCACACACAGCTAAAATAGTAGAAACATACCTGAAAGAGGTTTTGTATTTGGTATTTTCTTTTCTTTCAAGGTCTCATCACGAGGCAGATAGTTTCTAAACTTAATCAGCCTAGTTGGAGGTCTATAAAAGAGTTAACAAGAACTAAGATAATCAAACTGTTATTTGCTCGGTTCCATGTCAAAACTTACAACTTTATTCATTATGAAATCATTATAATTTATACAGAGTGCGAAGCTCATGCTTATGTTAATTGCATAGTTGTGCATGCTGTGCAAGTGCAAAGATGACAATTACATAGTGTAACAAAACAGTGATGTAAGCCTGAAAAAGAGTGCTAGAAAAAGAAAAATATGCGTAATGATATATAATGAAATCACTATTTTTAGATTCAAAATGAAATGGAATTTTAAATAATAAAACAAGAAAGAAAAAACTCAATCAGTGTCATTCCTTCTTTGGCCCTTCCTTTACCTGACTTCTTACATCAACAGCACAAGAGAAGAGTTGACCAAAGTTACTAAGGATTTTTGTCCACTGAATAGTTCAGATTTAATATAACTCTTCAGGCAGTTTGAAAACCAGTATCATTCGCTCAGTTCTATTGATTATTTGAATAAATTCTTCTGGGTATTACGGTTTACGAGAAAGAGACAAAAATTGTATGATAACATCTTTCCAGTGGCTCTCCTAAACGAGACAATCGACAAGGACGCCTGATCTACAAAAGTACTCACATGAGTTGAGATGACTCTTCCAGAGATCGCTTCTCTCCTCTCGTGGAGTCGCTATCAGTAGAAGTCTGTTGTGGGGAATAGTACAAATTCAACCACCGTATTCGCTTTTAGTGTGAAATTCAGACTCGTAAAATGTCAAATCTTAAGTCTTAGATCCGTTACTGTAGATGAATGAGGGATAACAATTTGTGATAGTTGTTTAATTCATACTGAGAAGAGAAATATTAGAAAAAATAAAAACGTCCATAATGTATCAAGCACCTGCTGTTCCGGTAATCCACTTTTGATTCGCATGGCTTTTAACCGCTCTCTTCGCCTGAGAGCTTCTTCCTCCAGGCTGCCCTCTACAGCCGCCATATTAACTTTTGAGAACCCACAAAGTCTTATGGGATTCACCAGAGCTTCATGGGAAATATTTTGGCCGGTCAAAATATGGCGGATGTCTGGTAACCAAAACACATTAAAATTAAGAACATAATTCCCTCCTACAAGTAATATTTATTCTAAAAAGATTTACGAGTTAGTTGCAGAAGACATACAAAATGGCTTCAAGTGATACAGTTACTCTGGTAAGTATAGCTGTGGGAAGGCGACTTGAAAACAATAATTTGACTGAAGCGTATATCTTGTTGCCACGGTTGCCATAAGCTTATTTAGTTGAAATAAACGGCATATGTGTTTTTTTTAAAACTTGGTTTTATTTTAAAGGCTTATATTAACTACTACTGTCGCGAGAAATACTACAGACATCTGCAGAATTCGTGTCTGGAGAGCTTGAAGAAGTATGGCAACGATCCAGTATTGATATTTTGGAAGGCGTTTGGAGTTTTAATGGAAGGTGTGACTAATTAGTGACTTAAATGATAACATACATGGTCTATAATTGTCTCAGCCTTTATAGATTGGCTGTATTTTCCTTGTGTGTAAATTAAGTTTTTTTCGTTATTTAAGGAAGGAAACGTCAGTCATGCCTGCTGATTTTAATATTCAGAATTTAGGAAGATAATCAAATTTAAAGTGTTCCTTTTTTAAAGGTTATTTTTTGAAAAATAACCTGTCTGCTTAGCAGTGTGCCAGTACTAGGTCATAGGTTGTCACATTACTTCAATCCTCCTGGTAATTAATTGATCATTGTTTGTGCAGTAAAGGTATCTTGGTGACAAAAAAGATTTTAAAAAATAATTAGTACTTCAATGTGTAATATGAGGAAGGTGACATTATTTAAGTGGTTCATCAGGTGGGACATTTCAAAAGACCACAGATGATGAAAGAGAGGAAATGTAAATTGTATAAAGCCTAGGCTAGTATAGTTGTAGATTGGCTTATTTGGGTAAGACTTTCACACAGCCCCTTACTTCATTATGCATTCAGTTCTTGGATAAAGAAAACAGTGGAGAAAACAATAGACTGTGCAGAAATCTTACCCATATTTGATACATACACATAAAAGTAAAAGTTGCTCAGTAGATTTTGTTGTGAAAGGATATAATCCAGTAGTTGAAAAATCTCTGCTTTCATTTGTCACAACCTTAGTCTGGTCCACCATGACTGACCATAGTGATGAAGTCTAATTATTTTTCCTTTTATTAATCTCAGAGAGAGCCTCTGAGGCAATAAGGGAATTGGAAGTAATCAAAGAAAAGCCTGATGTCCTACTTTGTGCCACCATGGCACTCATTCATGCACACAAGAAAGCTAAACTTGTTGACAGAGAAGCAGTTCAAGAGCTGGAGGCAAAACTTCGTCAGGATAGGCAGTCATGCGGTGAAATGGCATTGTTTTTTGGTGGAATGTTTCTTTGGCATACAGGACGGCATGACAAGGCAAGAGAGTATGTGGACAGAATGATCAAAATGGCCAGTAATAATAAAGAGGTAATCAACAAGTTTGTCACTCAATGTCTTGCTCTGTTATGACACTGGCATATATTCCTTTGCAACAATCTTTGCTAAAGAGGGGAACTGTGGCAGTAGATTTATGAAAGTCACTTCTATTGATTTTAATTTCAGGGTCTTCTTTTGCGTGGTTGGATTGACATAACCAGTGGAAAGGACTCCTATGCCAAAAAGAGTATCAAAATGTTTGATGAAATACTCAGTGGGTTAGTGACAGATAGTTAAGAAAGTGCTAATGTGGTGCTAGTTCTACTATACTTAAGATGATTTCTGATTGACCATGTGTAGCTGTTGTATATTTATCTGTTATTCTCAGCTCTTCTTTCAATTGATCACACTTCTTTTTTGAATTTTTTTTTTCTTACTTAATTTCAATAGGTCTGAAGTTGTTAAAAATCTGGATGCTTTACTTGGAAAGGTCAGAAAAGTATACTAGTTTTTAATGCTAACATGCAGTATTTTTTTCTTGATGAGTAAGGAGGGGTATTCTACAAATCCTGCAATCTGATTGGTACAGAGTTCAGAAAGTTTTCTCTCATCCAGCCCACTCACATTGGGCAGTATCTTATCCACTGTGTGGCCTGTACATCACTAGCTTGGTTGTAAATTTATATAAATAAACTTTGGTTCGCCAGCTGGGCAGCATTTTTAAGCAAAGACTTTTGTCACAACCTTTTTAGCCAATAAATAACTTATCAAATTTCTCTTCTCTCTTTCTCTCAAATTTCTTTGGTTTTTCTGTAAAAATTGATTTCCAAATGAATTATTTTTGTAATACCAAATGTGTTTTTCAGATGGAATAAAAGAAGCCAAAAAACAATTTTAATTGATAATCCTTCTCAAAAAGCAACTCAGAAAGTTAAAACAAGAGGATTTTGCAGTTAACAATTACATCAATCAATTTGTTTTTGTAAAATGTTGAGCAAAGTTTTGAGTTCTAATATTAAAAATATACTTTTGCTGATTCTTTGCAAGTCCCATGAATTTGGACATATTTTTTACATTTCACAACAGAAACCCAAGTAATTAGATGACTTAAAGTTGCATTAAAGTTCCCTAGGATTTGCTAGAATTTGAATTCAGTTTTTCAGTGGAAGAGAGGAAAGATTTATGCATGCCATTGCAGGAAACAAACAAGCAGACTCTCAAAACTTCAAAAGTACATTTGAATTTACGTACAACTTTATTTTCTCTTTTATCTACTCGCTCAAAAATTGTTCTTCATATGGAGGATCTTGCCATAATTGCAGCCCTAAATCATTAGGGGTTCTTTTGGAAAGCATTTTGTTACGTGTTAGAAAAAAATTAAAATGTTAGAAAAGGTTGTGGTTATTCATTGTGGTGAATAACAATAAAAGCTAAGTTTTCTGTTTGTTGCAAAATGTAGTCATGTGTGATGTAGATTGCAACGTTTTGACTGCATACTGCTAGTCTTCTTCAGACGATGAGGTCGACTGGTCATGTGTGATCTTATAAAGCATGATGCTCTGCTGTGATTAGTTGTTTTTCAACAGCTCTGATTGGTGCATTTCAATCCTTACTGTACATTCTGTGATTAGCTCCCTCAGCAGTCCACTGTCACACGGCTCTCCCATTGTTATGTCTTTTGATCATGGGCATCCACACTTCTGGAATTTCTATTCCACTATCCCTTTTGATATTGTTAGGGTGAAGTCTTATATGAATTGCCTCTTTGACCCTGTGCGTGTAGTAATGAGGGTCATGATCAATAAACTTTACTTCGTTCCAGAGTGGCTTGTGTCCGGTGTAATTGTAGGCATGCTCTGAAATGGCAGAACAACAAGGATCAAAATGCACCAATCAGAGCTGTTGACAAACAACTAATCACAGCAGAGCATCATGCTTTATAAGATCACGCATGACCAGTCGACCTCATTGCCTTGAAACGTTGCAATCTACATCACACATGACTACATCGCAAGACAAACGGAAAACTTAGCTTTTATTAATCAAAATGTCATTTACCATCCTAGGTCAGTCCATATTGGGACAAACTGTGCCCTCTGTCTTGAGTATCAAGACCTCAGGCACAGTTTTTCCCAATATGGACCTCCCAGGTGGTGAATAACATATATTAATTGTTTGTGGAAGAACACTGAGTAGTTGCATTGATTATAGTTTTTTTATGCACCTTATTTTCAAGTAAATGATCATACACTTTCACATTTTCTATGCACTTATACATTTGAATTTTCTTTGTTTTTTTTTCCATAAATAAATGAATAATGAGAAAATAGATGGAAAACAATGTGGAGGAAAGATAAATGACTTTTCCATACTTTTGGTAAAAATTAAGGTAGATTTTTTTTCTTTATACTTGATAAAAGGCAAAGTACTTAGAGACAAAAAATAACTTCAGTGGTGCACTGGAACTCATCAATCAGGTAAGTATGTGTTTCAAATTTTTTTAACAAAACAATCATTTGATGCCACTTTCAACTGACTTATTCAATCATTAGTAGTAATAATAATATAATAATAATGATAACAATAATTTGATAATAACAACAACAAGTAATTAACACCATTTCCAACAAGTAGCTCTTCATCTGTTAATAACTAGCTACAATTAATCATTCACAGTTAGAACAAATTTAGGAAAAACTATAAAAAGTAAATAATAAGATTTTTGTTCCAAAAGTTAAAAAACTAATTTTTGCAGTGGTATAAATGGTGAAATTTTTGTAATAGAAAGAAAAAGAATGCTCACAATTCCTTTACTATTGAAGAAATTTGTTTGCTGAAGGCAAAGTGAATATTGTTGAATGGTCCCTGAGACAAAGTTGGGAGAGTTAATTACTAGAAAATATTTGTAGATCCTGAGTAGGATAATTTTTTTGGTATTACTATGAATAAATCAATTTCCAGTTGAGTATCAATAGGAATCTAGGATCACTCTGGGTTTGTTTAACTTTGCTCTGCAACTGGTCCAGAACACTTGTGCCATTCTCTCCACCAAACAGATGCAAAACTAAAAATAATTATAACTTGGTCATTTGTATTGTCCCACACTGAACCAGTTAGCTTTTTTACAATTTTGAGTTCTCATTGGCTAATGGTAATGTAAACTTTGTTATGATTGGTTGCTGGGATTATTTTGGATTTGGTTTTTCAACACCCAATTAAAAACTTCCAGCATTTGCTTTTGTTTTTTCCTCCATTTTAAAAATAAGTCCTTGAGTGGTATAATCACCTTGTTTGGGAGGAAGCAAGATTTTTTGTGATCCATTTTTTACACATATCAACCAGTTGAACTGTTTTTACAGGCTGTGGTAGGATATCCAGACTTTATACCAGCTCTGATTGAAAAAATGAAGCTACAGCTTGCTCTGCAAGACTGGGACCAAACATTGGAGACAGCTCAGAGGTAGAACTCAAGAACCAGCAGATAATATAATATGCATCTCTTTGGTGGAAAAAATGTATATAATCATTTAATTAGGGATCCTACAATTATGTTCCCTATAGGGTTTGTAAGTACATGAAAACGTACAATGCAGCTATATATGTATGCACTTTCTCTCTAATGATTTGAAAATATGTTGTATATTTTAGAGTGAAATTAAAGTAACAAAGGAGAGATTTCAAGGATCAGTCTGTGTGTCATTTGTTACCATGATTCAGTTATAATGATTTATCTTTTAGAGCCCTGAATAGTAACAGAAACTGTATAGAAGCACAGCGGATGGTTGTTCTCTACACACTGTGTCGAGATGGAAAGTACAATGAGGTGAAAAAAGAAGTTCTTACTTTATTTAAGTTTTATATGAAAAAATGAATCTAAATACTGACTCACTAGTCAGAGTAAGTGGTCTACCATTAAATTGGTAAGAAAGTTAGGTTCAAATTGTTCATAGTCTTAAATAGATGTGACATCTTTGTTTCAGGCCTCAGACAGGCTAGGAGAATTAATTCAGATGGTAGACAGATGTGAACCAAGGAATTCTTATCTATATCATGATTTGTCCCAAGCAGTCAGCAGACTGGTATGTTACTACTGTATATTGCTTATCAAGCCAAACGCTTAGAAATTTCTATAACAATAATTTATATTCTTTGTTAAATCATGAATCTCTCTCCATGTACTGGTTGGTGGTCTTGGCCACTTGCAGAGGAAAGCTGTTACAAATTTATTAATAAAATATCATTTATTACTGCTGATTTGATTATAAATAATATAACTGAAAGGTTACTTCTCTAGTTCAAATTTTAATCTTCCTTAATTTCAGACATCATTATAACATGTTCATACACAAAAACAAAAGGAAAAATTACAGTTCCAAACCAAGCTAAACTTGAAAACACCCACATGTCATGGGAAAATATACTTGTACTGAATTTTTTTCTAATCCTTCATCTGACTGTATGCACAAATAGAGACCTAGAATTTGTCAAACCCTGCCAAAAATATTTGATTTTAGTTTGATGCTTTTGCAAAGGTCCCGTAATTATTTGATGTGCTTGATAAGGAAGAGAAGTTTTTTTCAGTTAGTAATTAACACCTTTTATTGTTTTCAGTGTGGCAGAAATGATTTAGTGTTGCAACAGACACTAACACTGGTGGAAAGAGCCCAATCACTTGCTCCTAACAGTGCAGAGTTTCAGACAGAAGTAAGTACATGTACATGTGAGTAGTTGCAGTTAAGGCAGCAGTTATTATGGGCTATGCTGTATATCTAATGTACAGTTTACTTTTGTGTTAATTGGAAGAATTTCATCCTAAGTACCCCTAAAAAGTTCTGCATGCACAGTAAGTTAAAAAATTAAAAAGACAACTGATTTTGAGATAATGAGCGCTCTTAGGATAGGAGATGAACTTTATTCATTTGTCTCATGATGGAGTCACTTTGTTAATTGCAATATTTCAACTGCAGTACTGCAAGTCTTCATCTGGCAATGAGGTCAATTGTTTACATGTCACTATTTGTAGCAAGTTGGTTCACTGCCATTGGTGCATTTCAATCTTCATTATTATTCCAGTTGTTAGATGGTTTTCCCTCATAGGTCCTCATTGATCAGCTGTTGTATTGTTTGATCATGGGTATCCAAGCTTCGGCAATTTTGATTCCACTATCCCTATTAATGTTGTTGGGATGAAGTCTTATATGGATAGCCTCTGTCACCTTACATGTGTACCAGTGGAGTCACGATCAATAAACTTAACCTTGCTCCAAATAGGAATATGCCCCATTTTGTTAGCATGCTCCAAAACCACAGTATGAGAAAACTGTATGTCTCTGTCATGTTACTTTATCCTTTATCCTTTATACATTGATCTCCTTGTTTTGCTGATATACTCTTTGCCACATTCACATGGGATCTTGTAAGTGGCACCTTCTTGTTTTGATGGTTCCAGGGCATCTTTAGGTTGTACTAAGTGAGACCTAAGTGTTGTGTCAGACTTGAAAATGGTCCATATGCCTTGATGTTGTAGGCAGCAGCAAAGAACCTCAAATACACCCTCTATGTAAGGGAGAACTGCTGTTACCCTTGTTGTCTTTGCAAGTTTTCATACAAATGAAGAAGGATAACCATCAGAAACAAGTATTATATGACAAGTGTTTCTTTTCCTTAGAGGTAACTGACAGTTTCATTGTGAGGTGTTTGGCTCACTCGTATAGACACTTAACAATACCACACTTCACTGACTGAAGGTGGTGTGAATCATAGGTTAGGTACTGGTTAGTGTGGTTGGGCTTTCTGTAAACTGTGGTAGTGAGAAGACTGTCTGAGTCCCTTGTAACTGTTGTGTCATGAAAAGTAATGGTGTTATCTTTCTCAATTTCCATGGTAAAATGAATAGTAGGCTGTTGACTGTTTAGATGTTGTAAAAAGCTGTTGACATGCTCCTGGTCTGAGACTGTGAAAGTGTCATCTACATATCATTTCCAGATCTTAGGTTTGTAAGTCGCTTTTGCTATCGCCTGTTCCTCAAATTCTTCAATGTGGATGTTAGCTATAACTGCAGAAACAGGGCTTCCCATAGCAGCTCTGTCTTGCTATTCATGAATCCATCTGTTGTACTGGAAATATGTCCATCTTAAGACGAAATTCAAGAGGTCGGCATTTTGTGTAGGTGTTAAGTTTGTGCGGGTAGCAAGATCAGCATCATTCTCTAGTTTTCCCAATGTGTCTTGAGCTGCACCCTCAATGAGTACATTTGTAAACTACAATTCTATGTCAAAAGATACCATGACCTCATTATCATGTACTTTCTCATGACTGATGGTTGACATGAAGTGCCAAGAGTTAATAACTGAGTAGTCTGACTTGCCTGTCAAGGGGGAAAGGATATTGGCTAAGTATGCTGACAAATCATAAGCATGATACAATTGTCTGAACAGTATGTTGGGCTTGTATCTTAGGTAAGCTGTAGATCCTAGGTGGCTGTTTGTGCCTAGGTTTGATCTTCTTGTTGATGGTTTCTGATAGATGCACACTTTGTTTCAAGCTGAGAAGCTTGTCAGTGTGTTTACAGCTTAGCTGGTTCAGGTTGGGTTTTTGTTGAGGAGATGGTACAGACATGTTTCAAGTAACATTTTCATTTTGTTGTAGTATGTGTTTGTGTCTAGGACTACACTAGTGCAGCCTTAGTCCACTGGCAGAATAGTGATAGTGTCATCTTGTTTTAGATTCTTAAGGGCTTCTCGCATATCCTTAGTGATGTTAGGCTTGGGTGGTTTGGCCTGTCAAAGGATACCATTTACAGTTTGTCTTACAGTGTCTGCTTGCTCTGAGTCAAGCGTTCTTATTGCTGACTTGACTTTGGCAACTATTTCGATGGCTGGGATGTTGATGGAGTTTCTGCAACCCTCTCTTTAGTAATGATATCTTGGTATTGCCAAGGGGGTGTGAAGATAAGTTAATTACCTATTTGTTTTTGTCAACTTGAGGTGGTGGTCAACATTAGAAACAGCAGAAGCTTGTTTCCCGTGGACAAGTTTCAGAAACTTGCGTTGTTGTCTGTCTTTAGTGGTGTTAAATATTCTTTGGGTATTAACTCTGATTTTTTCAAGTATTTCACTGGCCTCATCTGCAAAAAGAGTGGCTGTTATGCTCCCAGCAGTAGACTCAGTCTCTTTTTTCCCATCTCCCTTAGCTCTCTGAGTTAGTCGTATTTGTTCCCTAAGGAACCTTTTGAAGGCTAGTTCAGCTACTCTACAAGCCCCTTTGGTTGGTACTGGTGGTGGGACCCAAAGGTCTCGAGGAATGATAGGTATCCAGTCAAGTTGCTGACGGTTCAACTTGCCAAAGCCAGCTCACCAACATATAAAATCGAGTAGAAATGTTGGCAAGTTGATTTCCAATCCAGTACAACTTCAAGTGACATGATGAGTCTTTACAGTGTTGTTGTCACACAATAACTCTGTAGCATCTGAAGCTTTTTTGGTCATTGGCAATGTTCACCTTGCTTTATTCACCTTGAGATCCTTATAAACTTTGTTGGAAATGAAAAGAATTGTTTTTTACTGATGATCTTGTCCAGAAAGCCAAGTTTTCTTTAAAAAGTTGTTGTCACACAACAACTCATTTGCGTCTGAAGCTTTTATAGTCATAGGCAATGTTTACCTTGCTTTATTCGCAATGAGATCCTTATAGACTTTGTTGGAAGAAAAAAAATTGTTTTTTTACTTAACACATTTTGCTTTTCTATATTTTTAACTTCTAAGAAGTTGTACTGGATTGAAGACCAACTTGCCGACATTTCTACTCAATTTTATATGTCGGCAAGTTGGCGTTGGCGAGTTGAACTGTAATTCAAATGATATGGCTCTTAATACACCTTGCAAGAAAGGTGAGGTGGTTGGTATAGTGAGTGAGCTTGTGTGAGCATCACTCATGGCTCATAGGTGCTCATATTGGTCGATATTTGTGTTTACACGAGAGTATGTAACATGGTCGAGATGGTTAAACTTTAGGAGAAAAAGTTCACTCAAAAGTTTGTTGCTTAAAAAGTCAAGCCAAATAAATGGGATAAAACAAAAGTTTAGAAAGTTCAGTGCAGCCATTTTTGCTCTGCTCTCCATCCATAGTTGTTATACATTGCTATAAATTGGCATATCAAGTGCCTTCCATTACTGCAATATGGTTTACCATAAAGTGGCTTTTGAGTGGAATGTGTAAGGTAACAAATCAGTAGTAGCTATGTTTTGGCTGACACCCAGCAGGAAGGAATGAAATACTGTACCAGCATATCACTGGGTTTTGAAATTCAAATTTTGGAAAAAAAAAATTTTCTTAGAAAAAATTGAAATTAAATCATTAGAAATACTGATTTAAAGTTTCTCTGTAATGTTTTGTAAAGTCATCACTTGATCATTTCACTCTTTATAATCAACAAAATAAAACTGCATTGAGCTCAAACCCAGACTTCTTTATTTGGAGTGTAGCATGCTAACCAATAGACCACCATGTGTCACATTGAGTGTACATGGAATTTAATTTGGTGTCTAACACAAAATTTTTTTGGGGTTCACAGCTTGGAAATCAGCTCATCTTATGTCACCGCAACCGAGAGGCAATGAAAGCCTTCCGCACTGCTATGAAGCTTGATGAAACAAGTGTACCAGCACTGACAGGTTAATGATGTTTCACTTTGCATTCATTTTGAGAAGGCCATTTATGAGTATCAATTTATTCATGGAAGTAGACAAGGATTTGTAAGAAAGCTGTAACTATAGACTCCCTACAAGTGTTCAGTATACCATTTAAAAAGCAAAAGGTCAGGATATTTATTCCACAGGTAGGTGCATCAGTGGCTATCAAGGAGGGTTTCATTTTGAGAGAATTGAGGTGGAAACAGGAAAATGAAAAACTTACAAAATTTACCAACCACCAAATGTGTTAGGTATTCATCTAGAGTGTACTTTATTTCAAAGCTTTAATTAATGGCTCAACTTAGGCAGATGTTAGTTGTGCATCTCACATGTATTTCACAAAGCAATTGAAAAAGTTGTAGGCCAGTGTGGTCAAAAACATTCTTGATGAAGGGTTTATGAGACAATTTTATGACCTAATAAACATTGACAAAGGCTTATTATGGCAAACATTCATGAAAGTCCAGCAGATGATGTTCACAAAGCTTTGAAACTCTGTGCCAAATGACACATTTAGGGGTTACATTTAATTCAAGCATTGTGTCTTTTGTGTCAGGGATAATCAGGTGTCAGCTGATAGATGGACAGCTTGAGGATGCTGAGCAGCAGTTAGAGTTCCTGAATGAAATACAACAATCTATTGGAAAGTCATCTGTAAGCTGCCTGTAGTTTTAACTGGAGTGTGTTTCCAAAAATTCTTGATCTTTGGATATTCTGTCTTGACCTCTATTCTTGTAGCAAAAACCTCAACAATTTTGCTGGTTGTTTTGCAGTTTAATACTAGATTAGATCCAGATGGTTTTAGAGTATTACAGATTTGTCATGTCCTATTTTGAGATGGGTTATTGAACTTCTTTAACAAAGAACATCTGAAATCACCTTACTGTGGTTAAAATTATTCTTAAGGGTAATTTCATTTTCACCCATAGTGGCTATTTGAATCAAGATGAAACCTTGCATGCAGTTATTCCTATTAAATGGAGTAAATATGAAAGCAATTGTGTTTCCACAGGAGCTATCATACCTGAGTGCTGTACTTCAAAGGCAGAAAAACAAGCCAGCTGAGGAAGTCATCACCCTTCTAAATGAAGCCATTGATGCACATTTTTCCTCCCTTAAGGTTAGATGAACTAATGGACAGTGTAACACTTGAAGTATTGTCATTGTAAATACAATTGCTTAGTAGATGACTCATCATGAGTTGTATAACTGCTAACAATTTACTGATGTAAAGAATTTTTGTCAAAACTCTTGAGGAAGCACTGTTAGCTCACTGGGAGTTGTGCATATATATTCTGCAAATGAGCTGCAATCAGACAGATGCTGGGAAAAGATGACCGCATTCAGTTCAGCAGCTTGTGAAGTTATATAATAATTAACCTATTTTGAGCTTTAGCTTTTAGCTTGCAGATTTTTAGTTTTTGTTGCTTTTGTTTTCCAGGGTCTTGCCCTTGGTGTAAAGTATTTCTACTGCTTGAACCCAGATTTTCTTCTTCAAGTGATTAATGACTACCTCATATTTGCTCCCACTGAAGTAAGTTTCTCAACCATAGAATTTGTGTCTGCAGATTGCTGATACATGTACATAATATGTATAATTGAATAGTTAAGTTTAATTTATTGGATGCCTTTACAGTGAAGGTCAATTATATTTGAAACACAGAAAAGCCAAAATGGATATGGATGAGCAAAATTTTTGAGAAATTTGGTGTCCTGAAAGTTGGAGGGCCAGACTCCAATTTGAAGGGCCCGGTTTGCTTTTTGGCAAGGTCTTTCTGTTGTTTTCTTGGCAGAGACGCTTTGGTGGATATTTACCAAGCTGTGAAGTGGTGAGGTAAACATCCACCACTTTCACAGACACTGAGGTGAATGATTGTTTTAGTATGTACCACACAGATACCAAAAAATGTTAAATAACATTTCTCCCAAAATACTAAAAAATGGTTGGAAATTTAACTCTTTTTGTCTTTACAATGATATAAATTGTCTTTACAGCTGCTTGAAGGTGAATGATACTTGTTATTCACTTCTGCACTAGCCAGCAGTCAGCATGCACTAAAAGCACCATTCACTTGTGTGATATGTACTAAAACTGTTTTGTCAAGTTTCTGTGGCAATTTGCCATGGAAACCTAACAAAACATGTATGGATAGCCCTGCAATGGACTGGCATCGAGTCCAGGGTGGAGTTACTGTTGTAAATGTCCTAGTCATGCCATGCCACTAAAACTGAGGTAAGGTCCACTAAAATGGGACATTTCACTCATAAGCTGACTTTGCCTTCATCATATGAGAAGAATGGGCAAACATGTCCTAAAATACAGTAACCTTAAGCCCTTTTAAAGTTTTTGATTGTGGTTCAAACTGTTGTCAGGCTCAAAGCCCTGGTCAGCCTCCTCCTCCACTTCTCAAACGCTGTTCAGCTGTGTTGGATCCTTTGACAAAAAGCGTTCCTGGATTACTGGAGGGCTTGTACCTAATGGCTAAAGTCAAGTATTTATCTGGTAAGAATTTAATTATGCAAAGGAAAACAGCAATGAATGAATTTTATTATTTGTAACTCCATCTCACTCAGTTATAACAAACTGTGTGTGGTACATTAAACCCACTACCTTATAACCCATGAATTCTATGGACATTGTGCTTTTCTTCCAGGAGAAACTGATGCTGCCAAAGCCATGCTGACTCATTGTTTGGACCAAGATCCAACATTTTCTGATGCACATCTTTTGATGGCCCAAGTTAGTTGATGCTCTTGTTTTTTTAAGGGTATTTTTGTAAGACCTCTGGAACCAGGAAGTAAAGAAAATATCACTTATTGTGGTAAATCAGAATTTTGTATTGGTTTAGTTAGTCTATAATACATTGTCTGAGGGGCTTCACTTTTGGAGTAATTAAACTCATGATCATTACAAAAAAACACATCCCATATATAGATGAAAATCACTAGGTTTGCATGATTCTGTGAAGACAGTTATAATGCATGCATTCTCTAAACTTTTCTTTTTCCATATGCTATCAACAGATTCACCTTCTGCAAGGTAACTTCAAACTGTCTGAGCAGTCACTTGAAGTGGGGCTTAGTTACAACTTTGAGGTGAGCTTGTGTCATGAAAGCATAACATTCTTAATCAGTTCCAATAATCTTTACCACTTCATGCGTGTACATGTAGCTATTACATTTGTTGCCATGTTTAGGTTTTTGGGAAATACAGTATTGTTGTTGCAAATCTAAACCTTGAGTGAAAATGAGTGTGGATGGGGAAAATGAAAGCTTTTTATATTGGAAAACTTAAAATGACTACTACATGGAAAACATGTTTTATCTTCATTTTGGGTTTGTTAGGTGAGGAACCATCCACTATATCATTTGATAAAAGCCCGAGTGCAGAGGAAGATGGGTCATCCAGAGGAAAGTGTTAACACCATGCATGCTGCCATGAATCTCCCAGGAGTTAAAAAAGCAGGTAATATTTGTTTGGTTAAGAATATTCATAGGTAGCAATGTTGTAAAACCTTTTCATTTCAGAAGCATTAGATGATAATCATTCACGTGGTTGATAAACATATTTCTATGATAATAAAAAAATTCCTTAGTTTGTGAATTTGGTTAACCCTTTAACTCCCGTGAGGGACTAAGACAGAATCCTTCTTGCAATAGCACAACAATATCAGTCACACAAGTGATTAGGGATTGTTAGTTGAAATAAATTGAAATTCTGCAAACTGTGATGACAGGAAGAACTGTACAGCAGATGGTAGGAGGAATTACCAATAAAATCTTGGGAGTGAATGCTGTATGCATATCACTTTGCTTTTAATTCTTAATTAGCATTTTTCTTCTTTCATTTAGTCTCCAAAGCACAAGGCAAGAAAACAACAATAACTGCCAGTGATAGAGCTGCTGTATTCCTTGAACTTGCTGATGCACATATGGAGGCTGGACAATTGGTAAAGAAATTTTGAACAAACACCTCGCCACATCAGCAAGTCTCTAAGGCTCAATTGATCTATCATACCTTTTACTTTGTGTTGCTTGACATTTAGAAGCCTTTTGTCCACTGCATCAAATTGTACTCATATACTGCGATGTTAAGTCACAGTTCACCATAGGTTGGAGGTATTCCTCTCTAGAGCTCCACTTTGTGATTCTATTAAAAAAAAAATTCAACTCTTTTGTTTTTTTCCTCTTTTCTTTGTAGCATGAGGCTACTAAAGTCATGCAGGATGCTTTACATGAGTTCACTGGCACCCCAGAAGAAGTCAGGTAAACAGAGAAGGCATAAAACAACAACAAAGAAGTAATGATTGATACTTTTTGGATTTGGTTAATATCCAGAGTTATCTCACATAAAGGTGGGGATTTTTTTTTCTGTTGTCAGGATTCAGATTTCCAATGCAGACCTTGTGTTAAAGAATGGTGATACAGAGCAAGCCTTGACTATACTTAGGCAAATCACTCCACAGCAAAGGTTTCTAAGTTATTCTTTAAATTTTGAAAAAATGTATTGAATAAACCAGTAGACAAGTGTAATTTCTTTGATTTTTGTTATTGTACAATGGTGCCTTCTATATAAAGTGTTTTGTGAATAACTTAAGTTCTTGAATTTACAATAAAAAACTTGATTAATTTACAATTTTTATAGAATGAGTGGTCGATATCTTAAGTAATTTATTTTCTTTTCTTCTGGCAGTTACTACATCAAGGCAAAGGAGAAGATGGCAGAAATATATTTACATCATCGCAAAGACAAGCGATTGTATGCAAGTGTTTACAGGTCAGTTTTAGTCCAGGCTCACATAATCACCAACCAAAAATTTCATTTGAAATTGTACTTATGAATGTTGGCTGTAGTAAAAGAAACACATGTGAATTGTCTTTGAGTTGGCTATATATATATATCACAAACATTGGTGGTTTCTTTATTTGTTGTCTGTAATTGTGTTGACTCTTGAGCCCTTTTGTTTATACAGAGGGTTTTCATGTACGATAGGAAAACTTCCTCGTTTTATCTAAAATACTTTTTTTCTTGTTTATCTTTGATCTTTGATTGTCCTGCATGAACTAGGTAGAAAAAGTGAAAAGTAAATGTCAATGAATGAATTTTAAGAAAATGCTATTTGGATAGCATGATAGCAAGGTATATGATGTCTACACTCTTGTAAACAGTTTTCACTACAACCAGGAATTGAAACATATTTGAGTGTGTGCAGTAAACCTGAATATAAATCTAATTTAACATACTGCAGGGAACTTGTTGATAAGAACCCTAGTCCTCACACTTGTCTGCTGTTGGGAGATGCCTATATGAGTATTCAGGAGGTAAGCTAGTAACCTTATTTGAGAAGCTAAATATGTCCGCTTTATGTGGATGGGGAAGAACTTTTGTACTGTGAAAGTTATTATAAAGCTTTTTGGAAGAATGTTCTATAAAAATACAATATTGTATCACTTGTTATCATGTTTTTTTTGTCACATTAAGCCTGAGAAAGCCATTGAAGTTTATGAGACAGCCCTGAAACGAAACCCAAGAGATGGAGCATTGGCAAGCAAAATAGGACAAGCACTGGTGAAAACACACCACTATGGCAAGGTATGGTATGGGCAGTTCTCTTGGTGATGGCTTTAACAAAAGTAATAAAAGAGAAACAGAAAACCAGTTAACGGAAGAAAAAATTATCAAAATGTTTTCAGTTGTAAAACAATAAGGTTATATTGCTGTGGTTTGATGAGAAGTAAGACTGTTCCTGTTGTTGTTGGTTGTTGTTGTGTGGTGTTGCAGAATTTGACTTTGGAGCCATGAGAACATCAGTTACAATGCCTTAGTTTGTATTCAGAATTTTTGTGAGGTTAAATGCATGTTCTCACATTTTAACCCTTTAACTCCCAAGATATCATAAGTAATTCTCCTTACACAACATATTCTGCCCTATAGTTCTTGTGATGTTTAGAGAATTTGGTTTTGGATCAACTAATAATCCTCTAGTTAATATTTTTCTTTATTCTCATCACTTGCCTGCTTGGTATTTCATTGATATTGTGAGGAGAAATTCTGTCTTGGCCACTCATGTGAGTTAAAAGGTTAAAGTTCAAATGATTGTGATGTCAATAGTCACACTCTAGGTGTTTGATGGAATGATATGACTGGAAGGAGAACCAGGCTCCAGGATTAATATGATTTTCTAAATTCACTGTGGTTTGGGATTCCAAAGTGTTACATTGCTGTTCAAGAATTTCAGTAACTTTACTTAAAATGTGACTTAGAATGCTGCCATTTTGAAACTGATTAACCTTTTTTTTGTGCATGACATAACAGAGTTCAACCTAGTTGGCAGGAAATGCAAAGTTTGGATCTCTAACAGCTACCACTTTTGTTATCATACATGTAACAACTTGTACTTAAAGCTAAAAGACAGTGCTTAGTCAAACAGTTTCCCAAAATTTAATAAAAAAAAGAAGGGGCTAGTTTCTGTTGTGTTATTGGGAAGTGGCCAGGTTGCTGACTAAGATTAAAAATGGCAGGTATTGCAGTGCAATTCTGTCACTGTTAAAGGTAAATTTCTTTAGGGATGAAGAATGATTGTCTGAAGCTTAATCTACCCTTAGTGGCATGGTTGTACACAGTTGAACCTGTATCAAGTGGCACTACATTAATCGGTCTCCCTATATTAAGTAGTCAGTTGTCAAAGTCCTGAAATTCTTTCTGCTTAAACACTGCAATTTTCACCTCTATTAAGCCATCACCACCTTCGTTAAGCAGTCATGGCCACCCTTGACTGAGTCCCAATGGCCTCCTTGTATTGTCTTCCACTTGTATTGAACGACCATTTACAGTGGAACCATTCAAATAAAGATAAAAAAATCTTTCAAATGTATTTAATCCATGTTTGTCTCCGGAAATCAATGTTTAACTTTATTTTTCAGCAAGGTTTTGTACACTTAGTAGTCAATTATCCTTAGGGTTAGGGCATTTTATATTTTTTTTTCAAATACCCATTTTGTAAAAAACTTGTATTACACAGTCAACCTTTAATGAGTGGTCACCCTGCCATTCCCTATTAGTGACCACTCAATACAGCTTTGACTGTATTTTTGAATTTATTTCCCTTATATGATTTGTATTATATGCTGTGTCAAGTTATCATATTTGATTCTGATGCTTTTTTGTAGGCCATAAACTACTATGAAGCTGCTTTAAAATCAGGACAGCAAAACTTTTTAAGGTTAGTCAAAACTTTGGATCACATATATACTAGTTTGGTGGTTTATGCCATCTATGTGAATTATCTCCCTTTTGTTTTTCCTTTGCTAGGTATGATCTTGCTGAGCTGTATCTAAAGCTGAAAAACTATGAAAAGTCAGACAAGGTCATCAAGTTGGCTCTGGAGCAAGAAAAAGGTAAACACCTTTAAGCCTGTTATTTTTTAAACCGTATTTCCAATTTTGATGCTAATGATATTGATTGAGTTCAACAACATGGACAAACTGAGAAATAGGTCACTTGACTTATTTTGACACCAAGAAAATAGGTTAGGGGTTAATAGGGATTTTCAAACTTACATAAATGTGTACTTAATTTGCATTGTAAGATGTGTCTGCATGAAATTCCAAGAAACAGTGGAGTAAAAATAGGCATGTAGCTGCTTGGATCTCATACAGTTATCCTATTTTGATACAAAAATGTTACTCTTGACTAGTAAATAATTTTCATGATAAATACTTGTGTTGAGAAGCTAAAGGAAAGGTGCACTTTCAGTTGTTGGCTTTAAATTTAGGAAGGGATCTCTTTTCTTTATCTCCTGCGCATCTTCTTCAGAAATGCAATTTATTCCTAGTGCAATTCCTTTCCCTCCCTCTCTATTCTAATACAGCGAATGACCTTCCATCTCTGATGGAAGAGGCTCGACTCCTAGAGCTTCAGGCTCATGTTTATCAAAAGTCAGGCAATGCAGAAGAAACCCTCAAGACACTCACAAGGGCCAAGGAGGTTCAAACCAGGTGAGATGCAGTGAGAAAAGGTTTGGAAAGGGCCCTGCAAGATTGAGCAGTTATGAAATATGGAATATGTAATGCTGCAAGAGACTTTTAAATGTATGCTTACAAGTGTAAGTTTGGAAGCTACAAGCTAGTTGAAAGGAAACACACTGACTCTCCTGTCAATATGATGAAAAAGCAACATACACCAAATCAAAGTCTCTTTTTCTAGTAAGATGTGTTACTCAATGTTTTGCATTTGTATGTACCAAAGAAATGTGTGAAATTGTTAATGAACAATTCCAGTAACCAAATGTTCATCGAAGTGGTAGTAGCTTGTGATCCTTTGTAAATATTAGAAATAAAATCTCTGTATTTTAATAACACTTCCAGGGTTTTAAGAAGAGTTGGGGTGGAACAACCAGATGCTGTCAAAGCACAAAAATTGCAGGCTGCAAAGTAAGTTAAAAGTTTGTTATCTTTATGGTACCATCAGACCCTGTTGTTGTAGAATTGGAGAATGGAAAGAGTGACACCACTAACCCATCGAAACGTTGTTACTTTGCTTTCCAAATTCCAAATTCTTTTACTATAACAATGTACTTGATCCCTTTTCCTCTAAACATTACATGTGTATCTCCCAGAGATACCAAAATGCCAAGTTTATTTTCAGAAATTCATTAATGTGTTGTAGGAAGCTGGACTTCTTTGGCATAAACTTACTTAAAAATTTATTTCATGTAAAATTTGTTTTTTTGGTATGATAAAGAAGTGCAGACTGAAATGAGTGTTTCTTTGTAAACGGCAGTTGGCTTCCTACAACTCTTTTGTGAAAACAGGGTCATTTTTTGATAAGATCTATTTGTATTTTAGTGCAAATTAAGGCATCTGTCAGAGTGTTTAGGGGAAGAGGAGGTCAATTTATGTAACTGAAACTGGGTGCAATAGGGAACAATACTCAAACATAATAATTAACTTATTTCCACAACACTTGTTAATACTCACAAGCAAGACTTTTAGAACCTTCATGGAGCTTTAATTCAGGTTATTTTTAGTAAAGGTTCAAACAGTTGTTTCATTCATAGGTAAAGCAAATTTCCTTAAAGCAGACAAACACATACCAGTCCCAGTTTTTTTTTCAAAAGGTGTTGTGTAATCCCCTATAATATTTTTCCCTCATGGTATGCATGACTGCACATTTATATGCCTCAACATATTGAAATATTCTTTGACAGAATCTGTGCTGAAATGGCAGAATTGTCTACTACTGCCAGAGAATTTGAGAAAGCCATAAATTTCTACAAAGAGGGACTAACATATGATGAAACACATGTACCAGTAAGTATTACAAACAGTTTTTTTTAGTCAAGTAATATCCGAGTATTAAAGTAAAGTGAAGCCTAGTTGTCAAGTTGACACTTACTTAACAACAATGACCGGCAGATAGATATAGAGTGATAGAGATAGATGGTGAGTGAGTAACAAACAAAGTGCAAGACATGTTGTTTTCTTGTACTTGGTGACCGTCATACTCTAATCTGATTCTCTGTTTTGTCTTGCAGTCCATGTTAGCACTGGCCAGACTTTATTTGACTGTGGATGATTTAGATGCCTGCCAGCAACAATGTGTTCAGCTTCTTAAGATGGATGCTGAAAATGATGCTGCAACAGTGGTAAGTAAATCTGCTGTGTACAAAAAAACTAAATACAGTAAATGGTTTGAACCTGGGGGTAACATGTTGCGACATGTTGCGACATGTTGCGACCTATTGTTTCCTTCTGTGGTTCTCCGACATACCAGCTGTCCATGTACCAAACGACAATACTACAACCGCTCACCGACAAATCCAGACGAAAACTACAATCCACCGAGGACTTCATTAATGCCACTAAGACTGTACAGATACCTGACGACTACAAGCTAGTGTCATTTGACGTGAAATCACTTTTTACAAGTATTCCACTTCAACTGGCACTACAATGTACTGAGACTGCTATCCTTCAATCTACCGACGCTCTACCGCTACCGACAGAGGACATTATGGACTTACTAAACCTTTTCCTGACATCAACTTACTTTCAGTACAACAGCAAACACTACAAACAGTTACACGGTACAGCTATGGGGTTTCCAGTTTCTGTTGTTGTAGCAGAAATTGTGATGCAGAACATCGAAGAAAGCGCCCTTTCGACTTGCCGACAGACGATACCACTTTGGTTACGCTACGTTGACGATACTTTTACCGCCGTACGACGCAACAAAATCGACGCATTCCACCACCACCTTAACGAACAAAACACTGACATACAGTTTACTAGAGAGGTCGAAGAAAATGGTAAACTACCTTTTCTAGACTGCTTGGTAAGCCGTGACGACAATTCACTACGGATAACAGTTTACAGGAAACCGACACATACCGACAGATTACTGGACGAGTCATCCTACAACCCGACATCACACAAAGCCACTACTGTCAGGACTCTTACCCGACGATCGCAATTAGTATGTAATACGACAGACAGCTTATCCGACGAGAACAAGTACCTTAACCGTGTTTTTTCAAAGAACAACTACAGCGAAGACTTCATCCAACGTAACACTCGCAGACCTACTACTACTACCAAAACTAACGACAACGCAAGTTCTACGACCACAGCCACTACACCAAACATAAAGGGCATATCTGAGAACATCTCGCGCATCCTGCAACCATTCAATATCCGCGTCGCTCACAAACCCATTACCACACTACGTCAGTTACTGACTAACATCAAAGACAGAGACGAACCGAGGAACAGACAAGGAGCAGTATATAAGATCAATCGCTCCGACTGCCACGCCTCCTACATTGGTGAGACTGGCAGAAACCTCGCAACCAGACTGACTGAACACAAACGAGCGACGAGGAAAGGCGGTGTCAACAATCACATTGCTGAACATCACCGACTTACGAACCACACTATTGACTGGGACTCTGCGCAATGCCTAAGCTACAGCACCAACTACTTTCAACGACTGACCCTGGAAAGCTGGTTTACTAACTTGGAACAGACTCCCCTCAACAGGTGTCAAACACTACCGGCACCATACAAACGACTCATCCACGACATTAACATTACAAACGAACCGAACAGAACGACCTAACTAACTCACCCACAAATCCGGACGTACAAGTAAGTGTACATCTTTTTACTTATCCTTTGATGTTTTTTTACAGTTGGTAGTGTCCTAACTGTATCATTATTTTATTTGTGGTTTTCAGATGATGGCAGATTTGATGTTCAGGAAGAATGAATATGATTCTGCTACATTTCACTTCCAGCAGTTGCTGGAAAGAAAACCAGGTACTGTTAACATCGTAAGACTTTCTGTCACTTAGGCATACCAATGATGAATTTCTTCCTCACGCCGTTTTTCAAATGTCAACACGTTTCCTTTGAGATAGTCTTTGAAATTGTGAATACAGAGTTTTGTCACACTGATAACAAACGTACGCTAGTCCTTATTATTTCATATCATTATGAGTTGTTTGCAAACCAGATATGACCAAAACGTCATTCTCGACAAACCTGTTACCTTTCTGAGACATAAAAAATGATGGTCTAATGAGCCCTTAACGGATTCATGTGGCTGAAAAAATCAGCAAAACAGAAATTCTCTGATATAACCCCATTGTAATTGTAATGAGTCAAATTTTTTAAATGATTATATTCAAATGGACTTTCATGAATTTAGATCATTACAGTGCCCTAGCGCGCCTGATAAATCTTCTGAGAAGAGCTGGAAAATTAGACGATTGTTCAAAGTACCTTGAACAGGTAAGTGTTAGTGTAATTTTAGTTTTGCGTAGCGTGTCGAAACTTATTTTCCTCCTCTCTTCCTTAGTTTTAAGTCGAAGGATATATGTGGCATACAAATGGAATAAAGCCCAAGCTCAGTTTCAATTTGAAGTTAAAGAATTTAAATTGAAAGATAAAATGGAGAAAATATGAAATTGCTATAAAAGGTGAACCACTGGAACCCTATCTTGGTTGCAATATACCTTGTAGTAGAGTAAGAGTGTTTTTCATTCAAAACCTGAAGTTGGGATGCTTCAAAAACCTTGTTATTTTCTTCTCTTCCTTCTTGAAAAATACTATGGGACGTTAAAAACAATCAGAAACTTGGTTACTTTTAACACAAGAGCTCTGCAATCGCAGAGAGTTCGTGTTTCCTTTTCAAGGTAAGACTAACATCTTCGATTGAAAAGGGGATGACAATTGGTCTTCAAGACTACAAGTTCTCAGGAACACGTTTCCCATCTCATTTTCATTTTTCTTGTGCTGTATCCAATAACTTGTCTGAAGGGAACCTTTGATTCTAATTCTTTTCAGGCAGAAAGTGCTATTCCACGTGCTGCTATGGATTCTGGATTAAATTACTGTAAAGGACTCTTTCACTGGTAGGATTACTATTCGGTGGTGAATGAAGATGAAATTTTTAAATGCAAATCTGCATTGAAATATTCTTAAAATCTTAAGAATATTATTATCCCATCAATGAACTGTGTGAGCACACTAGAGTGCTAGTAGAAGGAGTGTTGTGTCTTGCTTAAGACATGATTATTTATTTGTTTAAATGCAGGTACACAGTCAGCCCTACGGCAGCTCTTAAACATTTCAACCTGGCCAGGAAAGATGCTAGATGGTGAGAAGGAACTCTTTAGTTGTAATTGTGCGTCTTCCTGCTCGATAAGGCTGACAGTTAGTGTTCTTTCCAGTAATGACTTGTCAGCCAGGTGACTGGCTGACTTTCCTTTTGCCTGATTGGTCAACTGTTCGCCTTTATAAACCATATTTTACTAAATTACTGAGCAAATAACCAGCAAAGAGTCGTGAGCTTGAAATACGTCTCGAGAAGAAGAGTCAGACAGTCGGGCAAACACAGCGAGGTTAAAAACATCAAATAGCGGTCAGTCAGATGTAGAGAATTTCAGACACACAGACTGACTTATTGACTTACTGGACAAACAGACTGGCTTGTTAAGTAAGTACCGTTAGATTAACCTTACCTTGAGTCTTGTTGAAGTTTCCCAGTTGTATTGTGTTGCTCGCGATTTAAGAGAGTATGGATATCATTTGGTAGCAAATACTGACGTTATTATTTTTATTTTTTAGGGGCGAGTATGCTGTTTACAACATGATTGAAATATGCCTTAACCCTGATAATGAAACTTTGGGAGGAGAAACCTTTGAGGCAGTTGATGGTGATGTGAGGTAAGAGAAAGGTTTTGAATATACACAGGGAACCTCAATAAATCTTAAGTAGCAAAAACAGTAGATGCCTGATTAATGACCATCACTCTGCTCATGGTTTGTCATTAGGAACCAAAGTTTAACTTCTTGGCACTCTAATATCTACCTAGCCCTTTTCTTAATTCTTTTAATTCACATGAAATGTGACAAAACTCGTAATAAAAAAGACAACTGACCTACTGTAAACTGTCAAATAAGTGTCCACCTGTCCAGAGCTTCACATTTATTTTACGCCCTCCTCCCCCCTTCCCCCTTCCCCCTCCCCAAACGGATTAATCAGCTTACACAAACCTTACTCTTAAAACTTGATTGACGACAGCTATTCAATGGACCCCGATCCTGACTTCCACTAAGTGAGGCTGATTAAAAATTTGTCACTACTACCGAAAATAGTCCTTCCCACAACTTCTCTTACTTGGACGATCGGATGTTACTCTAGGGCTCAAACCATGTACTGTTTGTGACATCTGTGAATCGCATACATGGTCTTTTTTCTGTTAAAGATTTATTTTTCTAGTCACTATATTCCTTTCAAACTTGAAAGAAATGTGACAGAACTCTTGAAAAGAAAACTGACCTACTGTAAACTGTCAAATTAGTGTCCACCTGTTCAGAGCTTCAAATTTCTTAAACACCCTCCTCCGCCTCTCCTTCCCCTCCCCTCCTCCCCTCCTCCCTAAGCGAAACGTATCAATCAGCTTACACATACCGTACTTATAACACTTGACTGACAACAGCTATTCAATGAACTGCGATCCTGACTTCCGCTGAGGTTGACTAAACATTGTCACTACTACCGACAATGATCCTTCCCACGACTTCTCTCATTTGAACGATCAGATGTTACTCTAGGGTTTACCATGTCCTGTTTGTGACTTCTGCGAATCGCATACATGTGTTTTTTTTCTGTGAAAGGTTTATTTTTCTTAACATGCTATATTTCTTTCAAACGTTATTCTTACATTCATGCCTCCGTCGCATATCCTCTTTATGCGCAGTTCAAACGAGAAGCAAGATTCAGAAATGATGGCTGTTCGCACTGCTGAAAAGCTGCTAAAGGTGAAAAAGAATTTAGTCTCTTTTGTGTTATGTAAATTTGTGGGTCCGGTCTGGGGCTTGAACCTCGACCTCCCACACGCCAGTCCGGCGCTCTACAATGTGTCAGCTAACCAAGCGCGGTTAAATTTTTTTTATTGCAGTTAAGTATGTATTTGACTTCGAAATACGCTTAACCTCAAAGGAAAAATAGTGATGGATGTGATAGTCCCTTTTTCAAGGAATCGAATCTGACACTCTCCGAATTTGCAATCGATATTTCTTCCATTTTACTAATTTTAATCTAAGAACTTGATTCAAATCTTTACAGGATTTTAAGCCGAAGGGCAATCCTCTAAAGTACCGCATACTCGAGAATAGTGTCTTGATGGCATTCAAGACAAAACCAAATGTGGAAAAGGCCTTGTCTCAATTCATGGAAATAGCTACGACTGAGGTACATGATCTGCTACTATACAGGAATGTTCACCTGCGTTAAAACTGCTATAACTTTATTTAAGATTTGAAACACAGCATAATCTTGATGTAGCCTTTAAAGTGGGAGTAAGCATGAAATTTCTGAGAACCATCTGTATTATACAGTTGGGGCTAATTCTAAAAGCTGAATTTCTTGGGTAATCAATGGTCTTGCAATGCTTCTCATTCTGATGTAATTGTGTGTAACCACATGTGAGTCTCCATTCAATGAAAGGTTTCATTGATACGAACTCCCACTATCCCAAGTTTTCGGTGGATTAACAAAGGATTATACTTGGTAGTTGTTGTAATATTACCCTTCATGACGTAAACTAAAAACTTTATATTTTGTTCCCTCAGCATGAATGTGTTCCAGCCCTTCTGGGCATGGCTACCGCTTACATGTACTTAAAACAAACACCACGTGCTCGTAATCAGCTGAAAAGGATTGCAAAAATGAACTGGAACTCAGAGGTACAAAAATGCTTTTTCTTAAAAGTGCCCACTATTCCTTTCACTAAAAGAGAGGAGTAGTGCAGTTTTCTATGACGATTTCGGGGGAGGAGTCGTTACTACAGTATATAGAGCTATCACTGTCAAGGGTTTGGGTTGGAGTGTATTCATTGTCATGTATTATTATGTCTTTCAGGAAGCAGAAGAATTTGAGAGGAGCTGGCTTCTTTTAGCTGATATTTATATCCAGGTATGTAGTCTTTTTAGGATTATGAAAAAAAAGACAGCAAATGTTGTTTCAGAAGCTTCTTCTTTTTAGTAATATGCTTGTGAAGAACGATTTACGGAAGAGAAAAGCACCTATGTCATTCAGTGTATCGGTGGTTTATGGCGCCGATTTATTCGGCAAATCTTGTTGTGAAGTTTTGTTTTCTAAGCTGGAAAAGAAAATTACTTCATACTTATCATTCAGAGGTGCAGGAAGAAGCTGGAGAATTTCATTGTTAAAAATAATGAATCTTGCCGTTGGATCGGATAGTTTTGGTTAACACTCAGCTCACGTGCATCCGTATTTCATTTCATCGTTGTTAATACGGTCCAATCGGGATGATTATACACTTTGTCGAGTTATTTTGGTCTATTACCGTCTAAAAAACGAGTAAATACTGAAATCAAGTAAAGTATCGACTTTTATGTAATTTTCAGTCTGGCAAGTTTGACATGGCTGGAGATTTGTTAAAGAAATGTCTTCAGTATAACAAGGTAATGGACGCTGTTTCTTTGCCATCTATTCCTTTACGCCTATATGGAAGGGTTGCATTAACAGTTGGGAGACTCAACGTACTTTTGTATTGGTTTGTAGTCATGCTGTAAAGCTTGGGAGTACATGGGATACATCATGGAAAAGGAACAAGCTTATAAAGATGCAGCTAAGAACTACGAGAACGCTTGGATTTATGGCAATCAAAACAACCCAACCATAGGTATGGTCTGAATCTGTTATAGAAATCTGAACTGAAATAGAGGTTTTCTCTAAGAACTAGGTATACTTTTACGTAGAGCTGGATGTTTGAGGTGTTTTTTTTTCTCATTTTTCGTTTCCTGTCCAGGTTACAGACTAGCGTTCAACTATCTAAAGGCTAAACGTCTTGTAGATGCTATTGACGTTTGCCACAAGGTAAAATCTTATGTTTGTTGTACTTTTTCGTTTCTTATAGACGACAGTAGTAAGTCAAGCACGACCAAACCTGTACTCAAATCCCCGGTAGAATACTATTGCCCCATTGCAGACAAGCACTTTTCTCGTTGGAGACGAAAGCAATCTCTCTACTATTACTTTTGATAAAACAATGCACCAGAGGGTCAGGGATTATGCCAGCGATTATGACAATTTCTTGATTTATTCTTCCCCTCTACACTCAGACTTAAAAAGAATCTTGCCATACGATCAATTTGTCATCGATGTAGAGAAGTAAAGTTGACAACGGTCTAATGTTTCATTGTAAATAACCTTTAACTTTTTCCTCCAGGTATTAAGTCACCACCCAAACTATCCAAAGATAAGAAAAGAAATCCTGGACAAAGCAAGAGCAGCATTGCGGGCGTAAATATTCACTCTACCCCACACTTGGTTCGCTTACACATAGTTATTAACTGGTTTCTGCCGTATTTCATTTGATCATATTGAAAATCAAAACCAATTTAAATAAGATTGGTCAACGGAATTATCACCCTCTCATTCCTCTTAAAAAACTTTCTTTTTCCGACCAAAAGCGACAAACACAGAAGCCGTGAAGGACCTCAAGACAGTTATTTATAAAAAGTTAAATCTTTGTTTTATACCAAAGCTGCGTTCTAAATCAGGTTAAATTTAGCTAGACGTACTATGTGAAGTTTGACTTCTTGTAAACATTGCCAACAAGGCTTATGGCTACCATTGAAAAAAAAAACTTTCAAGGTCCATTAATCCTTCAAATACTAGCATGAGTATATTTATTCTCCATAGTGTTCTTTAAGGAAAAAGTAACCCTATGATTTTCGAATGCATGTAATAAAGTTGGTTAGGTTTTGTACAGACAAAAACAGCGTTTAAACGTCCAATTTTTTGAAGTTATTTAACTTACACTAAATTGAATCTCTTTATCATTTAAACTGCATTTTCTAAATGGAAATACAGCATCGATGGAAAAAAGAGTATAACTAAAAAAAATACTAGTAGAAATCGTGTGGAATGCTTTCAAGGAAACCTCTGAAATTCTGTCTTTTTATCAGATGAACTACACTTGAATGAAACTTGTAAAAAAGTACTTTAAAATGATGGGCTCATTCAAGTATTCTTGAAACTGTATCTTTTCAGGAAATTAAACCTGAATTTAATGCCTTTTTCTCCCTGTGATAAGCTTTCTTTCCGAATACTTCTCTATCAAACACGAGAAATCCTAAATTATGTCTATCATCGAAAAGGCTTAATTTTCTTGCCCATCGAGACCCTCTTGGCAATGTGAACCTAAGTAAATATGCAACTGTTACACGATTTACTACCGAGTTACACCGCTGACACCTTTATGAATGACTTGCTTACTTGGCGACCTGGTGTTTTGACCACGAGGATGAAAAAAACACTAGGCACAGTGTGTTAACCAGGGAAAAGGATGTCTTGTTAGGTCTAGTTGAAGCAAGAAACCCATATGATTGTGCAGAACTATAACTATGCGTCTTAGTTCTACCATATTTTAAATCTTTTTTCGTTTATAAGGGAAAACACTGCATAAACCTGGGCAAGAAATGCATTCTTGCTTCTGATTGGCCGGCTGATAAACCAGAAGCCTATTGATAATGTGGAAGAATTAAAACGCTTCACGCTTTTGATTGTAACTATCCTTGTTTTCGTTTGTTTCGTTATTTCTACCTTTCTTTTAATCTTTTTTCGACCTCGGGTAATTTTCTTGTACTGTGCTGAACATCGTCGTCGTGTTTGGTTTTTTACTTTAGCTTTGTTGGGATACTTTTAACATTGTATTTGAAATCGAAATGGAATTCCTTTTGTATCATTTTTAATTAGATACAAATTGAGGTTTCTAGCCCATTTGTAAAAAAAATCAGCCCTCCTGTCTTTATACTCCAATGTCTCGCGTTACTGAAGCAAGGAAGACGGGACAGTCGATGACTGAGACCTTGAAGTAAGTTTTAACTTGCTTTTATGTCTTTAAAGAAGTATGGGTGACGATGAGTAGTTTCAAAAATTTGAGAAACTTCTGATTTTTTGAGAATGGGTCGGAAACCTCATTTTGTACGTACCTTTTTTTTTTTTTTTTTCAATGTCAGACGATTCGTTTTTCACACTTCTTCGTTCCTGCCTTAGTTAGATAACTTTGCCATTTTGAAAAAAAACCAGGTTTCATTGAGAAAAGAATTCTTGCCTGGAAATTTTGAAATTGAGACATCTTGTGTGTGCCAAATTCTTTGACATCTTCCTTAACTTGTTCACAGTTTCTTCCTAAACAAAGTCGTTTAAGTATTTAGTGGGCTTCCTGGAAGTTAGTGTACTAGTATCAAACTTACGTCACTTTATTGTTATTTAATGTTAAACTGAATGACGTTAGTGACCTTACTAACGTAGTACGTTCTGTGATTGGTCGAAAAAAGGTCACAGCACTGTCTCTACAATTTATACACGCACACCAGCACCAAAAGCTTAAGGTCTAATTTTCAATTAATCTCTTTATTTAGGTATCATTTTGTTTAATCGTCTTTTTATACATTTTTATACATTGCGTTTGCTGTAGTTTTCATGACGATATCACGCTTTCTTTTGCTTTGGATGCCATCTTGGATCGGCAGGCGCACACATGACCTCGATCTCATGTTATCATCTGCACCCTTATGGCTAGGATTAGTAGTTAGTAAAAATGCAAAAGGCCTTCTCTACATAAGAGCGAAGGGTAAAATATTGTACCGAATCTTAAACACAGCGCACGCTCCTTAAAATTACCGCATTGTAAGTTAGTTATTGTATACCAGATTTTTTCTATTGCATATCACTTTATACCATATATCAGTCATTTCCTGCATATCAGTTATTTACCGCTTATCAGTTATTTATTGCATATCAGTTATTTACTACATATTTATTTACTGCATATCAGTTATTTTTACCGCATATCAGCTGTTTACTGCAGATCAGTTATTTACCACTCATCAGTTATTTACCGCAGATCAATTTTTTGCTGCGGATCAGTTCTTTACCGCTGCCTTCGGTTTCAACTCGAACAAATCGTGATATTTGCTCAACTTCGTGCCTGAATTTTTAATTGACATTTGATACAGAGATTGTCTTAAAAACAAAGCAAAGGATGTAGCATCACTTTTATTGTTGATACCACATAAAAGATTTGTAGCCAATAGGTTTTGGACGGCAGGTGTTCAGCTCAAATCCAACCAAACTTTAAAATGTTAATTAAAAATGGGGAAAAATCCAAACAGTATCTTGAGAGGTTCAATATTGATAAATACAAATGTTATACCAATTGAAAGGATTCAAGGCAATCCCTGATAATTCAAAATAAGAAACTTAAAACTGTACCAAACCTTACATACAAAACTTTAGTAAAATTTGTTTACTGCATGAGAGAAGTAAGTTTCAGTTGAAGGGGTCGGCAACTTTGTTGAGTTCTTCCTAATCATTCCTCGGCTGTAAGAGTCGAAAGTTTACACCTTAGTGGATTTCGTTAAGAATACTGTACACATGGCTCGATGAGGAAGATCGTTCCGCGAGGCCAGATATAAAGTAACTGTACATCTCTTCAATAAGCAAATTAACACGACAACAGCTGATACGCAGCTTAAGCGTACTCAAAATATGGTTTTTGAACAATTCTGTCAACAAACAGATATTGCTAAATTCCATGTCGGTAAGCTGTAGCAAACCTCTGAATTTTTTTCAATAAGCTCTTTTTGTCGAATGAAATCGTTGAAGATCGGAACTCCTGGAATAATAGTTGCCTACACTTTCGAAGGTCCTTCAAATGTCCAAATTCAAATGTCCAAATTGATTTTTGGACACTTTTGTTGGAATAGAAAGAAAACGGTTAAAACAGATAAATCGGCTCTTAAATCTTCATCAGAGAAAGCCACGGAGGGAAATTGCTGCATAGCTAGGGCTAGGTTACGATTTCAGGTTGGGCTTTCGAGCATCGAGCTTTAAGTAACCGCAAAGTCGATACCTAAATAGCAGAGGAAAAATTTACCACATGAATCGATTAGGCCCATTCGAAATTGAATTTAAGTCTGTTTAAACTAAGTAATTTATTCCGGGACATGAACTTTAATCATGCCCCTCCTTCGAGTTAGAAGTTTATGCTGATGACCCTCCTCAAACGGTTTCCTTTAGTTTCGCACGTATACGCATGTATACTCCACGGCGCCTCTGTTTTAGGTGCTCACAAGCCTTGTGTTTCTTGGCAGCAGTTGCTGAATTCAAAACACGCGTCTCTAATATCTGAAGACGTGAAACTTGAAGTTGAGTTAGGTTTGCCTTTTTTTTAGATAATGTAAGATCACAGGTCCTTGTCGCTCATCCAAAGTCACGTTGACAATGGCTCAGTTTATACAACACCTACACAGGTGCTTCTTAATCTAAGCGATGGAGCTGACATGGATCTTTTCGGCCTTGTTCCATTAGACGTTCCCACGGATTCTAAAACCAAAGCAAAACCAGCGGAAGATGCTGTTCTTCGCAAAGGAAGATCTGGTGAGCAAGGATTCTTTACTGAAGCTGCTAATCTTCGAGTGGCACCGTCGTTTGGCATGAATTTTTCTGACTTTTTTAATCGTAACATCTCTAGAATGGCATTTCTAAAGCGACGATCTCTATAGCAGTAAACCAATGGATTTGCTAATGAGTTTAATTGCATCAATGTCTCGGTTAATCGGAAAAACCAAGTGTTACGCATGATTGTGAAAAAGTTTCCTAAAATCGCTACGATTGAAGGTAGAAGAAACGAGAGGATTACTATTCCGGTTATAAGACCAGTCGTTTTAGCCACTCTAGCGCTCTGTTTTGCCTGAAGTAAAGCGTTAACATCGATGACTTCGTTCCTTTTTCGATTTCGCACTTCAAGGTACACGTTAACATAAAAATATACGATAGCTGTTACTACTGCTACTCCCCAAAACATTCCTTCGATTATATCTACATTTTCAAACCACTCAACATCCCCGCTAGTCCCTCTTAAAACGAAGTAAGGAGTTACGACCATGAAAGGCAGCCAAGCGAATAAAGCAAGTTTCTTCGCCCGGCCTCTTGTTACGATCGTTTTGTAGTCCGTCCATTTGCAGACTGCCATGTACCTTTCCCAAGCAATTACTGTCAAGTGAGACAGTGCTGTCCGAGAGGCAGAGAACATCACGGTTACGCCCAAGAAGTCTACTATACATACATGGTCGAGAAAAGTTTGATGAGCTATTAACAAATCAACAGCTGTTGTTAACGGCATGGATACAGCACCAGTCAAAACGTCTGCAACCGCCAAACTGCTCAGCATTATGGTGGAAACTCTTTGCAATTGCTTTTTCTTTCTCACAGCTACAATCTCTAACACGTTCAGCACGACGATAGCGGGAGCTGCAAGAATTGTAATGACAAATATAAACCACGGAAGTGCAGTTTCAACCAGTTCCCACTCAAAGCTTGGATAATACCAACAGTGAAATCTCCACCTCGTCTCGTTGGCGTTCTTGATGAATTCAGACTCGTTCATATTGTATGGGAGTGTCGTTTACCAAGTTTACTTGTTTTTATCAACTGAGTTTCCAAAGCTGTCGGTTTGAGTGATAGCCCTTCGTCAGTGCAAAGCGTACAAAGTTAAGTCCTTTTTCGCGCTTAGAAACAGAAAGGGAAGGTTCTGTCTTCAATCGTTTTTCCTTATCAGTCGGCAGGGAATTCTGAATTACTTGTAATCATCTCGACTTTGGTTGCCAAGGAAATACTTGTTTTTACTTATAAACAGCATACCAGCTGCTCTTTTATATAAAAAGTCAGATACACGGAACACTAAGAAAACCAATTGGAGTCCTTACAATCCCTTAAAAATAACTGAAATGGTTTTCCGGTACTTTAGTCTTGTGCATTTTACCATCTTAAAAGTGATTTTTAAGATTGGGCGACGCACTTCACCGAACCCATCAGATATTTGACAAAAATATTCGAATGACGAAATTCTTCTTCCCTTCAAAACTGAGACAACTGTTCCAATTATCTAGTTTTGAAATCGTACACTTTCTTTTCGCTTACTTCCCTTTTTTTTCCCTTAGTCCATGTTAATTCACCGTGAAAATTTGACCTATTATGCCGATAAAGAAAGAGGGCTGTTTCTTTCATCGCTTTTCTCCGTCAGAAGAAGTACTTTTTTTACTTAAATATAGAATGGAAACTGCTTTTTTGGTGAAGAAAATAAATGACTGATAGAAAGTCTGATGCTAGGTCCAGTTTATTTCCCACCGTTGGTAGAAGAGGAAATGTAGAAAATCAATCTCCAAGTAATTATGAACGCTTTTGAATGATTGTGACGGCTTTATCAGGACAGATTCTGTTCCTTTTTACCATTTTTATGGAAATCGCAATTAGTATGTGTTTTGGCTTCAACCAAAACACTTTTTATCCTTGGTTTTGTATCGAGCCAGAACTATTGTCATCATGCATCTTCTTACTGAGACAAGCGCGGAAATCTCATATCCTGTTTTGAAAAATTATGATAAATTAACTTGTCAATCTTTAGTATCAGAGCGAATTTAATCATTCGACAGGATCAGCATCAATGTTGTTTCTTCTTGCAAAAAAGTCCTGGTGTGACTTGATTTGTTCTTCTGTCAAAACAGTGCGATCATAAATGAGAAGTTATCTCATTTACAGATCACGCTTTCGAGCTCACAGTTTATTATGTTGAGCTGAGCATCTGAGAGGATGAAGATGTGATATTTAACATTCCCAGAACCCCATGCCCTCCTTTTAATTGCGAGCTGAACTCCTCATTTCGTATTCACTAATCTCGATCCACTTCCATGAAGATCATTGTCTCTCGTACTACTGAGATCGATAAATAGAGCGAATCTGTCTCCGGCAGAAAAGTCTCTTGCATTCATCGTGCTGTTTTTCTTTCCAAATCTTCTGAAGACCTCTTCCCAAATATCCCTTGTCTCCATTCCCTGACGGTAAACCTTATTTGGGACTCCATTAACAATCACCTTGTTTTAATAGTTTTTTCAAATCAACGAATTCCTTCAGGAGGCAACTCAGTTCCAGGAGGAACAATCTGAAGCTCTTCTCTGACGAAACCACGCTTTGGCCCATCTTTCAGACAATAGAGAACAGGTTTGCCTTTTTTCACAAGTAATTTTTCGATATTGAAGACCTTCAGAGACCAAATTGGATCTGTGACCCGCCTCTGATCACCTTCCGGCTCACTAACGGCATAGACATTCTTTGAAGAATCTGATCTCTTTTCCTTAAAGCCAACAGGCCTTGAATAGGTCGTTGAACTCTTCGCGTCAACCGACTTATCTTTGATGGCATCCATAGGTTTCTTTCTAGTCAACCTGGTCACTTCAATATCCAAAGCCAACACAACTTCTGGAAGCCTCTTCATTTATTCGGTTGATCTCTTCCCTCTATGGAGTTCATCTCCTGACTGTATTGGAAAGTGAAGAGGCGTTCACCCAAAGTTCGATTGAATCACTCGACGATTCCCTGATCTCTGTGAACGTTCACATCCCCTCTTCTTATCCTCACATCATGCTTTGTCATCTCTCTTGTGACTTCACCCACGAATTCACGTCCAGGATCAAACATAAGAACTTTCAGCCACCTCAATTGCCCACGCTTATAGATTGTCTGAAGAGCCTTCGAGACCTCCGAAGAATTATTTGAAGTGAAAGGTTCGGCAGCCTTGAATCTGCTTGCAACATCAAAAACTGTCAATGCATACTTGTAAACTTTCTTACCTCTCGGGGGCCTGTTATGAGGAAGGAAAAGAAGATCGGCTTGATGAACTACATTTGAGATTCAACATTAAAAGTTAGTCTCGGGATATGCTTTGGGGCAAGCAAATAACTCTGTTAGATGGCTTTCCTTATCAGCCAAAGCTTTGCAACGTCCTCAGAAACTCCGGTTTCTTGAGCCAACCTCTTCACAGCAATTCCCTCCAAAAACCTTTTGGGCCATACCAGATTCCTGAAAGTTTTCTTTCCATTTTGTGTTCAACGAAACGACTGGCGGCCGATCCCAAAGCCAAAGCCATTCCTCCGACGTAGATCATTTCACCTTGCTTTTGTGAAGTACTCGGCTTATAGAAGTCGGAAAGTTGTGGCTCTTTCAAATCAAGACCTTGATTATGCGCCTTGTTGTACAGCTTCCCATTGTTTCTCTTCATCGCGCGTGGAATGCGTTTCTCGAGGAAAAATTATATTTGCATTTGTTTTCTACACCATGCAAATATTGAACGTCCTTTTTAAAGTTACTCAAGCCTCTTACATTCAAAGATAACATTTTGAAATCATAGGAACCCATCCTAATTCGTCTGCAGTAATAATCTGAAGGGAGAGCAGTCTTTAGAAGGCTGTTCACAAGAACTTTGTAAACACGCCAACCGTAAATTAAATTAATGTTAATAGTATTGTAATACATGTATTGTAATGTAGTGTATGCATAATCAGTGTAAGTATAAGTATCAGTAGTGTAAGTAGCAAGTACAATGTAAGTGTAATTAATACTGTAAGTAGTGTAAGTGATCGTCTTGTAAATAAAATTGTTTAAAAAAAAAAAAAAAAAAAGGTAACTTGGATAGGGGTTCTTGCTCACATTCTCTTTAATGTTAATTTTCAATGCTAAAAGTATGGCAAAGAATAAAAGCCAGGATAGTAGAAATAACAATAATTTCTAATCTTTTCTTTAGGCTGTAAAGATAGGCTCAAGGCAGAAATGCAGCAATACACAAAATGGACGGGATGGAATTAGTAATTCTACTCGAGTAAATTGAAAATCTTGTTGGGTTTTAATTCATTAAAGGGTTAATCTGACTTGATTGTGTTTATAAAATGGTCAATAGGGCTCAATATAGAAATAAAAAACGCGGCACAAATGGGAAGAGTTTTTGTCATCTTTTCTTGAAACTATAGCAGCATTCTATGTTGTTTTCCTTGAGAGGGAGTCGCAGGCCATACGTTCTTTGGACGCAAAGGGCGAACCTACATTTTTTTCTGTATCTCTTTGTTGCTTATGATTGGGATTTTTGAAGTTGTCGTCAAGATTAATGTTGTGGTATAGTTGGTGTTTTTAGGCAATAGAACGAGTGATCGTATGAATATTGAAGTCTCTTACAAAATGGTTAGTATGTAAGAATGAAGACTCAGGAAATCTGAGAACTTCTACAGGTAAACGTTTAAAGTTCTAATTCGCCATGCTCAGACGGAAGTAATTATTTTCCCTTAAATATAGCAAATATAAAACCACGCACCTTGATGGTTGGATGCTCAGGTGAGCCAAACTGTAATTAATATACAGCTAGAAAATTATATAGGGAATAATACATGGGCGCGCGTAGATATGGAATTTCTCTTCGAATGTTTAACTCGATAGCTTACGAGTGAGCGCAGCGAACGAGTGAGATGTCGAGTTGAACACTCGAAGAGAAATTCCATATCTACGAGCAGCCATGTATTATTTTGTTAATCATATAAACACAGTAGCCCCTTACTGAGAAGAAAAGGCGACTTCATTGATGAATGAAAATAAATGAATCGACATTCCCCGAATAATAATCGTAGAGTGCGTTGGCGCCTACTCTTAAGATAGAAAAATCCGTTGAATCATGATTACAAAACCAACAATGGTCGTAATTTTAAATTTACAAAATTCTCATTTATTGACTTTGTCCTTACCGACAGAAGAAGTCTTTGAGGTAAACGGCCAAAATCAGTCAGTGACAAATCTTCCAGTTGTCGATTTTCATTCTCAACCGAGAGAAATGCTAACACCAAAACCACAGAATACGTAACTTTCGGTTTTTCTTTTAGTATATTGGTTTTCCTCCCCTTCTAGTAAAGTTTGAACCTCACTGTCTGTCAGCAATACGTATTTTTTAGTGTTTTAGCTGCCATAATGCAAGGATTCTCAAGACAAACAACTTGTATTGAGAATCGTGAAGGCTTTGCCGTTCATTCATCAACCTGATCGAGTGGCGCCAAAGGCGAGTGACGTGTCAGCAGGTGATTGGCTATATCAACACGTGGAAAAAATACGGTATTTTTCACGTGTTTAAGCCCTAGTGCAATGCCTAGCCGTGTGCCCGCGATACGCTTCACTGAAGCTCGACATTCGAGTATGCGCACTTCATTGTCATCTGCCGGTGTTTCCTGGCGCACACTAATGGGGTGTCCAAGTTACGCGCGCAATTGCGCCTGCGCATTACCTTCTCCTTCGCCCTTCCATTACGTAATGGTAAGATAGTGCCCGTAGTACAGTTGGCCGCGCATGCTAAAAGTAGCACCTTGTACGGTCGGTCGTACAGTCGTACGTCCTAGTTTTTCGGCTTGATAGGTTACTACTATTTCGTATAATTATGGGGCTACGCTGCGTTTTGCGCGCTGCGAGCTCCGCCATGAAACACCCAACTGGTATTGACGTAGCCACGATCGATATTAAACAGCCAACTGTCAGTGGCTTCAAGAAGAGCAGTAACGGTTGAGTGTAAAGACCTGAAACCAGATTGTTGTTCAGAGATGATTTCTTCACTATTTAAGATTTAAGAAGTTGTATAACTGATCCTACACAATCCTCTCGAACACTGGGGACTGCGGAAATGACTGAGATAGGTCGGTAGTTGTTTAAATAAAATGAATCGCCTTTTTTAAACGACGGAGTCACTCTGGCAAATATTCAGTAGTCAGGAAATATGTCAGACATTAGGGATTTATTAAATAGATTGCATAACGGACTTGAAATAATATCAGCACACTCACGAATCAACCTAGCAGAGATACCACCTAGCCCTGTAGCTTTAGTTTTTGACAATCTATTTAGATGAGTCAAGACAACACTGGTAGTAGTTGGACGAATATTGTTTAAATAAATAGACATTTCGTGCGAAGTTAAAGGTATTTCGCTGGCTAGTCTGGGGCCGATAGTGGAAGAATATTCGTTAAAGGCGTTGGAAATCTCGTTAGAGTTACAGATAAAGATATAATTTACTTTCACTTCGTTTACTGTCTGGTTGTTCTGATGACGAGACATGAGGTTGTTAATGGTTGTCCGACTTCGACGTCGTTTAATTTCAAGAAGATCAGCCAGATCATTGTCAAGAAGGATATGCTTATTTTGAGGATTGAGGATTTCCAATACTCGTCTTAGAGTATTCATTTCAACCTTCCCTCCTTCATTCTTCAATGTATCTTGAAGAGCGAAGGAGTATGGGTTTTGATTGAATAATCACCTTAATTCAAGAATTTTTTTTCTAGTTGGAGTGCCTTGTGCATTCATTACAGAGACTTAACCAGGACGACTTAAATTATACCAAATGTTGAAAAAAAGAACAGCTTACTAGCCTGATATATTGCTATTTTTCGCTGCATAGCAGCTCTTTGAAGCGAACTGTGTGATCATTTGAATCTACAATAATTTTCAGAACAACCATTTTATTTATAAAACAAAAAAAATCTACTGCTTTATACTTTATTCTTTTTACTGCTTTATAATTTCACGAGAATTATCTTAAAATCTGATGATCTGCTGAATTCCATGTTCTTGCTTACAGGTTAATAGATGTGAGCTCATCGTCTACCTCTGGTTGTGGACATTGCCATATTTTGTTATACTATCGTGTTCTAAAATGTCTTTCTTCTGTTTCTATTTCTAATTCATAAACCAATATGGAATCAAATACATCTATATTCAAAGCTATTTTATGTATTCAACAACACTCATCTTTCGATAATATGGATTGTATCTTGCGTTAAGCGCATGTGCAAGAATGACGTAAAGTGGACGAAGTCCTCGGTGATAACTCTACACAGCTTTTGTTGATGACGAAAATTCAAACAGATTTTATAAAGGTGGTTTATTACCAACTAACCACTGGTTAAGAAATCACATGGTTGAGTTTGGCTACAGTTTCCAAAATTAAAAAAAAATTTTCAAAAGAGGTACCTACCCCCTAACGGGAGCTTCATTTTCATCGCTACGTCTTGGTTTTATACACGATAAAATTAATGATTCTTCGCCATGTAAATAACGACAGTAATCTAAGAACATAAGGTACGGAGAAGGTTACGTTGAATTGAAATAAACGAAAATGCTTTCGGTCCGTCATATCGAACTTAGTCAAAATGCCGGTTACTAGAGACTAAAAATCACTCGTTTTAGCCTCTGTTTCTTGGTTACCATACCTTCTAGAAAAGAATCCTCAGAGGTAGTGCGGAATTTCATTTAATTCATTAAAAACTTATATTAACATATTAAAACTTCTCTTGAAAGAGAATACCTTAGCATGAGCAAATGAAATGAAACTGGGCGGTCAGATTTACAGATCTGCTAATTCTTTCAATAACTCATTAAGCGTGAAAATAGGTGAGGATTCTCGAGGAAAATTGCATGATCTTTCAATGACACTATTACAAAATAGAACCTTGGAGGTGAAAAAGATAACTTTATTTTTATTTTTAATCTCCGCTTTATAAATTTCCTTTTTATTTCTGCAGTTCATCCTCCGTGATATTTGTTTTTATGGCAGTAGATGTATCACATATAAAATGAAATTTGGTAATAGAAATAATTGGATACCTTCCAACAGACTCGTG